CTGGCATAGCCGAGCTAAGCCACTGCAATTTTTTTCTACTTCCAAAGTTGTGCAACTCAAACATATGTTACGCCTTTGGTGAACTTGATTGAAAAAATTACTGCATCCATCACAAAGGTAATTTTGCTTTGTTGCTTTCTAAAGCTGGCGTTTGCAATGAAATTGGATGCATCACATACATATAAATGTCATCTCATGAAAGAAAAAGCAGTTGAAAAATATGTCTACAATTGTAGTCTCTGTTCTTTTTTTTTAATGTAAAACTAAACTGATACTTTTTTCACCCTTCCATACTTTAGGACTACTTAGAAGTTAATTCTGAACTATGGCTAGCCAAAGTAAACTAGCTGTTTCTATTTTTTTTCATCCTTCCATACTTCAGAAATACTTAGAGGTTAATTCTGAACAATGGCTAGCCAAAGTAAACTAGCTTCATGGCCCATTTTGATGAATAAAGACTCCTCTTTCTTATGCACATAAATCATGACATCACGCATCATGATGTAGAATACCCGAGAATGTGGTAAAAGCTGGGATACTTGGTTGAAGAAAAAAGACAGGGAAAAGAATGTCCCCTGTCTTTTCTCTTCGACCAAGTTTCCCAGCTTTTACCACAGTCTCGGGTATCCTACAGGGTGATTCAAGGAGAGGCCAGGCTCTTTAAATCTACCGCAAAATTCGGTTTCTTAACCTATCGCGCTACGACTTTGTGCAGCATTGCCCACAGGTGGTGCATTCTTTTTTGTAAAATTTGCAAAGAGCGAACTTACCTGAGGAAAAAGTAAAGAAAGAAAAAGGCTTAGCTCCTATGGAAACGCAGCAACGCCACCAGTCTTCAAACAACATGGCGCCGTTTTCGCACGGGAGACAAGAGATGGCGCAGCGAACGAGCATACAGCGCCGAGAGCCGGCGTCTTTAGCAGACAATCTTTTCGACTCAAAAGCGGCGCGCGTTCCACAGGCGGCGACAGTCGCAGAAACAAAAACAGGCGCGGTAACAAGGAACTGCAGTCTGCAAAAGACGCCGGCTCTCGGCATCGTATGTTCGTTCGTTGGCAGCAGTTGGCGTCGCAACCGCTTGTGCCATCTCCTGTCTCCCATGCGAAACAGCGCCGTGTTGTTTGAAGACCGGTGGCTTCGCTGCATTTCCATAAGAGGTAAGCCTTTTTCTTTTTTTACTTGTTCCTCAGGTAAGTTCGCTCTTTGCAAATTTTACAAAAAAAATGCACCATCTGTGGGCAACGCTGCACAAAGTCGTAGCACGATAGGTTAAGAAACCGAATTTTGCGGTCGATTTAAAGAGCCTGGCCTCTCCTTGAATCACCCTGTACATCATGATCAAATTCCACCAGCTTGCCTGCGCACTCAATGTTTTTTCTCATCACGCAAGACAGCGAGATTAGACTCCTTAAAATGGTTGTTTCTGATGTATCTAAGAATAAGAGGTTATGCAAATAGACAAAAAGAGCTCTACCAAATTTTCTTGGCTTACAACTGTAGGCCCGGCCGAAACTTTAAAGCCTTACTTCACCTGCTTTGCTTTTTTTTCCTTTTCTTTTCTTTTTTTTACAACTTTTAGAATATGCAGACAGCATGCATGTACTTCAATGGCTAAGATTGTGCACGAAACACAGAAAGCGTTGATTAAAAGTGGAAGCTTCTTGCTACTATCACCAAGCTACAGTTAGCAGTGTGCTTCAAACCAGCTTGGTTTGAAACTTATTTCTTCAGCCTTGTAATCTTGTCCCACTGAGTTTTAGGCGACTACTACTACGAATCGTTTGCACTCAAAAGCAGAGGGCTAAAGTCGCTCCACGCGTGGCTTCGGAGAAAGTTGGGCTAACGACAAAAAGAGAGAAAGAGAGAGAGAGAGAGAGAGCTCAAAGTAAGCAGCAGCATGCACGTCAGCAATCGATACAGCCAAAGCAGAGCACAGTCCGCCCCACTCACCGCTCGAAAGCCCTGTCAAGGTTTCAGGGGAAGAGGAGGTTGCACCAAGGCAGGGCGCACAGGACGGAGGAGAGAGGGGAAGAGAGAAAAGAGAGAGAGAGAGACAGTTACACACACAAGCTCTGCACCACCCATCCTGCAAGTGGTCAGTGCAACACAACACAAGGTTTGGGGATACACACAACGACGACAACAACGACAATGGCAACATCTTGACAGGATCATGCAGCAAGCGCGGGGCAGCGTTTGCACAACGTGGCAGTGCATGCTCGAAGGACACGGTAGTGACGGGGGTGTGACAAAGCGTGACGGTGGGGAGGGGCACGTCCGACACCTCGTTCTCGCTCGGACCACAGGGCTGTTCCACTCACCTTGAAGTGGTTCGGATCTCGGCACAAGTGCGAAAGGAGGTAGGTTTGTTTTGTGCTGGACATGACATTAGGGGAGAGGTCGTCCCCCCGCGTGATAGTTCGCAAACTCTCTACGGACTCTGGCAAAAAAGTTGCGGTTCCGTCGGGCAGGCTTGCGGGCCAAGATTGTCTCGAGCGTTGCAACGCAAGTGACTGCGTGTGTCCAGTCTTTGCAGGAGTTCCTTGACTGTCGTGTACATAGAGACACCCGAAGAGGTGTCACGTTACTCTCCCTAGTGCGTGAGTTTGACACATACTTACGATGCAGGCAAAAATGGCCGCTTCACTGACACGTTTGTAGTGAAGAAAACGAGAAGGATGTTTTCGGCTAGATCTATTATCTCGACTCATGCAGAGGCATGACAAAAAATAATGTCTCCCTCGCGCAGGCCTATCCCCCTGGTTATGCGAGTTTGCAACAATGCCACAGCCATTAGCGCAAGAAAGCACCCACGAGGGGGGCGCTGTGCAGCGTGCAAACCAAATGCAGCGCAGAGAGCGCATCGAAGTGGCAAGCAGCTGCTCTGACACTTTGCAGCAGCCCATCTCTCAGAGCTATATGCAGCAAGGCTGGGAAGACCAACACTCTTCATATTCCCTCACGGCAATTGTTTAAAACGCTGCACGGCTACTTAGCGACTTCATCCAGCTCATCGGTCTGAACAACCACCAGGCGCAGTTCAGGTTCAGGTTCTTGCTCAGCGTACGCAACTACCATTGTCGACTCGCGTTTTTCTGGGACCAGTGTTTCAAGGTCATAGCACAGCTTCAAGAGTCGAAATTATGAGGACAGATCTCAAACAGCCACACTTAATGGTTAGCATGACTGCAATATGTAGTCCTTGGACATCTCTGGTCTGGAGACTATTTCCAAAGTGGTCACCTTTTCCGTACAGGCTATTGCTGGCATGACTGGTGGCCATGAGCAATTGTTGGTGTATTTTTTAGACTTTCTTCCGACACCACAGACATATATTACTCGTGCATGTGGACAGTAAGCGTTTCGGTACTACAACTATAGCTTCAGGTCTCTCCAAAGGATGACACCCTCGGTCCTTTATTTTCGCTTTCGGCATCTGCTTGCACAAATTGCGAAGCATTTGCCTTCGTGCAGCGGCATCTGGCCCAGTCTTCTCAAACACGTCGCCAGCTGTTTCAACGCTTAAATAAGTGCCAGCTATCAGTGCCGTCTCTTGTAACGTCAGAAGAGCTGCAAAGTCTTTTTTAATGTTCTACGAGATTATGATGTATGGACATCTCTCTATCTCTCCTAGTAGGCATCTCGCCTGATACAACTGGTTTCTCACTAGCGCCGAAAACGTGCCTCTGGTGGTTTAGTTTGTCCCTAGGGAAAGCTCTACATAGTGTGATGAACAGTTTTGAGATGAGAGCACCAATTAGGACCTTGTCAGAATGCTGTTATACATCTCCTTTAACCTGATTCAGGAGCAAAATCAACTCGCAGGCCAAAAGAAGTTCAACTTTCCCCACCGGGTCAATCCTTGTCTTGCAAAACCTGCACCCTCAGTGAACACGATACAAAACTATACCAAGCAGTCAGGTTAAAGGGACAGAAATAAGGTGCTTCAAGCACATGACACGTATATATGTGAGGACCCCACTCCTGTGGACCATATACAGATGTCTTTATATGCATCCAAGGCCCACCTTATGTGATGCAACAACCTCTTTGTCTACAATTGAAGGTTTCTTTGCAAACTCTAGATAAGTAAAGGCCTCGAAGCAATGCATGTGACTATGTTTTTGCAAGCTCTCCAAAAGTATTGTCTTTAGTCAGTCAGATTAAATATGATAGATACACTGAAACCACTAAGGCAGCCGAAAAAAATTGGAAAAATAAAATAGTACCAAACAAAAGCTGGGCTTTGATAGATAAGCACTTGTACTGTACAAACAATGTGTCAATTGGCATCATAATCTGTATCAAGAGAACTTCTCAAAACCTCGACAAAAAGAATTCATTGTTTTCAGAAATATCAACAAAAAAAAATGGTTCCATTTGTCCTAAAGCTCTACCGAAGCAGACACTACCATAAACAAAATAGGAGACCCACAAGTGTCTAAAAAAATGATGGTGCTCTGCAGATGCTCATAAAGGTCAATCACCAAATGTATTCAATGTCTCTAGGTAATTTCCTAAGTGATTTACCTAGAAACATATTAGCACGTGGAATGTGGAAGGACTTCCACCGACTATAATTGCACATCACAGTCAATGTTAGATTTGAGTGGCTACAGCAGCATTAAGTATGCCTGATGATCCAACAGACTTGAGGATATCATGCTTCTATGACATGTACTAACTGTCAAATACCTGCCTAGCTGTTTACTGACAACATACTAACTCAATTTTGTTTTGCTGTGTCGTGCAATGTTTATTTTTGCCCATCTCCCACAATACCCCTAGCCAGAGAATAAGGTAATGTTTAACAAATAAACAAAAAGGACAAGGAGGTTGCTGCAAAACGGAAGGGGAACTTGAACCGAACTGGGTGCATTGGGTGTTGTGTGCGTGCACACCAACTGTGTGCTCCCCGGATGAACAGACTCATATCACCAGTGCCTGGACACATGAATGGTGTGGGAAAAGTGCTCCGAGGTGCACAGAGCGAGGCTGACCTCGGAGTAGTGCTCATTGTTCTGCTGCAGCAGGTCCACGCAGAGTTCTGCCAGGTGGATCAACTCCTCCAGCCTTTTGCCCGGCGACGTCTGGATGTCCAGGCTTGAATCTGCGACGGCAACGTTACACGCTCACGCTCCGCAACGTTATCAACTCACATTTTGTGCAATGGGTTGAGGCAACACCGTTCATACTGGGAGAGTTTAGCAATCTTTTGAAGATGCCAATCTAGCAACCACAGCTGGGAGTCTGGCACTGGGAAAGGGTATGTTCCCTCCTTCATGTTGTGTTGTTGATGGATAAGAAAACCATGACCATTCCTCGAAAGGTATAGTACACGCCATATAAAGTGTTATTACGAAGTTGGCTTGCTCCAACCATACAGCTATTATAATGTACTCTAGAGGTTCAACTGGTGCTAGCGTGCTGTCGCAAATTAAAGCAGACAGCAATCAGCTGAAAATTGACTTCCGGTAATGCATCTCTGTGGGAAAAAGTGAGTGCATTTCCTCCCTGGGCTCAATTATAAGAGAAAATATCCTGAATAATTGGTACATACTAGGTAGCTTCTCAGTCAGGCAGACGAAATAATTGGTCAGTTACGGCATTTTACAGCGAAGCTGTTTATGGCTAGGGTTCTGTGGATATTTCATGTGCGTCAACAAAAACTCGCACCGCCCTCTCTCTGTCATCGTTCCAAGTGCTTGCGTGCCAAGTTTCCTTCTGCTTTCCCAGCGTGGCAGTCTCGTCGTGCGTGTCTACTTTCCCTGAGTGGCGGTCTTGTTGCGGGTGTCTACTTTCCCTGGGTGGCGGTCCTGTCGTGCGTGTCTAGTTTCCTTCGGCTCCTCGGATCGGCCGTAGTCGTTCACGCGAATGTATATATATATAAAAGACAAGAAAGACAAGTTGTTCTCCATTTTCAATTTCACTTCTCTTGTCGTAATGGGGAGGCCGCGTGTAGTTTGGACTCCCGAAGAGCAACGTGTCTACGAAGAGCAGCGGCAGGGACGGCAACGAGAATGTCAGCGTCGGCGTCGGGCAGCAAACACCACCGTTGAAGATCGCGGACAAAATGCCAAGCGCATCCGGCAAACCAGACAAGACAACAAACATCGCAGGGCGGAGAACGCAAAAAAAAGACGCAGGTACCATGCTGCTAAATTGGACAACTTTAACGGGGCATACGCTAAATTCAAGAGGGTCTTCCTGGGCAGACAGTTTGGGTGTACTGTATGTGTGATCGGCTGTGGTTCTGCAGAGACTTTACCAACATCGGCAATGTGCGGGATCCTGCAACGCAGACTCGTGCACTGCAAGTGTTGTCGGTGACCACTTGCACTTGATCGATGACCACAGATCAAGACAATAAATGTGTTTGTATTTTTGTACAAATTCATTCTGTGTCACGTCTGTGTCGTGTGCTAAACAGCTCCACTGGTCATCCACTTTCGCAGAGTGAAATGGCTCACTCTGTCAGGCATCCCATTTCAGGCCCAAACACAGGTTTGGGCCTGAAATATAGCAAAGATAAACATTGTTCACTGATGAAGAAAAATGCACTAACTAAGGCAATTACACTTTTACAATGTTAATAAAGGTACATACTATTTGCTATGACCAAAATAACAAAAGAGTTCCATGTTATTTTCAGGCGAAAAGACGAAGTGCACAAGCGTTTTCCCGTAGGAATGCACAGGAGCACCGCAAAAGTAGACTTGTTGTCGTCTGCTTCAATCTGTGCCCGAGAAGTTGCATAGACACTAGCGCCAGTTGAACCTCTAGAGTACATCATAATAACTATAATTCCAACAGACTACAGGCTCTGCCCATTGGCCAAACTCTCTCTTAGTATAAACAGCTCTAGGTCAAGGTACCCTGGCTGGCTCTGAAGGCTAAGCAAATTGGCTGAGGTTTGTATACATGAGCAAATGCGAAAAGGCCACCATGAGCAATAAAAATTAAATGTAAACGGTAAGCAATGCAACATACGAAAGGAGCAGGAAGGGAAGTCATGGTAGGGGACATTGGGGAACAACAGTGTTGCCGGTAGCATGAAGAAGGCACGAATTAAGTCAGCAAAGTCAGTAAGGTCTTGAGGTAGGGGCAGCTAATTGACGACAGAGCAGCGAGAAAGTTCTCGATGGCAGCTAGGAGCAAAACAGTCAACCTGGCCGACTTACGGTATTCCTGGTCTGCAAGCAGAGCAGCAGAGAAAAGAAGAAATCAGTTGACATGATGTTTGCTTGTTCAAGAGTCTAACCAAAAGGACCAAGAAGAGCCTCAACAAATCGGTATTTGCTTCTCTCAAAAACAGTGTATGCTTAACTGAGAAAAATAGGAGTAAACCCTTAGACCGCTCAAATTCTCACCAAAGTTTAACAAAGATTGACAGCATAGACTTTGGCATCAGAAGTACCCACCAGTTTCATGCTACACTTTGATCACATTCCTCAAAAGAATATAAATGAGAAGTGTACAGGAGTTCACCCTATTTTGGCAGCCCCTACCTAACTCGCAATATATAGCATTTTATAATATGAGAGAACTATTTGTAAGTTGTCACCACCAAAGAATCAAGAATGTATTCAGGCACCATAGTCAAAAAAACAAAAGAACGCCCCATCTGTAGACATTTAACTAACGAATATCACTAAAAGATCATTAACACTGGCTAGAATTTTTATTTTCCCAATAGTATGCTAATTAAAAGAGATGCTAAGAACTGTTGCTCTGAAGTTATGTTTTCATCCGCATGCCCAAAGCTTGCCAACGCAGCATGAACACGGGTTTTCTCTTTACACAACTATGTAGGAGCATGCGGACAGTAACTTTCAGAAAAAAAGCGCACCTTGAAGTTCTTGTGAAGCTTGATCTCCTGCATTGCCCAGAAAAAAGAGAGTGAAGCCTCAGTCTCAAACTGAAAGCAGCCATGCTTTCATTGAAATGGGCTACAGGCCGGTCTGAACAATGCCCATATCACGACTTTAGACCAAGTCAAAGAATAATCTGAGATTGTGCCCAAGCAGGAATGCCGATGTCTTATAGCAAACCACATACTGTAAGTTCTCAAACCAGTATACCTTAGTATGAATGAGCATTTCTAATAATCTTTGACTTGTAGCTTTTGTCCGGTTAGCTTCAACCATCAGGGAGCACATGCTGACAAAGCATGCTTTAGTTCGGTCACCTTTCCTCCAATGCATCTGAGAAATGCAGTACAGATGGCTAGCTCAAAAAATAGATTGAAAACATAGTGACAACCAATATTTTGAAATTTGTTTGAATTAACCAGAAGTATGAAATATCTGAGTTTGAATTATTGTGAGCCTACTGAACTATTTGCAGGTCAGGACAATTCATTCGAAGTAGTTTGAACTGAATTATCCAAGTTTAATCTCGTCTTGAAACAGTGCGACTAGACACAAACAAAGTGAGAGACAGGACGAAACAAATGATGAAAATAACCCCTAGGGAAGGAGAACAAGGAGGACAAAGTCCCCCTTGTTCCCCTTCTCCAGGGATTATTATCGTCATTCTTGTCCAGCTCGCTTGCACCTTTGCATTGGATTGCATTATCATCATAACTTAAAGATGCAAGCCGTTCAACCTTGTTGGTGTTGGACTGGTGGCTGATGATAAAACCAATTTGATCGATTGACATCTAACTCCTGGTCAGCTCAGTACTCCACTGGAAATGAGTACTCCACTGGAAATGAAGAGGTCCCTGGTTCGATACCAGGACCAGGCAAATTTTTTCGGTCGTGCACCAGTCACCTAGCTGTGTTTGGAGATTTGTAGTTGTCCTTCGTCCCCTTGTTCCCCTTCTCCAGGGATTATTTTCGTCATTCTTGTCCAGTTCGCTTGCACCTTTGCAATTAATTACATTATCATCATTAAACTAATGCTGACTAACAACTGATTGGTTTTATTATTCAAGAACCAAAAACACGTACGACCCTCTACCCAGGATGGGATTGCGCCTGCGCAACAAATTACTCGGTGATATTAGTAATTTGTCGCGCAGGTGCAGCACCATCCTGAGTAGAGATTCATGCATGCTTTTGGTTCTTAAGAAATAAAACCAGTCAGTTGTTAGTCAGCATTTGTTTAGTCCAGTCTTTCACTTTGTCTGTGTTTACACTCCATTTCACAATAACTTGGTGAACTGTAGAGGCTCCGGCCCCCGCGACCCAATAAGAGTGTTGAGCGAGGAACGTAACACCACGTCACAGGAGCATTCATGTTGACCGTGGAGTGGTAACATGCCTTGCTCTGACGCACTTATTGAATCGCGGGGGCCACAGCCTCCACAGTTTGCCAAGTTATTGTGAAACAAAGTAACGTCGTGCCGTTTCAAGATGAATACATACCAACTCGTCCAATTACCGATTCTGTTAATTGAAGTTTAAATTGAAGAACGTCCCGCTCACATAGGGAAGTATTAAGGTCCAGCGCCACATTTGGAAAGTAACCCCGACACCTAATTTGCTTCGAAGCCCTCGCCGCAGGGAGCACCAAGATGGCGGCTGATAGCCGGGCTGAAGGGAAGCTCACCCTGCAGCCTGGCCTGCTCGGAGATGCGGGTGTAGTTGACGAGGGCCGCATTCTCCAGGCACTTTTTAATGATGGCACGCACCTCCTCGGGAGGTGCCGGAGTCATCACGTCCTTCATCAACACCTGCGTGACAACACAATGCCTCGCAATTCAGAACCACAGGCACTGGGGGCTCTCAAAGAGAACCCAACTGGAATCTCCATCTCCCCACTGCACCCGGGAACATGTCACTGTGCACATGACTTGGAAAAAGGTGGAAGTGTTAAGCGTGGTTAGGAGGTGCCCAAAATGTCACTTGCTAGAGAATTTTTTTTAAAAAGAATTAACGCATGCAGGCAAAATTGCTTTTCAGTTTTTTAATCCAGACGTGACAGTAAACAGCTCTCACAATCCTTTTATAGAAGTTCAAACATTGTTCGGTGCCCCCTTTAATACAAGTATCTTAAATATTTCTGCTAACTGCCCAATGCAGGACAACTCTTTCTGGGATCTGTGATGGTACAAACAAAAAATGAGCCTCAAGGTGTTTTGCAATCAATGAGTACAAGCTACATCAAGAATTTTGCTACAAATGAAGGTGTGGATGGTAATCTGAGACGATGTTGAGGCCCACATAATAGATTAAATGGTCAAAAATGTAAGAAACTATAGAACTTTAAAAGATGTGCCATGTGAACCTCAACCATAAAATAAGGAAGACAAGGCACTGAATGAAAAGAACTGATGTATAACTGAACTGACATGTGTTCAGAGCTGACCCCCAGGGGACAAACACAGAAGAAACATGGCTGCCACAAAAGAGGGAGTGAGTGATGGGGGAGCAGCGTGAAGATTGGCACGACGACAAGTGGATGATCCGAAGATGGCACTCACCCTTTCCAGCAGGGACAGGGTAGCCTTGAGGGCCCCTTCAGGCCTCCCAAAGGGAAAACAGTATCTGCACATGGAACACATATTACTGAGCAAAGTGGTATGAGATCAATAAGAAAAGTAAAGCATGCTTCATTACGAGAGCTCATTCAGAAGATTGTCTCGTGCATTTCTCTTCTTAGCCTACTCGGAAAGGTACTGACAGCACAAAATGAGCTAGCAGACAAGTTCAAGCCTGTTATAATGTCAGTACAGAAATAACTGTCCTTTGTCACACCAGTTCAAAATTACAGCAGATCGAGCACATACCGTAGAATACTGCCGTGCATCCGCCCATTCCACACTAAGCGCCCATTCTTAAGTTTTTAAGATCTGAGAAAATATGCACAGTACATTGATACGTAAAATTGATGACCAGACAAGTGCCCATCACCCATTTCTTTACAATTATCTCGAAATTTTGAGTGGGCGCTTGCCCAGTATTTTACGGTATACTGTGAATTTTTTTTGTTTGCTTTTAGATAATAAAAAATGCATAAAAAGCCAAAAAAGGGTACTATTGCCAAAAAATGATCACAAGAAAATTCCGCTCCTCACAATGCAAGTATCTTCAGTAAAGGAACTAAACATGATCTAACATGAAAGGATCCTAAAAGTACTCAGGATGCTTTCGGTGACTCCCAGTAAACCACACAGTTCATGCCTTCGCTAGTCGGCATAGTGTAATAGAGCATAGTCAAGTCTCATCAATTGAAACACTTCTGTTTCTTACTACTAGATTAATTCAGATAAGAGGCATTTGGTCGATTACGACAGACTACAATCATGTTCAATAAGGTTGTTCATCCATTTTCTGAACTAGTACTCGGATATGCAACAATCTGACACACTGAATGCCAGACAAACGTGGTGCATCAGTAATATGAAGTCTGGGTGCAACAACATGGCAGCGCCCACCTGAAGTGTGTGATCTGGTGCTCAAGCAGGATGCGCAGACGCTCCTTGACTTGAGCAAACATGTCCTTCTCCTCGACGGTCACCGTGCCGATCCCATCCGGCCTGGGTTGCCAGAAGACACACTTACAAGAGTTCCCAGAATGCCAAACAGCAGGCAGCGTAGCAAACCACCTCTAATGCACCAACGGAGCTCTGCCCAGAAAAGACGGTTAAGGACTGCAGCTTCAACGTTTGAGCAAAGTATAGCTGGCGGGCAGAAGATTCAGCAGATGAGATTTCTCGCAACTGGTTTAGCGAAAACCGGTGACAAAGTAATGCCAACTTGGTGAGACACCAAGTTAACACACTTCTAAAGCAGTTCTGAATCTAAAAAAAAAAAAGTTCCCTCGTGAAGAAAAAAATAAATAATAATCTGCCATTTAATTAGCCAGTAACTGGTCTTTCAATCACACTGGAAACTTCTAGTATGCATCACGCATATTGGAAGTTTCCGATATACATAAAAAAACCAGCCCTTTAAAAAAAAAAACGCTCACCAAAAACAAAAATTGCAAAAATATGCCTATTTGCATTTGCAACACTGAAAAGACTTTGCTGCAGGAAAAATAAAAGCGAGCAAATTAATTTAGGCGCATCATCATTGAAAGAGAGTCACATTAAAGATGGTTTACTGTCTGAAAAAAGAAGCAGCAGGCATAAAAATAGTGTGAAACCACAATCATTCTCCGCATCTCAGAGGCCTCCACGGAATTTTTTTTTTTTTCTCTCTTTCGAGTGAATACAAACTCCAGTGGCCAAAGCAAGAAGAGGAAAAAGATAAAAATCACCCAGACAGAGAAGGAAGGTGGCCATGTCCGGAGCACAGCTCCATGCCAATGAAACATGCAACATGCTGCACCCTTCGAGACATGCCTTGGTTGGAAACTTCCCTTTGACATACCATAAGAGAAAAGTAAAGAAAAAAAAGTCGCTCAATGTCGCCGCAAAAATGCAGGAGCCGAAAACGTTTTCTTCTCTAGAAAGGTGCCGAGTTGGAGGGCCAAGCGAATGGTGATTTTGACTTTGGTCTGAGGCAAAATCAAAAGTGCTCCATTGCACGCTTTCTCTCTTTGGCAGACACAGAACTGCACAGACGAATGTTACTTACGAAAACTATTTTCCTGGAAAACCGTGAAAAGAATTTAAACGGAGGCAGAGTACCTTCTTCAAGTGGCGCTTTTACCAATGCCACAGGGTTGATTTGTTGCTCATACGATTTCAGAAATTATTTTTACTACATCACTAGTACTCCTATAAGGATCCTTTTAATGCGCAGCTTTTTATGGCTTGTTCGTGGCACTTCTTAAGAGGCACCTTCAAATATCTGTGAACAAGTATTCGCAATAATAGTGAAATTTCTGTTAGCTAATTGTTGTTCATTAAGGGGGAGCACTGGTCTTGGAGCTTCTTTTCTTATTTTATGACCAAACCCAATGAAATTCTACACACCTGCTTGGCTTTTTGTGCTGATTTCCTATACCTCGTCATTTTCTCAGTCAGCAGAATCGTTTTCAAGACAATTAAAACTCGCCTGCCTTTGTTTGGAGGAACAATAGGGTAAAAAACTGCTTAATGAAATACAGTAAAACCTCGTTATAACAAAGTTGAAGGAGCGATCGTAATTATTTTGTTATAACCATTAGTTTGTTATAGCCAATGTCCATTTCTTCCCTATTAGCAAGCAAGGGGAATTATGATTACTTTGTTATATCCATTAGTTTGTTATATCCTATTTTGTTATAACGAGGTTTTACTGTATCCTTTTTAACACATGGCTAGATACTCCGAAGTGTTGAGAGTAGAATGTTGGAAGTAGTACTTTTAAGGTTAACCCCTCATTAGAGATTTTACCACACATTGAGGTTCAGTGCTCAATGTGTGGCTAACAAGTAATAAAACAAAAGATCAAATGGAAACTTTTCTAGACCTATATATTAAAAACATCTGCTCTCAACATCGTATACTTCACACATTTAGCTAAATGTTTCATGAAAGGCTATATTTTTATCTGCTCTAGATGCTGAGATAGTATCCCACCGGCAAATTTTCAACGAGTCCGAAAATTGTGTTTTGTGAAAACAATGTTTTAGAGTCAACTCCAATGCACATTCAGCCCACATAGACATTATAAATTGATTTATAGCTCAAATATTCAACTACGAAATTAGAAACCTGGTAGATTCAGAGAAGTATATTTAAAACACCCACATTATGTTTCTAGGCAGACTGAACATGCTTCCAAAATCCGAGAGTACCACGCCAGGATGAACATGTATGCAAATTCTTTTTTTGTTAAAACCATTGCAAAGTGGAACAGGCTGTCTGAAGACCAGGTGTGCTCTACGAATGAAGATGTATTTTTTTCAAAACTGTAACCCCCCTGCAATAACGCCTCCGGGCAATGTGGCGTAATCTTTGAATAAAGAATAAAGAACAACAGCTGTAGAGGTCAACATCGCCATTTTCAAAAGAATAAAGTTTTGGGAAGGTTTTGGCTCCAGAGACCCATGAACCCCCCTTAAAGCTTGCCAAGTTGTTAAAATACAAATTTTTCCTTTGACTTTGAATGGTCAATTTAAAACATGTGCTCCAACTCACCATGCCACAATAATTCTCACAGACAGATTTGAAAAACCGTCCCATATGTTTTTAAATAATGCATCCTTCCAAGGGATTTTGTGATGACTGTCAATGAAATGTTGTATGTTCAATTAAACACTTCATTGATGAGGCATCTTCCCAGAAATCTTTTATGTCAATTCTGCCAAGTGGAATGTCGCTAGACTCCAGCAACAAGTGCAGTGCACCGTGAGTGCTGCTCTTGCATCCGGTATCAGTATGTTTGCATCACCCCAGCGTGCTGTTTCCAGCAGAATAAACTTGTTCACATGAGTGTCGCAAGATGGCAGCACATTTCAGATGGGGGTGGATCGTGTATATTGCCTGAGGCAGCGGTGAGTCTGCAGTGACCGTCTAGGACTATCGTCTGTCACGTGCGTTTTGCTGTGCACGTGTGCCGAGCCTGGAACGACTTACTTGAACTCGTCAGGGTTAGCACTCCCTTCGAGAGGTAATGCAGATTGCCTAAGGGTTCAACACATGGCACACTTTAACCTCCTCTTTCGAGACTGCGGCTACACACTGCATCCGCAGTTAACTGTTAGCAGCAGTCATCTCGCAATCAAAACTGACCCCCGGCTGTTGCATCCACACAATTTTGTCAACAACAATTTTCGTACGCATCAATATCTCTATCCGCTGTGGATGGTCAGAGCTTCCAGCGCCATCTGCATGCTCTCTTCACGTATCCAGAAAAAAGTTAGAACTCAGTCCCCAGTCTTCATGATCCCACAGCCCCAAGACATTGGTTTGCCACTTTCCTTGAACCAGCAAGCTACTCTGTGACATCTGTTTGAAAAAGCCTATGAAGTAAAAACCTCTACTGACAGCTGTATATATATCACACTGGCAACAGACAATTAAGAAACTACCAGATTTTTGTACACCACTACTATAACCAAGTCCATGAAATCAACGTACTGATTTGACACACATTTCACACAACTCTCAGAGTCTGTCATGAGCACATTTTACTGGACGTATTACCGAGTACGAATGAAATGCAAACAGCAGAGCGCGTGGCCTACAATACATACTGCGCTACCTAGAGACAACTAGGAACTGGTAAAACTATGGGGTGGAGAGGAGGCTGCGAGGGTACACGCCTACTCCGAAGTGCACACCCTCGTAACCCCTCTATTCGCAGTTTTATCAGCTCTTAGTTGCCTACTGCTTGTGTAGCATGTATTGAAGGCCACGCACTCTGCTGTTTGCATTTCATTTGCACCCGATAGTACAAAGTACTGTACCCTCAGAACACTGCAGTAGAGACACCCATCCGTTTAAACAGGCTATTGGAAAGCCTCCACGCATTGCCCAATTGGACAGAAGTAGTAATGCCTCGTACGGAGAGGGAGCCTCTGGGAAATGTTTGAGAAAGTTGGATGGGAAGAATGCCAAGAAGCAGTCAGGTATAGTTCCTTTCTGCGTAGGGTGTAGTAGACGTGCAGTACGCAGTAAGGACGTCGTTACGGTTGTGAAGCTGAGGAGCACAGGAAAGAAAGAAGTAGAGCGAAGGGGCATGCATCAACTCTCGGTGCGCTTCACAGTCGTGCGACAGAGGAGAAGGGGATTGGCCTGTGCACCTGCCACCGTCACCTGTACATCTTCCGTTCCTTACATTTGTTTTAGAGACCTGCATCGCTACGTCCATAGGTATACAAGGCTAGCCTCCAGGTAAAACAAGTTTGTGCAAATATCAAGTACTTCTTGAAGATACAGAAAAATGTAAATTTAATTCTTCAAGCTGGGCCCCTTAACTATTCATACGACTTTATTCCTTAGCTAGAAGCACTAGAAATAGAGCAAAATGAGCACGTCTAGCTTTCTGCTGTGACAAAAATGTGATAGTGACCATCCCAAAACACACCAATGTCAGTTATTGTATACCATAAGCAGAACATCACATATCTTGATTTGAGTAAACTCCCGAGTGCTAGAAACTATTTCCTGTTTAGTATAGCAAACGACATTGTGGAAGGTACAAATGAATCTGGTGATGAAAACCCGAGAACTCTTTTGTCAACACAAGCCGTCCTGCAGATGACGCTACTGCCAAATCTACAATCCTATCTGTGGTACATATTCTGTCTCTATGTCTTCCCATGGAGATCCCTATGGGCAAACAGCAAGTTTTAGGATTCACCTAACTACATAAAATATAGTCTTTTTGTTATATTAATATTCGGGGTCATATAATTTCAAATACCAAATAGTTCCTACGAAATGCAGATCCTGGGTTAGAAGCAACATGTTTTCATCTAATTTATGCAACTGAGGAACCTGACTGCTGATGGGCTGTAATATGTTCTCCATCACACTCGAAGCATCCACAAGCATCTACGCACCACGTCTTAAAAGCAGACGTCAGGTTCCTCCCGTATCCGTGCCACCGCAAACGTACACCAAGAAGTTAACTGGTTACATATCTCTGCGACTTTGTAAGTTCCATGGACGTGATTAACTTCAACGCTTCGCACGAGTCCCCCGGGCATGGCATGGCAAGTGCAATAGGAAGAGGGGGCGGAGGGGGAGGGAGGCAGCAGGCACACAGGGTTGGAAGCAGGCCCCACTGAGGTGGTGGAAAGGACATACCTCACATCTGTAACAACCAGGCCGGCCGGCGGGGCGATACTTTACACCGGCAACAACGTGAAGCCAGTGTCAGCAAAGCGCTCACCCAATTCGGGGCAACAGTAAAGAAGGTGGACAATTGGTCCCATGCCTCTAGCGTACTCAACTGCAACGTGGCCATGCGCTCAGTCTGGGTCCCCCCCCTACTGTCACCTGTCACTCGAACTTCTCAATAAAGTGTAACCGCTCCTCTTTCTTTCGCTGAATATCACCGAAAAATAGAGCCACCTCTCAGAGCACATAAGACTGGCACAGGCACGCAATAAACTCGCTGAAAGTTAAATGAGTTACTGCCCTAGATTAAGGCAACTAATCTAAGCTCTAGATTTTGGGAACACTCCTTTCTAATACAAAGAAATGCCTTCTTAGCTTCCCGTAAATAAGGGTGCAGGATGATACCAAAATGCACCAGAGCGAAGAGCTTTCACCAGAGAAATTCTGTATAAGAGCAGGAAATACTGCATCTTCCTACCACTTCACTAGTGAATGCTATATGCCATTTTTGGACCTGGCAAGACACTTTTCCTCACGCTTGGGCCCGCTGTTGCCAACGGATCATACTTTAGACTCACGCCTATCTGTCTCCTTGCCGCATGCCACTCTATAGTCGTTGCAGTTTTAAGTGGAAGTACAGCTAGAGCGAGAAGTCCACAGGCTAACCAAATTCACTACGCTAGAATGCATACACACTAGGAAGCAAAGCAAAACTATTCTCTTAGCTCCGATGCATCTAAAGGCTACAAGTGCATGTCACCAGCTCACTACATTGCATCTAGACGGCATCAGCCAGAGGCACTCACAACGACAATCAACGCAATCAAATAAAAAGCAAAAAATTGCTGTTGCAACTGGCAGAGTGGCGACGCCCCCTCCCTTTCCCTCCTCCCCCCCCGCCCCCCCCCCCCAACCTTTCCCGCTACCGAAAAACCGAGACTGACTTCATCCCTCCAGAAAAAAATGTCTGCTCGAAAATTCGAAGAAAAACAAAAAAAGCAGCCCTGACCCTGGAGGAACGGAAAAAGTGCAGTGTCCACCACTCAGCAAAAAGGAGGGAAAAGAAAAGTGTCGGAGGCGGGGGAGGGGCTACAAAACGGAGGGAGTGATTCAAAAAAGGGACCGGGGAGGGACACAAACAAGTGAGCCTCGTAACGGGGTCTCTGCCCGACGATAGAAGGGATTGCGTGCACTGTACCACGAAACACTCTGCCCCAGGCTACGGGGCTCCCCCAGAGTGGCACAAGCACACGCCTCCCGGGGTTGTTCCCAGAGAGTGCTCAAAGCGGGGCATTATGGCGCTGCTGCTGGCGTACAACCACCATCTTAGCATCAGTCATAAAATTTTGATTACGATGCTTCCGTCTAGTTCACCTCGAGAGTGTCCGCACGCAGCCAAAGGAATGGCGCAAGACATGGAGCGCGTGGTGGAGGACAGACGTTCAGAAGACAAGCCTTGCCATTCTCATTCTGACAGTGGTTATAATCTTTATCTATTTTCACACTAAAAAGAAGTACCGCACGTAGCCATGTCTTTATGCTAAGTTACAGCAACCTAACAAAACAAGATCTACTAGCTAATTAAACCTCCACGCTAAATTGCGATCTGTCAAGAAAACGATTTATGCGGTTTCTTCAAATAGCCAACGTGCCATTGAATACACGCTGCAGATCACCTAACCCCGTGTTTTGCGTAAACCCACATTTGCACGCGCGTTTTCCTAGTTTGGGAGCGCTGCATACCGACTTCTTTTCTTTTTTAATAAGTCTTTCCCTCAACAATGAACATATATAGTTTCCAAATAGATAAAGAAATAAAGAAATAGATTTCCTAGAGCTGTCCCAAAACGCCACTCCGCCCTTAGTAAGGAGAGCCAACTCCTCGTGGTTTCATGCACCAACGACGGACGCGGGGTTGGGCCACCCCGGGAGAGCCGACCGACCTAGAGCCACTGAATAGGCCACGCTTACGAGCATCGACGCTCCATTCCCCGGTTGTCTCGTGGGAGCCGCCATTTTCCTGCCTAGTGCCGAGCGCCTGCAATCGCCGATCGTTACGACTCGAAAATGCGACTTCCTGAGCTTTGGATACGCCGTCCGGAAGCGCGGGCAATGTCGTTTCACTTTGTCGCGAATCGGTTTACTGTTGATGGAGGACGGAAGAGCATCTCGCGCGATTTCAGATAAGGCCTCGTATAACTGGCAACAGTGACTTCAAGCCACAAGATGGCTCTAAAGAAGACGTCGCCCCAAAATATTTACAGAATTGTTTTCACCACAAAAGTAAAACATGCATCGCCGAACGCTCATTCACTGCACAAATGCAACGCTAGCAGTCCGAACTGGATGCCAGTTTCAGAACTAATTGTTATCTTATCCAAAAGTTATACTCGTTTTCTGAAATTTTCAATGGGGAAATGGCGGCCGACGGAGCTTTCGAATACATGAAGCTGAATGGCACCAGTTACCGAAAACAGAAAACGTGGGCCCCATTTCCCATAGAATCTTTCAGGAAACCATTTCTAACTTCTGAATGAGATAACGGTGAGTTCTAAAATTTTGGTGTCCTGTTTGGACCACTAGCATTACATTTGGGTGGAGAATGAGGGTTCGGCGGTGCATGGATTATTTTTGCGGTGAAAGAGAAACAACACTGCCCGATTTTGGGGGGGCACGCTGCACATGGCAGGGCTGAATATTTTATGTGTCAGCTGTGTGGCCAATACGAAGAAACAGCCTTCCACGTCGTGGGGGAGCACCTCGAGCCGAGGCTGCCTGTGCCACACGACGCAAATCACTATGCCCTTGCACTGGGGATTTGTGCAGCGGCAGCGGATATGCATCAACTTTACCGACGACAGATGACATGGCGATTCTGCCTGTGCTCGCAAGGCAGTAAAAATCACAAAATGCAGACTAAAGGAGTGCTGGGGAAAAACTGTGAAGATGGAAGGATGCCAGAGCAATAGTGCTTAGGCTTATAATATTTTTGTTTATTTTTTTTTTTTTTTGGGGGGGGGGGGAAGGGTTACAGCAAGTTTTTTAGACTGCAATAGCCAAATACAAAGGGCTCAGCCGCCATAATCCAAATCCGTTCCAATCCGATGGCCAAAGTGCCGTCACTCTCAAGCGTAGCTTATTCGATGGCTCTAGGGCAACCCTGACACCGCCGACCGAAGAGATCGAAAGTGGAGCAACCGAGTCGAGCGCCTGAGCCGCCGGTTCGACTGACCTGTTTCCGTGGACATGGGAGGAGCAGAAGGCGAAGCTGTAGTGGATGAGGGTGGGGTCAATCATGACCCCCTTCTCGGCCCGGTTGAGCAGGTCGTGGAGGTAGCACAGGTGCCGGAAGCAGCTCCGCACGCAGTAGCGGGCCGCATATTCGTCCAGCGCAAACACCTGCCCCGGACTGAACCAGCCCTGCGGCAGTGGAGGTGTGGCGGGTGCGCGTTAGGCACGTGCAAATAAGGGGTTTTGTGTTCGAAGCAAACTCAAAGTGAACGGGTGTTTTGGTAGAATATTTGCTAATGAAGTATCGAATAGTTTCTCCAAGCCTTTTACTACTGTTGCACCATGCTTAAACGAGAATTCTGCTGAACTCGTGACGGTTGTTCACAAGCTTCCTCTTGTCCCTTTAAAAGCGAAGTTAATTTTAATCTAAAAATATTTTTAGACTGTGACCCCAGAAAGTTTTACGATTACATTGGGATGGCAAGTAAAAGACAAACCTGACATAAAATTAGACCTATGCTCATCCCCAGTTATATTTGACCAATGAGATTAATAGATATCTTGCTATACATAAATATCCTTTCTTCCATCTGAAATTAAACAGAAATTAAAAAGAAAAAAACATTTCCAGAGTTTGTTTTTACGAGTGTTGCTTCTCTGTAGTGCACCGGTGCTTGGTAAGAAGCACACTCAAGAGGGCTAAATCACTGCAATCAATGCTTAAAAAAATATGAATATTGTGGTTCATCTCGATGCAATTATCCAATATTGCATTAGTTTACGCACTTCTGAAGAAAAAAACTGGTTTTGTAAACAGCTAGGAAAAAAAAATTGATGTTTCTTAGTTTTACAAAACAGGAATCAAAATTCTTAAAAACCTGGACGACACTCAACGCTGCAACTTCGATAAAGTGAAAGGGGCAGGAAGTTTCAAGGCAGATGACCACTTCTTCGGTAGCCTCGGTAGCCCACCACAGCCTCGGAAAGAATGAGCAAACTTCAACTTATTTTAAAAGATGTCCAACAAAAACGCGAAAAAGACGATGTGTATAAAAACCAGCCCGAAACAGCCTGCCTCTTCCACTTTACCGACGTCACGACTTTGAGCATCGTCCGGGTTGTATGGAGGTTCTATTTTTCTCCTGTGTTACAAACAAGTCTTTCTATACGGTAAGAAAAATTTTTAGCCTTCCCGATAAAGTTGAGAGACAGAGATTGTGCTCAGTGGTGTCAGGTGACTGAACATAATGTTGTGCTGTCACGTGACACCACGACTATTTTACGAGTGAAACACTATCTTGGACGAGCCTCGCAAGTCCAACTACAAAATCAGGGCATTCCTTATACCAACCATCAGGAACAACAGCCACAATAGCCTTAGTCAAACTGTCGCTTGTACATATTCAACAACCTTAGCTCAACGACTCCTGAACAACCGCCGCATGTCCAGAGGACATTACTTTGAGCCAGTGGTTCTCAAATCGGGTTCTGCAAACCCACTGGGGTCCACAAAGACCTCACCTCAAACCCCACCGTTTTCCTTAAAAAAACATTTTTTGTTGTAGCTAGGTGGTGCAAAGCTATCGCCCATTATAAAGGCTACACATCTATCCATCCAATCATCCTTTTACTTGATGCTTCTCACTTCTCACGTCTACAAAAGTAAAGGATGCCCTTTTCACACTGCAATTAGTTGTCTTATTTTACACACCCTTCCCCTGCCGGCAAGGGGTCCCCCATCACTTTGGCAAGTACCCAAGGGGTCCCCGAAATTTCCATGCTTGAGAAACATTGCTTGAGGCATTTGACATGACACCAGCCAAACTTGCAGAAGTAAATCAGCTTTGGTCAGACAGCTTTTTCAACTAGGCCCTTTTCCCAAAAATAATGCACAAATAAAGCTTCGTTAAGTTTTGCCCCATTGCACACTCAACAGCTTCCGTATAGAACCAAGTTCAGCACCGTAAAATGTAACTACACTCAAAAACTGAGGCCCACTGGAGATGAATCGGTCAATTTTAGACAACGTCCTTCCCAGCACTGTGCTCCTTAGTCAATCCAACACCTACAAGACAGCAAGGTCATAATGCTGACCTTCTGTCACCTACCAGAGGTCAGTGCGGGGCAGATTGAACGTGAGTGCTGCATCAGCACTTGGCTTAAACACGAGTATCAGCCGAAGGCTGACTCAGCATTACTCGTGTCAAGTCTGGGTTCAAAGATGGTCACCAGTAGGCAATGCAGAAAATCCGGCATCCTAACCTTGCCATCCCAGGCACCTTATTATCGCCCTGCAGCAAATGAATGACGGTCTTGGCCAATCAGAGCGCCCAAGGACGAGTCACGACGCAACAAGAGTGAAAGTAATAAGCCCCGCATTTTGTTAACTGTCAGCAACTATAAGAGGTGTCGGTCAGTCCCTTTGGTAGGTGTCCGCAACGTGTCTCCGACTGGTGTGTTGGCCGCGCTAACAAAAGTGGTCCCTCGATTTCCGCCCAACGTCACAAAAGTGTCATGCCGTCGCCAACCATGATCCAGGGGGTGTCACGGGAGCGGTGGCAAATGTAGCAGATGCCCGTTCTGCAGCAGGTCCCTCTCCGGCTTGAACATGGAGATATGAAGCTTCTGAAGGCGGCTTAACACCACCAGAGGTGAAGCAGATGTGTGGAGGGACACGCCCCTAACTGTGACCAAAACCACACCTGTTTGGTCATCATTGGGGGCATGTCTCTCCACACTTCTGGCTTCACCTCCGGTGGCGTCATGTCACCTCAAGAAGCTTCCTACCTCCATGGACTTGATGGTCCACGGAAGTTTCAACAGCCAGGAGTGGGGAAGTCACGGAGACAACGCCCAGCTAAAAATTCCTAGTAGATCCAAATAGAATTCCAAATGGTTTTAATTGGAACCAAATGGTTTTAGTGGGTTCCAAATGGCTCCCGTTGGTTCCCATTGGAAGTGACCAATCGGTTGTCCGAAAACCTAAATGGTGCCAACGGGAAAATTCCAATTGACACTCGATCGCCGGGACTGCGACATCCAACGGCACGACACGCCAGCTTTTGCAACGTCATTTGTTGCCACCCTGGGACCGCTAGGAAGCGCGTGCAGAACGGGACGTTAAACACACCGCTCGAAGACACGTTTCGGGCGCCGTGCTGTCGGCGAGAGGGTTGGCACAGAGCGCGCGGTGTGCCCACCAGGGAGCAGTAGGGGTCGTTGAGCCTGTAGTCGAGCGTCAGGGTCTGCAGCATGCGGAACAGCATGTGGTGGTCGAAGCGGTTTGGGTCCGCCGAGATGAATTCGTCCATGCCGTGCTTGCGGGCACGCTCCGTGTCTGGGTGCGGCGTTAGTCAGGTTAGTGGGGGAACGGCCAAGCGGGTTAGCAGTCACGTGTTAAGAGTCGGGAACAGGTGGTTAATCGAGCCGCAATGCAAGTTAGCCATGAATGTGAAGCGCACCGATTTAACCCCTTAGCTGTTGGGAATTCCGGACCTTCAACTATTTAATTGTTGTCTTCAAAATTAAATTTGCTGCCTTCAAGATAAAATGTATAAGCACAGACGGAATGGGAGCAGGACTAAAATTAATGTCAGTGCTGCCATCCGTTTACAGAGCTCCAAGCCAAGCCACGAGCGAGCCTGGGTCGTCCAAAACCATAGAGTGCGTGAAGCGGAGAAGGCAGACAAGCTTTATTCGTTCTGAACGGTTCAGGGATGGCTCCACATCGACGAGCTAGAAAAATGACTAAGGGGTTAAATAGGCAGTTACGGTTAGCAAAACCTTTCCGTAAAAGACTTAAATTTAAAAAAAAAAAATGTAATTCCGTATATTATGCCTGTAGCAGCATCACAAAGTGTGCCACAATTCTAGTGTAATGAAAAGCTGTTGTTACCTCGTAGAAACCACTAGATGTACTTGCAAAATAAAAGCACTTGTGTAGCAATTTTTTTTTTTTAATTTTTATTTTGATGTGATTACGAGGAGGTCCTACTATAAAGTAATGTTAGAAAAGCCAATTATATACTTTAATTTCTGCTTGAAAGAGAAGTGGGCAGGTCTTACCACGCTGTAAACATGCAGCAGCACTACTCCGTCCCACCCTGTGAGGGACTGCAGCGGATGCTACAAGCCATTCCAGCCAGTCCAGCGCTGTGGACATATCCAGGGACTATGCCCCTTGCGTGTCGCTGCGTCCCTTCCGAGGGTCATGCGACTCTCACGCGGCATTGAATTGACTTCTATAGCTCGTAGCCTCCTCTGCCTTCCATGGTAGGGTGAAATGAAGTATATAGTACATTGTTACGATTGCTGTATACAAAAGCAGGCGCCATCTTTGACACACACGCGCGTTAGGAAATGAAGAGGTGCAATGCATGGGTGCCGGTTGCCCAAGCAGTTAAGCATGTGCCTGGAACACCATCGGATGTGGCCTGTCTCGGTCTTTATTACTACCTCGTAACAACTATTTTTCTTTTATGCCCGTGTTTTCTCCATCTTCAGAAGCAACCATTAACTGCTTAAGGACCATTTTTTCAACTCGTGGAATACGAGACATTATTGTATCTGACAACGGAACAGCTTTCACGGGTGCGAAATTCCTGGAGTTCCTAAAAAAGAATAGTTGTTACAAGGTAGTAATAAAGACCGAAACAGGCCACGTCCGATGGTGTTCAGCAGCAGCAGCAGCTGCACCAGTGCATGTTGAACTGCTCGCACCATCAGCGCCCGTGCATTGCACCTCTTTATTTTCTAACGTGCGTGTGAGTCAAAGGTGGCGCCTGCTTTTGTATATAGCAATCGTAACATATATAAAGCCCTAGTGACAGAAAAGAAAAGTGGGAAGGTCTCACTACGCTTTAAATATGCAGTTACTCTAGTATGAAGCTCTAATGACAGACCAGCACGTCCGCTCGATCGAATATCTCATATACATACATATACAGAGGCTTAAGGGGAGACCCAAGTTAAAATGTTTCATTTATTCATCCACAAGTTGCAAATGACATACCTTCTAATTCGTATGCTCAGGAAGCGCACATCTACATACCGCAGTTACATTGATTCAAAATTTTATATTTAGGTTGTTACCAATCGTGTTTTGGGAAGCTTTTCTAGTTTCCCCAGAAATCTTTTTTTCGTCACAACACAAGGTTTTGCCTGAGGTTTCTTTGAATCTGGAGTTTGGATCCGAATACTTTCTTTGGGGCAAGATAACTCATAAATCGGAGAGTGCAATGAGACTAATAGTTCTAAAATTGTTAACTACAATATCTTTTAAATGGCAAAAGCAGACTTTAATACTAATTTTTAATACCTTCTAATGATTAATAACTCATTTTAGTAACTCACTTTAATAACTCATTACATCAGCGAAAACATTTCAACTCGTGATAACTTTTTCTAGATTGATGCTAAACTTACAAGAATGGTTTTGTTGCACTGTAATGTTTGTAGAACAAGCAGCCATTCTTCGTGCCACAGTTTTGACGATATGATATACGATTAAAAAGAGTGGCGGAAACATTTGCGATGAAGTTTATATTTTCTTGAAACTAGCTACGATATGTTTGTGCTTAGCAGGAGAGATTATCGTAGATGCGAGAATTTGAATAAAAACTTGATGAGAAATAACCGAGAAATGTACAAGACCAGGGTCTCCCCTTAAGTGGTGCATAATAGGCGTGGGGCGTGCTAGAGGGACACACGATAGGCACGGACCCCCTTGCATGCGAGAGATGGTGGAGTTCTTGCTGGCCAGCGGTTGGACCAGCGGCGTGGGCTTGTGGCTCTGCCCGGTCGCCCGGTACATGGCCATCACCCACAGGTGGCACTCGTTCTCATCCTCGCTTGCAAACGCCACGCTGTCGCCCTCCTTCACCGCATTGAAGAAGAAGCGCCCGCCCTCCAGCTCTGCGAGCAAGCGGCACATTCGCCAGGTAACTCGACGTTGCGTTCCTTGACCAACGACGCAGAGGCGGGCTTGCACACTCGCGATTGCTTACGACCGAGCACCTCAAAACCTCTCAAGATCTCTTACAAGTGCCGTCTGTCGGGTAGCCTTAGAACGCTCGAGGTCTCCGTACATTTCCTCTTCTTTTTGCACTTAGTTCTTTCTTTTTTTAACTCAAAAAAATTTTGCTGATGTTATAAAGGACCATTTCTTGTAGATAGTACATGCGAATGCTGTAAAACCTTCGCAATAATGAAATGCAGTTGCAGGACAGCTTCATAGATGGTATCAATGCACCACTGTGCTATTCGTCGTAAGAAATCGCAGGAAGTCGGTTGTAAGCTAGTGCAAGTATGTGAATGGGTCGCAACTTTTTCATCGCCGCACTTTTCTGGGGAGTGAATGGCATTTCAGCATTTTTGGTGAGTTGAGGCTGGTACATGCCTTTGCGTTTGAGTGTGCCTGCTTGTTACCGCTTATGACAAAAGAACGAAAGGATGGATGGAGGAAGGGAAAAACGGAACTGAACCCTTTTAATCGGGTGGTAGCTTGCACCACCTAGCACCAGCTTTTATTTCAACAATAGACTTATCTCTGATTAGAAAAAAAAAGAAAAAAAAAACAGTTAAAAGCTAAGTTTAACATATAAATTCTGCTAGCATAAATTCACTTCCCTTGTTGTTTTTCTAGACATACGTGGTAACATACATCCTAGCGGAACCTTTACGCTTCCAATGGCAATTAAAATCGCTTGTTTACAGAATCCCGAGTGCCGGTGCTCCCTGCCAATTCATGCTCTTCGTCGACACAAAAAAGATTACATAAATAAGCTGTCCCTAACACTGCTTGTCAAAACCACACTTTTCAACACAGGAAGGGATATCTCTGTTTCTACAGTGCGAGAGAACTTGTAGTGGAAGTACCCACCCGGCATGGCCTCTGTGTAGTCTACGGTATAACCATCCAGCTGGAGCAATTCAGTTGGAACAGACGTCTTTTCCCTGAAGCTGCACATGGCAAATGTGTACTGCGATACCTGCACAGAGCATTCATCCAGCCGCCAATGAGGTCGCACAGTGGAGGTTTACAGGCTCTTGTTCATTTCTCCTCCGTGCATCCAGTAACTCTTGGGACCTTGAGGAACTCAATTTAAAAACCCGGGACTCGGGTGAATTGTTGTTTGGTAACAACAGTGCAGTAGTTCCCATCAAATGCCTTACCCTCATTAGTTTTGTAACAAATTTGGGATATAAAATAATGAGCAGAAACTTGGAGATGGGAGCATGTTAGGTGCAAGAGTAAAAATGCAGAAGCAGCACAAAATAAGGTGGGCTTTTGCCACATGGCGCCAGTGCATATGCATCGAGCTTCACTGTACTGCACCGGCTTTCTCTGAGAAGTGCTTTGGTTAGCTAGCTGTACTCAGAAGCCTGGGGTGGGTGCTTGATATCAACCATTTCAAAAGTAGCGGATGGTCACTTGTTGTGACATGAACACCATAATAAAAGTCAGAAAAACAGATGGGCAGCTCACTTGGACAAGTACGAAGTAGCGCTTCTTCCACTTCTTCCATACTTGCTTGCCTTGGGCGTACAAGTACCTGGCGAAAAAACGTTGCCCTCATTAGACACAGGAAGGAGCTTCCGTCACGCGGGCACTCTGCTGGCTATACACGTTTGCAAGAGAGGACCCTGAGCACTGCTATTTCGAGCGATGCTGGCACCACCTAATGTTTCCACCTTGTTGGGAAGCGCCAATGGGGTGAGCGAATGTGAACCAACCAGGAAATACAGCAGCTAGCAGTAGCCATCATGAGTTATACGACGTGTGGGGCTCTGGAAGAGAAAGACGCTGGCGCTGTCCGGGGCATGCGAGGGCTGAACCCAGCACTCGATTGCTCAGCCTGTTCAGACAAGGCTGTTTCTTCTTCTGTCCAGTCTGTCTGACGTGTGCGCCAATCCTCACAGACGTCAGCGTAACTTGCCCTTCGGTACACACCTAATCTGGTTCCACATAGGTTCCAGTTAAATTCACATTCCATATATTGTGTCTAAAATTCCAATTTTTATGTGTATTGGGCTTTACATGTAAAACGCCAATCCCCTTTACTTCATTTTTTATGGCGAACATGGAAGGCACTACATAGAGTGTTGTTCCACTTACATGCCATTCCACTTACCCTGTTCCACTTAAGTGCCAATCGGTGCCAGTTAAAACTTTCAGGAAGTGCTTTTTTGTGCATTTATCGTTTACAGTTAACAATTATCTGAAACATGGCTATGTATAAATTATGAAACATTTACAATTATCTAAAACACTGCACAGTATAAACTACAAGGTATATGTGGAACATGGTTCCTCCTGGTTAAACAGAACTCTTTTGCAAAAAAGATTCCCATTAAAACCGGAACCAAAGTGTTAATTCCTTAAAGGCAAAGCAGCCAGAAAAGAGAAAATTCTCCCTCAATTCTTTCCTTCCAGTTGGGAAAGCGGGACCCTTCTGAGGGAAGCAGCTCAAAGACCCACTCCTGCGGGGGAGGAGGAGAGAAGAGAACGAGAGAGAGAATGGAGAAAAGGAAACTGGGCACAGGCTTTCTTTACAGCAAGAGACGAGTGTGCAGGTCGGTCTTTAAGTGGGGAGTTTCCCTGTTGTGCACAACCATGCCTCGGAAAATATTTTTTTTTTACAAATATAGGGGGAAAAAAATGTTGCATTGGAAATTTGATTTTGTTGTTTATTACATGGAAAGGAATTAAGATATCCCTTCTTGTGTTGAGCACGCTTTCCCCAGAAAGGAAAGTGTGCTCTCAAGGACTTGCTCTCTTGCCACGGCAACGTAGAGGACGCAGGCTTCCCCGTCAACAGCACATCGTCCAGGTCTTTTCTCGTCACTGTGGTCGTCGAATTTCGCTGTCGCTAAGCATGATGCACTCATTATCCGAGTCACTGTTATCACTTCATTCAAGTAATTGCTTTCTGCCACTTCCGAGCATTCATGATTAAGAACGGGGACAAAGGACAAAAATATTCCTTACCATAATTCAATTATGTCACTGCCCACAAACGCAAATCAATCTAAACGTGTCTGATATTGTGTATGATATATGGTAGCACCTAAAACCTCCATAAAATATTCGCACGCATTGAAAGGAGCACTTTTTCCGTCCGAAGGCCAAAACTGAGGCACGTCTAAAGATGTGCTCAATTACGTAGCAAACTGTTTGCGCATTGCAGAAGAACAATGGCAGGCAGTAATGAGGGTGCGGGACACACTTCTGGTGCATTCCTAAATGCATGTTTAAGGCTTTAAGTATTGTTTTTTTTTTAATTTTTCGGCGCTTGTTATTGATCAGATCTACCTTATTGTTTTGTGCACTTTAGTGACTAACGACAACACCTGTAAGTTTCACAAATTGTTTCTGATAAAGTCTCGATGTGCAACGGCATCTGCTTCAGCGAGGGGCACCTGACAGCCTTGTACAACAAACAGAGAACATCCTGGTTGGAGAGTGAGTGTGCCTCACCTCAGCACACGGTCCGAGGCCAAGCCAGGAACTGGCCTGCAAACGTGTTTGCCACAGTGCTAACAAAAAGTTTTTTTTTATTTATTTAAAACATACTGTGGGCCTCTCATATAGGCCCCTGCAGGTGTGGTACAAAACAGCAAGAATAATTATTAGCAATCCACAAAAAAAACAAAAACATTTCGACTACTTTTTCACGCTCGGATAAACAGGTGCATTAAAAGAGAAACGCAGAGAATGAGGTAATTACATGTAATCACAAACAATTATCAGTCAGTCAAAATAACTCTTGTCCCATCTTTTTTTACTCGTCCTTGTCCATAGTGCTATTTCTGTTTAACTATGTTTACCAACTAGCCCAACAGTTTGCTTCGAAACAAAAAGTTCTTTATTTTCGTCGCTACAATTCCCTGCAGGGTAGGCCTAATATGCAAGAAGCCTAATAGGGATGGGCGAATATTCGGTTATTATGAATAGCCAATCCAATTCTGTTCTATTCGGCATTCGTTTCAAATCGAATTTAAGTATTCAACAATATTGAAATATTCGACAATATTGAATTATTCGACAATATAGAATTATTCAACCTTTCTAAATACAGTCAAACCTGACTATATCGAACCCGTTTACATCGAATTATTCCTTATATCGAACAATTTGTGTGCACAGTAATCTTACAGTGATAATATATAGCAAAAACTATGGTTGCATCGAACAAAAATAGCAGCCGCTACCGACATATCGAACTGCCAAGAGCGTCGTTTTGCTCTGCAAGCTGGCTTTCCCCCAATGCGAGCGGCCGCATTGGGGGAAAGCCAGCTTGCAGAGCACGCTGACTTTTTTTGGGGGGGGCGGCCGCGTCGACAGCTTGGAAGAAAATAAAATATATCTTTTGCGGAGATAGGGTGCTCCGTGCTCCCTTTCCCCGCTCCGTCCGCAAAAGAGAATATTATTTTTTCTTCCAAATTGACGCGGCCGCCCAGAGAAAAAAAAAAAAAAAACAGTTTGCTTTGCTAGCTGGCTTCCCATAATGCAGCAACCTGTTTCAGGGGAAAGCCAACTTCCAGAGCAAAACGGCGCTCTGCAGGAGAAGGTGCCCCCGTTGGACGTGCTCCGTGATCTCGGCATAGTTCGGCGCCAATGCGCGAATATAGAAGGCAGCGGCCTCAGAATTTTGGAATCCGTCGATAGCGTAGAAAAATATCGTTATCGCGGAGGCAATGAAGAAAAAGCAGCAGAAGATGCAAGGCTACTTGATTGAGTAATATTTTAGCAGAAAGTGGATTTTTGAGTCAAATTCATCAAAGCTTTCATATCGAATTACCCGCTATATCGAGCTGGTAGACTTTTTTTGCGCGTTCGATATAAACGGGTTTCACTTACTCTGGCTTGGATTTATGGCCAGGTGGCGCAAGCTTCCTACTGTTTCGACCATTTCATGCTACCAAACTCAATACACTTGAAATTAACAATTAAAGTATATCTAATACCAAGTAAGGGCAAATATAAAGCTATAATTTAAAAATATCTTCTGGTATTTTTTGCTTGTACTACTTAAACTATTCTCTTCGAAAGTATTCAACCAAAATCACTACTCGCTTTGAATTCGATTCGGACCCAAAATCCTGGATTCGCCCATGCCTAAAGCCTAATGATCTAAAGTGCGACTAAGGTTCCGTTCTTTCGGTACGGGCCAATAATCCCCAAAAAGTAATCCCCGAGCCGGTTTTATCACGATCAAAGGGAAAAACCAAAAAAATCTCAAATTGAATCTGTCAAGCTTGAAAAAACAAAAAACGGCTTCACAGGAAGAATTCTTTATGTACAACTTTATTTTGTGTAGACCTGAAACTCTGGGTGCCTTTCCATTATAAGCATCAAAGTGACAGGGAGGGAGGCTTAAGTACCCTGAATTAAAAAGATAGATAGCACCTCCCTTTATCTCCAGCACACACACCTTTTAAATGCTTTTTAGCTGAGCAAAATGGCTAGGGGGGCTAGTTGGTACATGTTTAACTGAAAAAGCACCTTTCTCGTCACCACGTATTTTCCAGGCGCTTTTCCAGTTTTTAGCCGAACCCACCCCCAACTCCAAATTTTTGTCTGTTCGTCTGTCTATGCATTTTTTGCTAAGTTTAGCGGGGAAATTGACGCCATTTGATCCAAACACCAATTCGGTTTCCCAGCTAAATTTAGCGGGAAAATTGACGTCACGTGACCCGTGTACAAACTCGGTTTCCCTCATTCGCCCGCCATAGTGATCGTCCCAGGACCGCAAGCGTCACTCTTCGAAGGATGTCGTTACTTTTCCGTATCGCCACGCACGTGGCAAAGTTGGCAACGCCCGCGGCTGCTACACGGAGGAACGAGGTTCGAACCTCCCACGGCCCGGACCTTTCTTTTTCTAATTCTGTATTCTCTCCTGGAGAGGTCCACCCCATTCTCAGCTGCCATCAAGTGTCCTGGCTTGGAACCTTCCTGTAGCCCCTCAATTGCTGACGCAAGGTGCTTGGTACCTTTCTCTTTTCGTTTCTAAGTCCGAGTTTGCCTCAATTACAAACATTTATTTCCAGTTTTCCATTCGTTCACCATTTTCCATTCGTGAGAGTGTGAAGGGGATTGAAGCTCACCCGCAGTGCTTCATGTTCTGTGGCTTGTCCATGCGGACGACGATCTTGATCCGCAGGTCCTGATCGGGAGCGTTCTTGGGTACCACCATGCGGAACCACTCGGGAGCCTTGGAGCTGAGCGGACTCGGCCGGAGCAGCACCTTGCCCAGCTCCTTGTCGTCCAGACTCAGCAACCCCGGGCTCTCCGTGTACAGCTTCACCTGCCGCCCATTCATCAATCAATCAATCAATGTTTCTTTTCGCATCAGACACTCATGTACAAAGTGCCCCCGCCCCCCCCCCCCAAGTTTACGGGTTTTTTTTACCGCAAAAATGAACCGTGCAACGCTGAATCTCGTTCACCCAAATGTAGCGCTTGCGGTTCGAACCACATGTCAAAGTTTTAGAACCATTATTTTTTTCAAAAGTTATAAATGATTTTCTGAAAATTTTAATGAAAAAATGGCGACCAACAGAGCCCTCGAACACATATGGCACTGAATGGCACCAGTTACTGAAAACGAGCCCCATTTTCTCGTTGAAATTTTCAGAAAATCACTTGTAACTAACAACCAGGTGTCTCAAGCAGACCGCAAAATTCGGTTTCTTAACCTATCGTGCTACAATTTTGTGCAGCGTTGCCCACAGGTGGTGCATCTTTTCTATAAAATTTACAAAGAGCAAACTTACCTGAGGAAAAAGTAAAAAAAGAAAAAGGGTTAAAACTCCTATGGAAGCGCAGTGAAGTCGCCGGTCTCCAAACAATAGAGCACCCCATTGATTGAAGACCGGTGGCTTCGCTGCATTTCCATAGGAGTTAGGCCTTTTTCTTTCTTCATTGTCGCCTACTTGAGTTTTGTCTCTCGAACACCTACTTCACCTTCAAGGGGGAGTTCTACCAACAGACCAGCGGAACGGCAATGGGCGCTTCCATCTCAGTCACAATGGCCAACCTGGCAATGGAAGCGATTGAGCGCAAGGCGCTACAATCATTCAACCCCAAGCCCCAAATATTCCTGCGGTACGTCGACGACTGCTTCTGTATCATGCAAGCGTCAGAAGTGGACAACTTCCTGGCTCACTTGAACTCCATTGAACCAGCCATCCAATTCACGGTGGAGCACGAAATGCACGGCTGTTTACCTTTCCTTGACGTGCTAATCAAAAGACAGGGTGAGGCACTGAATTTTACAGTGTATAGGAAGCCTACGCACACGGGACGATACCTCCAATTTGATTCAAACCACCCGCTAAGTCACAAAGCGTCGGTAGTTTCGACACTTCTGATGAGGGCAAAGAATATATGTTCATCTGCAACAGACAAAAGGAAAGAGGAGCAAGCGATCACCCGTGATCTAAAAAATAATGGATACACAGGTAACTTCATTCGCCAGATCACTCACCGTCTAAACCGCAGTCGCCGAGACGGGCAACCTACTGGGACTGCACGTCCTAAACCGATTGCACGCATCAGCATACCCTACACAAAAGGGATAAGTGAAACACTATCCAGGATTTTTGCAAAAGAACACGTCACCGTGGCCCATAAACCTGTGACCACACTCGGGCGTTTTCTACCTCGGCCAAAAAGTCGTCCACCCAAGGAAAGGGCCCAGGGTGTAATTTACCAAATATCCTGCACCCAGTGCCCCGCCTCCTACATTGGAGAAACTAAAAACTTCCAAGAACGGCTCCGTCAACACAAAAATGATGTACGCAACTTCGACCGCGAACACAGTGCTCTGGCGGAGCACTGTGAAGTTAATGACCACCGTATCGGATTTGAAGATGCAAGCATTCTGGGTACTGAGACGAACCTACGCAGAAGACAGCTGATAGAATCCTGGCATATTCAAAACACCGCAAATAACATCAATAGGTCTCTAGGCACCTTACCCAGTTTATATGTTCATGGGTTACGAGATACAATCAAGACGGCGCAGGCGAAACGAAGACAACCAGCAATCGACAATGAAGAAGAAGAGATAGCCAGTTCAAAGAAAGACAAAGAAGCTATTATCCCGTTTAGTCGCCCCTGAGGAAGAAACGAACTGTTTCGAAACGTTGGGACAATTTTTCGACTTTTTGGTTGGCGTATTTCTTTATTCTTTACATTTAAATTCACCCAACCAGGCAGATATCTGCCGAACATGTTTACCCTCAAGGTTAAGAAACCGAATTTTGCGGTCGATTTAAACAGCCTGGCCGCTATTTGAGACACCCGGTATTTATTGAAATAACGTTTGGTTCTGAAACTTAGGCATCCGGTACGGACCGCTAGTGATACACTTGGGCAGAGGCTGTGCGTTCGGCGATGCGTCATTTATTTTTGCAACAAGAAAAACAAATTTTTTGGGAGGGGGGACACATAGTAGGCTGCAGCTGCAAGAGGTCACAATGTGAACTCAACGAGGTCTCAGCAGCCTTACGATTGGCTCACGGAGACAGTTCGACTCAGCTACGAGCAGGCGGCCAATCAGAGAGCTTCATATTCTCCCCCAGCGGAAGCGACTGGGTGCATTAGAGATGCCTAATTAAAGCTGGTTCATACATTTGCATTTGAGTATGATTAATCGTGTTGCAACAAGTCGTAACAGCTTACGAGAAGAGACGCTGGCGTCACCTATCGGGTAGGTCTGGAACACTTTCGATCTATGCATATTTTACGCATCATTCTTTCACTGTCTGCTTCAAGCAATTCTGACCATGTCAAAAGAGATCACTCCTTATTAATAGTCCATAGCTTCAAACTCACAAATATGGCAAAACCTTCAGTTTAGTTATACGCATATCGGAAGTGCTCCAAGGCTGCTTGATAGATGGTGCCAGCGTGTTCTTTTGTCATAAGCAGTTACGAGCAGTTCCAATGCAGTTGAGCACACTCAAACGCCAATGTGTGGCCCAGCCTCTGAAGAGCCAAAGCGGCGCAAAGGAGGGGCTGTGGAAAACCCACCTTGACCAAAGGCAGGGGCTGAGCCGTGGAGAAGTCCCCCTGGGTGTCCCACATGGGCTTGGAGGCCTCGGCGTGGTCCGTCTGCAACTTCTCTCCGCCTTCCACTTCCATGGTGCAGTAGACGATGCGGTTCGGTGCCAGCGACTTGAGCCCCTTCACCTCCATCACAACCACCTGCGGTATCACATTCCCCTCTCCATTCAGGTGGGCAAAGCACGCCCGATTCTTTTGTATATATGCTTTTTCTTTTGTCACTCATGTAACTGCGGCACCACAGATTTCCTGGTATGGGCTCCTCGCCTTGAGCGGTGTCAACTTTTTCTGAGTTGAATAAATATCATTATTATTATTATTAACATCAACAAACCAAGGCTTTGAACTCAAGATAACCTACCTCTCCTACCCTATCCTACTTTACCCCAGAGCCGTATATGTAGGGAGTTTGGCCATTCGTTGAGAAGTATAGGAGATAAATGAGGAGGCGCCATTGGCCGAAAGCGGGCTGGGCATGTTCCAGGGCGTCTTCGCAAATTCGAATGTGGCCAACAAGAAGCCAGAAATAATACCCTGGCGGTGGTCGCGAGAAATGAGTTTAATAAGTGCGTCGGGTAACTCTCTGTGACTGAGATTATGGTGCACGTGATGCTTCAATCATGGTCATCCAAAATCATGGTGGAAGAGTGCAACTAGCAGAACGATCGACATAATCCGTACGCCAAGCGCCGAGGGGTCGGGAATCTGCCGTACGAGCGGTCACACTCTGCCCGAGCAAAACAGAGTTGAGCGGCGCATTTGTTTCTTGCATCTTTCTGTATGATCATGATTGAAACATCACGTGCACCTCATTTTCAACCATGAAGGGTTACTACACTTCACTCTTACGCGCTTATTAAAACCATATACCAACATACACCTTTGACTAAAACAGTTTCTCGCTACCACCGCTAGGGGATTCTTTTAGGCTTCTGGTTGGCCAAGAGAGCACGTCAAGCCCACTTTCCAAGTCTGGTGCACGGCCGGCTCTCTCCGCGCCGCCCATGGACCAAACTTTCTGTATGCACGACTCTGCTCCGCCGTACCTTACCCTGCTCACCCCACCCTATACCCCACCCTCTTACCTTACCCTACCTTGCCCCACCCTACCTTAATTCTCCTCTCCCTATTATCGTATACTATCCTATCCTATCCTATCCTATCCTATCCTATCCTATCCTACCTTACCTTACCTTGCCTTATCCTACCAAATTTTACCTTACTTTACCCTACCCTACCCTACCCTACTTCATACTATCTCTAACCTACTATAATGCAACCTAACCTAAAGAGTAAGAGATGAAGCACAGTGTCCCAGCGTCTGCCATGCTGACATATCAAATTCTCTGCCTCAGAGGTGAGCAGGCAGACTCACCTCCAGTGTGAAGGACAAGACGATGTCCAGTTTAGACAAGGTCGTCTCGGTGTCCTCAGAGAGACCTTCCTTAGACAGAGAGGCCTGGCTCCTGCATGGAGACCAATCGGAAATCAGCCTCAACCGCTGGCTCACCCGCAGACTGGTCCCACCCTCCCACGACCAAGCGGCACGAGCATTGCGGCCATGACAGGCAGCTAAAGGCGCACGCCATTCCCTGAAGACGCGGCCGCTGTTGCTGCCGCCAATGCCTCTTGCAACAACTGCCAGGCGCTCGGGCATAGCTGACTCATCGCAAGCGAGGTCCAGTAAAACATAGTCGGGGCCTCCTCGCTAAAATTTATGCCCACTGTAGTCGCATCGCACCCAACACGGAAACAAGGAAGAATATGTATGGCCGGGCTAGCACAGTGTACAGTTCATGTAGTGTGCAATAGAGGTAAGCTTTCCCTTCACAGCAGCAGAGTGGTTAGTAGAAACGGCGGCTGGCATGCAATCGAGTGCCTGAAACTTCTCCAAGTTTTCAGCTGAATCAGTTGGTAGCTAGAACAATCGTCAATTTGTTGACTTCGAGAACTCGAAGTTGGGTATAAATTGTCTGTAAGTAAACGCTCACAACTTGTTCTTTTATCGTTAGTAGATATCAGAAGCCTAAATGAAAAAGTTGTGTTTTCCCAAGCATGAGCTCCAAAGCATGAGCCCCTATATTTAAAATGACGAGCCACTCCTTCGTTTCTTGAAATTTTTCTAGCTAATATCTTGCGATGGATTTCTCAGGCCTAAGAACATACATTTCTATGAAGCTGAATGTTAAAATCTAGCAAATATCTTTGCTCCTTCATGTGGCAGAAATATTATAACATTTTGCTCACACATAAACTGGCCTAATATAAAAACATTTATAAAATTTAAAACTAAAATTATTCAGAGTTGATTGACACGACTAATATATGAACCATAGCAAAGAAAAGAAGGGAAGACAATAGTGTCGTGTGAATATTCAAAATTTCAAATAGCAGTTTCAAACAACACACTGTTTTGATACTCACTTCGAGATGAACTGCAATATTTATATTTTTCGAAGTGTTGATCGCGGTGGGTTAGCACCGTTGAGAGCGGTTCTTACCGAGCATGGGTGCACCGCAAATTAGACACCTGTGAAAGCACGCTCCATGGGTGTTGCTTCTCCACATTACACCAGTGCTCAGTGAGAAGCACACTCAACGGGGTAACGCGCCGCAATTAAAACTTGGAAAAGTAAGGATAGCGCAACTGTGTGCTTGGAAGGAAAGCACACTACCGAAGTGGAGACCCACCTGGCATATTTGAAAAGAAAAGGAAATTTTGTGAATGTTTATATCTACATTACAGTCAAATTTTCAGTTAAACTGTGGATGTTGTGCAAGAGTATATGTTAGGCAGAGATGCCCAGACAACCTGCGCCAATCATTCACAATTTTTTTTAAACTTGAGATTGAAGAAAAATTATTTGCATACCTATAGCAAGATTTGTAAATCCATTCAATTAGGCATAATTGGGCATCCCTAGATGTTTAACTTTGTCAAATTTGTCATTTCCTTTCCGAGGGCACAGTTCATAAATATGGTTTGATTACAGTAAACTTGGCCTCTAAACGAACAAGTGGAAGCTTGTGAAGAACCTTCATGAGTTCAGCTGGATTTCCATTTAAGCACGGTGCAACCGTAGCGAAAAACTTTGATAAACTTTTAGATATCCGTTTTGAAAATATTTGGCCAAAAACACTAGTATTCATTTCAAATTCGCTTCAAACTCAAAATCCACTATTTGCACATGACTAGAAGATAATCATAACTAAAAACAGTTTTTTACCTCCACTACATTGACTTATCAGGACTTGAGAGGCTTAAAATGATCAACGACATTCAGCTAAGAGACTTTGCATGTTTTATTGCTCTCTCACTTTGCTGAAGGCAATAAATCCAAAACACAGGCAGCAACGAAAATCAGTGATTTCACTTCATTCTGTTACAAACAGGAAACCAGAACAAAAAAATGTGTTTTTTATGGGATGCAAGGTATTCTTTGAATTTGCTGAAATTACACCTTTCTGCACTTTATAATGCCATCAGAGCGCAAGACAAAGAACTCTAAATTTGTCTAGTCAAACTCCAATAGTTTTTCGAAATTATTAAAAAAAATAAAAATCAGGTCAAATTATGTGTGAGCAAACATGGCGCTAAAAGACAAAGAAAATAGACGAATATCCGTAGCCTTAATGCAAAAAGCCCGAATGATAAAGGCATAGTTAAAGTAACCATTTTCATGCAAAGAAAGTTGCAAGAGTTTTGTTGATCATGTCGGTAGTTTGTCTTAAATCCGGCCACAAAAGCATTGTGAGGGTACTCGCTGTGCAAAGAAAACAGTATCATCATCATTTGTGACTCAAAAAGAGCCACACATTGTGCCAGGCTAGCAAGAACGGTTAGCAGAAGACCAAGGCGGTGAACTATATGAAAGTGAGGCAGTGATGCTACCAGCTGTTGTGAAAATTGCTTTGTTGTGCTGACTACTCCACGTAGCATGGAAGCAGTGCGGGAAAGCCGGCCTACTGAGCACACCAATCTTTTTCTTTCTTTTACTTATAGGGAGATACGTTTGAATTTACGGTTAGTATAAATAAAAAAATAAATAAACTGAGTAACTCCAGCATAATTTTAGAATACTTGATGCTAGGAACTGGAATCTGAAGCACCTGGAAATTTTTTGTCCTTTTGACTGTTCCCTGCAGCAGAAAAAAAAATACTAAAGGACTGCCCCAATGTCTAGTATGATGTTTCCAGCTGGAAACAAAACAAAAAAATCATAACAAAAAAAAAAAGGAAACAAGCTAGAAACCTGCAAGCTCTGAACTCAAAAGAGTAATCATAAGGAAAAGTCTATAAGCTTATTCTTGTTATTACGAGTGAACATGATAGAAATTAGTAGGCGAAATTAGCAGGCCATTCAACTACTAAGCATGGAGCTAGCAGCAATAGCACTACATCATCCTTCTAGAAGCACTCAGAGGACATTCATATACTAAACACAAATTCATTGTGCACGCCGCCAGGTAGCAATAGAGAGCAATACAAGTTGGGCATGGTAAGATAACAAACCAAAGCCTCGAGGAAAGCTTAAGCAGGTTATCCATACGATAAACGGGCAATGTTTAAAACTAAATGTACTTTAAAGTTAAACCATTCTGTGCCACCTCACAGAATGCTCAGTCAATGACCAATATTTAGGCAGAAAACTTTATTTGTTCAAAAAAGATTTTTTTTTTATGCAAAAGGTCTTTAAACAATGAACTTTCTTTTCCCCAATACAGTTTCACATAGGGCACTTTCACAGTGCTGTGCAAGTGAAACCTGCAAGGCCCCTGTGCGGCAGCTTGTAATGAAACAGTCTTCGTATTCTGCCCGTTGATTAAGGACACAAAAAACACTTTTCGCTCGTCAAACTCGCAGGAAATATCCATTCGGGCTAAAAAAACTAGCCTGACAACTGAACTGAAAGAACGCGTCCTCAGACTAGGCCCTCCTAAGCCTACCGACGGCGGGCACAATGAAAGCGTGGCTGGTCACATGGGGAAAAGGCCCGAGACAACACAAGACGCAAACCAAACAGGAAGCAGCCAATGACAACCAAGGAAACAAAAACCGGAGCGTACGTCGCGGCGCATGCAAGCAGCACAGCATCGTAGACCACAATCCAGAGGGGAGCTTGCAGGTACTTGGTCAGACCATTGCGCAGCTGTCCGGCCTGGCTCGTGCTGCGAGGGGGAGGGGCAAGGGGCAGAGCAAGGGGGAGGGCAAGGCGGGGCAAGAGGCGGAGCTTGCAAGGCCAGTCTAGAGGCATTCTCTCCGAGGCTTTTCTAAAGGTGCCCTCGGAAGTATCCGTCTTCCGGCAGCTCAAACTAATTCTGTTTAGGCAACGGCTTCCTCATTATACCAGATCGATAATATTAAGGTTAATTATACGTCACTACACAAATAAAATTACTTGAAAGTAGAAAATAAATTCTCGTAGGATTAAAGCTAGACTGAAGTGAGAAACATATAGACTCTTACATCGGCCGATGCAAAAAAAGCTGAAAATTGTGCGAGTCATAATACATACTAAGCCAACATTCATGTAGTATACCATACTCCAGCTGCATTAGATTAAAACTGTGCTTTTACGTAATCTAGTACTTTACTTCTAGCTCATAACGCCTCGTCGGCACCTCGGGCTACTCCTATGTCATTTTCTACAGCAGGCCCACGTCGCGCAAGCACACTACCTCATGCAATCATTGCCAAGCATACGACAAGCGCTTTAGGCCTCGCATTCCCTCCCATGCCAAAAAAGGGTTTTGCCAAGGTTGCCACCACAAGCTTCACGCGTGTAGGATTCACGTGTGTCCGCGTTCACCCGCGTGCAAAACCATCCCGCCGTTACGGTGTCTCCACTTTCCTCGAGCCCAGTCCACCAGTGCCGGACACGAGCTTACCGCAGCTATAGTCAGCAACAGGGTGAGAGCGGCAGGGTTAGTCTTTCGAACGCCCGGCCTCCAGCTTGCGCTCCCTCCTCCCGCGCTAAAGGTGAACAAGCCGCCGAAACGTTGTCGAACGTAGAAAGCTCACGCTCAAGGTTCCTCCCTGCCGTTTTCGCCCTGCCAGTGACCGTATCAGTAAACGCGCGTCCAGAGTGTATGCGTGTGTGGTGCGTGTACGTGTTGTGCCCGTGAGGTGTTGTCCCGCGTGTGCGTACATGCACACATGGTTCCGCAGTCCCATGCAGCCTCGAAGGACGCCCCCGTGGGGACGGGGAGGGTGGTGGTAGCTGTAGAAAACAATCTCAAAGGTTCTACCTGCCTCAGGACTGAAGACCTTCGACGACTGTTCGTGTTTTGGGAAAGGCGACAGAGAAACGAGAGAGGAGAAAAAGAAAGGACAAAAAATGGAAAAAGAGAGAAGAACAAGTGTCGGCAAACAGGTGTGCAGGGCAACGAACGCAAAATCAACGTCAGTCTAGGAGGAAAAATTAAACCCCCTTCCCACAAACGTCGAACGCGATGGCGGCTCTGTCCCCCCACGGAGGGTCCAAAGGCTGTGGGGGCTGCCCGGATGTCCCCCCCAGACCGGGAGCAACGCAACCACGCAGCGAGAAAAGAAACCCAGTGTGCAGATAAGAAAGAGGGGCCACCAAGCAAAATGCAGGCGTTCTCCCTTTAAGCCTCGTACTTACATTGCTAACTGTAAACTGAAAAAGAATCGGGGAAAAACCTGGCTACGTAAATGAGAACCAAAGGTAAAAAAGAAAGCACGAGCAAGAGCACCAAAAGCAAAGTCAAACAACGAAAAGGTCTCATACACCTGGAAAAGATGCATCACAATTAAAGTTGCTAGCAAAGAATAAAAAAAAAGAGGTGCACAAGCGAGAATAAAATGTCCCAGTGAAGCCGTATTTCAATGATGTTCCTCGCACCTTGACTCTTAGTTTTATACTCGGCAAGCTGCTTCTTTACTGCCCTCGAGCCTTACAGCCACATCTTACAACACACTCCTTTTCAAATTAAAGGAGTGCGTTCAGAACAGTTCTAAAAGTTGCCCTACACGCCCCACAGCAACCTTTCTGGAGAACAGAGAAACACACAGACAAACATCCACTTCCAACGAACAAACTGAAAATACCCTATAGATAGACAAATTAAAGAAGTACCCATTTGAAAAGCCTACTTAAAAAACAGCTTACTCCATTCACCCATAGCTGTCAGGATTTGTGGGAGCTAGATGCTCACTGTATTAATTAACCGCCTTCCTCTCATCACCTGATATCAGCACGTGGGTATGGCAGGAATGGCATCAGCCATTCCTGCCCATACTCAAGATAGACATACTATATAAATGGTCCAACGAGCATGTACAGCACCCACCACACCGTCAGCTTAGGGGTGATGCAGGCACAGATACATAAAATATAGCAACAGAGCTCAAAATCCTTATGAAGAGCAGAAAAGAAGAGGAAACGCTCGCATAGAGGTTGCACACATTCTCCAAAAAAAGATGTAGCAATTGTTTGCTCACATTCCTGCCATGCACCAGTGCACAAGGCAAAGTAATCGTTCGAAGAGCTCAATGGCTCACTAACCTCAGCATAATCTGCTCTCCAAAGCACACCTACCGCTAAGAGGGAAAGAGCTCCTGTCAACAGTTCCCTAGCATTGCCCTTGTGTTCTGACATTTACACAGTGCACTAGTGCAGACCAAGAAACAACACTTACATCCTGATGGGCTACACACACCCTATACGTCGCGACTGTTATGCGAAAAAGTCGCCACTCCTGCTTTTCGTGCTAAGACTGAAACATTGAATTAAAGGCTGGCTCAGATATTTGCGTTTGAATGTCACCGACTGCGTCACAACTCTTTCTGTTCCGTTACAATGCATTGCGCGGATCTCGGTAGCCACAGCAAACTTCTCTACGTAAGCAGTCATAAGCGGCAGGCAATCCCGCTCATGCTTGTGAATGGGGCCAGGTGAACATAAAAAACACACAGAGAAAAAAATTATAACATTCGCACCGCTGGTGCTAGTGTTATAATTTTTTCTCTGTGTGTTTTTCATGTTCAGCTGGCCCCATTCACAAACAACGAACCAACTTGCTCAGCTTAAGCCCGTAACAAAGTCCCACTCAAACACAAATGCCTCAACCAGCCCAAAAATGTGGCGATTAGACAAACATATCTCCTACTCCAGAAATGACGAAAGTTCAAAACTAAAAACTTATTTTCCCAACCATGGATGTACCTGGTTAGCATTTGGATGCTGAGCTACCGTAAAATACCGGGCAACCGCTTACTCAAACTTTGGAGATAATCAGAAAACAATGAGAGATGGGTACTTGTCCTCTCATCAGTTTTACATATAAATGTACTCTGCATATTTTCTCAGATCTTACAAATTTGAGAATGGGCACTTAATGTGGAATGGGCGGATGCGCGGTATTCTACGGTATGCTCCACAAAACCAAGATTTTTTTTTTTCTTAGATGAATGTGAATATAAATTAAATGTGTAAATAAAACTTTAAAATATTTTGCAAGCAATATGGTGCTAGCTCTCTGGCAGCAACCCATGGAACTGGTCATTCTCGGAGCCAATTTGGTTCCAGTTGTTCCCTAGCATGCATTCAACGCTTCCAAGCCTCGCGAAAGAGAGAGAGGGCAGGCGTTACCTTTGCCGACTGTACGGGGAATGCAGACCAGGTGCACATGCGAGAAAAACGAGAGAAGGTTAATTTTAAATGGCCGCTAAAACATGTTTTTTAGTCTGCCGCGACAATGTTTCCCAGATTTTTCGCTAGCGTTTCCCTGTTTTGCTAAACTTCTCTGACCAAAGTAGAGGAAAAAAAAAGGCCTTGAACAATCAACGATAATGATGCCATTGTACTAGATGGCAACCTCCAGTGAGCTTAAAATGATTTATTGTATCCGAGTCTTTCACCAATATTGGTTCTTCACTCATCTACAGAAAAACTATGGGTACAATGAGAGTCTGCATCTTCAGAACCCATGAGTCAATGATTACAGTAGGATTTCTAAACAAATTAGCCCTTGTTTGTAACGCCGACTGACATCTGTGACAGCATATTTTAGCCTCCGATTGTTCTGGCAAAACAATAATTTACCACAAGCCTTCGGACTTAAACATAAGCTTGAGGACCTCTCTAAGGTTGCCACGCCATGCCGAAATGATGTGACAACAGGCTCCAAAAGGCACTGTTTCTGGTCAGTCCTGCAGTTTCATTGTACTTTAACTTCATTCTTGAAGCAAGAGGTATTTTTCCCCAAAAAAAGCTTAACACTAGGCAAGCATGGGGGTTATACAGTTGCCACTAAACAAGCATTAAAACACATTTAAAATATGGTGTTTTAGATCAATTAGACGCATTTGAATACAAAAGCTTCATTACATGAGCCAGCAGAGCGAACACAGGTCTGCTGTAAGTAGCGTGTCTAGATTTGAGAGTGGTTCCAACGGCTCGATCTGGATAAAGAGGTTCACAGGCAGCGTTTCAACACGAGCTGCGAGGAAGTGGCTGAAGTGTCGCACGTCTCCAAGCTTTTGCTCAGCCTCTCAGCCCACTATCCTCCTTGCCACTTAGCAATGCATGCATGCGCACGAGCAATCATTCAGTGCAGGAGCTGCCCGCAATTAAATCACAAATGCTCTCTAAGATTTGAGTTGACCCTTCTCCTAAATCTAGGCTCTCTATACTCGTCGCATCAAGCAAAAAGGAAGTTTTGCGCATTATTCATGTCACACAATTTGGTTGGTGCAGGAAGACACTATGCCTTTGGGGTTTGAAACGTGTATGTATTAATAAAATAATACTGTTGTGCAAATATTCGAATTTTCTAATAGTAGTTTCGAATAATACGCTGTTCGATATTCGCTTCAAGATGAACCGGTATTTCTCAAAGTGTTAATTGCAGCAGGTTATTCCCATCGAGCGCACTTCTTACCGAGCACCGACACACTGCGGAAAAACACCTGCGGAGCTCAATTATGCGGGTGTGGCTTCTCCGCAGCGCACCGGCGCGTGGTAAAAAGCGCACTCGACAGCGTTAACCCAACACGATCAACACTACAAAAAACACAAATATCTCAGCCGCGTGCTTGGGAGGAAAGCTCATTTTCGAAGTGAGTGTGCCCTAATATAGTTAAAAAGAAAGAAAATCTTTATGAATGATGATATCTACCACATTGCAATAAAATTTCTAAAATTAAACTGGCATGCATGAGCATATGCTAAGCAGAGACGCCGACAACCTGTCTTATACCTACGTGATTGAAGAAAAGATATTTACATATAGCAAGAATATTTATAATTGCCATTGATTAGGTATACCTGGGCATCTCTAAAGGTTTAATTTTATGTTAAATGCATCATTTACTTGCCATTTGAATGAAAGCATTGAACTTTTGGAGGTCACAGTCAATAGATATATCTAGTTAGATTAGAATTAACTTGTTTTAATAATGAACAGGGGGAAGTAAACTGGCTAAGTTGGCTAGTCGGTACATGCTTAACTGTAAAAGCGCCTAAAAAATATGTGGACACGACAAAGAAGGGACACAACCAAGCGCTACTTACAACTGAGCGTTTATTGAAAACACACTCACTATTTATACACGTAATCAGGCATTTGTGAGAGGAGCCTGATTACACGTACAAATAGTAAGTGTGTTAGTGCGTTATCAATAAACATTCAGTTGTCAGTAGCACTCGGTCCTGTCCCTTCTTTCTGGTGTTCACATACTTTGAGGTGCTTTTCCAGTTAAACAAGCGGAAGCTTGGCAACAACCTTCACAAGTTCAGATAGGTTTTTGAGGCAGAAGTAAAAGGCTTAGAAAAACTATTCGATATTCAATATTAAAATATTCGGCCAAAACCATTATTTGCTTTGAATTAGCTTCAAACTCAACGTCCACTATTTGCACATGGCTATAAAATAACATAAAGTGAATGTAAGATGCGCATACATATATCTTACTTCGACATATCAGGGGAGAAATTAGTTATGTTCCGCGAGGAGCCATACTTTTTTTGTTTTACTATGGTTCTGGGGGCGAATGAGTCTAGTGGTGAGATGCAGGCCCCCACCTGTGGTTGTATCGCTTGAGCTTCTGCAGGCCGTACTTGCTCTCTGCACTGCCCTTGGACACCGGCAGGCTCTCCAGATTCACCATCAGCTGGTTGATGGAGGAACGAAGCTCCTCCACATGCAGGCTCTCCATCTCCTTCAGCACAAACTTGGGCATCAACTTGCGGTTCTGAAACACACAGCATGCAACAGCGCTTCAATGCAGTGGACGCTGGTGGGGGTGGCCTGTCTCTACGGTATCATTTTTGGGGTTATGTTTTCTTTAAATTCGGGCGTGTTTTTAGAGGTTTATATTTTCCCACAGATTCGGTCTTTCTCGGTACCAATTTTTGTTACAAGACAAAAAATAGGGGTTTATCGGGGCTTATGCCAAAGGAAAATGGGACACGGGCATGAAATTCCCCGACTTCCAGGGAACATACGCGTGACCCAAACACTTAAAAAACGTCTCCGTGCTGATAAAAGAACAAAACTAGATCAGATGTGAGGTTACAAAGAAAAAGAAAAAAAGCCTTATGACATGGTCTGTTCTGGTTTAACAGAAAATAAAACTGCAAAAAGAGGTTTTCCCTCTAAGAAGTTTGGCTTTTTCCTTTCAAAGGGAGCTCCCCCAATTTGGGATTTTACGGTTTTCCCCGATCTTGATAAAAAAATGGTTTGAGGGTTAATTTTCGTGGTTTATCAGCATTGACAAAAAACATGGAACTCTACCCGCCTTGTACGTTTTCGGCCTCTCGAGGTGTACGGATCATTCAACGTTGGACCATTCCAAAACGAGAGTGCAAACTACTTTCCTCGAGATGCAAGAGGATGGCCTGTCTTACCTACAAGTTACACAAATAAAGACCTGCCCACACATGCACCGCAGCACTAACCCAGTGCCATAGACAAAACGCTGCCTATTCCTGCTTACCCCCGCAATGCAGTGCACTAACTCAGTGCTGCATACTAAAGGATAATTCACACACTTGCAACCACTTGCGACCAAGTGCCTTATGACGTCTTGAATCTCTTACGAGAGAAAACAATGGCGACAGCTATAGGGTACACGGCGAAGGCAATTTAGTATATTTCCAACTTTTTCTGCTCATCATTCTTTTTTACTGGCTCGAAGAATTCTTGACAATGTCATAAACTATCATTTCTTATAGATAGTAGGCACATTTGGTCTTGCAAATAATGCACAGCCTTCGCTCTAGTAAATTGAAGTTTCGTTGCCACCTTGTAGATGGCGCCAGCGTGCCAGTGTGTTTTGTCATAGTAAAAAATTTTGTGAACTCGGTCAAAATCAAACGCATGTGTGTGAACCAGCCCCAAGTTCTGACAGTAGCGCCGATGCAGTGCTGGCTACATCGTCTCGGCGCTTGGATACGAACGTGAAACAGCCTTTATAAGAGTTACAAGCGGTCAGCCTCCTTCGAGCCCAACCTGAGACAGAGCAGATTTAGAGCAGGGGCAACCTTCAGAGGCACGAGTGAAAACACACCCGAGAGGAAACACACCTTTTCCATCTCGTTGACCTTTTGCACTCTCCCGTCGAGCTCCCTGCGGATTGCGGCCGCCTGTTCGTCCGCTGAATCCAACTGAAATGCAAACAGAGGCAACGTGCGTGAAGTGGCGCCAGCCTTACGTAACACTGCTTCCAGCAGGCAGGTCTTCCAGCGAACGTTTGCTCCCAATGCGTTCTACACGCAGAGGATTTTCAGCATAGAACACTGAGGTATCGACAAATGGAGAGTGTGCTGGTGCGGTTCAGGTTCGAAGAAAGAATAAACATGTAGAACACGGACAACACAACCACCTCTTTCAATTAACAGTTGAAAGATCTGTTGTCCCTGTTTTACATGTTGATTCTTTCTTCAATCCTAACACCGAAATACTCTCATAAACAGTCTTGGCACGCGGTAATATGGCACAGGTAACGTGTTACTGTAACTTTGTCACTTTTTCGCTAACTTTTAACTCCTTTCCATCCTTTCTAAATGCAACTTGTAACTTTATTATTTTTTTCAAAGGTAACAATGGAAGTAATGACATTACTTTTGCTGTTACTTTCTAGTTTCTTAAGCAACAATATATCGTTGAACGGTTACAATCTGGCCATTTTTCTCCCTTTTCGAAAGATACGTGTTCTGACATGTTGGGTGTCATTTTCACCTTGTGCAAACTTTTGCCAACTTTACTTGCACTTTCTTTAATTAAATTAGAAAAAAATTCATTTCATACTTTTTTTTTTTTTAGTCTTATGAAAAAAAAATGAAAGCCGTTTACAACTCCCTGTAACGCCAAATTAGAGCACAGCTCTTGAGAAGGAGGAGGGGACTGTACGGAGAGGATGCTATGCTCCTTTTTCTCTCCTGCTCGCCTCCTATTTAGGGAAAAATTTACCCGCTAAATCTAGCGGAAAAATTTCCCCGCTAAATTTAGCAGGGAAATTTCTTTTCCACTAAATCTAATGGTGATATTTTCCCGCTAAATTTAGCGGGGAAATTTTTCCACCAAATCTAACGGGGAAATTTTTCCGACAAATTTAGCGGGGAAATTTTTCCGCTAGATTTAGCGTGAAATTTTGGAAATATGGCGTGAAAATATTTACGCTAAATTTAGCGGGAAAATTTTCTGCTAGATTTAGCAGGGAACCTTTTTCCGCCAGATTTAGCGGGGAAATTTACTCATAATGCACCGAGCGGTTACACGCCGACGGCAACGGCAACGCCGACACTGCTCAAGCCGGAAACGGGCACTTAAGAGCTGCGCTTTAAAGTAACTTAAACATAACACTGTTTCTTTTTAAAACTAACAAAAAATTACTTTTTTGTTGTGGAACTGTAACTTCACTACTTTTATCTGACAGTAACTGCAACTGTAGAGAATTACTTCCTCAAAGTAACTTACCCACTACTGCTGACAAAGATGCACTTTTTGGACTGCTTTTTTTTTTTTATGAACTCCAAAATTGGCTTGATCATGTAAAGTGCTGCTAGGAACTTTGCTTACCCAGCACCTCCACCAGTTCCTAAGGTCTTATGGCACGATGATTAAATGTGTTGAGATCAACAGGCTGCTTTGGAGCATCATTTGGGTGTAAAAGAAATTAAAAGAAATAAACAAATAAACTGAGAGCAATTAAAATTTTCACAAGGTGGTCTTTGGGTAGTAAATTTTTCATACTCAAATTTCATACCGTAGATCTTAGAAAAAAAGGTTCATCCTAAAAACTCCCGTTTTATTTTTGTTTGTTTTATGCACAGGAAGGAAAACGGTAGAACCCATCTCGTCAACACTGCCACTCACAGATGGCAAAACATAAAGCAGAAATGTGAAAGCTTCGTTGACATAAACACCCAAAAGCAGATTCAGCAGATCAGAGCGTGTGTGGGTCTGCAGGTAGAATGCCAAAGAAACGCCTGACTTGGTACGAGCTTGGCAATCCTAGGGGCCTTATTCGGACCTACTATGGTTTAGCTCCAAAGCGTTATTTAATGCCCGGAGCACTTTTCTTTGGCGCTTCTATGACTTTTCTTTGGCTCGCCACATCTGCCAAACAAACTTGAGCCAAGGATGCCCCGTACGAACCAAAGAACCAAGAGTAAAGCCTAAATCCAGCACTAGTTCGGCAAATTAGGCCCAAAGTTGCCACATGAAAAACAAACAACCAAAAGTGAAGCCTTATTTTCTGACACTTTTTGTTTGGAGGTGACAGCCAAACCACCAGCAAAGAAGCCTGGCACTCGTTTGGCAAATTAGGGCCAAGATACTCCGGCTCCGGCCAAAGACGGTCAAGTCAGGCTCTACCTTTGCTGCTTGGGTCTTTTCGATGCCCTAAATTCCCAGACGAAAACCCAACCTTGGCCCAAAGAATGGTGCGACACGGGATGCCTCGACTGAACGAGAGAATGTCCGGGCGCACCTGTAGGGCGTTGTAGAGCAGCTGGTGCTCGAACTTCTTGACCCCGAGCACCCCCTGGAACATGTCGTAGAGCTGCTCCTTGCTGAGCAGCAGCTCCGAGTGGGGCAGGAGCGCCCCGTGGGCGTTGCGACCGCCCCCCGGGTGCTGACTCGAGCGTCGCGTGTCCTCGTCGCCGCGGAAGATGGCGTCGAACTTGGTCATCCAGGAACTAAGCACCGTCTCCTTGCTGAGGCCGTCGATCTCCGGCAGGCTGCGGACCCGCTTGTCCACGTTGTTGCGGAACACCTCGCGGAAGTCGTGGCCCGAGCACGCCCCGCTGGCCACCATCCGCTGCACGCGGTCGCTCCGGAGAAACACCTCCTGGTAGCTCTGTACTGCTTTCTGGAAGGCCTCATCCGCCGCTATCTGCGTCTCCCCCTTCAGGAACGCCTGCGCCAAGAGCAATGACACACTGACGCACCTCGCAGCTCTTAATGCAGAAGCTGCTTTCGGAGTAGTTTTCTAAGAGAAAATCGTCATCAACAAGCATCATGCACGAGGATCAGAAACGAGCAGCAGAAACGATGGACACGAACGAGCGACATGCTGTGAACGTTGCACAACGTTAATGTAGAGTTTAAGTTTAACTCAAGCGCCAGCAGGGCTTGAACCTCGGTCGATGTGATGGCAGCAGGATATCACCGAGCTGCGTAGCACAGTTACAATGGGAGCTATGCACTCCCGGCAAAACGTGAAGTCACGCTATGTGACCACTCGCCTCGCTGACGTCGTGCAAGAGTCTGTGCCTGTGTGGCACGCTTGTTCACTTGGTCTCTTTCTGGCTAACGTCGATGGTGCACAATGAAACAACTGGCACAAACCGGAGTGTGATTTGTGCAGCACATATTTTGTGTTCCCTGGTTTCTATCAGCATGATCAAGCTTGTGTAATTTTTTGCCATTTGTCAATGTGTCACTGCTGATGCATGCAAAAGCCCTTTATCATAATCACTTGTATTCTTCCCTCAGGAGGATGAATGGAGAATAAGCCACTCGCCGTGGAGCATGAACATACACTTTCCCATCAAGCTCATTCACTGAAGTGTTAGTTGTGACATGAAAACGGTTCCACATGGTTCTTACAGATTGGTGATACAGCACGCAATAAACAAGAATAAATATAGGCTGTAGACAGGGCAAGTGCTGAACTTCAACTAAGCATTTAAGTTCAGCGCCCGTCCCGTCTACTTTTAATGGTAGAATCATTAATTCAAACTCCAGGAAGTCACGAATTTTGTTTGAATTAGCGGAAGTTTGAATAGTCAGAAATTCATCTAAATATGGTGAATGATAAAATTATGATTTGCCATATGAATAGGTACACATACACTGCTGATATTTGATGATATCCTCTACATAGACCTACTGATCATGAGCAGGTATGCCACACATGAAACATTTGTGAATTATGTGACATAATATTATTTCTCCCTCAAAAATGTTGTTTATCATGTTCTGTTTAGACAGTCAATGACAACTCAAAACAAAATTAAGTTTGTTCATCAGGCAAAGAAGTTGTCTAAAGTGAACTATTAGCGGGGGATACGTGAGTGATGAAAACCAGCACCGCGCAGCATTTTCATAGCAAATTGTGCGGCCGCTGTGACGTGAACAAAGGTCATGCCGGCATGTCATAGCGTCCGCGCAAGTTGGTATGTAAAGTTCATGTGGTGCCCGTTTTCATAGTTCATGGTGCCCTGTTTAAAGGGGTACTCCACCGGTTTTTTCATTGTCTCCGATTTGCTTGAAATTTTGCTAAACTAACCAAGAAACATTGCTAAAATAGTATCCCAAATATTAGGTCAAAATATTGTTCTTTCGCGAAGTTATTGAATTTACAGTTTTGGTCTTCACCATGTTTTTCAAACTGAAAGTCTCTACTGGCGACAACAACAAAGTGATGTCAGTGGAAGGCAGGGGTTCACTCTTTGGACTGTAGAATTTGTTCCCAACGGATTTGAAGCAGTTTCTTGGTGTCAAATGAGTGCTTTGGAAGCTCGCTCCCCTATCCGCGCTCCAGCACGGAACAAATGATTGGCATATTCTATTTTTAGACTACTTGCTCGACTGGCAAGCCTGCCTGCCACTGACGTCACGGCACTGAAAAGTGCGCGAATATTTGAATATTGGTTTTTGCACCATTTTCATTTGCCGATTTCACAATACCTATTATGAATTTTGCGATGCTAAATAGCATACCGGAAAGGCTAAAGGACGGGGAGTCAGAGAATATAGTTAGTTGAGGTAGCTCAAAAAATCGGTGGAGTACCCCTTTAACCCCCTTGAGTGTGGTTCTCACCGAGCACCAATGCACTACGGAGAGGGAACACTCGCGGAAGCAAGCTTCGCGGGTGTTGCCTCTCTGCAGTGCACCGGTGCTCGGAGAGAAGCGCACTCAACGGGGCAGCGAGAGCAAAAAGTATGAATAGCACGAAAACGTATTCGAATGAAGCGGCTTGTGAATACATTAAAAACATAGTGGGACGACCAAAATTTTGAAATTTGTTTGAATTAGCCAGAAGTATGAAATATACTACTATGAATTATCGTGAGCCTACTGTATCTTTATCCTAGTTTATTGCACGCTATATGTATTATCAATTTGCAAGAATTAAACTTTCCCGCATCGCCACTTTGATCGATGTGGTTTTTTCGGAAAAAAAAATGTGCGCAGATGGTTCTATGTCCTTATCTTTAGTAGCCATCACTAAGTACTGAATTCAGTATTCATGGTGGATTCACCAGAAATGTTAGAAATACCACATTCATAACTTTAAAAGAGTTTCCAGATATGAACCATGAATTTCAATCATTTTCTAGGGCTTCTCACACGACACAATGAAATTATTTTTCAATACTTCACCATAAATATATGCAGTGGTGGTGGATTAAGAACTAATGAATGAGCTCTCAAGCGAAGGCTGGGGACATGTAATGTTGTCCTGTGGAGTCTTCTGTAATTGCTGAAATAAGCCAAAGAAAAACTGAAAGGTAAGACATATAGAAATAGCATGCTATTTGAAGAGGATATAAACTGGCACTAAAAAGACAGAACATTGAGGTACTCCATCGTAGTCTTTGATTGCTCAAACCGCAAAACACAAGAACCTCTCGGATTCTCTAGAAACTGTCTGGAGGATTCTCTAAAAACTACCTCGTTTAATTAGAAGCAAAATGTCAGTTGCAAATATTAGTGTCTGCCGGTTGCATGAGGGCACCAAGTGGTGGGACCACGCACCTGGCATCAGAATTTGCATAGTAGGGTCACAAAATCAAACCGTTGTACGTAGCTACTGCCTCTTGGCTCTACTTCAAGAGAAGAATTCACTCTCCTCATCCTCTTACTGTGAACCATCCTTTGCATGACCACCAGCCCCTCGCATTTAGTCGCACATGTGACCTTGATGTGACCTCTGTTCTAACATTCAAATGCAGTTTAAGTCTCCTTCCTCTTCTGTTGGCTTATTGTCTCTCCGTTTACCAACTGCACCATGTCAAAGGAGTTGTGTGTACCATCTCCAACAGCCAGTGCACCCTGCCTTCAATGCCTTTGTATGGCTGCTGGCCAGGGCTGGTACACTGTTGTGCCACAGTAGTGTGAAAAAGAGCAATGCCGGAACGACCAGCAAGTAAGTCATGTTCAGCTACATAAATAAACCATGTTTTATAGTAAACATCACGAAAGGCATGGCTGTCACCTTTGCCAAAGTGCTTCACAAATGCCGTTTTTGTAAAATATGTATGGTGAAAGCAAAGGCCGGTTCACACACTTGTAACTGCTTATGACCATGTTCCTTAATTGGAAACTCTGCTACATTCTCGCTTGTGAGAAAACAATAGTTCTCTTTGTAATCTATTTAGAGAGGCTGCATGTCAAATATTAGAATGTAATATCTCCTAAAAGTACATTTAACCGGCCAACAAAGACTGTGATGCCTGAAGTCACCAAAATCCGCTGGTTTAACAGGCGACGTGAAGAGCAGCCACCATTGTACTTCCGTTGTGGCTGACTGACGTCTGTTGCATACAAAGTTGGTTGCATACACAGCTTTTTTTCTTTCTATTTTCTTTTCCAGGGAGAGCTTACCAGACGGTAAGCTCTTCCTCGAAAAAAAGAGAAACCAGAAGAGGGAGGAAGTTGTAAGGGATGTTGCACGGTGCAAGTAGTCTCGTCAAGTAACTAGCCACCTGGGTTGCCGCCTACACAGTCTGCTTCGTCACCGCTCGCGTTGCCTGCTTAGCTGCCGCGGATGCTCGCCCTTTTGCGAGCATCCGCGTCTTCTGGGTTACTGCAGGTAGATCACATGATCCCTTGTATCCTACCTTGGTACATAAGCAACTGACGTCCGGGGAACAATGTTGCCTGGCTTTGCCAAAGTTTCAGTATCGGTTTGCGATTACGGTAAATAACAAGACTGCCCGAAAAATGTTTTGGTTTTCATGAGACTAACGGTCTAGGGTTGTTTTTAAATACATGTAACGTTTATATCACCCACTATCTCGAAATTTCCACAGCTGACCAGAGTTGCCCTTTAGAACCCCTTAAGATCTCTTAATATCAGAGAACACACTGCCACCTTTATCCGGTAGCCGGGGAACAAAAAACGTTTCCATAAATTTCTTTTTTCACGCATCATTCTTTCTTTTTTGGCTTGAAAAACTGTTGACAATGTTATAAACAACTACGAATTTGATCTCGCAAATATCGTAAAACCTTCGCTCTAGTGAGATGCAGTTTCAGGGCCACCTCATAGATGGTACCAGTGTGCCAGTGCATTCTCTCATCGTAAAAAGTTACAAGAATATGGTCCTAAGGAAACACAAGTGTGTGAACGGGCCTTACTACTGAAATGTATGGCCTCTTTCTGACAAAGACGAACAGACGAAGAGTCACCACCTCACCCAACCAGACACATTCTGACACCAAAGGTGGAGGGGGCCGTGATTTCACGAGATGTTTAGATTTTCGTGGCAGAAATGTAGCTTTCGGTGCTTGAGAACTCGTTGTGTAATCAATGTGTTTAGATACTGGCTAAATTTTGTATTTGTAATTAGAAACTCCTGTTGTTGTTGTTTTTTCACCAGTGTGTGTTCCATTTTACTGCTAAAATGCTCTTGCACTGATGGGTATGCTTAAGGCCCTCCATTTACTCGTTAAATCGGGAGCTATTTTTAAAACTAATGTTCCGGAAACTACTATATTGAGGTACTGCTAATTTCAGGTTTCAGTTTTATATTATCAAGATTTTTTTTTTTTTTCTCACAAACCAAGAAATAATGTTTTGAAAGAAATAAGAAAAAAACAGTCGAGATCAGTGTGCCTCTTGAGATGTAATATATATGAAGTATATTTGGCTAATATTTTATCTGAAACATGGCAGGAAAGTAGCAAAAGCTAGGTTTGGAACCTCAGAATGAAGATGCCTTAGAAAGCTGCAAAATACCGGCGGATGTTTTGCTAAGAAAGTGACTAAGCACAGCTATCTCGAAAAGTGCTGCCTACCCTCTATCTCCAGGTCTAAAGATACTTATTTTTGAACTTAGAAAGGTCTGAAAAGATGTCATAAAATACTTAGCCAGTGAATATGCAAGGTTTGGGGTTAATCTCTAAAAACTAAAGGATCGGCGCTTGTTAGGTTTAAAAGCAAAAAGGCAGATGGGGTGTGTGATAGGGTGGGCTTCACCGCTTTGCACCAGGGCGCTTGGAGAAGCAGCTAACAAGGATCTTGGTTAGCTGGATGGGCTCGAAAGACTGGGCACGGACACTTGGTAAGCCCTTTGCTTTATTTTCAAACGTTTCGAAAGTAGCAGGTGGGCGCTTATCATGACAATGTCGGCAATCAACAGAATTTGGCCATATTTTCAACACGAGCTTGAATTTATAATCTAATCTTTCAGAAAACATGCTTTGACTTTTCTTAAAAACATAAATATTTTGCATGCTGAGAACATATAAATAAATTATTTTATTTGTTATCTACAAGCAATAGGATTTTTTTTTTCTTATCCTTGGGTAAGCAATTTGTAACACAATCATTTCATTTCATTTATTTTATCTCAAAAGCCATCTAGGGATGCCGCTCCTATTCTCTAAGCTTCAATGGGAACCAACTTGTCATGAAGAAATATACTATATAAAATAGGGGATTGCTGAACTACTTGGTTGATTGACGTAAAGAAAAAAAAAAGAAGTGCAAAAAGGATGGGACATAGTTGCTATGTCCTCTGTGTGTGCATGTGTTTTTTCTGGTTTTGTACCATTCTTTCTGAGCTTGTTTTTGGCTCGATATGTCACAAAGAATGCATTGTAGTTTCATTTGTATCCTTAGCATAGATATTATGTAAGATTTAGATATCAATATATGGGGACACCAAACTTTGAGATCCCTACGCAATATAAATTATGTTTTAAAGAATTCAAAGATCTCCAAGTCCATTATTTGAAAACTACATGTTCTATTGATTCTGTTGCCTAGCTGTACCCAACAATTACTGAACAGCCAATCACACTACTGTAGACCAGAACCAGTGGAAGACACATACAGACACAGCACTGTCTTTTACCTTTATTTATTCTGGTCCAGGGGCAGATGCAGGTGTTTCCATACAGGGGGTAGGGGGTTAGCATATGAGATGTTTGAGAAAACATGCCCGCCCCTCCCCCCTCCCCCCTCTAAATCCACCACTGTTCTCATCATGCATTACTGTAATTGGCCATTTAGTAAATCAATTGGCTTTGTTGTATGACCCCAAGACTTCACCAGGAAGGAAAACAATTTCCTTTCTGGTGAAGTCTTCAGCTCATTGAATGTGTGTATGTCACTGATTCTCAAAATGTGGAATGCAGACGCATAATGCTGCACATATATTATTCAATAATGGCAAAGATGCTTCTTTGTATGCAGCAATTAAAAGGGTCCACATGTTTGATTCAAATCTGTGAAGTGACATACTCCTTTCTCTGTTATTTAATAGAGCAATAAAGCTTCTCAAATTAATTAACTACCCTGTGCTGTTAGAAGATGCAGGAAAGATAACCTGCTCTACATATGTAATCTAGTATATCAAGGGTGCTATTGTGTTTCTGAAGAACATTTTGAAATCAAAAGCATTTATAACTTTCATTCTTGGCACTAGTCAACATTACAGCGTCCATCATGTCTATAACTTGGAAGGCTGAGATGCAAAGCCTTTCGGTCTGGTCTAACCCATACTAATTACGCAAAAAATGACGAGGGAAGTGAGCTGCACATGCAATCACAATTACTAGTAGAACAATAAAAAGCTCAGCATTTTTTCTCGTGTTTCTCTTTTGCCGTTTGGCATGGGCCATAAGGCACAATACTGACGTCTCTAAGTGTTATAGCGCTGTCAGGCAATTCCCATGTCAGGTTACCAAACAACGCTCACAACTGCACGTTGGCATGTTGTACTTCGGAGCAGGAGGGTTGCCCCCCAATATTTCAGACTTTTCTATAGGCGACGAAATGTTTTGGGGGCTCCCCAGCTTTTTAGGTTCATCTGTGACGTCCCGAAGACGATTATCGGTTGCCAGCGACAATTTCGAAGGAGTGTGTGTAAAAACCATGGCGGAAGCTTGGAATCATTGCATCCTTCAACTAACAATGTTAAAGTTGACAGTCTGACATTCCTCTTATCTCCATTAATAAAAGTTGAATTTATCCTACTCAAGACGTCACAGTGAGCGTTTGGCCAAACGCAGTATATGCGCTCGTTGACTTGCCCGCAGGTTCTTGGCTATGCAGGCGACGAGTATTATCAAAGGCAGAAAGCTCGCACTGAAGTCGAGTGGAGCATCCACTGAATTCTGCACCTGTTACCAACTACAGTAAACAATCTGGGGAAAGGGAAATCCCCCTCTTGTCCTCTGTCCCCTACACAATTCCGACGCCAACCATAGGCAGATCCGCCAGTTGCATATATGAAGGCTGCCTTCACGTCCTTCTTGGGTAGGGCTGGAGGCCAGAACGGAGGGGGTAAGGTTAGTTTTAGGTGCGGGTAGGGCGCACAGGAGGGTGCCGGCTCACCTGGAACCTCGCCTGAATGGTGTCCAGCTGCTGCTTTGTGATCTTGGTCTGGCGACGCGTCATGTCTGTCGGCTGCTTTGCGTTGAACGGGTACGCGATGGTGCGCAGCACGAACACGTACAGCTGGAGCCTCTTCTTGCGCTCCTCTTCCTCGCGTTCGGCCCGGTCCGCGTCGTCCTTCTCGCTCACCAGCGACGGGCTCGGACTCGACGGCCTGGCCAGGCTGTTTGAGCGCGACTGGGACACGCCGCTGGCCACGCTTAGCGTCTCGCCCGCCACCGAGGGGGACAAGCTCCGCGTCACGCTCACGCTGCGGGGAAGCTCCAGGCTGCTGCCGCCGCCGCTGCCGCTGGCCGCCGCAGCCGCCGCCACGGACGACGACAGGATCGTCGCCTCCGAGCTCTCATCTTCGACCGTCTCGTTGTCGCTGCCGCCTTCCTCCTCGGACGAGGACGGCTCGAGCATGCTGGAGACCCCACGCGCAATTAGGGACTCGGCGCGGCCCGTCGCAGCACCCCCGTGTCTGCGGCACTCATTGACTCGGGGGCGCGAGGCCTAGGGGCGCTGGGAACCGCGGCCGCCTTCTTCCCTATTTTTCGGCCTTCCCTCAGCGGGTTCGGGAGGCCGCGCTGCGGCAATCGGGCGCTGGGATTCCGTGTGCGTGTTTCGGGCGAAGCCGGTTACCTGGACTGCGGCATCTCGTAACGGTCTCGCTAGCCCCGCATCGGCCGCATCGTAACCGCCGAGCGCTCTTGGGTGCGCGGACGGCAGCGCGACGCCGCTGCTCACGTCAGCCAGTGGAGTAGGTCGCGCAAGCGCGCCAGCGAGATGATGCGCTTCGCGCGGCGCGAGGCTTTTCTCACGCTGCCGCTCTATGGGCGGGGTTCACGGAGACCACGTGACGCGCGATCTGCGACTGCAGGCGACGGCAAAGCAGGTGTTTGCGCTACGCTGTTCTTCACGTCCTCTACCAACCGTGCAATTTTTTTATTCTTTTTTTTTTATGCGGGGTTATTTTCGAGATCATTTAAATTCTTTCTTTTTCCTCGTTTCTGCGCTACGCCTAGCTGTGCGAATAGGTGTGATGGGTAATGGTTTGATGCACCGCGCTGTTGTTGTTACCCATATTTATGTTTTGTTTCCATATAAGCTGTTTACTATTAGTACGATTCAAAAATTAAAGAAATATACTTAATAATATCACTTGTGTATTCAGAAAATAACCGATTCAAAAACGGTTTGATAGTCAATAAATTGCGCCTTATTCCCGAGAATAATTAAATTAAACACGAATGCGTTTCACGTAAAAATATTCTGTCAACCAGCTTAATCTCCTGCACGGAAATACACCAACATAAAGACACTATTTAATTCTGCGTGCTCCTTTTTTTATTTGATCTTTCTATTCAAATTTTGCAGCGTGCGTAACCGAAGACTGGCTTCGCTGCAACGCACGCGTGCTGTGATGTGAAGCCCGCCAATTGTTTTCCCGAACCAAAATCCTCATCACTATCGCACCAAACTTTTTTTTTTTTTTTTTATTAACACAGCAATGTAGCGAAGCGTGCTAGCGTGTTTACCGCGGATGATCGCTTAAGAAAAAGTGTGCGATTGATCGAATAATATTGAAGGTGATCCGATGGTTTTGGGTGTTTGTAGGCACGGGCTTCGGCCTTTCTGCATTGTTCTCCACTCTCCTCAGTTAAATAAATGAAATGAAATGAAGTGACTTCTCACAACTTATACTGTGCACACCTAATTTACCTGCGTGTGCAAATAAAGAAATGATCGAGGAGAGGCTTGAAGCAGCTTTTTGCCCTCAGATATGCTACCGTATTTTCTTAGAAAGAAAGAAATAGAGGTGTGGCGAATATAAATTATTACAGCAGACTTTGAATACCGATATTAAAATCTGACTGCGAATCAAATTCTAATGTTTAAAAATTGTTTTTTTTTCTTTTTTAGCTTTAATACAAATCTAACATTGATATTTTAAGAAGTTACGGCTGGAAACATTGTATTTAAATCATCCTGAAAAGGAACGGTTTTGTCACATGAAAAATATTTGACCTTCAAAGGCAGTGATGACATCAATTATGTAAAACATTGTGCGACAAGAAGAGGAATTAATAATTTATTTGAATATAGCGCTTGATGCTTTTTTGCCTATCCAACCGATCGAGTTGCTCGAACACGTATATTTCTCCTGACTCACTGATGTAAAACAGTGAAGCTCGACTTCGGAAGATGGAGAATTGCCAAGACATTAATCGTAATTTCCAAATATTCAAAAAAAAAAAACGAAAAAAAAAAAAAAACGACGAATGAAGCACTTAAAAAAAAAAAAATTGGGTTGTATGTTTATACAGCCTAAAACTTGGTCTGCCTCAACAAGCGACGAGTCTCCCAGCTGTAGATGAGCAATTTAGCCAGTGCGGTACAACCGCTAGCCTGGGGTCTTTAACGTGCATCACGCAGTATAGTGATACACGACCGCACGCCGGTACGATGCTCATCCAGATCGAAACGGGCAGGGGTGGGGATTGAGCCCAGGATCCTTTGCAGCGCGAGCTTTCGCTCCACGTGCTCCGAGCTGGTGTGCGCTAGACCACTCGGCCACCGGTGAAGAGTGCTGCGAATAAAATCGAATATAAAACACTATACGCGAATTATTCGTAATTTTATATATTCGATCGCACACCTCTAAAACTAATTTAAATTTCCTTCTACCCTCTAAATTTATGCTGCTACATTGCATTTATATATATATATATATATATATATATATATATATATATATATATATATATATATATATATATAATGGGAATGGGTGAAGATTAACAAGTGCAGCCGTATAATATTGTGAACGAAGAGAGGAGAAGGTAATTATTGAATTTATTGCATTAAAGATAGGGAAAAGGAAAGGGAAGGAGAGCTGGCGAAAAATTGGGCCAGGAGCGGGGATTGAACGCTGATTGAACCCGCAACCTTCGAAGGTTGCGGGTTCAATCCCCGCTCCTGGCCCAATTTTTCGCCAGCTCTCTTTCCCTTTCCCTAACTTTAATGCAATAAATTCAATAATTAGCTTCTCCCCTCTTCGTTCACTATATATATATATGGTTCTTTTTTTTTTTTTTTTTTTTTTTGTAAAATTTGCAGAGCGAGCTTACCTGAAGGTAAAGTAAAGAAAAAAAAAAAGCTTAGCTCCAAAACCGAAACTTTGTGTTTTTTCGATTAATGTAATCTTGTTTAAATGAAAGTCTTGCGTGGTTTGAGTTTAGTATTTATTAATTTATTATGTACAAAACAGACGCAATCACAAGACTAAATTGAAGAAACTAAGGCATTGTGCGCATGTCTTGACCAAATTCTCTGAATTAGGCGGCAACTAGCGCCATCAGGCCAGTATTATTAGCGTTAAATTATTATAAGTTCGGGTTTATTTGAGTGTTTCTTGCCTTATATTTATGCAAACTTTCAGACTATAAAAAATTTAATTTTTTTGTCGTAATAATTAAGAAAAACGTCAATAAACTTATTTCCATTTAAATATGAACCTACTATCTAGTTTCGTTTTCGAGCAAACGTCCACCCGTAAAATATTGGAACTCCGCTACAACCGCAACCAGTTTCCTTCACCATGGTCCTTCAGTGGTGACAGACAATCGTCAGAACCGCCTATAAATACGCAAAAATAGCTGTCATGTCCGCATTTTCTCCGAAAAAGAACTTATTTATTTTATTTATGCCCATCTAGCGAATACGCATGCAATCTAGTATTTCCAGAAAATCCTTCTGAAAAAAGTGACACCGTTTGCAAATTCTTATACAGAACAGGGTGTTATGTGCAGAAAAGTTTCACTGTAAAAGACTGTAAAATCAGGGGCAAAAGTGCGAGACACCCTTGGAGACACCGCACCCTAGCATTCCAACCAGCCTTGGTTCACTTCGTTACAACTTCAAAACTTTAACTGTGTGCTGGCTATTACTCCAATGGCTTAGAATAATGCGCAATCTAATCTGTCCAGAGACATGACACCGATTTCCTCGCGCCGTTAATTCGGGTAACTAAAGTTAAGTCAACATTTAAGGAGACATAATACGATAAGGCGCGGCGTTGCGATCGAGGTATTAGGACCGCACTGACCCTTGCAAACAGATAAGAGGCCCCCGCGTTGTCAAACACTGAATGGCCGCCATTTCTCTCGTACGAATATTTGAATGTGTCTCTATGTGGACCACAGTATTCGCAGTTTCTGCAAATACAGGGATAAAGAGGTTAGCCCGGTTGCTCGAGGAGTAAAAGGGTGGAACGGACTGGCGCATCGACGGGACCCCAGCGACACCCGAAGGCCCTGAATTGGAGACTTTGTTTCGGGTGCACCTCTCGCTCGTTCCGAACACCTCCTATGTGACAGAACCCATCACCCGTGCTAACATCTCGACTTCTCTCAGCGAGTGAGCATGGTCTGAGGCTGGCATCTACTGCGTCGTGCCCAAGTGAGTTGCCCACGGGCACACACACTTCACGGATCTGGCTGATGAAGCCGCGCGAGTCAGTGCTCGTAGAACGATCGTCTTGCGGGGTTTGGAGACTTCGGAAACAGTCTCGAAACCTTAAAGGCTCCACAGAAACTACCGGGATTGGACGGTAGATAGAGTCAACCGCACGCTGGAGAAAATGATCGAACCATTTCGCGAGGAATATACCAATCGGAACTACTTGGAACTCGCGGTTCGCTCCTCATCTGCATCACTCGTACCGACCTCGGAGGTTGAACACCTATCTTCGAGAAATACGCTTAACACGTTTATTTGGTAAATGGCGGTGGGAGTTACACACACTCCTATGGAAATCCGCGGAACGAGAAGCGACGAAGAACGAAAAAGTGCGCTTACTACTCCCCGTAGTTCGCGTCCATGGTTTAGGCCTAGAGCGGCACCGTTCGCACAAAAGCTGGCTCCCTCGAGCCGTCGCCGCCACACAAATCCGCTTCTCGGAACAGAGGCGCTCTTTTCAAGAGCTTTCTGCCCATAAGAGCTCGTAGGACCCCGCGAGTTACCCTTTGCCGTGGGGAAGTCGCGCGTCAACAACGTTGTCGCGACGCCTCGAAGCTCGAAAAGGTTTTCTTGGGAGCCCGTCCCCGACGGTCGAGGAAACTTGCTTCGCGCCGTCGAACGACGCTGTTCGGGCCTTTTCTGGACGCGTGCATTCCTGGTATACATCGTAGAAAGCGACGTCGTTATCGTAGGCTGCCGTCGTCTGATTGTGTGGCGAGAGGACCGAGAAAACACGGGCTGGAATGTAAACAGGCTTCGCGCAGATGGTGTTGCTGCGCAGTGTCTTTTATGTTGACGCGGTTTTTTTGTTTTGTTTGCGAACAGTGTTGCGTTCCGGTGCCACCGTACGGCGTTCTTTTACGTCCGCCCGAGAAGCAAAACCAAAGTGGGTTGAGCAGCTATCAGGTTTGTTCGGTGGGAAGTGCCGCTGGCGGCGAGAAAGTTTGCCCTGTCGAGCAGCAGCGGGAGACGTCCATCAGACGGGCCGTCCCTATCCTCCCTCCCCTGGAAAGACAAATGGGTGCGACCCGGGCGGCGGGTAAAAGAAGAAAAGTGAAAGTGGGCCTCTGTGGTTCCCCCTCCCTCCTGCCGCCTTTGATTCCTCGGCCTCCTCCCCGCATTACGGCGCGCTTGGACTCGGTCCAGAGCTTGCGTTGCTTCGTCTCCGCTTGGCCGTGGTTACCCGGATGGTGTCCCGTCGTGCACCGCGCCCGTCTGCTGCGCGGCGCCTTCTGCAGCCAACACCGTCTTTTGTTGTTTATTCCTCTTCTAATATTTGCTTTTCTTTTTTGTTTTTATTATATTATTGGGGAGGGGGTGATTTCTGGTGCAGCCGCTAGGTGACGACATGGCGCGGCGGTCGCTTTCTGCGCATTCAAGTTGCGCGCGATCGTCTGCTCTTTTTTTTTCTTCTTTTTGCGTTTCGTTGTTTTAGTTGGGCAATAGAATCTGATCGCTTGATATGGTTAAGTGGCCTCGTTCGCGCGATCTCGTATATTTTTTGCAGATTCCGTGGTCAGAGCAACGAATGGCGCGTCTTCTTTGGCGCGCTGTGAATGGTATCCCCGTTGCGGCGATTGAAGCTTGTGTTTGGTGTTTTTGTGGGCGACGCCGTGGCGATGGTGCGGGCGGGTGAAGTCGGCGCTTTGTTCCGTCTCTTGGGTCAACTGTGACGGAAGGAGTTATCGCGGCCGTCGAGGTTGGCGATGGGTGTGCGTACCCACCCTTTCCCAGGGGGCGAGTTCGTGGCGAAGCTCTCTGCTTCGCGGGTTCCACCACAAGCCAGCGAGAGAGAACTGTGACGGTCGGGGGCTGAACTTGCTACCGAATAAAACGATCACTCCGGCGTCACTCGTTTTTCGAGCATCTGCGTGGATGGCGTCCCTCTGCCTGGTGCTACTAGGCTGGCCCGACTGGCATTCGCCGCGCTCTTTTTCTGCTTTTCTTGCTCTAGCGGGTTTTTCCCGATGGACTGGTGGAGAGCACGATTCTTGACTCCCATCGAATCTGGACGATTGCTCGCGCCGCCTAGCGAGCTACCGCAGTTAGAATTGGGCGGTAGCGTGCGCCATCTTCGCACTTTAGGCAGAGGAAATGGTGCTTTCCTTTTCTGCTTTTCTTTTGCCCTTTACATTCTCTCTCTCTCCCTGGGTGCCGCTGATGTGGTGTTTGCAATTTACCGCTGTCCGACAGTGACAATTTCCCTCTGGCTCCAGGGCAAAGCGCCAACCCATGGATCCCCACTTCGGGGTTAGAATCCCGGTCATTTGTCCGCAATCTGACGAAGGCTCATTGCCGAGTGAACTCCGTGCAACCGAGCTTTCGGTTGCACTTCAACAGACCCCCGGGGGGGTCGACGTTCATACTCAGTTCTTCGCCAGAGCATACCAGATGCTCTTCTTCGGTTTGGCTTATAAAATTTCCAAATTTGGTACGGTGATGAAACCAGCTTCAGGGCTACTGATATAGGATGCCGGTGTGTTCGGAAGACGTCGCAAGCGGTCCTCACAGTCAAACGCAAACTTGCGAACCAGCCTTTAGCGTACCCATCTATGCACAATTGCAAGCAGTGCATCCGCTCGTGTGAACAAGCATGGGCAACTACAACCCTGCCACATTTGTGTTCATATGCAGTCTGCTCATGCTCGTGCGTGTGGTGCACCAGCTGGGACACCACGCTTGCAGTTGTGTGCGGGAGAATGCGAAATTCGATTGGGTAATTTGACCACCCAGAGTTTTTTTAATGTGACAGGTACCTAGGTTTAATAAGGATGTGAAGTGGTCGTCGGTACACCTAATGGGGACTGTTGCCTATGCCTGTCATGGTGCCTTTGTGCAGTTGCGTTGGAATAATAATAATGGCCTTCATTTACTGCATAAATATGGCAGGAGCGGAGGAAAAAATTGCGCTAGAAGCTTGACTGGTTCTCAGCCCCCACAGGTATGCGGCAGTTGCTAAAAGCTTGCGCAAAGTATCATAATGCAAATACTTTGTAAACAAAAACCAATAAAAAAAAGTACCAAACAATCGACAACGGTACTATATGTTTATATTGATAAACAAATATTCTCTAATATCAGGTGTACTACGAGATCTAAGTGATGCCAAAAATAGAAAGCTATTTGTCTCACAACATTCCTTTTTGTACTTTGTGTAAGGTTAAAATTCATGGTATTGAAATATTTTTAAAACACCCAGCCTCTCAGAAAGTTGGTTAGTATGATTATTACAAGGCATGCCACACTCGATTCTTATCATCTTTTCTGTAGTAAGAATACTTTCTTGGAGTTCAGTTTTGGTTGTCTAACCCCAGACTAAATTATGGTAGTCCAGATCGAACACAAATAATGAGTTATATAGAAGCAACTTCGGTTGGACATGTTTACTCCAAGTCATGTGCTTTGTGAAAATCGTCCCCCCATGTTTAAACACTATTTCAATAGGTGAGGAGTCGAAATAAATATCACTTGAAAAGTCCAGATTTCTATTTTTGAATCTAAAGAAGGTGGCCTTTCAAATGATTTCTCAAGTTTTTCTTAGTGTTTTTTTTTTGGGGGGGGGGGGGGGGGGTAGGAAACCATTGATCCTGTTTGTTTGTTTTTTTTTTTTTTGCGAGGTAAACAATGTCAGTTGTTGTCAATTGGAACATGATGCCGTATTGTTCCGACATCATCTGCACAGATTGTTCAATGCCATCAGTGGTTCCCTTTAGGCTTTTGAGAATTTCAAGCTTATGGTTGGTGGCAGCAAACATCCCGGCAAAATCTGTTTCCGACAGTCTGGTTTCCTTTCTTGTTTGCCTCTTTTTACACGTTTAACATTCTTGTCTAGTACTTTCCCCTTTCTTTTTGATTGAAGCTTCGGATATTCCACTGCACGACCAGAACTGATAATTATAGGAACGTTCGGAGCAGGCTGCGACGGGTTCATCAGCGAGAGATTTGCCACATGGCAAACATATGTCATTCATGGTACTAGACACAGGCTACATGGCAGCAGCAGCGGTAAACAGAGATACGTCAAACGAAACAGGCGTAAGATGAACCTGAAAATACAGGATGTAGGCTGTTACGCTGCTTGCTCAGTTACCGCGTATGTTGGGGCTGGTGGAGCGGGTGGAGTGCAGCTGATCATATAACTTCAAGCATCATAATCCCCGTGCAGACGATCGAAGCGCCGCTGATCTTGCAGACGATTTTGCAGATTGATCGACCCATGTACTGGAGGGGACCGGTTCAGGTGCTGCCGGCCCAGTAGGTGACTTGCACAATGGAAGTTCCAAGATAGCTCAGATTATCAAAGGTCCGTTCCTGAAAATCCAGGACTTGGCCTGTTACGTTGCGTGCTCAGTTGCTGTCTGCCACGTTGTGTGCATGATACAGTCTGAAATTTCTTCATGCGGCCTCTAACCTGTGCTTGCCATTGGCACCCAGCTGAATTAACAAGCTGTGTCGAAACAGCTTGATAGAAGTCCTTGGTTTCCTTTTTGAAGACTCGCACCTTGTGTGTCCTGGAAGTAGTACAGAAGAAAGAGAATTTAAACATTCATGACATAAACGCAGCGTAAAACAAGTCGATCCGCAAAATGATGCCCTTATGGTTACCAAAATGCACTGCAAAGTAAAAAAAAAAAAAAAAAAAAAAAAAATTAATTTCTAAAAATAACTTTTTTTTTTAGGTTTATAGTTTTATCAAGGGGGAATCTCTGTTTGGGTCTTTTAGATCTAGGGCTAGGTTGGGGGCCACCGAAAAGAGGCAAAATTGTTTAATTTGTTCGCTGATTAGCTAAGATATTTTGATTAACTTTTTAAAATTTTCGGGTTTGGGGACATAATGTAGGTGGATTGATGCTCGACCACATTCTTATAGTCTAACCAGTTTTGAGCTTTGCGTTCTATGAACTAATAAAAGGGAGCGGAATCCCACTCCCGTGAAAGAACCAGGCTGGACTCGGGTTGTTTGACGAACCACGTGGGACCTGGCGTATCGGCGGCGGTACGCGATTTCCTACAAACCGTGACGTGAAATTTTGACTAAAAAATTTGTAGCGGGCACTGCGGGACAAGAAATACCCTCCTTGCACGTGGCTCGGAACCGGAACTAACCCTCAGAAATGCGCTTTTGATTTCCATCCCTCTGCTGTCCGTGTGGAGAAGGTTGACGGGGCACCAAATACTATTTCAAGGCGCATCCCAGGTCTTGTAGTACTGCATTGCCTCGAATGCATCCCCAACTGATGCGTTCAGCATCTTCTCCGGCCGACACGTCGAAAGTGGTTCCAAAGCGGCAACAGACGACGTAGCAAGAGCCGGCATGCCGCGCTGTGAGATGTCGCGATTGCGGCGTTCGGTGCTAGGAGTTTCGGCTAAAAGAAAGTGCGAGCGTAGCTGTCACGGCTTCCTGACTCCTAGCTGCCGAAACTTCCATCGACAGTGAAACTAGAGAGCGACCCCTTGTAGGACGTCACGAGACATAAATCGAGAGACCACTTTTGAGGACGCAGCAGACGGTCGTAGACGCATTGCAGGCACCGCAGTATTGTTTGCAGCTCGCTCGCAGTACCGTAGGAGAGGTGTGCTTGGCGGGGTGGTGACGCCCTCCCTCGGTGTCGCAGGGCAGCAGCATGGCTACGGCGGCCCCCGTGGCGGCGGCAGCGGAGGCCCCGAGTGGGGGAGCGGCCCAGCAGCGGGGGAGCCCCGTGTGGGGGCGGGGTCCGTCGGAGGGGCCCCAGGGAGCGGCCTGGCCCTGCTAACATGAGCCTGGCCCTGCCCCAGTCTCAGGCCCAGCCGCGACTGGGGGGCCCTACCCCCAATGGGGGGGCCCCCCCACATACGTCCTGCCTGCAGCCTCCAAGCAGCCTGCTACCCGGGTGAGCTCTGCCGCCCTCGTGGCGCAACGAGTCCCTTTCACGAAGAGAAACTCTCTGCTCGCCAAGATGGCTGGTTTCCGCCTCTCCGGCGTCTGCTCTGCTCCAGCGGAGGGCTTTGTGGGAGCACCTTGTCGCACAGTTCTTAACCTGCAACCGACTAGCGGTGGTTCTCGATCGCGGACGTTTTGGGAACCCCTTCTGGATGTGTGCGAATATTGAAATTTTTGAATATGAATATTAGAAAAAAATAGATATGAACGTCGGAATATATCAAATATGTGTGTACCATTAAGAAATGACAGAAGAAAATAGGCAAATACTTTTATTTATTACCTTCAAAACCAAAAATGATGGTAACAAATTCAAGGAAATGACACTACCTGACTGGGCAGCATATAAACAATGCAACTTGTAATACAGCTATGATGCCTTGACTAGTAATCAACTGTCAACTTTTACATGAAAGCGGGCAAAAGGTGCCACTGATAAGTTATAAAAATTGAAAAAAATTAAGAGCGTACAACACTGCACATGTCTAGATAGCGTGTAAAAATGCAACCTCTAATGTTGTCACACAAACAGCTGGTAGTGACCCTTTTAAGAAAATAATTAAAATTGCCCTTGACTAGTCAGAAAGTTAAATATCAACTGCTAATGCAATTATTTCAAATTGTCATACAAGAAAATTAGTTCTTCCAGATGTTCAGTAAAATCGCATCCTTTTCGCAGTGACAACTGCTCCTGCAGCAGAAAATATAAGGTCGATAGGAAAGGGACTCGTGATGCAGGCTTGGGAAAACGAAAGCCAAAACTGCTTCTTTGTAGTGAGCTAATATATATCGTGTTTGTATGATTCTAACGCACACTTTTTTCCGCCAAAATCGGTGCCCAAAATTTGGTGCGCTTTTTGATGAAATCAGGAATCGAAACTGGAAAGAAAAACGCAATACTCGGTATAAGGTGACCAGCCCCATCACCATTGTGATTATTTGTTTACATTGGCCTTTTTGTTATCCGTATCAGGCACATTCTCTCGGGGTCTAGGGACTTGTGTCTGCCATTTTAGTGGGGAAAAACAACAAAAATTTCACTAGGAGGCTTTATTTAAACGAAAGTCCATAACGCTGGCAGGAAAAGATAATAACGGCACTGCCCACAGTCCCAGCGACCCGAGGAGCTCGCAAAGTGTTGTTTGGAAGAGAACCCTCCCAGAGGCGACGGTCGCACACTTGTACATGCACAAGAAGCGCGGCACTTAGGATGCTCTTAGACAAAAGTACCGACTACCTCTGCGGACAGCGAAGAACCATCGTTGGACCCTGACTAGGGCGACTAGTGCACGGTATTTATTTTTGTGTTGGCCTGCGTTTCATAAAATCCGTTTTATGAAGTATGTGTTCAACCTTCATTATTTTTCCTGCGCGGTAGAATCGGCAGCAATTTCTCGAATATCCGGGAGCTAAATCTGTCTGCGCATTAAAATTGGGGGCGCGTCAGGATCATGCAAACACTAGTTCTGAGTAAAAACAGAAACGGTGAGGGTTTATAGGAAAATGGCTACAATACCCATAATTTTAGACAAGTAAACATGGCTTTTAAGAAAGCTCCAAATGTTCAGAACATGTGCGGCGCACAGATTATTCGGTATTTGCTTGAATATTCATTCATTGTCCGAATATTCGGCCATGACGGAATATTTGGAAATTTCAGAATAAATACGAAAAATATTCTATTCATATTCGAAATCTCCAATACTCTCAAACCTCTACAATAGAGTAAATGAGAGAAAGGTAAATGCGTGCAAACCAACTTTGAAGCTCCGGAACGGAGAATAAACGACTCTACACACTAGGTGCACAGGGTTCGCTCTATTTAACTTTGTGGGGCAGCCAGCATTAATTTAAAAAACATTTTATTGCTTGGCTTGACTGGCGGTCGAGAGCTTCAGGGACTCTAAAGGCGGTCTAGGTAATTGATTACAATTATAGTTACACTTGGTTAAAAAGTGTTCAGTTAGGTTACTAGAGAAGAAAAGTAATTGACCGTTACTGGAAAAAGCAGCCATCACTTTTCCGACTACTTCAGGACTTCCAAAACGTAGGATTTTTCTGTCTGATTGAAAATGGGTCTTTCGTAACCTCCGGTATTGGATTGGTTACTTATCTCGATCCATTAATGTTGGTAGACCATTTTCCTGTCTGAGACTCGGTTCGAAGATTTCTAGGTAGGAAACTCGCAGAAACAAAGGTTGCCATTAGGAAAGGTAGTAACGGTTACGAGTAATTTTAGTACTTCCAGAAGTAATTAGATTACTCTGGTCTAAGTTACAGATAAAGCTTCAGATCACTGGCAGCAACTAGCTTAAGGGAAGAGATGCCTGGAACTCTGAAGCCAAGGGCGTCTAATAGCTCTAAGTTGCACCTGGGGCAGTGTGTGCGTCATCGCCTGCTCATTGGCGGGGTGGTTCCGACAAGTCATGTTTGAAAAAGTCTAGGGAATCGGGAAATGTATTTTTCTGGTAACTTTATCCGAGGTAGTATGCAACGGACAAAAAATTGGAATTGTGTTTGTTTAAGTAGAAATAAAGGGCCTGTGCACCTGTACCGGCATGTGGTGAATGCATGTACCATATTTTCCGGACTATAAACCGCACATTTGAGCTGCTTTTGTGGAAAAGTTGGTATATAAGTCGCACATTTGTGTAAGTCTCACCTCTTTGCACGGTTCATGCAGGAAGTTTTTTAGTTCACGCGCGTCGGTATCGGGAAATCGGAGTTTCGCACAGTCTGCTAGATTTCCATTTGACGCACAACTCTGACGTTTCGACTCGCAAGAAATGCTCATAGCACAGCTCTGTCTGGCAGGGGCAGTGGAGTGTTCCGCAGCAAAAGGACATAGAACACACAAAATGAGAAAGTAGTCTGCTTTATTCAAGCGAACGCACGTCGAGGGAACGAAAGTTTAACGAGCTAGACACTCGTGAACCAAGCTAGGCCTAGCCTTGCCGAGGTCCCGGAGGCGATGCGGGCATCAATGCACAGGCAGAAAGATGAACTTTGACATACTTTTTTTTCGGTACGTCTAAAAGATTGGTTAGGCACAATCCTTCCTTTTACATGCAGCAATACGGCTGGAGCGTGGCAGAAAAAACTGCGCATTAAACGGAAACTAAGAAAGACCCAAGAAAATATTCTGCAGTGGGTGTATACTGGCCCACTTACCTTTCAACGTTACGGGACCAGCCGTGTTGCACAAGAATACAGAACCATGGCTGTATTAAGCAACGTCGATAATGTGCTGTTGCATCTTTATTCTCGCTGTCTTGCCTATCCACATGGAGCCGCTTCAGGGAAACTATAATACCTCTCGCTTTCCAAGTTAGTTACGAAAAGTGTAGAAGAGCGCGGCGACAACAGTGCCTCCTGGAAGAGGCGACATTATCCTATGGCTACATAGTTACGATACTCTACAAAAGATGGCGCACGGCGCATAAAAAAAATGGCGTCACACTGTAAATAGAAATGAATGCGTAAAAGTCGCATAGCTGTATGAAATGCACAAAAAAAAATGTTTTAAAAAGACCGCAACATATACAATGGAAAATATGTTATCAGTATTGGATTACGGTAATAGAATTAAGTTTATCTGCAAACAAGAATCTTGAAAAACAAAAGGGAAAAAAAAAAGCTTAGTGGAACGTGCGGAGGGCAGCTGTTGCTCTATATGGAAAGATGTACAACTGCGGGTGACGAGGCGCTGGCAACAGTGAGGCTTAAAAATGCCAACTGCACCGAAGTTCTGAGCGACCAAATCCCAAAATACCAAGCCGTATGCTCATGAGTTTTAGTGGGCGATGCTTATGCTCCGAGGAAAGGTTGACGTGCCAGCTTTGTTTACAAGAAGGTCGTACTGCCATGTTTGGGAAAGCATTATACTTCCCCGTGTGCTTCTTTTGTCTCGCGAGGAAAGTCCCAAGCCTAAATACGTCTCGGCCATACTTCGTCACAATATTAAGGTTGAATTCCTTGGAGCGAAAAATGCGGGCGAACAGTCGACAAGCTTTGTCAAAGAGCGAACATTGCAAAGAGAAATTTTTCCGTTTTTTTTTTTTTTTTTGCCGCGTGGAAGTTTGGCTTTTAGTCAAGATTTGTACAAACAAGAGGAGCCTGCAAACGTAAAATGTCACAGATTACATTTGCCTACAAGTGGGTAGGCATTGTGGTCGTGGCTACATCGATTAGGGAATATGGCCTGTTGTTACTGATACCTTAAGGAACGCAGCCCTCGAGTTACTGTGGTTGGTGCCTCGTGATTAATTCTTTTGCGTTGTTCTTAGCTCGGGGGAATGAAACCTCGCATCGTCGCTGACAGCTTAATGAATGCAAGGAGTGGCCTACGTCGGTGATTGGTTCTTGTCGGTGATTGATTCTCGTTGGCTAGTGCCGTAATCTGTGGAGTAACAGCGAGATATTTGGGCTACTTTGGTCGGGTGAGCTGACGTCCTGGTTGCAGGGTTGATGCCCGGGGTCCCCCCACCCCCCTGGAGGTGCCGGGCGTGGTGCCGCAGGTGGTGGTGGTGCCGCCCCCTCCCCTCCGGCCGCGGGAGCACAAGCCCCACACGTCGTCCCTGCACCACCATGGCTACGCTAACTGCTTCGGCCTGCCCTACCAGGCAAGTGGTCGACAACATTCGCCGGTTTTTCCGCTAAATTGAGTGGTTTTCCGAGTTTCCTAGCGGGAGAATTTACGGTTGGCGGGATTTTCGGCGGTTTTTCAAGTCGTGTTGGCGTGTTTTCTGGCAGTCTAGAATGTCCTCCAGTGTACATTTATCGATTATAAATAGCTTTATTTTTGTGGTAAGTTAGTGCCATAGAATCGTTGCCAATGAGAATGACGCTCGCGAAGGAACTAACTCGTAGAAGCATGGTGTCAAAACGCTCGTTCTTGGCCTGTGCCTTAAATTTAGCGGTTTTAGAATCTTTTTTTGTTTTTATTCCTGGAGCGGGTTTTTGAATTTTGAGTTGCAACACTGATTGCAATGTGTGACAATTGTCTAAGAAAATAATTTTCGTCTAAACTGTAGTCTGAGCGTGCCGTCGTGAAGGCTCTACCTTCTTTATGTTTTGTTACTCCTATCTCTCTGGAAGACACAAAGAGTCTGCCATTCCTCTGTTTTGTGAGTACATTGTGGTGGAAAAAGACCCCCAGGGTTCCACAGTTTGCAGGTCTCTGGAAACTTTGAGCTGGCTAAGAGACCGATCTCACCAGACAGTTTGGTTATGCCGCCGCTGCCGCAATGCATTGTGGGAACACTAGTCTTCCTGCAAGTGCAACAACCTGGCTGGAGCTCTGCACATGCAGAGCACGAGGCAGCACGAGCCATCTCGTGCACTGCTGCCCGTCTCCCGCAAACTAAAGTTAAGGCAGCGTCACTCATGCGCCAAACGCTTGGTGAGATCGGTCTATTGCGGCGAAAAACTTACAGCGTCATTTCGGCGCCTAAAAATTTGTGATTCGAGCAATTTGTAAAGAGGTCACAAAGAGCGTAGGAAACAAGCTTTCGTGCTATTTTTATTTTCCTTTCGTGCCAGGCAACCCACAAATGTTTCCAGGAGACGTAGGAAATATGCTAATATATGTCGCTCTTTCGCATTTCTTCACTTGTATGCTTGGGAGACGTAAAGGTGTCTCTACTCCTTATCGATAGTTGTATTAGTAGTGAGTCAATAACGGTCCGAGTAGTAGTAGTAGTAATGATTTGTGAGTAATGGTGCAAGCCACAGCATTCAGCACCGAGGGCCGTTCGAGGAGTCGAGTGTCTGAGTGGAGTCGGTCGTCTGACGCGTGCTCCACCCATCTCTCGTGCAGGACCACAACTACGGAGCACCCCCTCCCCCGACACCCCCCCAGAGCCCTCCCCCGGCACCCCAGGCCCCCGTGCACAGGGTCAACGGGGTGCTGTCCAGCGAGGACCGGGGGACCCCCCTGGAGCAGGCCCCTCCCCCGACCTCCCTGCCCAACGGGTGCCTGGAGGAGGTCAAGCGGGAGGGGGCCTCTCCCGCGGAGGAGAGCGTCACACGCTGCATATGGTGAGGCTCTCCCTCTTGCTCCTTGCGTAGTCGCCGACGGAGCGAGTGTTCCTTTCCAACGGCTCCAGCCCGCGCTCCGTGCCTTCCGGCGTGCTCTTGCTGCATGCACTCGCACGAGGTTGTTCGAGGCAGAATGCTATTGGGCAAGAGATCAAACTATAGGGGGCGCTCGACCCGTTTGTTTCCTTGCCATTGTTCATTAGTGGCAAGGGGTTTTTATAGCCTCACTTTCTTTTTAGTGCCTCACTCTCTTTTCAGTGCGGAGTGAATATAGTTTTTACATTTCAATATTCTAAGCTTAAATGGTAAAACGAAATGGCTAGATGGCGTAAGCTACCGCCCGATCCAAAGGGCTCAGCCGGATTCATCCATCCATTCCCCACACCTCGGGGTTTACTCAACATAAGGCTTGTGCACATGCCCACAGACCTCGGGGCATGTCATGTCATCTTCTACAATACAGCATGGGGCACAGTGTAATGTAAAAAAATACTAACAGTCGACGAAGTGACTTTAAGTGCCGGATTTACCCCGAAAGCAGTCGTCAGAGAATGCGAGTTGACCCACTTTGGCTTTTGTGCGGAGCTGGGCAGAGTGCATGCTGCATTGTCCATGCAGGCCGGAGTGGTATCAAAAGAGCCCCTCACCGGAGAACACCAACTCCTGCCGAACGCTGACGCCGCGTTCGGTTACGTCGGCCGATCGCTGAGTCATTGTATTTGTGGTCCCCATCCGTGTAGTTCTAAAGTTAACCGTTTGGGGCGTCACGATCACCCCTCCTCCCCAATATGCTGGAGGCAGGACAAGTGAGACTCCTCCCTGTTGTTTGTTTTCGTCAGTGACTGATGGGTTGAAAGGGAGAAGGGAAAGAAGAAAACGAGAATGCCGAGCTCCGTTTGGAATTTATGATTTATGGTTCCTCTGAATAGAAATAGGAAAGGAGTATTTTCAAGTGTGTACAGTCTGTAAGGTTGTGATAGATGCCTTCAGCTCTCGTGTGCTATGTCCGTAACACTGCCTTTCTCGAGCCAAAATGCTCGGTGCAGTAAGGGGCAGAAGCAGAGCCTGTGGGGCTGATGACTGGTTTGCTTCTTTGCAGTGGCTTCAACCATGATGACGAATACATGATCTGCTGCGACCACTGCTCGTGAGTTGCATTCTACTTCCTGCTGCATTCGCATTCATTCACGTCTCGTCCTGGGCCAGTGACGCGTTTAGCCGTAACACGGAAACATTTTTTGGGACACTTTCCAGACCCGCAAATTGTTTCTAACTATGAGACTGTCTCGAAAACAAAGCTGGTCTTTTCTCGAAGCTCGTAGGTGGCACTCACTGCGTGCCAGTTGGCAGTCTTGCACATTACACCTCGCACTGCAGCATTGCCAACATGGCCATCTACGAACCTGCTAGATTTTTTTATTAATTTATTAACGCCGCAGACACACCCTAGCTCAAGCGGGAGTGTACGTCGGAAAGAGAAAAACATTAGGAACTGCAATACAGCGAGGCGCAAAAACAATATATCGCGTAGAAGAGGTGAAGTTCATTAGTTAAACTTGTTTGCGCAAGGGCATGACTCTCAAATACGCAGTGAATGAATCGACGTCTACTATCGACAGTAATTTCAGTAACTGGATTACTGCGAGAGAGTTGTCTAGTTATCCATTCTGTCGCTTCTTACTGCCGAGCGTTGGAGCGAATTCTGCCTTTTTATTGTTGCGGGGTGGAGGAGGAGGAACACCCACCGGCCCGTTGCGTTTGCGCAGGGTGTGGCAGCACGTGGACTGCATGGGCCTGGACCGCAGTCGCATTCCCGAGACGTACCTGTGCGAGCGGTGCCACCCTCGCAGGGTGGACCGCCACCGGGCCCGCACCCTGCAGACGCGCAAGAAGCAGCAGATGAGCCGTGAGTCTGCTTCCACCTCTCTTTCGTTTGCTGCACGAGCCCCCCTGCAAGTTTGCACCCGGGGGCAGAGTCTTTAAAGATCCCGTATTTGGATTGGAGGGCCACGACGCCGCGTAACATGAGGCAACGGGCGTAGAATGCATAGTCCGTTTGTGTCAACTTGTTTCCGTCTGTTTGGACCTATTGCGTCTGTATTGCCCATTAGGCTTTCGGGGTAATCCGTCGGAGAATGTGAAGTCAAGGCATGACTCATTCTACGTCAATCAGTTTTACGCAAAATATTGAGGCATTGTTGTTTTTTTTTTACTCTTGCGCTTCTTTACTCTTGTTCCTAGGCACCGATTTGTAGCGGCTGAAATGACGCCTTTCGAAGCCTCTTCAGTCTTGCTGGGGCTAGAGCATTGGCCTAATGAGTGGGAGTTTGTTGATTTGATTCGCCCCAAGAGACAAAGCGACTTCTTTTTGCAAAGAAACCTGGCCACGTTACGGTGTTTTACGTTGCAGCCTCTTGGGACGCTCGTAGACTCGAGGCTCGTTCACATACTATTTGATCTCACAAATATTGCGAAACCTTTGGACTAGTGAAATGCAATTCCAGGGCCACTTTGTAGGCGGCTGCAAGTCGGGAGTGTGCCTTTAAAAGCCAGCCCAAGGACACTGTGTTAAGACCAGCTTCCTTCAACGACTGTTTCACGCTACGGGCAATGGGATTTGCACACTGACCTGGGGGTTCGCACGTCCCCCCGCAGGGGCCCCGAGCCGGGTGGAGTCGACTTCGGACGAGAGCGGGGGCGGTGCGGCGGGGGCTCTCCCGGGGGACGAGAACAGAGGGGGGGACCACGGGGGCGCCCCCCACCCCAAGGGAGCCCACCCCAGGGTGCGGCGCAAGCGGCGCCGCTCGGAGGGCAAGGAGCCCGCGGGCAGGCAGCTGGACCCCGCAACGGGGGACACGGCAGCCACCAAGAGGCTCAAGGCCAAGGTGGGCCCCCTTCCTCGCCTTTGGGGACTCTGGGTTCTCTTGGAACCGACGTCTTTTAACGCGGAACGTGTTTAGGGGGGAAATCGACGGAGGGATGTGCGCGGCAACACCGGGTATCGTAACTCCCCTTTCCGTTTTGTCGTTCACACGGACGACATGCCAGTGAGAAGAATTTTGGTGTCGGGAATCGAATTCAATGGTATTTTGACCTTCGGCACTGGAGCTTTTTACGGCAAAATATTTGTCAAAGAAAACAGATCAGCCGCTAGGCAGTCCTTGAAACTAAAGCAAAAGTGCAAGTGTGCTGGATTAGTGCTGACATGGTAACCCAGGAGAAGGGGGAAAACATCCGTCCCGTTTTTCCCTCTCTCCTTGGTTACCATGGTAGACAGTCACTGTACCGCCTGAGCGTTCTTTTAGGCCTCTGCTGCGGTGCTGACGTCCCTGTGCCACATCAAAAAGTTGCGGTATTTGCGTCACGTTGTGCATGTTCCAAGAAGAAATCGTCAGGATTTCTCCCTCGTGTGTGTGAATACAGCTTGAAAACTGGGGTCTCCGAGGAGGATGCGACACGACGGCATGAAAAAGCCCCATGGGAAACCGTCGCACACCTGCCAGATTTAGCATGTCTGTGTTTACGACATTGTCGGCATCATGGTCATCATGTGATGCATGATGCGACCTGGTGACCTTGCGAGACACCAACCACATTAGAGCGACAGATTTAGTGGTTTCACTAGACGTCGCGCCACGCTGCGTATGCGACTCTGGGCTCTGTCGACGAGTCTGACTGAGGTTATTTGTCCGCCTCCTCGCAGAAAATTATGAAGGAGAGGATCGAACGGAAAAAGGTCAAGTTAAAAAATATGGTAAGTGCCGAAACTGTGCCCTTCTTTTTTCTCGAGTCGCGCGGTAACGACTCAACCGTTTGCGTAAGAGAGTGCTTCCCGTTTTGACAAGCCGCTTCTCCCGCAGGTGAAGAAGCCCAAGACCCGGTTTCTGGGCCTCGCGCAAGTTCCTGCCAAGGTAAGCCCGTGTCACGGTGTCTCTGTCGCTGGATTTGCCTCCCGATTGGCCTCTTTGCTTTTTAACCGAAGCCCAGCGGGAGGACGCTTGGCCACAATCGGTCTTGTGTATAGAGCGGTAGCATTTAGAATGAACGAGCGTCGTGCACTGCCAGATGTTGCAAACCCCGGGGCTAAGGTCCTTTAGCTTATTGCAAGTTGCGACCTCCCAGTTGGCCGTAGCGCGAAGTGGTGGTTTGGCCGACACGGCTCGTCGCATGCGTCGCGGTAGGCCACGAGGCGAAGTTCGACAGATTCCTAAAGTTTGTTTTGGGGTTTATTCCGGCGGTGATGGCAGGAGGAGGAGGCAGCCCAGGACGCCTGGGGTCCGGGAGTGTCCCCCCCGGGGGGCGGGGCCTCCCCCGGGGACCGGTACGAGACTGCCCTCATCAACCAGTACACCCCGGAGGTGCAGCTCATGGCCGGCTCGCTCAAGCTCAACGGACAGCACGTGAGACCGCCCTTCCTCGCAGGGTTCGCCCGAAGGACCCTTTAAAGCTGCGGCCCACGCCGCTCGCACGTCGTGCAAAAGACTGCGTTTGCTGCAGACGGGACGACGGAGATATTTGCGGACACGTTTGGAGGATGTTCGAAGCACGTTTTGCTCTGTGGACGGTTTTCGTACGACCAGCGTGATAGGTCCGTCGTACGAGGAAGAGACGTGCCTCGGACTTCTTTTGTACGATGTGCGAGCGGTGGGATTGCGCGGTTCCCAGAAGGGACACACAGAAGTGGAGCGATACCTAGTGTGCTTACCGCGTGCTTGTTGCTCAATTTAATGAGGAGTAAATGGAAATGCGACGACGCCGAAGAAAGAATGGATCTCGTCTCACTGCACTTTCCCAAGAGCATGGTCAGCGTTCTATTGGCGTGTATCTCAGCTCAACTCATAGGGGTTAATCTAACGTTATTTATCGACTGTGGCCTCGGGAAGTGTTCAATGTCTACATTCGTATGGCGTGTAAATGATGCTTTTGATATAAAATTAAACCTATAGAGATGCCCAGCTGTTCCTAAGAACGGAGTATATAAATATTCTTGCCACGTAAAAATATTTTTTCTTCAGTCACGAATGATTAACGCTGCTCGTCAGGGCATCTCTGCCTAACGTAATAGCCAGTTTAAGCTTGAAATTTTTACTGCAGTGTGGAAAGCAACATATTTTGTTTCTCTTTAAATACACCCGGTGCTCGTGTGCACCGTCCCTCTTTGAAAGTGTGCTTTGCTCCTAAGCATGCACTTGCAATAGTTGTATTTTCGAAGCATTCATTGCGGCTGGTTAGCCCTGTAGAGTGTGCTTCTTATCGAGCACCGGTGCACTGCAAAGAAGCAACACGTGCAGGAGCGAGCTGCACGGGGGTTGCTTCTACGTAGTGCACCGGCGCTCGGTAAGAAACGCACTTAATAGGGCTAGCCAGCCGCGATCCAAACTTTGGAAAATATGAATATCAAGGTTCACCTTGAAGCGAATATTGAATTGCATAATATTCAGAACTATTGGAATATTCGCACAACCTAAATATATGTCTATTGCGAAAGACTACAATGACTGTCTCGACGACGGTGGTGACGAGGAAGCGGTGCTGGTTGCTCGCAGGAGGCCCTGACGTGCAAGGTGTCTACGGCCGGCGGGGACGCCCCCTGGCGGGTGGAGGCGTGCGGGGGAGGGCAGCGCCGCCTGGTGGCGACCCACGCCCTGGGGCCCCAGCAGCCCCTGCTCGAGGTGCGGGGAAAGTTCCTGTCGGCCTCCCAGTTCCGCCACCAGAACCCGGTGTTCCACAAGCGGTGAGGGTGCCTTCCTCCCCTCCCCCTTCTTCCCAGGATTCCACACGCTCAGTTTCGCTGGAGGAATCGTCTTCGATCGCACACCATTGCACCTGCGAAGAACTTGTCAAAAGCGATAGGAATTCTACCCGCGGCACCGCAATCAGCAAATCATAGATGCGTCCAATTCGAAACTTTTAATTTCTAGCAATTAAAAAAAGTGAATGAGAAACGGATGCAACCACTCCCTTTGACTTGGAAAGAACATTGAGTTTTAGATGCAGAAATGTAGTGCGGCCACTTAGTCTCGTTGAAGTCAATCAACTTGTCATTCGAGCCTGAAATCGCGACGTGCGTGCTCAGCCACCGTTCCTGGATCTTAAGGCCTGCTCAACTAAACCTCTGTGGGGATCAGTGAATGAACCTCAGCTTTAAACATTCTTAAGAAATGTCTTTTTTGTTGTTTTTTTGCTGCAAAGATAATTGACATTTTCTTTGGAACACAAAAGGATGCAAGTCGTGGCTGCAGGCCACGCGAGATGCCTCTTTCCTCACCCTCGCAGATAATTTTGTCAGAGCACAGGCTTTCTTTTTTAGCCCGTTAAGACTCAACCGGGAAGTGCAGAGACCGCCTGGCTACCCGGGGTGTGGGGCCACATGCAGGCTGTACCCCTTCGTGCTGTTCTACCAGCCGTGCGCGGAGGAGGAGACGGTGTGCGTGGACGCCCGGGAGTATGGCAACGAGGCCCGCTTTGTGCGCCGCTCCTGCTGCCCCAACGTGCAGGTGCAGCACGTGGTGCACAACGGCCTGCTCCACCTGTACCTGGTCTCCTCCAGGGACATTGCCCCGGGGCAGGAGCTCACCATCCCCTTCGACTTCGACTACCGTCAGTGGTGAGTGCCTCCATGAATGTCTCTTCACTTCCCTTTTATTAGAAGGTTACAGCTGAAAGTTTGAGGTTTCTGTGCTCGTGCACCGATTTTTCCGACCCGTTTTACAGCGGAAGGCTCACCCCTGCCATCTTATGTTTGGTATGACGCTTGTGTGCCTTGACTGGTTTTTTGTGGTTGCAGCATCCACAGCGTGAGCTGTGCGTGTGGCTCCGAGGACTGTAGAGTGGCCAGCAAGGGACGCAAGGCCGCTCCTCCGTGAGTGTTCCAACATCATTTTGAGATGGGTTTCGAGTGACCTACTATTTACCTAAAATATGCCTAAAAACTGCCTGCACATAAGAATTTATGCACAAAATGCACGTTAATATCATGATTCTGAAGTATAAAAGCTGGCTGCGTGTTAGAATTGGGGCTATACGTTCCAGTTCCATTACACTGTAGTGGAACTCCTAAAGTGGAATTGTTTTTGTTTCGACACGACTGTGGATGGCATGTGTGTCTTCCACATGACTCGTGCTATTGCTAAAGTTGCACTTCTTCACTTTTTGTTTGTTTATGCAGAACTTTGCAAGTTTAGTATTGCGTCCCAGGCAGGAGTGGACGCAGTCATGTACATGGACAATGAGATGCCAGAGTTGTAGAGGGTTAACGCTATGCAGGGCGGAGCGCAAGCGTCGTGGCCGCCGGGTGAGCACGAGCAGCTGCGGTCTGGTCGAGGAGGAACCGGCGCTGGCCAAGGAGGCGGCGCGACTGGCGCCGCACAACGACGACCAGCCGTCCCTGGGCGCCCTGGCCGAACCGCAGGTACCCGCCAAAGTTTCCTCGGCTTCTCTGGACACTGTCGGTAACGGAATGCGTGGCAGTGTACGCCTTTCACGTGCCTTAGACTCTCGTTTGCTTCCAATAAGTTTGTCGCTCTGCTAGGCAGAGGAGAGCCGGAATTGTCCAAACAATATTGTCAACTCGCAAAAGTGTTTGCGAAAAGATCTTGCCCAAATTAGCGACAACGAGTCACGAAAATAGTACTCTGTGCTGTCTGTCCGATTCTTTTGCAGGGTTGTCGTGACGTCAGAACGCCGAACTTTGATTGGCTGCGATTGAAAGATGGTGGGTAGGCCTCGAAGCAAGCTGCCTCGAGGTCTACCCGCCTCGGAGCCAATCGGAGCTCGACGTTCCTACGTCACCACAACCCCCGCAAGAGAAGCGGACGAACTTGCACGACTGCAATGTTTTTCGTGTCCAGCAGTTCTGAAGAATGAAGTGCTTCCTGTTGGAAGTTAACTTGGCATGCGGCATCTCGAAAACTGATATTGTGTTTTAAGCCCGGGTCTGTGTCTCAGAAATGGCGATGAATTTCATGAATACAAACTGGAAGCACAAATTAAAACTGGAGCTCGCTCTCTGATGCTCGTTGCCACTTTGGCCGACGCGTAATTTTTGTGTCGGGGGCGACCGAGCGATTCTGTCGGTTTCTCACTAAATCCCGGGAATTAGGTTATTGAAAGAGATGCCAAACAACCAGGGGAAGTTGGAAAGAATGTCGCTGCACCGGTTTGACGGGAGGCTCGCATCTGGGGCGTGCCCCCACCCTTTGGCGTCCCAGGAGTGCAGTCCGGCGATGGCGTCTCCCGCCTCGGACTCGGCCACGGGCCAGGAGGGCCACCAAGGGGTCCCCGAGGACCAGGAGAGCGAGGAGCAGAGCTCGGCGGAGCGGCGGCGCAAGATGACGCGGGAGGAGCGCAAGATCGACGCCATCATGCGTGCCTTTGAGAAGATGGAGCGGACGGAGAAGCGGCGCCGGCAGGCCCTGGAGCGCATGGCCCAGCAGCACCGGGGGGGCCCCAAGCACGAGCACCCGCCCTTGCCGGTGAGTGTTTCCGGCATGGAGGGTGTAGGTTCGGTGCCCGGGAACCCTGTCTCTAACCGGCGTGTCTACCACGTCCAAAAAGCGGTACACGTCGTGGCAGATGCCGGTTCTGCCACGGATTGCTCTCCGGCTTCACGGTCCACGGAAGCTCCGAGAGCGGGGACGTCGCGAGGACGCTTTTGCTCGCGCTTTTGACGCAAAATGTTCTTTGGCTAGCTGCTCGGCATTTCGTGGAGGCTGGCGAGTGCAGCCGTGAAGCACGACGCCGATTGGTTGACGGGGGAGGTCGCATGACCGGAGGGGTAGGCGAGGAGAAGCTCTAGTGGATGGACTGGCTTCGGAAGATGCCGGGTTTGTCGGCCCTGCACGCGTGAAAATCGGAGTATCGCTAAATGTTTGTGATGCTACGACGTTTCACATACGAAACATAATAGCCTAGCTATTTGTCATAATTTCTTTGCGCAAACTTCTACGACCAACCGCCAGGGTTGCGGAGACTAACTATTTAATGTGACCAAGCGAGTTCTACATTTACATCCACTTCTTAACTGAGATAAGATTGTTATATGAAAGCATTTGCGTGGGTCTAGAGATGGCTTTAAAGCTGTACTGTTTCGAGGGAAAAAACTGTTTTGAATACACCTAGCGAGGGACTAAACTGGACCGGTATTCGAAGGACAGTCTCTCCGGTGTGTTAGAACGTAAATGGAACACGTTTACTGCGTCGGCTGCCTCCGTCCTTGTTTCTGTGCGCGTGGGTGTGCCGTATTGTGGGGGGACGCCGGACAGCGCCCGTTTACGAGCCACCGCTCCCCTCCCAGGACAAGCTGGAGGACGAACGTTCCAACGACTCCTCCCTGCCTGCCGCGCCGCCCGAGGAACTCAAGCCCGAGCCCCACCCTGAGGGCGGCACAGAGGACAGAGCGGTCTCTCTGCACAGGGCCAGAAAGGGGTGAGTGCTTTTTCTCTTCGCCAGAACTCCACCGCTTGCCTTTTAGCGCTCCTCGACACGCGCGACTTGCAGCAGTCTCGCAGCCTCCAACGTTCACACGGTCGGCGAATCACTTCTGAGAGAATCTCGGGAGCCGTCGTCGATTCCACCTTTTCAGTCTCGGCATAGGTTTCCGTTTTCGTTGTCGCGCAGTCACACAGTTGTCGCGTTTGCTGTCACTAGATTCAGGCTCGGCTACAACGGCCTGGATCGCTCGGAAGCATAATTGGGGTCGTTACGTCAACATGCACTCGCTCTAGCTTGCCTTTCAGGCCCAAGGTGAGAGTGATTTACTTCTAGGTAAAATCTGTTTTCAGGTGCTCCGGTTTATAAGGAAACAATGAATAGTTTTTCCGGTATTGATTGCAGCCTCCGTAGAGACCTCCATGGCAGCTACTGCGGACGTGTCGGTTGCATTTTCTGCGGAACAAAGTTCCGGACGCGAACAAACGCTACACTTCTGACGCATGGTCAATAAGCTCGGCCGCTCGGCGACCGGGCCGAGAGATCGGTCCGCAAACAGCTTCTGGAAACCGGTTGTTTTTCGACTGTGTCTGTCGCCTGGCAACCGAGAGGCTTTCGTACGACTGCAACAACCCGCAGGTCTAAATGCACTTCTAAGGATCTTGCCACACTATTTTTTTTTGCTCAAAAATCTTTTGAGAATGTTATAAAAGATAACATTTGATCTCGCAAATATCGCAACAGCCTCGCTCTAGTGAAGTGCAGTTGCAGGGCCAGCTCATAGATGGTGGCAGAGTGTCCTCTCGTCGCAGGAGAACTCTGTCCTAAGCAAAGGCTAGCGTGTGGAAGGCCTTTAGACTCCTTCTTTGGGCCAACATTTGAAAGCCTGCCTTTGGGGGACAACGCCCCTCCTGGCCTCGCAGAAAGCGGCGGCGCAGCACGGTCTCCCGGCGTCGCAGCCGTACGGTCAGCGGGGGCTCGGAGCTTCTGGGGTCTCCGCCGGAGTGCGAGGCCTCGCTCGAGGCTCCGCCCCCTTCGGCGATGCACTGCCCGTTGTCCCCTCCCTGCCACCGGGAGGAGGAGCCAGTGACTGCGGAGGTGCCTGCCACGCCCCCCCAGGGGGCCGCCCTGTCGCCCGGACCGTCGCCCACGGGGAAGGCCTTTGCCCTGCCCAAGTCAAAGAGGGTGAGTGGGTCCTTCTGGATGTGGACTCAGATTACTCCCTTTCGAGCCATCGTCTCCGTACGCGTCTCAGCCGGACCTTGCTTCTTGCAGTAGCTTTTTGTTCTTCTTGTCCACTAGCTCGATTTCCTTCTTGTCCCCAGGCTTTGATCTCTTGCTGGGTCTCTAAGGGCTAAAGTGGCTGGCTGTAGAGCTTCTGCACGTGGCTTCTGCCGACTCGAATGGCGTAACTCCTGGTGTGCGAGAGAACATCGTTTCGCGCTTGCCACGACGATTCAAAAATGCCAATTTCCGAGGCAGAAGATCCTCACCTTGGGGGAGGAGGAAACAGGCAACGGTGGACAGGGTAGGAAGGAGAGGAGGAAGCGCGGGAAAAGTGGAAACCGCGAACTGGTCGTCAGTTTTTAAGACGATGGAATACAGAATACATTGGCACATTGGTGCACTGGTGTCTTCTATCGGTAGCTCTGGAACGCATCTCGTCTGCGAATACATTTTCTAATTTTTTGTGAGTTATTTCATTGTGGGCCTGTAGTAATTCCAATAACATTATAAGCAACCATTTCTTATAGACTGCAAAGATTTGATATTGCAAATTCACTGATGGGAAGTCTTCCAGGGCTATCGACCGCTTGTGTCAGTGTGTTCTCTCGACGTAACCAGTTGCAACACTACGTTGATCCTATTTTGAAGCGCAAATGTCCGAGCCAGCCTTGTAGGTGCCACGACTCCCAGTCTGTCTTCTCTAGATGGCGATTAGGCTGTGGAGTCAACTTTCTGCACCCGTGCGCCCAGTTCTTGATGCAGGGCTGGCTGCACGAAAAGGCCTGCGGAGACGTGGCCGAGGGTGGGCCCGGCCACCCCGGGGCGGCGCCCCCTCCCACCACCCCAGTGGAGGAGGCACCCTGCTACGTGCGGTGCACGCGGGACCCCGCTCCGTCGGCGGTGGGCATCTCGGCTGCCCACCTCCGGCGCAACAGCTGCTCCACCTCGGCACCCACCTCCGGCGGCTCCGCGAAAAAGGTGGGTTGCGACCGAGATTGCCGGCTCCGGAATTGTTCGAAGAACGAAGCTGACAAGAGTGACGAGCTAAATGGGGTATTCGCACGAGAGAGGAATTTGCCATTTCGTCACGTGATGCTCACGTCGCGACGACGAAGGCACGGTGGAAATGCCTGGACGGTACAAACACTCCGCGTCGGAGGCGAGGAGACACGCCTCGTCGACTGATGGCGCGCATCTCCGTCCGGGGGTGTCTTCCTCGTGCGAAGGCCACGTAAGGGAAGAACCACAAAGAAAGAGTAAATGCTTAAAAGATGGAACAATGCAAGCTGTTGACAAAAGTTCTTGCGTTAATCTTTGTTTTACATTCTGTCGTTCCACAACTTTAACCAGCATGCTTCCCAGTTCATAAAGCGAACATTTTCAAGTTTTTCTATCTCGAGAAGCCTCAGTGTTGCAGGCGATTCTTGGCTAGAGTGTCCTTGATGTCGACAGCTGCTCTTGCGCTGCTTAAACGTGCAGACTCTTGCATCTGTAGGCTCGTAGTTTGGCGTACTGGCACGCAGTAGTCGACATCAAAAATGCTACGTTGACTAGGCCACGCCAGTCAGAAATTGTGAAGGGAACACGTCCTATTCACGCCGGCGCAGTGAGGGCTAAACATGGCCGGTCGTGTCGCTCACATTATGGGACGTCGCCGTGCCGCGTCGGAAGTAAAGTCGAGCCTTTATGTGCACGATTTGGGAGCGGAGCCTTCCCCCCCCAGCGGTGGCTGCGGCAGGCCATGTTCGAGTCGAGCGAGGAGGTGACGGAGGACGGGGGCCTGGAAGGGGCGTGCCCCGGCAGCCCGCCCGCGGCCGGAGAGGACAGCTGCCAGTCGGTCTCGCCTCCCCCCGCCGGAGGTGGGTGCTGCCGGGACGTCCCGCGCTGGGACGAGCCCTGGGGCCCCTTGCGAGGAGGGCTTGACGCAGACCTGGTGACCCCCCTGAAGAAGCGGAGGCTGGTGCGGGAGTCCCGGGAATCCCTGGACTCCATGACGGGGGGCCTGTCCCCGGCGACGGGGGAGGCGGCCGCCACCCTGCTTTCGTTCCAGGCGCCCTGCCTGGCGGCCCCCTTTGCGGCCCCCTTCCACCGGGTGAGTTCCCCGGGTGCCAGAGCTCCGTAGCGTGCATTACGTGGCAGTTTGGGGGAACAGAGGCGGTCGCCTAAGGTGTCGCAAACGAAACCTCTTTGACGAAGACGGTGTTTTTGCCGTTAGCAGGTTCGTTGTGCGGTGTCTGTCGTGAACAGTTGTCGATGTGAGGCAGTTTGTTTCGTGCAGCTAGCAAGAGGGTAGTTGTGCAGTTTTACTAACTCTCTACCGACGCAATAGGCCATTAGGACGTTACGTCATCCAAAACGAAAGTTTCTCTCCTGTTTGACGGCACCAAACGTTTTTTTGTCTCCGATCAGAATGTACCCATCTTCTAGGTTTTTGGCAAAAACTAACTAGAACCTCGTGCTTTGGATCATTAATCATACCTCTGTCCAAGGATGCGGCCATATTTCGCCTCTGGATGGTGGGGGAATCCTCGCCACGGAGGGATGAACGGCGTCTGCCTGCGGTGCCATGAATGGGTGTCTCGCGCAGGTGGAGGTCCCCCCGGAACAGAGCCCCCCGGGGCCCCCCCCTGAAGAAGAGGAGGACCCCCCGACCCCCCTGGACGACGAGGAGAGCCTGGTGGACTGCGATGAGTCGACGACGGAGGAGGCGGCGGTGCCGGAGGGGCCCCGGCTGCTGCCCCCGATCCCAGTGTCCCTGCCGGACCCTCTGGTGATGATGGCCTCCCACCAGGTGCCACCCCTGGACACCACGGCAGCTTTGCCGCCACCAGCTGCCACCGAGGTGGTCTTCAGCCACAGGATGGAGGAGGTGGGTGGCCGTTTCCGTCCCGGCACCCTGCGAGTGTCTTGGCGCGTGTTGAGGCCGGTTGAACTGCTCGTGATTGCTTACGGCAAGAGGACACGCTGGCATGCCGGCGTCACCCAGGAACTACCGTATTTGCACAAATAGAGCACGACCATGAATATAATGCGAGAACAAATTTGGGTGCCCTCAAGAAGGGAAAGTTTTATTACGATTAAGGGGAGATACGGCTCCTTGAAACAAAAAAATGACAAAAAAATCACATTTTTGAAATTATGTTTTTTAATATCTACAGATATTTTCGCATCTTTTCTCAAAATATTATCGCAAAATACGCCCTATTTATTTCGGGGTATTGATTTGAAGTATCTAAACGGAGATGCTTTCTCCGAAAAAAGCAAAAAAAAAGGTACAATTTGACCGCCGGTAGCTCGAGAACAACGCGATAGAAGGGGGACATCTTGGTCTCATTTGAAAGCTCCGCTCCCGCTCTTTCTTCTCCCGCCATTCACAATGCTACACGGCGATTGGCCGCCGAGAACGAAGCACAAATAAAAAACTTAGTCTTGCCACGTGGTTGGCTGTTTTGGATCACGTGTGCAAATGGCGCTTTCTCATTGGCCGTTAGGGTTACGAAGCGTCTGCTCGTTGTTTCCGATCCGCCATCTTGTTTGATTCTCGTGCGCGTCTCTGATCATGCCGATCACAACAACTCCACGGAAAAAGTTTCATACGGCCCACAAGTTCGGAAAAAAAACGAAAAAAGGGCCCGAGGAAGCTAATCCACGGCGCAGTTTAACTTCCCGCGAGCCTGAACGTCGACAACGAGGTGCGGGAGCCCGAACACGAAGATGTCGCATCGACGGCGCCGTCGACATCCGTGACTTCAAGCGAGCGAGTGCGGCTCGACACGGTGATGCTCCGCGCTTCTGAGATCGACGAGAAAGAAAAAAAAGCCGAGGAAAAACTCTAAAGAACTTTCGTCGACGTCCACTACGACGCGGAAAGCTGCCCTGATGGCCGGCGTCTCGGGCACCGATCAAGAAGCTCCCGAGAGTGCAGAGAGTTTCATCGTCGTAAGCCTCGACGTCGTGAACTCGCTTCTTCAACTCGCGAAGTGTAAAGCTTGTTGCGGCGATGTCGAACTCATAAAATGCGGTCGCGAGTATGGACTTGCAGTAAAACTCAAGCGATGTTGCAAGATCTGCGGGGATGCCGCATCCAAGTGGAGTTCGCCGCGGGTAGCAGTAAAAATCCGTCCGTGGACGTTTTTTGCTGTTTTCTCGAAATGAACTTTTTGCGCAGTTTGCTATTTTCCGGAAGCCGTATCTCAGGCTGTACACAACCGATCTTCCTAATTCTTTTTTTCTTTGGTAGGTGTATAAGTGGGGTATCCAATAAGGGGTCTAATTGCATCAACCTAGGCATCAGTATTTTTTGTCAGCACTTCCAACATAGATTGTAAAAATTGATTTATAAACTGAAAATTTCGAAATGCCGCAAAAATGTTATAAATAGTCATGGAGCCTTCATTTATACCTTATTGGATTCTGTAGACCTTCTAGTTTACAGAGATATATTTCTTTTTGAGTTTTGTCTTCATAATTTTTTGGAATCTCGCCCATAAAATGTTAAAATAAAATAGTTAATTTTATCAATACTAACCAAGCTATTTTAAGGGGGAACACTGGTCTTGGAGCTTTTTTTCTTATTTTATGACTTAAGTTAATGAAACTGCACAAGCTTATTCAGCTTTTTGTGCGAATTTCATATATCTGGTCATTTTCTCAGTCGGTAGCATTGTATTCAAAATAATTAAAATTTGCCTGCCTTTGTTTGGAAAAACGATAGAAAAAAAACTGCTCAACAAAATATTCTTTATAACACATGGCTAGATACTACGAAGTGCAGAGAATACAATGTTAGAAGCACTTTTGAGATAAACTCGTTATTAGAGATTTTATCACACATTGAAGTTCAGTGCTCAATGCATGGCTAACAAGTAATATGGCAAAAATTCAAATAGAAATTTTTCTAGACTTATATTAAAAAATCTGCTCTCAACATAGTATGCTTCACACATTCAGCTATACATTTCAGGAACGGTTATATTTCTATCTGCTCTAGATGCTGAGATATCCCTCCTGTAAATTTTCAACGAGTCCAAAAATTGTGTTTTGTGAAAACAATGTTTTAGAGTCAACTTCAAAGCACATACAGCCCGTATAGATATTATAAGTTGATTTATAGCTCAAATATTCATTCACGAAATTATAAGCCTGGTAGATTCAGAAGAACAACAGCCATCACCATTTTCAAAAGCATGCAGTTTTAGGAAGTTTTTGGCTCCAAAGACCCATGTCCCCCCTTAAAACAAAGTACATATTTGTCATCAGAATGGGAAGATGATTATGCTCTATAAATTTCATTTGATTTGGACCATAAATAAAAAAAAAAGCTCAAGAAGCAGTGTTTCCCCTTAAATTGCAAACCGAGGCCGCATAAATTTACTGCCCTCGAGGGCATAGTGGCAGTGAAAAGGCAATGGAAATAGAAGAAATATCAGTTTATGTTTTGATTGCACTCATCCCCCTCACTGCTCAGGCCCTTCCGTTTGCAATCCACTTGGCGAATTTGCAGATATGCAGCAGCATGGCACAGTTAGCGTGAGCTCCTCGGCAGCCCGCGAGCAAAGCAAGGCACGAAGCAGAAGCAGCAATACACAAACACGGGGGTGGAAGAGCTGTGCCATTTGCACCATTTTGCGCCAGACGCATTTGTCTGCGCCATTTTGTGGAAACGGCGCCACAGCCAATACCTCGCGCCATTGTGCTCCAAATTGCACAACGTGCACCGAAAAGATTCTATTTTGTCGTGGTTTTGGTTTTTATCGCCTCAATTGGCAACAATGAGCATGTTTAGCTTGGTCGGCCTTGCAGTTTTTTGTTCCGTTTATTCTCCCTGTGTATCCCGAGTCGGAAACGCGCAAAAAAACTCTGGAGTCGGATTCCAAGCGCTACATCACCTGCGACTGGGTTCTTATTCTTCAACCATAAGCGGTTAAGCAAGTCTGTCGAGGTGAGGTCGAGTCATTAAGCGTCAGATTGCCTAAGGCTCTGCGGCCCGAATCTTGGGACGTCAGCCAGTTGAACATTCCTGCAAGATAAATCGTGATTTGACTGAACTAAAACGCTGTCCGATCCGAAGCCTTGTCGGCGAGCAGCTCTCACGCGAGCAGTAGATCTGCTCGGCGTACTTTAATCTTGCTCTGGCTCATCGCTTCGAATACAATAACTCCGTTAATCGGGGTCTGCTGCTTCGATATTGAGTTGTACAATAGGATAAACTCAAAATTGGTTGCCCTGTCCCTCCGAGCAACTGCTCGTCCGTTGCTTACGCACGTCACGCGGTTCGCATTTTGAGCAGCTGAAAGCCACTGAGAAAATATCAAGGACACTATCTTCAGAAACATGTGGTACTTGCTTTTTGGTTCTCACTAAGGTCAAGTTTTCGCATCTGTTACACTGTTACCCTATCTACCTTGGTTCCTAACCGCTCATGTTCACCTGTGTTGCTAAGCACAATTGAAATTGTTCCCGTGCTCGTCTAAAACACAAGCTGAAGTGCAATGAAAACTGATTTGAGCTGCTCCTATCCTGCTCCCAACCTGCTCCAAAACAGCTGTTTCAGCTGCTCCTGTGGCTGCTCCCAAATACATTTCATGAGTTCCACCCCTGCAAACACCAGACCACTCTGGAGCAGAAACTAAAAAATGTGCAGGCAGAAAAAAAGACTGCTGGACCCGACACACGATCACACTCATTATTGTTCTGTTTCCTCCGCGTAAACAAACACTTTTGTTGAACAATTGCCTAAACACGGTGGGTGTTCTTGGCTTGGCTTGTGTTGACCTGTGGTAGCTTCGAGTAGCTGATGTGCCAACGGGTCCAATTCCGTATCTACCCCGAGCGTAGCTGTCACTGACAAGGCGAGAACAACGGGGAAGAGCTTGAGCTGTTCAGGCTCCGAGCTTTTAACCTTCGACCACACCGTAATGTCTCGCTCACCGAAAGTGTGTGCGTGCGTAGCCAAAGCACGACGGAAGAGCGCGTGCTAGAGGCTGGGCGTCGGAAAGATGCGTCCTGTTGTTCTCACTGCGAGCGATTCAAGATGGGATTGGAGCCACTGCATATGGCTGCTTTTGCTGCCTGAGTAGCGGTACGCTCTTTTCCACGTTGCCTCTTGCCGCGATTGGTCACGTGTGTTACCGTAGCAAAGAACCAAGCTGGCTCAATTTCCATGGCGACCGACGGAGCCAAACTTTGCTGACAATTGCCGAAGTGGCTTTGGGATGTTTCGGAGCGCTGCCCGAAACATCCCAAACCTGTCGTCTGCTTCTTCCACTTCTCGAATAGCGCGAACTTCAAGTTGTCGGTGCTCACCCCCGCGTGCATCGAAGAGCGAGGCACCTGCAACTTGAGACATGCTCGAGCCGCTATGCCGACCACACTTTTGCGTGGCTTTTACCCACTTCTACCGCGTTTTAGCGAACGAGTGGAGAAATCAGATGAGCCACATCAATCAAACTTTTCGGAGCAGAGCTGCTAGCAGCTCTGCTCCGAAAATGGTGATCACTATTGGCGCTTTTGAGTGTCACCGCTCTGGCAGCTTAAGCATGCAGTGGCTCTCAAAGCAACGGGTCTGGCGTGCCCAGGTGCCGGAAAGGCCCCCCGAGGCGGCGCGGGTGGCGACCGCAGACGCGCCTTGGAGCGGGCTGCGGACAGACGCGGTGGACGTGTCGGACTGCTCGACTGCCTCGTCGTCCTCATCGTCCCTGTGCGCGCTGCCGCCCTCTTCGCCCGGCTCCCGGCCCCTGGCGTCGTCCGGAGGCATGCTCAAGCGCAAGGTGGGCATGCCACCCTCTCTGCGCGCAGGGACACGGCCGGTCATGAAGGTACTCAAATATTGGCTGGTTGGATGAGCATTGACTTATTTATTCCTCCCTCAAGGTGCAAGCATTATAGAGGGGCAAGTGGGCGTGCGTATATTGAAACGGAATGAAATGCCCGGGAAAGCGTCAATTGGTTAGATGACGAGGCAATCTAAGGTGCTTTTAAGAAGAATGCGGTGTGCGAATTAATACTATGGAAGGGATATTTATCTTTATTTGTTTATTTATTTATTTCAAATGCCCCCAGGGCCACGGGTGCATTGCAAAAGGGAGTGGGTTACAGGTATATCGAACAAAAACAATGAAGCTACAACAAATTCATGCAAATAATTTGCTGCGAATAACGTACTAAAATTGCGACATTGTTAAGGCAGTTTCAAAGGTGGCGCCATCAGGCAGTTACCACAGACACTGCAAAGAGGCTTTGTGAAAGCGTGGTTTGGGGTGTGAATGAACTGTGAAACTTTGTAGTTTTACGCAACTTTAGGCCTATCTTGTGTTGATGATCGAAATGCTGTGATATGTGGGACGAAGACGGAACTGGCAGTAACTCATAACTGGTGTTTTAATGCACTTGCAAGGCAAGAGAAGGAAGAAGTGAAAATTGTGATCAAAAGAAGAAAGTGATGAAAGAGGAAGAAAGGAGAATCACTCTTTCCACCTCTTCCTTCTCCTCTCTTGAAAGTGCATTAAAATGCCTGTTTAATGTTAGCGGTAGTCCCGTCTTCGCGTTCTTATTCCTGTCTGTCATTTGCCCTATTTATTGTTCATAGTGATTCAGGTAGATTGTGGTCAGAATGACATTGATGCAAGAAGTTAAAAGGGCACTGACACATGAAAATAATTTTTTCTTTTTTTTTTTTATTATCGGAGAAGATTGAAAACGATGCCGGGACATTACCCTCAAAATTCGAAACTTGGGAATTCAGTATTTGTTAAGCAAAAAAACAATTTCCAAATGCCGAATTTGAAGTTCCCACGCGATACGCGCCGGTGCGTTGACGTCAAATATTGCGGAGTCCTGAGAGTCCACTTTCTTTCACGACTTCCTGCTGTTGCCACCACGACCCAAAGCGAGGAGGAAAGGAGCGGGATGTATGGGCGCCGGCGGACCGAGAAAAGCCGGTCTTATTCCATGCGAGGTGTGCCGCCTGCCGAGGCGGCATATTTTCCGAGGGAGCATACAATTCCAGAAGGCAACATCACACCGAACTCCGATTTTTTGTATTTCAGAAAGAAAAGCCTAAGTGCATTTTCAATTGCTTTAAGAAACATGTTTTACGGTTGCCGTTATTAAATGTTATAGAAATGTCGCCTACAAAGCTTCTAAATTTTATGATTCTTGACGTCACGAATCAAAAGAAGCGAAGAGCGGGAGAGGAGGGCACCAAAAATAAGAAGGCGCGCAAGAAAATATTTTTTGCTATGCGTTTTTTTTTTTGTGTGTGTGTCTATGACTACAATTTGCATTGTTTTAGACAATAAAAAAAAAAAAAAAATGACCCTTGGGGTGTCAGTGCCCCTTTAAAGCAGAAAAATCGCAAAACATTTTCGAAAACCGCTTTTTTTGGGGTTGTATATTCCATAAACTACCTCTTCTGTAATTATTTGCACCTAATTCATTGAAAAAATATGTTTAAAAAATACTCGCGAGGTCTAGGCTGCTTCCAAATTGCACTCAAGCCGCAACATCGAGCCAAACTTAAAGCAGTTGCCGCTCCCGTTCAACTTGGAGGCTGCTAGCTTGTGTGCGTGCGTGTCGATGTCCACGGGGTTTTTGCCGCACGAGAATGAAAATTGCAAGCAGAATTGCACCATATGAAACAAGGTCAAAGCTGAAAATGTGTGTGCAACTTTTAACTGCCATTTTCTCAAAGTCGATTTTTTCAATGACATTGGCACTTGTCCCAGCGTTTATTTTGTGCATTATAAATTTTTAATTTAAGTTTAAAAAGTTGTAATGCACAAAATAACTTTGATGGATGAGGATATGACGAACATACCGTATTTACTCGATTCTAAGCTGGCATCGATTCTAGGCCGACCCCGCAAAAACGACAGGACCGAAAAAAAAAAAATTCTCGATTCTAGGCCGACCAAAAAGTATAGGAAAAACACCATAAATTAAACACAGAACAGAATTTATCTGCAATGTACAGCACTATTTCGGTCACGAATCCGACGGCATGCTCACGTTTAATGTCCGCATTTTTCCTGACCATTCGTCGTCCTCACTCGTATCTTTGTCACTGTCCACTTCCCACAATGCGTGGTCATCCGTACCGTCCAGGGCATTCGAGATGCAACACTTTCGGAACGACTTTACTATCAGTTCCGCCGGGATGTCGTCCCATGCGGCCGCGATCCAGCTCGTGGTGCCTTCCCTTCCGCGGTCCTGAGAACGCCATTCTTGTTGCCGCACATGCAAAGAGCTGACCACGCTGCTTTCTCCAGCGACGCACATTTCTTTCGTCCACGCCGAAGTCACGCTCGGCTTGCAGGTTGGACGAGTGTTCAGCAGCCAAGACAACTTTCCCCTTAAAAGCCGCGGAGTAGTGGCATCAACTGGTCGATGCCATAGCGTCGAGTAGAGACGAACGTTCCGTGCGTTCCGTGGTACACAGCGTATCTTCCCGAAGCGATGTAGACAAGATGGCATCCCGCGGTCATGGCGGAGCCGGATCCTTGTATCTAGGCCGACCCCCGAGTTTCGGATTTAATTTTTTTGGAAAAACTATCGGCCTAGATTCGAGTAAATACGGTAACATTCAATGTTGCACTAAAATATTTTTGAAAATTATTAAATAAAAAGGGCTTTGTCATGCCCTGGAATGCCTGTCCAGGAATAGTTACAACAAATTTCACATTCCCACTATTATTTGCAAATTCTAAAAAAAAGAAAAAAAAAAATCCAGAATTAGTAGGCACAGTTTTAGGTGAATTAGCAGTTATTTTTATACGTGTCCTATGAATGTACCCTGAATCTTTCATGCATATAGCTCTAAAAATAATCACAAGCTGGTTCACCGCTCACGTAATGTCATTAGGTGGAAAGGACTCTCACTTTTACCGTGTGGCAAAAGTACAGTTGAACCTCGATGTAACGAAGTCGGTAAAATTCGCAATTTACTTCGTTACATTGAAATTTCGCTAAATCGAAATTTGGCTTTAGCATGCGAAAAAAAATTCCGAAACATTTTACGGGTATGAAAACTCACCGAAAACGACATTTATTTAGGGGCGAAGTAGTCCGCGAGTTTTGCTTGCGCCTTGTCCGACAGTAGCAGCGGCGTCATACGGCGTTCGAGCGCCCAGAGCGCTTGCACGGCATCCTGCTGCCCATGCGACGCCGTGTACCTCCTCAGTACGTCCATTGCGTCGAGCACTTCCCGAGTGCTCGTGATCTCGGCAGTTTCTTCAGGATGGCGTCCAAAACGTTTGCTTTCTCATCCAAAGAAAGAACTTTACGTTTCCTTATGGCAGCAAGCACGTAAGTGAACCGCCCGGTTAAAAAATGAAGCTGTTTAGTTTAGGCAGTTTAGGCGGTGCCAATGTTTCCAACCTACACAGCACTCTTCACCGCACAGTTTACTTGCCCCCTTGCCACCCTTGCGCCCACAGTGATGCTTGCGCCGCTTGCGCCCACGCTCGCAAGACGATAATCGGTCTTTTCGGTCTTCTCCTAGATGGCACTGCCCGTGCGGTCGCGCCATCACGTCGCTCCCCCGCTGAAGTTGGCTCCCGCGCTACCCGCGGTGCAGTGGAGTGGACTATGGTTATCAGTGAATGTCAGTGGTGATGCTGGTATGCCGTGTTAACTTTTTGCTCGGCATTTTCTGGCCAGCCTCGCGGAATCCGCTTTGCCGCATGCCTCGCCGGCGCTACCGGCGCCGCATCCTCGGGCAGCCTAGGAACGTTGGAAGGCCTGTCCCCGTGAAGTAACCTATCAAGCGCTCGCGTTTGCGCGTAATTTTTTTTTTTTTAACCACAATTTTTTTGCGAAGTTGTTTTTTAGAGTTGATTTATTTATTGCCTTCTATGGCAATGGCACTTCGTTATAGACTTAGACTTCGTTATATAGAGACTAAAAATACATGGGGTCTATGGGCAAGAAATTATGAAAAATAAAATACTTCGTTAAATCGAAGATTTCGTTACATTGAAGTTCGTTATATCGAGGTTCGACTGTATTAGATGCCAAAGAACTGTGTATTTTGTTTGTTTCGACGAACGTCGCTTTGGGATGTGGTAAGAGGGGGAAGGTCGTGCTAGCGGTGACCACGTGGGTTGTCCAGGTGAGCCTGTCGGAGTACCGGATGCGGATGCGGGAGACAGGCAAGGCGGCCGGCGTGGCCTCCTGCAAGAGCCCCCTGGGACCCCCGGGCCCCCCGGTGCAGGACCGCCAGGGCACGCCCCTCTGCTCCCCTGCCAAGGGTAGGCTCCTCTGGATTGGTGAATGGGTGGAATGCACCCTTTGCAACTAGTGTGCGTAGATGTGGGAGTGTTTACAACTGCCCCACGGGGGTCATAGGTTTATGGATTGCATCTGCGATACATGCTGGGAGAAAGAAACAAAAGCGCCGATCATTTACAAGCAACGCGTGCATGCACCTCGGTTTTTGCAACCTTCCTCCCCTTCAGAATGTGAAAAGACGGGTGACGGGACCACAGTGGGAGGTACATTTAAAAGGCTTAGGTTAGTGTCACGCTTTACCGACCAAGTTGCCTCTGCATACATGGCTTGTACCGACGTTGTATTGGTTGCCACGATGGTAGCCTAGCCGCCGATCGCGCGCCTTGGGCTGCGTACACTTTGCAACTTTGTTTATCTCTGCAAGAACGGGTAGAAATGATGGTCATTAACGGGACGACGTGGCGTGCAAGCCATGTGTAGTGACGGAGGTTTACCCTGCCTGGAGGCCAAACGACGAAGGCCCTCTCGTGGCGCGCAGGTGAAGAAGAGGACGACCCCTGGGGCCAGCCCCGGCGGGAGCGACTGAGCCAGCGGCTGCGGCGGGAGTTCGGCCTGGACGACGACTCGGACTCGGAGAGGAACCCCCACGCCGGTGAGCACTCGGGACGCAACACCCGCGGGTGGTCGATCGAGGGCTGCGGATTGCTGCGGTTTGTTATCATCATCAATCAGATTGTAATTTTCTTACACTATGTAGGCATGCAGTTATGCAGTAATAATGAGTTTTATGTCTTTAAATGGCTTTGAATAACAATCGGTTTCAAACTAGAAAATGAAATCCTCTGTTCGATGGTGATCGTCACCAGCTACGTTCAATTTACCTACACCTCCTGCACCGGTGCAGAAAAGTGTAGGACAATGCACTTGCGGTATGTCTATTCAGATGCGACCGTAAGGACACTGCCTTACACTTTTCTGCCCCAGTGCAGGAGGTGTAGGTAAATTGAACGCAGCTACCACCACCACCGAAGGGGAATTACGTGAAAATATTGCGTCCCAGAGCACGGCGTCTGTCCCTCTGTGCTACAATGTGCCCCCGTCGCCTCAACCTGTCTTGGCTCTCTGCTTGCAGACGGTGCCCCCACACTGCCACCTTCGGCGGCAGGCTACCAGCCGCCCCTGGTGCCCCACCTCGGCACCCTCCAGGTGGGTGGCCCTCTCCACCGCATCTTTTGGCTTTCTCTGCCTCGTAATTTTCTGCAGCCTAATGCGCTTGCAGTTTAGACAATATTGCGACGATCCTCTTTCCCAGTTTCTCCCGCTACTTTCCGTTGTTTGGGTTTCATATTTGTTAGAGCGTCGGAGGAGTAGTATTCCAGCGGCTCTGTTTCCCCCTTGCAGCCCCCGGGAACTCCCAGGGGCACCCCAGGTGCCGCCGGAGGAACCACTCCTCCGCAAGGACGGCCCCCCCAGGGCTACTTCCACAGCTAGGCCCCTCCTCCCGTGCCACAGCCCCGTCAGTGACTGGCCCCCGTGGCCTTGGGTGCACGACCGTGTTTGCGAGGGGTGCCCTCGGAGGAGTGTGGACCGCCCCGGGTGGAACCGTTTGTATATAAGCAATGGACGTACCCAGTTGACACCCCATCTTCATTGGAGCCCCCAGAGGCTCCCTCGACCCCGTGCTCACCTCGGATTCGACGGACATTACGTGTGGCGAGTGTGTACGGACAAGCCGCCTGCGTCGGTTGCTCGGGTCTGACCCGATACCGGATCGCTTGGCCGTACAAGTCGGACCCGGTACATTAGTGCGTGGCCGGGCCCATCGTGCTGGCTTTGCATCGGCCCTGTTGATATGTATGTATGCAGCGGAGTTTCCGCAGGTTCCTGGGTAGCCCCCTACCCTCTACCCTTTTTTTCCCGGTTCCCCGGGACCGGTTTTCATCCCCCTGGTTGTTCAAGGTCACCCGTCATCGGCGACGTCGGGAATCCCTCTCTGCATCTGGGGGTCCCGCTCCGTTCCGAAGGGAAGAGCGGGGTGCTCCCTCCCACCCATCGTGTACATAGCTATACATAGCGTAACCGTATCGCATGTTAGCCCGCATTCTCATTTGTGTTTCGGTGTCGCGTAACACGCCGCGCCCTTTGGCGGTTCCTGTACATAGTGTACATAGAGGGGTCGGCCCTCTTGCCGCGCAGCGAGGCCCAGTGAAGAGGGGAGGGGGGGTGTAACAAAGAGGCCACGCCCGACTACCGTCCTCCCATTTCCTCACGACTTGTACATACCGGAAGGTCGTTATCTTTTAAGCCGTGAATCGTTAATCGCATTGTTTCACGGTCCATTTTACGCGTCGCTACATTGCCCGCTTGGCTTCAATCGGCGTCCTGGGACTCCTCGCTCAGAGACGTCGGGCCGAGAGCAGGCCGACGTGGGCTTCGTTGGCCCGTTGCTTGGGGACGGCGGGCCCCACTTCACCGCTGCTCCTCGAGGCCATTTGGTTTTTAAACTCCCTGTCCCTCATTGGAGAAGACGACAAAACGCAAAACCGTGTGATAACTTATTTTGTAGCCTAGAGAGTGTCTCCTGCCGCGTCTTGCTCAGGTGGCTGGCAGCTCCTCATTTGCTTCCGGCTGGGGTGGTTCCAAGTTTGACGGAGTCGCAGAGGGGCGCAGACGCGTGCTGCCCCATTCTTCTGCGCTGGTTGCTGAGAATCGTGCATGGTCTCGGTTGGGCTTCGCACAACCGGGCTGGTGTGTCGGGTAACGGGTCAGCTCGCGAGGTGTCGTTTGTGGAGGGCTCTGGGGAGGCGAGCGGCTCCCTGTGCAAGACCTGCTGCGTGTCATGTTGTGTGTGCTCTCCAAAGCTGTAAATAAAGGAGGCTACTTTCTTCACTCACTCTCGGCAGTGCGTTCCTAGAGGCTGGCACGGACCGGTGGGTCAGGCTCTGGGTGCCCGTAGCGGCCACCGCTGCATTTGTGCGACTTAAGTTTGAACTTCAAGGGGCGGTGCAACAATTTCTGTACTTCGTGCAGATACCACCTAAAACAAATCCCCGACGTTTATGACCTATGAAACACGCGTTCGTTTCTCCTACCACGCAATACACGTCGCAGAAAGAATGAAAAAAAATTAACAGCGTTTACCCCCTCGACTCGTAGCCAGAATGTGATCTGGAGCCGATTTATATGCCGCCAATGTTGATCATAGCCACGCGCCGAGGTTGGCAAAGCACTGGACACTCCCTGAGCTCCCAGACATTGTTAGGGTTCGGCTATTGTCGTCATTGCAACAATTGGACACGGGCCACTACCCGGATGCTTCTCGAGCTACTGATCATCACGAGCCCAAATGGAGTGCTTGCGTAATGCTCAGGTCAAATCTATGAGCCACATTCAAATACCCTCGCTGGGGGATACTGCGATCCCCACGCTACATCATTGTGTTTTGTGGAGGAGAAATTAAAAGAGAACTCTCTTTTATTCTTGAAGTTACACGCAACAAACAGGTTTCTTCGTCAATGCCGTTGCGTGCGAGTATTTTGAGTCCCACTAGTGCCAGTAAACTTGTATAAAGTGAAAAACATTCAGATTAAATATCGTTGCATTTCCCTTTTAAAACTTGTTCACCCACTTGCGACGGTTTAGGACCATTGAGGGGGTGAACTGGGCCAGTTGGCTGACGTTACACATAATGGGGAAAACACTGACTACGAGAAAGAACATGCACGACCGAACAATGCTGTACTCTCGACTGAAGAATTTTAATGAAGAAAATGGACAGAAAAAACTTGCCCATAAGCAAAGGACCAGCTTGCCAACCATGAAGCGTGTCGATAATCCACGTTTTTTTTCCCGCAGGAAGGATATCTTTTATTGAAAGTGCCAATGAAGGTTCACTAACAGATGAAGGCCCATGACACGAAATGTGGAAGGCCTCAGATTTCTCTCGTCAGCCTCTTCTCGTTTGCCGAGGATGGTGACCCTGCCAAAGTCGGGCCGACATTTGCACTTTCTGCAATGAATCAGCAAAAGCACCCCCCAACCGTGGCTCCAAACGAATATGAATGTTCTCCTAGTCTACCCCTACACCCTTGGCTTAAGAAAAGCTAAGAGGGTACAGAGGACAAAGGGGCAAAGCGCATGGTGGTGGTCCCCTACCTCCACCGCTTGAAACGAGTCTGTGGTAGATATAGAATACCGGTAGTGTTTTCGATGCCCAAAAAAATTGGCCAGATATGTTCCAGGGTTGGTGTGGGGCCAGATGGTCGTTTGAATGCAATGTGTACGAAGGCACACAGAAAACCTTTTGTCACTTGGGTTTTGTGTGTGGTGTACAAGATCCCCGTCATGTAAGAGCAATCTTAGTGGCCAGTAGGTGTCACGCAAAGCATCTTGGGTACTGGTTGGCCACTAAGTTTTGGTTTGCCAACCTGACTTTGTGACATTGTCAAGACCAAGTAAGGTGCTTACATTTTTTAACATGCGACTAATTTATACTACTGTAGGTGTTTCCTACCGATACCGAATGCTGGGGCACGCTTTTTGGGGCTCTTGCGAGCGAGGAGGCGAGTGCTGCACTCTGGAGTGGTAGCCAGAAAGGTGCGAGATGCAACAGGCTCTACTCGCTAAGCCTATACTCTGTTCACCCTTAAGTTTAGATTGCAGCCAGTGCTTCATGCACGAGCGCTCAAAGTTGCTGCTTTGAAGCATTCTGCAGAACAAGTGCTTGCACTAGAAATGCATGTCTCAAAACCGGGAACATGGGCTAGCTTGCGCTTGTACGCATTTCAAGGAGGGTTCTTGCGAAGGTGAATGCAGCAGTCTTCACCGACACTAGCAAGTCTGCCGGGTTCGCACTCGCAAAGACAGCCCGTGGCACCGGTACTTTATACAGTGTCGCACTTGGCAATACTGACATAGCTGCTGCCATTAAAAACTTGCATTCACAAAGACAAAGCTCTGCCCAATGCTCGGTACACCTTGGGACGTTCAGCATTGAGCGGAGCATTCTTTTTTGTAGGCGGTGTCTCCTGCATTCGTACGTCGCAACGTTGCATCAATCATTCTTGGTCAAAATGCATTGCTTATGGAGTGCTGCGAAAAAAAGAGCTCTGACCAAACATTCTTCGACTTCCAACATTAAAACATTTATTTTTTCCACCATTGCTTCCTCAATTCAGCAAAACAGATGTTGCCACAAGCTACCATCTGTCAATTGCTTGCAAGATTATTAAAAAAGAACACAAATACTTGAGAGAACGGACAAGACTAAACTGCTCTTGTACATGATCATTTTCCACACGTAACCAAATTTATGTGCCTTGGAAACAAAATGCATGTACAAAGTTCTGGTCCACCTTCATCAAAAATGTAAAATTGCACAAAAAATATTTACATAAATTGCAGAAAAAAAAAAAAAAAAAAATACTACTCCAGTGTAAATCTGTGAATACTTGGTAGCTCAGAATCGGCTTCTATGGTTTTGGGTGGAACTTTTTAGTCCCACCTAGGTCAAGAAGACGCCGTCGGAGAGCTTGCAAATCTAGGATGCGAAGGCACTTTGAAATGCATTCCACAATTCAAATACGAAAAACATCCTTGATTTCCGGTCACCAGCGGAACGTCTGGCAGTTCTCACAACAAGAGAGCCCGGCCTGGAAAACGAGGCATCGGGAAAACCCGTTTCAGTGGAGCGGTCCTTGGAGTCTTCTTCACGACTCCTCGTTGGAAAGTGGAGGCAAGGAGAGGTTCAGGAAGCTGGAAGAGACAAAAAGGCCCTTGAATAAACCTTTGATTCTACCCTTAAAATACATGCACACAGATTACATTTTTGTGGCTTGTGGTGGACTTTGCAACCATTTGTTTCTAATTTATACGAGTAGAAACGAAGAGAGGACAAGATAAAAGCACAGGGATGTTGGAGCACCAAACTGTGGTTGGAATTATTGAGGGTAGATGCAAACTAGCTGCCTCTCTCTACTCTGTTCAAACAAGTACAGCCAAGCACCTTTATAACGAATGCCTCTACTACAAGAACACCCGTTTAACGAGGTAAAATAGAGTCCCCGCCAATCTCGCATTCAATGTGTTTCTCCGACTACTACAACAAATTCCTGTTTAACAAACATTGCTGTCCAACAAAGCAATTGCACGGCCCCACAAAGCAAAAATGACCGGTATTGTAAATTGTCTAGGTGAAAAATAATCGATTTTATGTAAATTGTCACTCTCAAGTGACGCGCGTAGAGAAAAGAAATGCTGCGGCAGCAGCGACGATAGACACCTCTGCAGCACGCAGCTTTATGTCTCGATGGCGCTACGCGACTACGTTGCTGCGTCGAAAACCTGTATGCAGCAGCATAGTCTCGTAGCGCCATCTAGATGCAAGGTTGCACACTAATAAATTATTTGGAACCAAAAACCGGGAATGCGCGGCACTAGCAAAAGCGGTGCGCTGAATGCGGATCCACCTCCGTCACATGCTGTGCGCGCTCGTGCATACTTGCGTTTGCTCTTATCTAGCTCATGCCGTTGATTGACCCCGTAAGTGATGATGTCGCAACATGGCGCTGTGCTCCAGACAAACCATTGCTAGAGCCATTGCTATATTCAAATGCATGGGTGCTCCACACGAGGTGAGAATTTGTCTAATAATAAAGTGAATAACTTTCTGTAAGCATTGCGCCTTCTCCATGTTGAATCATTGATCCTTCTACTGTTTCCGTGCCATATAGCGATGCTAAAAGCCCGTAATACAGTTCAGCAACCGCTTTAATTTGTTAGCAGACGACACTATTGCCCGATGGCTTTGTGTGGGTTCAGTGGTCCTTTCTGAGGGAGCAGCATGCACTGCATTGCATAAAGTTGGTGGCAAACGACGAAACTTGCCGTGGCAATTGGGGCAAGCGACAGCTTTGCGTGGCATTTCGAAAGTGAAGAGTGCCCGTGCACGGCCTTGATCGACGCTCGAGGTGCGCGAGCTAGCGCGCGGACGTCTCCCAAAGATGCTTCGATATCGCAAGGAGAAGGGTGAAAACGGTGTCGTGACGTAATAATAAATTACGACGACGTGTATCAACGTCGATGTGCGGGTCGGCATGCGTTTCAAATAGTTATGATGGCATAGAATGAGGTTGCTTTGGTGCATATTTGTCATCAAACGATTTGTCCATATACAGATATAAACTTACCTGATGTTCTTACCCAGTTTAATACTTTCGCTATTTTGGTTCTTGCTGAAAACGGAAGAACCAGCAAATTTGTTTTCTTAATACTCCCATATCGCTAGCCCTCAAACGAAATCTGCAGTCTCGAACCAATCATTTACGTTAGAGTAAAATTAATTACCTCTTCGTTAGGATGCAGGTCAATCTGTAAATCAAAAGGAGAGCATGATGCTGCTTTGATATATACTAAACCTAGTAAACAAATGCATCTCTCACCGGTGCAGTAGCATACTTTCTTTGCAGACGATATATCTATACGTGGTGATGATTTTCCTCCGACAGAGTCCCGTATGGCGCGAAAATACATGTTTTTAGAAACCTGATTAGTTTTGTTAGAGCCACCATGTTCCTAATAAATACACTATCAAAATTGTATCATTATGCGAAAGAACCCCAAGCTGTTCCAGATGACATGTTTCTGTAATTCTGCATGCATTCGTCGTCTGCAGCACGAATGGATGTTGCCGTCGCAAAAATTTCACCAACAACGAAATCTTGGCAAATTTTATCGTGGTAAGTGAGAGATCCAGGCCTCCTATATCGATTCTTTTTAAACGTTTAAATTCCACGTCGTCTTTTTGAATAAACATTCTTTCGGAGCGAAATCTAATCCTATGTATTTGCCTAGACCAACGGTAGGGTGTAAGGTAGACAGGTGGGGAAACGAGAGCCAAATGAGCAACCGGATTGTGTCCCCCCTTGGTGTTTCTTTTTCTGTGGCGCCATCTATGTGGAGCACCGCGAACTCTCACTCCGCGTGTGCGACCGATGGCGACCGGCTAAACTGACGGAGATGGCTTCTTGCGGATTTTCAATGGAGGACTGTCGTGCTCTCAGTTTATTTTGCGCACTCTCCCATAGAGTTACGCGCAAATCTGATTCCGATTTTTTCCTCTCGCCACAGCGCCATCTGTCGCAAGTCGGGGGTACCCGCAAGCAGACGAGTACACAATCCGGTCACGGCGCTGCGGTAGGCTTCTATGGGCCGTTTCCCCACCTGTCCATCTTACACCCTGTATAACGGTTTGTTTGGGGCAGTGACATCACACTTATGAGGTCAATTGAGTATGTGCCTAGGGAAGAAAAAAGTTTCTTTTCGGAAGTCTTGGAAACACTGGAAAAATTGTCTGAGCAGGAATAGTCCAGCAATAATCTAAAATATAGTGACAAAGGTCAATAACGGCAAGAATTCTCGCCGTTATTCTTGTGCGAAGTTTTGTGGTGTTATCATATTGTACTAATTGTTTTAGCGTTAATGCAAACTTTTGTCAATCCAAAAGAATTCCATCCAATCGACTGGTAGATCGCTTTAGCTTTGAGAACCCTCGTACGCAACGTGCTAAGCTCTCGAAACTCAGGAGTGGCATTTGCTTGGATCTGTTTGAACTTTCTGCTGTCGTGGTGAGACCCCGTACAAATATATGGGTGAATTTCGATGTGACTATTTCAACATACACCGTCAAAACACTTCTACAATTATTTTGACATCTGCTTCGTCACTTCTGTAAAACATCAAAACGTTGCACCCCGTCAAATGCAGCCATTGCAGTGATAGCCTTTGGGTCCTGTTCTGTTTCTGGTGGTGTTGTTGCTGTCGTGTTGACGGAGTGGTGTCCCACGCCTCAGAAGTACTTGGCACTAGAAATGTCTTATTCAGAGTGTGTGTGCTCAACTGGCTCGACAGTTGATCGTTTCGGACGCGACATGCCCAGCAGCGATGTTTTGAGCTCTCGCTCATTATTTCTCCAGGTGTATCACTTAAAGGGCAACTCCGCTCAATTCCAAAGATTTCTGGATAATGAGTGATTTCACATTAAAAAGCCTTAGTAAAAAACATTACGTAATTTGCTTCGTCAAAAATGGGATATATTTTTTAAATCCAATTTTAAACACGAGCAGAAATCAAAACCGAAACTTCGGCTCCATCCGGCAACATTGGTCTCGGGCCGCCAAGAACATGGCTATCACATGGCACGAGATGTCATGTGATCCTCTACAAGACGATGGGCAGGATTGGGGCGGGCGTGTGCCAGGCACGAGTGTCGTCTGTACCGCACTCTTCACCATGTTTTGATGTCTACGACATTCAACGTCTGCACAACTGTGGCAAAAGTCTGTGCACATAGTGTCTGTAGTGTGGACGAAACTCCGAGAGACAATAATCACAAACGGTGAGACAACAATGGCGGTTGTGACGAGGGAGATGGCAGTAACGGCAGGGCGGCCAAATGGCTCCCAAGGAGCGTGCTGCTCATGCGCGTTACGCCAATCACGTGGACACCGCTGAGTGCCGAGAGAAAGCATTGCTGACGTCACCCGTTACGCTTGCCAAGAAAAGTCAAAGCAGGCAAAAGGGGGCAATGGTGATGAAGTTTAGCTCAATGTTGGCTACGTCCACGCCATAGCCTTGTCTGCGCTGTTGGTTGCGCCTCAATTCGCCCGCTCGAGTCAGCCGATTTCGGCAATTTGGCGAGTTGCAAAGTTTTCCGGACCATTTAACAAACATTTAGACTACGTCGTAATATTTGACGTGTGGTCTTCATAGGTGGTACGGAAGAGGACTCCATTGTTTTTTCAAAAACAAAAATTAAACGGAGTTGCCCATATTGAATCTATAACGAAGCCAAGCTGGATATCCCTTTGCTGCACGTAACAAATATAAGTGCATACGCTATGTACCACTGAGAGCTTGGCACGCTTTTTGTTCCTCCACATCTCCACTACTGTGTGAGCGCGTCTTTGTATGGGTTGCAGTCTTGCTTTGCACTTGACCCCCACCCGATTTTCTTTTTGGTTCGGGTATAACGAGTGGGTTAACTACGAAACGATTGGGATGTTAGATAAAATGTTGCAAATGGAAAATATTGCCTTCTTGATGTTTCTGGACTGGCACGAAAGAGCAACAAAGACTCTGACGCACCGAGCAAAACATTCTCATATTGCATTTCGCACCACGGTTGTACGAGGTGCATGCAGTTTCTGACAGCAAGTGTCCAATCAACTGCAAATTTTATGACACAAGATTCAGCACATTTGTCTATATGAAACACGTGAAATATATCATGAAAAGCAATGGTGCCTCATTCTGTAATGTTTAACACAACCAAGCAAACGTCACATGCAGCCTGGTAACTGATGTATAGGGTGTCTGAAATGCCGAAGCTCTATCTAAAATTGGCTACAAAAATCGGCACCTACAAGAAGCGATCGAAAGCTTTCATCAAAGGTGTATTTCACAGGTAAAATTACGAGGCCTAGCTCCCCTCCTGTAACAAATAGGGCCAAAAGACTTGTCAGGGTCAACGGCGGCTGGCGGCGCAGATGATCGAGTCGAGTGGTGGAGCAGATTTGGCGCACGTATTGATAGACGACGTTGGGAGCAGCGTAGAAAGCCATGGCCAACCAGCGAAAAATGCAGGTGACAAGAAGATGCGATCCGTCGGCAGCAAGAGGGCCGTTGTTATGCAACTGCGTTTTATTTCTGTTACTTCAGGTATTGCTACCATTGTCCGCATTTGTTTTTAAGCCAAAGGTACATTGAGAAAAGATTATCTTAATTTTAATAGACCCCGTTCGTCATGGGCAGTTTCAATATTTTAGAGCGCAGCTCTTAGGCGCCCGTTTCCGGCTTGAGCGGCGTCACCGTTGCCGTAACCCTTGTAACCCTTGTGAGGGTTACTAGGGTTACTCTCACGTGGGTTCCCCTGACGAGGATCATGAGGGTTACTCTCATAACCCTCGTGAGAGTAACCCTCACGAAGGTTACGAGGGTTAGTTACCCTCAAAAGGGTTACCTCATGAGGGTCACGAGGGTTACCCTCACAAGGATCACGAGGGTTATGAGAGTTACCCTTACGAGGGTTATGAGAGTTACCCTTACGAGGGTTATGAGAGTTACTCTTACGAGGGTCAAGAGAGTAACTCTCACGAGGGTCACGAGAGTTACCCTCACAAGGGTTACCCTCACGAGGGTCATGAGGGTTACCTTGACGAGTGTCATGAGGGTTACCCCCTGAGGTCACGTGACCCCTGATGTCATATGACCCCCCTGAAGTGATGTGACCCCCTGAGGTCATGTGACCCCCCTGAGGTCACGTGACATACCTGAGGTCACGTGAACCCTCCCCCCATCCCCCCGAGGTCACGTGACCTCAGGGAGTCACCTATCCCTCAGTACCCTTCCATCCTCCTCCTCAAGAGCTGCGCTCTAATCCGGCGTTACAGGGAGTTGTAAACGGCTTTCATTTTTTTTAACAGCAAGCCGGAACAAGGAGGTAGCGCCAGTTGACCCGATCGCCGTCTGCCATTGAACCTGGCAAGCTTCTTAATCTTACGAGGTAAAACCGACCTGCGAAATACACCTTTGACGAAAAGTTTAGATTGCTATGTGAAGCCACCGATTTTTACGGCCCATTTTAGATCGAGCCCCGACATTTCAGACAACCTACACATTAATAAGTATTTTTTGCATTTCCCATCTTTAAAGAGTCATAAAAAATGCAGTTGACTGCACAACATTTGTTTTCAGAAAAAGCATGTTGAACCTCGCAAGCAAGATTATATTTTTTTACCGCCACTTTCAATCATTTCCAGTATAAACTCTGAAGCTCCAAAGTTGTCCAAAATTCCAAATTTAAAACGTCAAAATAATTTTGTTCAATTTTTTACGAAGGACACAATATTTTGTTTTAATTTTCATGTCTTCAGGAAGTGGCGTCACGGACGTCAAAAAATTACAAAAAATTACTGATTGTGGACGTCGAAATAGTGACCGCCATGTGAAAAAGGTACCAGTCAGCTCGGTCGTGCACCTCTCCCCATTCTCGCTGCGCCACACGCTGCAGCTGTCGCGTACTGAAAGTATGGCCGACTCAGCCGTGCTGCCACACACACTCCTACGAGAGCAATGCAGCCACTTCCAAAGTGTCTCGGCTGTAGATGACAAACTTTGCCAGTGGCAATACTGGCGGCGCGACCGCTAGCCTGGTATCTTTCAATGCCGTCACACAGTGGTGAGTACACGAACGCGTGCCAATAAGATTTTAATTTACAAAACAAATAGTAATCCAGCAATTCTTGAATTCTGCATCATAAGCTTTCTTTCGCTTTATGTGCTACGAGCTAGAATACGCTAACAGACTCGGCCACCGTTCCCCCCTTCGATAAGTCAATTGTCAACATACCGTATATTGCCGCATATAAGACAACCTTTTTTTCCAGAAATGGGTGTCTCCAATTGGGGGTTCGACCTATACGCGGATTCGATCGACCTGTATGCGGGTTTACACGCATTCTGAGCCGAATGAAGGGTTCTAGAGACTTTTCCCTACATAAAGAGCCTCAGTGTTTCGTACGAAGATATTGAGTGCAAGGCACATGCAGTCGCTACGGAGCTGAACATTGCGCGCAGCGAGTTTAAGATATCGAAGAAGTGGGTAACCAACTTCATGAAGTGCAACGGGCTAAGCCTGAGAAGGCGAACGACTGTGTGCCAGAAGCTGCCGGACGCCTACGAGGAAAAGCTGCAGGAGTTCCATCGCTATGTTGATGATCTCCGAACGCGGAACAGCTTCATGCTCGGCCAGATCGGCAACGCCGATCAGATGCCGGTTTGGTTCAACATGCTGAGCAGAAGAACCATCGCTGAAAAGAGTTGTCGCCAGGTGAATTTGCTAACGACGGGGAACGAACACAATCGCTTTACTGAGATGTTGTGCTGCACGGCCGATGGCCACAAGCTGCCCCCGTACCTGGTGTTTAAGCGGAAAACGATGCCGAAAAACGAACAGGCTTATAAGGATGGGATTGTGGGTTCAATTCTTGTCAAAGCGAGTTTAAAAAAAAATTTTTTTTTCATTCAGTTTATACACTACTTTTCAGTTATTGTTCTTTTGTCCAGGTTGTCCTCTGAAGTAAGTCTTAGACATTTTGTAGCCATTTCCGTGGAGTTCCGTCACATTTTCCTCAAGGATCCGAGCCCTCGAATACATTTCGTGAAGAAGCGGGACTTGTGCCGTCACATGTTCCAGTATACGCATCAACAGGGTTGAAGCGCAAGCATAGCTCAATGCAGACACTCACCTCCTCATCATGATGTGGTTAGCTTCAATGAGTTCCAGGATTTCCAACTGCTCCTCTTTCAACCGTTGCAGGCTGTGAAGAAGGAAAAAAAAAAAACAGTTCTACACATCGAGATGCCTGTCGAACGCACCTTGTCTTCTTTTACCCCACTAATTTTGCTTTGGCGTTCTCCAAGCCTGTTGTACCGGGTATTCGCGACACCTGTACCATTTATTTCAGTGAAAAATCTTGTCACCAAGAAAGAAAACAATATTCTCGTTCTCACTGCCAAGTGTATTTCATTGCATCCACAAGTGCATCTATATGCGTCTAGGTAAAATTTAACCACTTAAGTGCCAAATTTTCTTTTTCCAAAAGTAACCTAAAAGTGCTAATATTTTTTTGTTTTGAATTGTTATTCCTGTAGTATTACACATAAAATTTGAAAAGTTTACTACGCAAAAATCAGCGGAGGCAAAAAAAATATTTGCCAAGTAATACGAGTGCTGCCATCTATGATCAACGCCGCAAAACTACTCGGACGAGCCTACCTCGTCTGTGGAATTGAGGACTACCGAAAAAACCACTGGACGAGCCGAGCTCGTCCACGGCATTTTTAGCCAAAAAATGGCCGACGAGCTCAGCTCGTCCAAGGCACTTAAGGGGTTAAGTCATTTGTTGTTTTGACCACATTGGGTTTAGGTAGACGTCCACTTGTGGAAAAATTTCATATTCCTCTTATGATCCAGATATGGTGTTCTCAAGCTTTTGAGTCTTCTTGACACCGCTAGTGTCAGATTCTCACAGATCTTTAGGTTTCTGCAATGCATAATCCAATTACGCGAGCCGAAAAAAAAACGTTTTCTTTTCTTCCAAGCACCCAATATTTTTATGACAGCTGGCTTTTGCGATAACAAGTTCACGGTCTGGTTTTACGCAGCAAGATTTGGCCACCAACAAGGGTAAAGACAAGCGCCGACACCGATAACAGTACCAAGAAAGGAAGAGTGAGGAAGGAAGCGACAGACAAGCGGAAAAACAAAACAGCTAATACGTTAGGCATGTTCGTTTTGCTGCAACACGAAAAAGTTAATCGAGTGCTTGTCAACTTCAGTTTTCTTTTATACAATGCACAATGTCTATGTTTTCTGGCAAATAAAGCTAAGAGTTTAAGCACCAATCTTGCCAGTGGTAGTTTGCTGTTACCCTTTGTTCACTAAAGCCTAACCTGCCACCTGGGCCCATGCGTACCACCAACATCTGCGACAATTCTCAGCCTTTCCAAGGTAGCCCAAATGCATGGGAGGACTGCAGACTTTTTTACTCTAGATTTTTTTTAATATGAATCCTATGCAAAAAATATGATGTATACCTGTAAGCAATGCAATAACCCACAACCAGGTTAAAGATTGTGCAATGTCTATAGGTAAAATCTTTTAAGAGGAGACACTGCTCTTTAAAGCAAAAAATTGCTAAAACAAAAAAAGAACAATTGTGAAATTGTGTTTTTTAAGATTGGCAGGCACTTATCAACTTGCCCTGAAGTATTTTCATGAAATAAATCTCTTATTTAGAAATACTGATATGAATGCATACCAATACAGTGCAATCCACTTATAACGATACCACATATAACAATGTACTGCATATAATGATCAGTTTCTAGACTTTGAAACGCTCTTTCTAGTCCAGATAGAATAATAATTGGCTATAAGGATTGAATTTTCTGGTTTTTTCATTATCATTATAAGCTGATTTCACTGTAAAATGTCTGTACATGTTTTTTGCTATTATTTCAGAATAAACCATTCACACACTTTGCTATTTACGAAAGCCACATCTCCACTCGCATGTATCTAATCTACATATGTTTTTTTTTTCTTTCTCTGGTAGGTGTATGTGCAAATCCAATAAAAGGTATAAATATGGCTTCAGGTGTCTTTAGATGCCTTTTATGCTTCCCGCTAAAATTTTTAAACTAAAAACTCGAGTGTCAAAAAAACTATAAAAAATCCTACCGCTTTCATTTAGTACACCTTATTAGATTTCACAGACCTTGCAGTTTACTGACATGTATTTTCTGATTTTAGTATTTCAATTTGTCTTAATCCATCTCATAATCTTTGCAAATTAAACATTCAACATTATCCAAACTCATTAGGCTACATCAAAACCAAGTACATGTTTGCAGTAAGATTTTAAAGGCAGATAAGCTACGTAAATTTTATTTCAATTGGACCACAAGTAAAAAAAGAAAGTCCTCAAAGCCAGGGAAGAATCCAAGAAGGGGGGGGGGGGGGGGGGGGCGACGGGGGGCCCCCCCCACCTTCCCCCCTCCCCCTTCTAGGAGAGCAATTTGACATGAGTGGACCCCAGTGGCTTAACTAGGGGGGGCAGGGGGCTACAAGTGCCCCTGGCGCCACTTGGGAGGGGGTGCCGAGCCGAGTCCACCCATAATAATATAATGATGATGATGATGATCTCATAATCACTATCATCACGAGGGGCACGAAATTTCATTTGCCATGGGCACCGTCATATCTAGTTACGCCACTGGTGGACCAGCCGGTGCACAAGAAAGAATGGGAGAATAGTATCCCTACACATTTTTCATCCCACCCGCCCCCGCCCCGCCCCCGCCCCGAAACGGAGTTCTGGATCCGCCCCTGCTCGAAGCCAGTGTTGCCCAAGCTTACCCACAAACAATGCGCCCAGGAACCTTCTTGGGACGCCCGGACAACCCGTCCTTGAGGGTTTCCTGAGCACAAGGAGCGTCGTCGCTGGCAGCGTTTTTCGGCAAACTCAGACCGTTCTGCCCTTGGCTCTGACATCTTGCCTTCAAGTCGCAGACCAGACCGCCGACAACAGACTCAAATGTCGAGCCCACCTGCGGAGGAGGTGCACAAAGATGGATGCCCTCTGCCCCACTCCAATCCAACTTGCTCGTCGTCCGTCTTGTTGTGCCGTTTTTCGACTACCTCTGCCCACCACTAGCCTGCACGGTTTTTCCAGGTTTTCTTTAAAACCATTTCTTGCGTACCATGCATATGGAATCGTTTGGCCGGTGTTGGAGTTGTCCATTTTGTAAATAAATATTTCAAAAACCATTTTAAAAATCCTTCAACACCAACCATCACACACCAAGGCAGAAGTGTTCCCATGAAACTTGTACAGTGACGCAACTGCTTAAACTTGAGACGTTCTCCTTCTCTTTCTTGTCGTCGTCTGTCATTACCTCAGTCTCGGGTTTTTCACTAAAATGCTTAAACTCTTGCAGAGAAGTGTTAATAATAAAGTAGTAATGTTCCACTACGCTACAACCACTACCAAAGATTAAAAAAAAAAAGGCAGACAAAATGGACGACAAGTTACAATGTCTTTTCGGAATACCCCTCAGACCCAAAGGATTCGAAGAAGAGAAGAACAAATATAAACAAATCAACATTTTTTTAAATAAGTAACTTTTGTTTTTTTTTAACTAAAAAAACAAATTGGTGCAAGCAATATTTACGTTGTTAGACACAATTTAGTGGGGGTAGTCTTGCTCTAGGTCCTGCCCAGTGCTCACAAATCTAAGCACCTTGTCTCGGCTCTGACTGGTTGGAGAGAGGACCGACGTGTGAAATGTTAGTTGTAAAATTGTCTCTCCGTGCCAGAGAAAGAAATAATCCAGATAGGGTCATTATTTCATTTTAACTTTCATATGCAATATTTTTATGCCTGAGAAACAAAGAATCCAGATCGGGTCGATATTGTTTTCAAAAATATCCCGATATTGCCTTTCCCCTTAGGTTTCAAATGATCACAGACATGGCTGCCGGCGTCTGTGGTGTGATCAACGAGATCGGCTCGTCGAGCTTATCTATTTTAGTGAGTGCGAGTCGTTCTGCGTATACCAAGGTGTTTAGACGAAGATCCCCTCGACCGATCTAGTCAGCAGCAGACAGCTGTCGCAAGTACACGCTTTCGGAGGCGCTGTTGGCGCTGCGCGTGTGCTCGAGTTCACAGCGGGCGGTAGCGGGACTGGCCTGAGCCTAGCCTCCTACATTAACTATCTTAGTTGATCTGGCTCGATCCATTCCTTTGCTTGTGTCGATGCTGAATAAAGATACTCGTTCCCGTAAAACCGGCCTCGCTGCTTTGTGCGACTGTCGTGATTGTAATCGTGATTTCAATACCCGAGAAGATACGTACAGAGGTAAGAATTTGCGAGCAATTTGGCTGGAGGTAATCGGACGTTCAGTTCGCATCAAGTTTGTTCAGGTCTGTTCCGTCATTTTGCTTCGAAAGGAGAGTGGTGGCTCTACGCTTTACAGTGCACCTGGCTTGCCAATGCAAATATTTGCAGGTCGCGTTTTAGTTGTGTGTCATGACGCTCACCCACCTTGCTCGCGGATGCCGTGCGAAAAAATAATAAGAACAGAAAAACTGGAAGGACTACATATTTATTTTGTTGACTTTCTTAGTCCTTTCGGTCGTTTTTACCGCACATAGACGCTTATATTGGACCGTGGCTTGTGTGTCATGAAACACTAGAACGTGCTTTCATAGTTGTGTCTCGCAGACGTTTTTAGACGAGGGCAGAATAGCACACGGACGCTGACGTGCAGCTTTCATGTCCACGCCTGCCCTTGGCAGACGGCGATAGACGGTGGTGTGGAATAGCAGACGATGCCGGAGGCTGCCGTGCCTCGCATGACTAACAGACGGTGTGAGACATCCAGACTAGACACACCGGATGTGGGGAAAATGGAGACGATAGGCTTCCGAACATGTTTGGTCGACTAGCCAAGCCAATCCAGTAGCAATGCGCGGGGCCACTGATATGTGGGCAGGGCTTAGAATGGGGCCATGATCTCTACTTAAATTGCGTCTAACAATGTATATATTGCACAAAAGAAAACTTTTTTTCGTGCAAAAGTTATCAAAAAGAATACTTGTGTGTCCCAATATCGCCCTTCAAAAATTTTTTTTTTCTCACTTCAATGTTTTTTTAAAAATTGTTCCTGCAAGGCAACGGGAACACGCAGCTGCGAAAGAAATACCTTGTCCAATGCTGCGGCGTACGAGGAGATCATGTCCATGCACGAGTCCAGTTCGCTCTCCACTCGCTTGGTTCGCGACAGCAGCTCCAAGGCATCCCTGGACACGTGCAACATGGGGGAGCTCAGACCCGGGCTCCGTACCTGGAGCTCAAGTGCTTCGAAACACAGGGCTTTAATCGCCCAAGGAAGCGGGTCTGGGGTTCCTTTATTCGTGCTTTGTTCAAGGTGGCGACATCAGACCATTTTGTTGCGACGCTTTTTTTTATTTTACTGCTTAGGAAGTTATGTAAGTGCGTCTCCCTGCACAAGCTCTTAACAATGACTGATGCGGCAGCGTTCTGTTTCCCTGGCTATTTTTCTTCTTTCTTTCTTTTGCTAAGGTTATGTGAGATAGTGATGCCCACCCCTCTGTCTTTTTATTTTAGGCGACGTATCAGATCTCATCAGCATGGTTTTATCAAGGGACGCTCGGTCCAGACAAACCTTTGTACCTTTCTTGATTATTCGTACCTTTTGTTTGCAATCGCGGCCAAGTTGACGTTGTTTATTTTGGCCTCTCGAAGGCCTTCGATAAAGTGAACCACGATTTGCTATTGCACGAATTGTCATGAAAAGGGCCTCTCCCGTGCCTTTCAAATGGCTTGAAAGCTATCTGACTGACCGTCAATAAGTTGTACGCATTTTAAATAACATCTCCAATCATTTTTGTCCGTTATAGGGGGGTACCACAGGGCTCCGATTTCGGTCCACTTTTGTTTTTGATTTTTATCAATGACATATCTACTAGAGGAATAAACTCAAACATGCTGTGTGTTATTTACGGACAATATCAAGCTCGTTTTCAGTATTAGCTTGATTGACGACTGTGACCTTCTTCAGAGTGACGCATCACATTTTTTTTAAACTGGTGTCAGGAAAATCCAGAAAAAACTGCAGTCTTGTCTTTCAGTAAAAAAAACAGGAAATTGTACAGTATTCATACTCACTTGATGATAAGTGTATTTTAAGGGTTTCATCGCTTCATAATCTTAGAGTGTACTTCGACATCACTCTTTCATATGGCTGCCATGTCACCTACAATGTCTGCTCTGCATTTAGATTACTGGGTATGATTACTCGATTAACTAGAAAGTTTGTGAACTATGCTTGCTTCCTACGTTTATTCTGTTCTCTTATCAGATCTAGACTAGATTTTGGCTCGGTAGTGTGGAATTTGCTCACTCTACATGATGCACCCAAAATAGAGTCAGTTCAAGGATGCCTAGTGCATGTACAGTAAAACCTCGTAAATTCAACCCCCGCTAATTCGGAAATTCGGATAATTTGAACTGCCGATCCAGTCCCGTCAAACGTATGTATTATTCAATGGCAGCAAATGCTCGTTACTTCGGAGGGAACGCGGCGCGCTATGGTTAATTCGGACAAATTCAGTAGGTGGCGCTAGCTACCGTCCAATCCAAAGGGTATGACCGCTATCCATCCGAGGTGCACACATAGTTTTTCTGGTTTTCCCATGGCTCTTCGCTCTTCCGGTTCTCAGTGTTTCGCACCGGTTTTGCTCTGTATTGCCGTGCTTCAGCGCGTTACTCTCCTGGCATGGAAGCGGCAGAAGCGTAGCTTCAATGGAAAAAGGGTAGCACAAGCGACCGACGACCGGAATGGCAAAATCCCGACACGCGGGGCTATTGTTCCCGAGCGTGCCGATAGCTAGAGTGACAGTCACGTTTTATGCCCCAACGCGGGGATCCTAAAACCCGCCATTTTAACAGCTATCTTATACCTCAATTTTTCGCCGGCCACCCCAGCATTGAAAAATGCAACGTGACAGGCACTCTCGCTATCGGCGCGCTCAAGAAAAATAGCACCGGGTGTCGCGATTTCGCCGCTCCGATTATTGGTCAGTTGTGCTACTCGTTTTCCGTTGCAGCTGTACTAGGCTAAGAATTTAGCGACGAAAGTGGAAATACTGAGGGCCTTGAAGGACGGCGTCTCTCGACAAGTGACGGAAAGTTATGACGTCAAGAGAAGCAGTTTGGCCACGTACGTGAAATTTGAGGTCGATATCGAAAGCGAGAAGTTCAACGCGAAAAGAAAGCGGCCTTGGAAGGTGGTGCACCCGAAACTAGACGAGGGCTTGCTGTGCTATCTTGTCAGCGCACGGGATGCGTAGCCTGACAGTGCAAGTGCGGTGAAGCACTCGACTGCGCTAAGGAAAGTTGCCGTCTCCACCCAAGTGTCGTCCAGAAAGCAGGCGGTAATAACATATTTCTTCTCAAAATAAAGGTATGTCACAGGGAAATGTTTTCGTGCAGTTTTCTTTGTTCTTTCGATATTTCGACTTTTGGATAATTCTGACATTTTTGTCGGTCCCATGAGATCCGAATTAACAAGGTTTTACTGTAATCTATGACAAATACCTTGGCCAAAGGCATTTTTACAACTATGAACTCCTCGCTGATAAAAAATTTGGCTTACAGAGTCTATCCCTCATAAGATTATCGTGCAAGGTTGCGTTTTTACGTAGAATAGTTCACAGGAAGCATTGACTCAACACTTTAATGCACAGTGAATTTGAACGTACTAGCTCGCTTAAACAGGAGAGCTCTCACTTTTTATCCCCACAATCAACATATTATATCACCAACAACAGGAATGCAGATATGTGCAAACAATCTCGGGCGTGAAAATTTTGATATTTTTGATCGCTACGTAAATCTCAATAGACAATTAGATGAGATTATTTTTTTTCATTAGCAATGCACTGTCCTGTTTTGTTGCATGCTAATTTTACTGTTATTTGCATTTTTAAATAAGTTTAACTGAGCATGTTTTATAGCTGTACAACTCTTTCACCGAGCTATATTGCAGACCATTGTTGCTTGATTATTGGCACAAAGTTTTATGATGATGATGATCCCTTCGTGAGCGCATGATGTTGATTACAGCAAGGAGTGGTATCACCCTAAACAGAAGGCACCCTAGGCAGGTCCATTGCAGACGACAGGAACGGGTCAACTGGCCGTAACCTTAAATTTGGCTCGCGCCTCCAAGCGTGAATCGGCCACTGATGCATCTCATTCGGTGAGGCCCAATAAAAAGTAGATTTGCTAAAAACATTCGCTAAGTCACTGTCTTTAGAATGTGTCCAAACTTTCAAGTGCCCAACTAACAGTGTTTCAAGCTCGCCTCTCTTTTTTTTTTTTTTTTTTCTTTTTAGGGTGAAGTTGAGGCATTGACATACAGTATGTAACTGTAGCGATGTTGTGAAGGTTTGTGTTTACAGAGTGACTTATGTAGAAAGGTTCTGCTGTGAAATTGAAGTTGAGTTTTGAAAGGATCAGGACACAAGTGCACCTAAGACAAAGCGACTCTGGAGGCACGTTGCAATCGAGGCACACAATGCGACGGCGTGCGACTCACTTGGCCCATGCTTCGAGCGACTGCGCCACCTGGTGGCAGGAGTGGCGGCAGCGCTCCTGAAGCAGCGAGAGCAGCTTCTGACACGTCTGCCGGATCTTGTTCCTGCGCACACAATCAAGGCCCACAGCGCTATAGCTGTCTCCTGTGCTATGCTAGAAGCACAAATAAACTCTAGCACGTGTTACCACTAAAATCTCTCAATAGCATTCACGCTTTTAACAAGTACCGTTGCACGAGATGTGCGCCCCGAGTAAGGACTTTGCCGCCGATTGCTTCCGAGAGTTCCACGAGGCACAACCCTCGTGCACTGGTGCATTTGAAGGTGCATACTTTCAAGACAAACAAGAAGCTTTAGTTAGTGCAACTTCTTGACAGAAACGTGCACCAGAACGAGCAACAAAATGCCCTGCCATTGAGTTGTGTCAGCACATATTATACAGGAATCCCTCGTTATAACGAAATCGCTTTTTTCGAATTGCCGCTTTTATCGAAGTTCGACGTGGTCCCAACCGAAATGCACGCATTTTGAACCGGATTACTCTAAGCGTATCGGCGGCCTACCATGCTTATTACGAAGGCCGTAAAGCCGAAAGCATGCGAGCCTACACTGAGGCACACAGAGACCAACAAGGAACGGAGCAAACGGATGATGGAGGGCAGACCGCGCAGAGCACCGCTTTTAATGCCGCTTAGATCTGCGAGGTTGAAAAAAGTGTCCGGTCTAAGTCCAAGATCGACAAATAACTTGACATTTCGGCAATGGCTGTTCGACACTGTCCACCATCGCGTGTGGCCAGGGTAAACACCAAGCGACGTCGGAGAGGCACCTTGGGAAATGCCGACGAATGCAGAGATGCGAAACATCCTACGGCTGCTTCGAAACAAAGTGGAGTGCAACAGCGGTCACAGTGTTCTTGCGATGCCTGGACAAGTTCAAAAAGAACTGAAGGCCGGATGAAATTATCGTCAAACACCCGTTAATTTCTTTACTCGGTAAAGCTGCCGCGAGATTTTCATAACCAAGGCTTGTTCAATTGAACAGGTTGTCCCACAGTGTCCCCGTCCCCCTACAAGGAATGCCGTTTTTTCTTTGCTCCACTGCTTCAACGGAGCAGCAAAATTTTTTTGCTGCTCCGTTGACTGTTATAACGAAGGATTACTGTATGTCTTGTACGAGACAAAATTTGCAAAAGGCTTAACTTTTGCCATTACAAATAATCTCTCGTAAATTCGAAACAAAAAGGTCCACATTGTCTTATGCTAAAATGAAAATTTTGAAACTGTGAAAAATATACTTTTGTATTTAAATTAGCCTTGAAAACCTCCATACCTTTTTGTACAACATCCTTCGGTGTAACTCGTACGTTAGCATAGAGCCCTAGCATGGTGTTAGGCGTGGCACTAAAAGGAAAGGCCACTAGATACTCACTTCTCGAGTGTGTGGAACTGCTTGTCGTGGAACGATAGTTCTGAAAGAAATCGAGCTTTGATTATACAACGGGCAATGAAAAAACACAGACTTCGACGTAAACTTGACAAGTAGAGCAATATTTGCGTTAGCAAGGAGAACAAATAGCAAGAACAAAGCAACAGAAAAGAATCCCAGAACCAGACTGTTTGCAGCACTCACAAAATAATGAAACCCACAACTGGTAGCAGCAGTACTATCCATTGCTTTTTCGTACAAACAAATATCTAGACCAAACACCTTTTCAGTATCAGCACAGGTCACAAATGTAAAAGCCCCAGATCAGAAACGGAGGAAGAGCCCACATTTTTACTCTTACACTGTCTTTCCGTAGCATACTTTCTAAACCACGTCCAAAACAAAACAAAAAAAACAAAAAAACACGGATTAGTTGCAAAAGTCCTACCTCTAGCAGCCTTGTCCCTGGCCAGAGCCTGCCAGCTGTCACGGATCTTTTGGACGTAGGTCGCTGCCGTCTCGGGACTAGAAACAAAAAGAGAGAAGTTTTCCGCTTGAGCCATTATAGCAAAGTTACCACACGTTAAGAAAAGAAGTCAATTTCAGCATGCCCAACGAGAGGTGTGGCAGCACCCGACAAAGCAGCCATTTGTTCCGGTCGACCCTTTTCGGCTCCTCCTGTACTCTCGCATGGCCCTTCCTCCTCCTTTGCATATGTAGGGCTGGTGGTCCGAATGAGATGCCGAAGTTTCAGAGTTTGGTTCAAAAGTTAGAAGTGATTTTCGGAAATTTTCAATCCAAAAATTATGAGCCATTCCACTCTCTGAAGGTGGATGACCAGCGAAGCTGTTGAGCACACAACACAGACGTGACACAAGATTTTGAACCATGGTACAAACTATCGCCGCTCCGAGGAGCCGGAGGAAACTAGACACGCGCGGCGGGATCGCCACCCCGAAAGAGCGGAAGGAAAGAAATTAGGCATGCAAGCGCTTTGAACGACGACAAAGAGAGGGCGTTGCGAGCATAGACATGGCCGAAACGGGTCGCGCAGCGGCAAATCTTTGGGAAACGTTTATTACCTACCCGAGAGTCTACTGACCTTCAAAATGCTGCCTATTGATATCTACTGAAAATGAACATCCAAGTGATGAGACATATAAGCTTTTGCACAGAATGAAGCAATTTTGCATCGAATTCGGGACCCGAGTTTTTGTTGACACACCTAGCCATAAACAGCTTCGCTGTAAAATGGCGAGTAACGAAGCCCACAAATATGTGGAGCTAAATGGCATCAGCTATCGGGAATGGGCCCCATTTCCTGTTGAAACTTACAGAAATTTGTTTGTAACTTTTGAATAGGATAATGGTCAGTTGAGAAATATTGGCATTTGGTCCAGACAGCTAGCACAGCATTTGGGCAGAGACTAAGTGTTTGTCTATGCATAATTTATTTTTGCGATAAAGAAAACACACAAAAGTTTTGTCAGGGACACACAGCATAACAGGGCTCCAACTTTGTTCAGACGAAATCTCGATTTGATCGACGCCTCCGTTCGAGTTACAAGCTTTTATATAGACAAAATCGGAATTGAGCTTGAGTTTCAGCTTGAAGGTTAAACATGGCTGGGAATATCGTTGCTATCAAAGTTTTAGTGAAACCGACAAAAAGACAATTTCAGGCCAACATCCCTTGGCCGTGATTGCACGCCGTCCCAGCGAGCAAAGGCAATACCACCTAGGAGACCCGCACAGTTTCCCCCCAAAAGCCATCACTAATGGATTCACGCAGCCTCACCTAGCCCGTGTCAGCATCACTGCCCACGCACGTCACAGTCTCGCGAGGAGCGCAACGCTAGCGGGCAGCGATGCCAAGATGGACGTGTCTGCCGTCTCTCGTCGAGTTTGGGCAAACCACTAACAAGGAAGCGACGCACAGTCCTTCTCTTTAACGTAGCATTGGCAAAGGCCTCACCATCCGGCCAGCTGCGGGCCCTCGCGGCAGGCAAGCTCCCAGCGCGTGCGCAGCACGCGTCCCTTCAGCACCGACTGCTCCAGGAACCCCAGCTCTTTCTCCAGGTGTGCCATCTGTTGGGAGACCTGTCGACATGCACACCCTAAAGCAAGCGTCTGCGGCACCTTGGCGCCCGGAACACATCTCCGACCGGCATGTTTATCCCACCCTAAAAAGCGATTGCTCCGCCTCCGCCTCGGGACGTCATACGGGTGTCACGCTGGCCACGATCCAGGCAGCATTGCGGCAGCGGTGGCAGTCCACGGACACTTTGGCGGCCGGAAGTTGGGACGCCGCAATGACGGCAATACTTGCATTCCCTCATGCTTTCTTCCGGAAGTTGTACGCCCAACTGCCAGAATTGCGACATCCGACGGCGTGACACTCCGGCTTGTCTTACGTCATATATTGCCACTGTGGGACAGCTTTCGACACGTGGCCGGAATGAAACGCCAAACACGCCAGTCGGAGACGCATTCCAGACACCGTAGCCACACCACACAGCACCACGCTCTTCGTTGCATTTCGCTCCCCCTCACAATGGCTGGAAGCTTCGTAAATGTCCGGCGCACAAATCGCAGCATCACAACCAGTCCCACCTTGCTATGAGTATCGAGCGGTCAAAGGCCATTCCGAAAAGCGAAAAACCCCCAAGTACCCAATTGGTTGCCCCCACTTTACCCTTCGGGGTAATTCCAGTAAGCCCAACTATAAAATTTAGGGATTTACGTGCCAAAGCAAAGAATGGCATCTGGCACGCCCCAACGAAAGGCTGACGATCACTTTTGACCATGGGGGGATTTTTTTCCTGTGCAAATGATATTTCGGCGACACGCACTTCTCCGCAATAAGCCTACATCAAGTTGAGGGCACGTCGGTCGGGAATCAAATCAGAGCGAATACGGACGCACTTCCCTACACCAACCAATTTTTAAAAGAAGGTAGAGTCCCAACGTATCGGTGCCGGCACGGCACCTTCTTTAGGGGGGGCTATTTAAAAGAGATGCAGCTTCTTTCTTTTCTTCTGCAGAGAATGTAGAGCAGTATCTTCATTTTTCTGCAGCAATTAGTGTTTAAACCAGGTGCGGTTCCACTCCATACGTCGGCGGAATGAAAAACTTCAAGAAAAAAGTCCACCAACATAAGAATGACGTACGCAAATTTGACCGAGAGCGTAGCGCTGTTACTGAACGCTGTGGCGACAATGACCACCGCATCGACTTTAAAAATACCCGAATCCTGGATGTGGAAACTAACTGGCACCAATGGCTCTTTATTGAGTCGTGGCGCATACAGACCACACCAGGAAATATTAACCGATCCACCGGCATCTTGCCATCAGCATACGTCAGTGGACTACGACACTTAGAAGAAACACCAAAGAAACAGGCCCCACCACAGATGAAAACAAAGATGACGATCCTCGTTTGCAAACAACGCTGAAGAAAACAAAGGTACCACACCTGGTTTGAAAACTAACTGCCGTAAAAAAACAAAGATACTGCTCTACATTCACTGCAGAACAAAACAAAGAAGCTGCCCCTCTTTTAAATAGCCCCCCTGAAGAAGGTGCCGAGCTAGTTGGTATTTGCCCATCATTTATAAAGATTAACCCAACCAGGCAGACGTCTGCCATGCGGAACTCACGGCTGCCCGGCTGTCCTGCTTCTCCACAAGGCAGCGCGCCAGGCACTGAAGTTCGGCTGGCTGAGGCTGCGGCTGCACCGCATCCACGAGCTGGGACAGACCGGATTGGCTGCAGGAAGTTCACTGTGTCAAGCGATACTTTTGGGGGCAAATGACACCAATGACGTACCTAACTCGCGGAAATTGATTTCTCGAGAGAGCTGGTCTTATTTATCGCGTGTTGCTAGAATGAGGAAATTTTAAGTAAATATGCTAGAAGATGAAAGCATGTTTCAATTATCCGATTAACATATTGCACGCATTCCTGAACTAATTTGTACAAAGATTTGATAGTGTGACTAGGTCAGTTTAATCTTATAAACTGTAGACTTATTTTTTGCGGGCTCAATATTTTGCGATTTAGGACAAACCTGAAGTTTTCGAATAATTTGCGGGTTCTAATTTTCGCCACGCGGTGGGATCTCAATGGGCATTTACATCTCACTAGAATTGGTCGCAGGATCTTTTTTTCGCAAAATGTAGGCGACTCGCAAAATTCACAAAAATTAGGTCCTCGCAAAAGTTCTGTCGTTCACAGTATCTATTAAAAGGCGACCATTACTCAATGTTATAAAAATGTTGCAATGTATGGAAGTATGACAGGTTGATCACAGTACTAGACCACTTTAAGTCAATGCATAAAAAAAAGGCTAATGTTACTCTATGCTAGACAATACTTACTGCAAAGCATGGAAACAAAATCCCCAGGTTAGCATTACAGTTACATCATTGCGAGACGAACCAAAATACAATATGCGCAATAACCCGACGGCCCTCGCTGTAAGCCGAACGTTGAGCACCTGGTGAGCAAGAGCTTTAGCTGCTGGTCCAAGAGCGTGCACATTGTCCTAGCTTGGCTCAGCTTGGCTAGTTGCTTGTCCACGAGCTCCTCCAAGACGCAGCTGAAACCACAAGAAACGAGACGCAAGTCGAGATCCACAAATTTACTCGAAAAGGACATAGCCGCGGATGCCACCAACTGTCCTTCTAACCACTGCAAGCAGTCGCCAGTTGGCTCAAAATTGCTTCTGTCCCATAACCCTGAATCCGGACTACACAGCTGCATGGCCCGTCCTCCACCGCTGCAGGATCATGGCCGGCAACATGATACTTCTACGACGTCATGAGGCGAAAGTTGAGGGACCACTTTTTTCGACGCAGTTAACAGACCACTCGGGGAAAGTATTGTGCAAAACAACAGGGCTTGATTACTTCACACTCGCTCCTTTTCTCGCAACTGAGCAGCGCACCAACCCTAGCGCCTCCCACTAATGTCCGAATGCCAGTGTCCAACTTATGACAGACGGGAGAAATGTTCACCTGCCCAATCTCTGGAGCGACATTCTGCCGCTCTAGAGAATTGAGTGAGCAGATAGGAAAATGGAACCGAGCCCTCTAAGGCCTGTGCATTCACTCTGTGTGCAACTCTATTCAATTAATGGTACAAGGTTAAGAAGCATCTGGAAGAAGGAGGGGTTTAATGGGACATGGTTATGGGAAATGGTATGTCATGAAAAAAGGTGTCTTGAAAGATGGTTTGATGGAAGATGGAGCCATGGGAGATTCAGTCCTGGGACATGTAGTGTCATGGGACATGTAGTGTCATGGGAGACTGGATGTCATGGACAGGGTCATGGAAGATGAAGTGTCATGGAAGACTGGGTACAATGAGAGACGAGGTCATGGGGCCAGTTGCGGACACTCACGCCAGGGTGAGGGGCGCCCTGCGCAGGGCGGCGTGGCAGCGGCACAGCTTGTCCAGCAGCCTCTGCATTGCGTGGGCCACACTGCAGCAGCTCTTGGCCAGGGAAGCGTCCTGCTCCAGGTTCACAGAGGGCGTCGGGAACACCGGAAAGCGCGCCGTCTGGGCCGACGCACCCAGCTGGACCTGCACCCACCAGCATTGTTTTGCGGGGGAACGGCACGTGAAGGATAAACCGAGAATGCCGCGACCAACAATAAACACTCGCGTCATCTGTTTGTGGCAGTACAGTGCGTATGTTAAGTAGGCATGTTGAAGGACCGACTTAGACCAATCTGAAGCTGAATCGTCCCACTGTATCTGAGTCGCTCAGCACGCTAAGTCATTATCCCTATCGACCATGTCCAGCTAAGTCTGGAAGCAGTGGCAGATGCAACTGTGACATTTTGACAGGGGCAGAAAATCCACTAATATCTCTATAGAACAAAAAAAATATCTAGCTGCACCTCCACATAAATTACACAGGAGCATATCTTCCCTGCTCATTCGAAGAATCTCAATCGATGCTACCCACATAATGAAGCTTCCGTGTGGTCCAGAAGTCTCGCGCCCCAATTTTCACCTATAACGCCTTCAGATACTAGAAATATAGCCCTGTGACTCTGTTCCAGTGGCTCACCTGAATGCGCGGGCAGCCAGCATCCAGCAGCAGGTAGGGAGAGGCTAGCGTGGTTGGGGGTAGCCCCTGGCCCGCAGCACTGTGGCACGACAGCGCAAACTCCAGTAGACCCTTGTCCTGAACAAACAGGAGCTGGGAAGCCGGCGACAGGCTCGTCTGCTGGTACACTTCGGTCTTCAGATCCGCGAGCCTGCGGGAAGACGTGCATTCCAGGTTGCCAACTCTCCGTCTTGCCTCGTGCCTGGAGTTCAATGCATGTTGATCTCCAGGCACGGGGTCTTGGACGTCTAGACGACCTCAAGGGCAACTTTTAGGACGACCTCAAGGACGACGCCTAGGACGACCTCTTGGACAACGTCTAAGACGACCTCAAGGAAGACGTTTAAGACGACCTCAAGGACGTTGTTTAGGACGACCTCAAGGGTGACTTTTAGGACAACCTAAAGGACGACGTCTACACCGACCTCAAGGATGACGTCTAGGACGGCCTCGAGGACAACCTCTCGGACGACCTCAAGGACGATGTCTACGACGACCTCTAAAATGACTTTTAGGACGACACCCAAAGAAATTCAGCCTTTCCACTCTGGTGAAAACCAGAGTGGACCTACGCGGCCGAGGAAGCCAGCAACCCGTTCCACCCGAGGCTTCCCACGGCACTCACGTGGCCTGAGCTGGCAGGTAGGCGTGGAGTTCGCGCCCCTCGTTGATGTAGAACACGTGGAGCAGGCGGCAACGGAGCAGCTCCGTCACCGAGTCGAAGAACTGCTCGAAGGTCCACATCTTGCTGTCGTCGCACTCCAGCAGCCCCGCCAGCAGGGGCACAATCTTGTCCCTCAGGCCCCTGGGAGAGAGGGTATGCCTCAAAACAACGAGCAAGGACTCGCTAAGCCACGGGGGAGGATTACGACGAGATTTAGGGGGTGGACATCCGCTCGAGTCAAATTTATGTGCACTAAACTAAAAGGCAGCAAAAAGATAAAAATTAAGAGTATCGTAACCCTAGAGATAAAGCTGGAAGACAGAGAGAAAATGTGCAGTGTTTTCAGCCATGCTAAGTTAGCGTGACACAGACACACATGACGTCACGGTATCTCACAGCTTGACGTAACGCGACACCACAACCAACCACCTGCCTATGTCGCACGACACGTGATTAACATTAGTGTCCTTTGATGCTACATGTCACGTGATAACACAGCTCCGTGGTGCTACATAATGTCACACTGTCATGTCATGGTGTCAGGAGATCACAGCCTCGCTGAGAATGTCACTTGAACACTGTCTGCCAAGTTTTGTGGACGCTGGAACGCCGGACTCACGGGCTGAGCAGGCAACTGCGAGGCAGCTCCTTGCTCCACTCGATGGGGCCGTTCTCGGAGTTCTGGACCCCCGAGATGACGCCGGACTCCTTCTTCGAGGTGATGCAGAACCTGCGGTGGAAACTCCCCTCAGTCGCCGACCTGTGCAGCTACTATTCGCTTTCTGCTGCCGCGTGCCAACTGAACTGCCTAGGTTGCTGGCTGCGCCAAACATATTTCTATTGTTCCCAAAGGCATAACGAAGCAGTACGGATGCAGACAGAAATGAACTACACTGTGTTAGGCCATCCACATAGCACATTGGTTTAACCTGACAACGATGGCAGCTTTTCTCTCCTTTTAAGTGTGAAATCATTTCTAAGACCACTAAACCACGAGACTGTGCACGTTTGTCTGACACAACTCGATAGTAAGATTTAGTATGAAAACCTGAACTGGTGGATGGTTTTATGCCAATGTGATTTCCCAGTTAATATTAGTGGGAAACATTTCTCTAGTGGGGAAACACTGAATTAGCGTATAATTAAACTCCAATTCAATTTAGAAACAATTGGCACTGAACAGTGCTACACCGAGGCAAGTTGACTGCGCCGAGCCTGAGGAACGTCTGAAGAGATGCAAAGGATTCCATATGCTCTCGCAATACATCCCCTTTGGAATTTTGATAAATATAGGGTCGCTCCGGTAGATCTTAGGCCATAAAACGAGCCAGAAGACTTGACGCCTGCACATAAAAAGCTCAAACATTCACCGAATGTGCTTCGAGGTGGTGCTTTTTAGCCGACAAAAATGTAAGGCATAGCTCCCTTTCCAGGAAAAACGCAAGCTAAGTCTTAAATTTTTGTCTCAACCCACGCACAGTAAAGGTTGGAGCCGTCTATGCGCACGCGCCAAGTTTTCTGGCCTGTTCTACAGCGTAAATTTCACGCCACCCTACACCTGCCACAATGGCTCGCGAAACCCTACCCGGGGTTCAGAATGCGTAAGAGAAGTCGTTCCACGAGTGTGGCCATTACGGTTCCAGAATACGAGTCTTTTGAGGCGGGCTTAACCCAGAAAGAAAGAGGCCACAAGGTGCTCACATGGTGTCCCGGTTGCGACGTCCCCCGTATGCCCGGAAGGGCAGGTTCCCCGTGGCCACGTGGTACAGCGTCACCCCGATGCTCCACAGGTCCACCGTGGCACCAAACGACTTGCCCGCACTCTTTTTCAGCACCGCACGCTCGTACATGTCCGGGTGCTGTGCGCAAAGATCCCGCCCCCAAACCTTCGCTCGCCTCCCAAACTCCAGAGGGTGCCCCAAAACGTGGATGCACTTGTATCTAACTCGGGGACAACTCTCCGTGTTGTTTCAGGAGAACCAAAAAGTATGCACAAACAACTTACACTGCCTTCCAAGATGCATGATCGTTCATAGCGTCAACTTCGTTGGCACATAAAGTTGTCCATAATTATTGGGAAGGAGATCCAACCGCTGTGTCCCTAGCGGCTAAGTTGAGAACTACACCCGTGGGGACAACGTGAATTATCCGACTGCGTTTTTGATGCAGCGCTTGGCTGACGTAGACGAACGCTGCGTCGGTGTTTGCCTCAGGTTTATGTTCAATCAGTGAAGCACCAACTGGATGAGAGACCCAGCCAAAAGCTGATACAGCACTTATGTAAAATATTTGCCCCGCACTTGACCGAGGAAAAGGAAACAAAGAATCCAGTTCATGGGCCTCACGCCAGGTAAGCACAGAGCCGTGTGGCAAGCAAGCTGGACAAAGCGCCCGCACGGTTTGATCTCCCCACCAATAGTGTCAGGCTTCGGAATCAAGTATTAGAAGTGGCCGTATCTGTCATGAGCAATGGGTGAAGCTGTTGCTCCAATGCAGTCATCAGACAACTCAATGACACTGCAGCTTCCTTACCAGCAGAAATGAGCACCCAAAGCAGCCTTATTTGCATGTAGCAAATACTCCAAAATTTTCTAAGGGTGGCAATTCAGATCAAAGCAAACAATGAATAGTAGCACACTGGTTGATTGAATGTTGCACAGTTAAAATCAATGCATTCTCAAACTTTAATGAAACATTCCAAGAGCAGCTCAACGAAATGGTGCAGGCTAAAACCCACCAGGTATTCTTCAGTCCCGTAGAGCGACATGAACTGCTGGTCGTCCTGCAGTTCCCTGGCGGCCCCGAAATCCGCCAACTTGTACACAAACCTGGAAAGCGGATGACACGGAGAAGCGTGCGGATGAGAGTTTGTGCTACAGTCGGCTCTGAAAATGCTAAAAGGTCTGCATAGGTCACCGGCATTTTTAAGGAATAAAAAGCATGCTTAGAAAGTTCATTTTCTTGGATTTTAGTTACAGCAACGATGGCTACGGTAAAAGTATGAATCAATCAAAAAAGAACTATATTGCAAAAATTATTCAGTTACAATGCAATTTTAAAAAGTAAAAAAAAAAACTCTTCACCACTTTTTTTGGAAAAAGTCAGTCTTTTGGGGCACCACAAAATGGACGCCGCTAGTTCAGAACGACTGCCTCTTCAAGGCACTGAAGCAGCTCGGTCCCTTAGAGTAATTTATCGTTTGCATATTTATTGATCGATGCCCACCAACAGCAACATGCCTTCCAAATGGTGCATCGCAACACAGACGAAAGACGCACACACACCAAAACCCAACATTATACACACAAAAATACCGAACAATGTTTAAAATAAAAAAAAATAAAACAAAGTCACATATTCCACTAGAGTTGCAACTCGGAAAGCACGCCAGGCAAATGCTTTCTCACATTCTTGCCAGCAACTTGTGCCACTTTCATGCCCCATTTCGATTCACCCTCTCTGTATAATCTACAGAACACCCAGCGCAATGAACGTATCGTGCGACTACGCGCCCCGCACGTCGCTGTGAACCTCCCGAAGGTCACGTGGCACTCGCATCAGGGCAATGGATTGGCTTCCTTGGCTCGTAGCCTCCTCTGTGGTACACCATAAAAGGCTGGTTCACACACCTGCGACTGTTAACAATTGTGTGCCTTAAAACTTCCCCAAAATCTCTCGCGACAACACACAGACGCCATCTATCGGGTAGCCGGGGAACATTTGGCATTTTCGTATGTTCTCATAGATCGTGCAAATACCGTGAAACCTTCACCCTACCGAAGTGCAGTTACAGGTCCAGCTCACAGATGGCGCCAATGTGTTCTCTCGTCGCAAGGGATGGCAAGAACTCGGTCGTAAGTGAATGCGAGTGTGTGAATGAGCCTTAAGGTGGAACGGAGTATAGGGAGAATTCTGTCCAACAACACTGACCTGCCGTCCACAGCCACATACTTCATTATGTTCCCTGGCTTTAGGTCCCTGTGAATGATGTTGTTGTCGCGGAGGTGCTTCATGCCCGCACCTGAAAATAATGGTCTCGTCGGTCACGCCACCGCGTCCAAGGCACGCCCCGCAAAGTGAAAAAACCACACGCCGCATTTCGAATTCGAGCGAGGCACCGATGAGTCCCTTGAGATGCTTGCACTAGGGCATTTGTAAAGGGACACTAAAGTGAATTTGCAAAATTGTAAGTAATCTGTCTGTTTACTATCGTCTTCAGTCACTTCGTTCACACATGCAGTATGGGCGACGAAAACAATTCGAGACATTACATTACGTAGTCTACGCCTGAGGCGTAGGGTACCTAAAAGTTTTTCACAATGTTAAATACAATTCTGTGTCACGTTAAAAAAAATTGTCTGCTTTTGCATTAGTTTCTTTGAGACACCACAAATACTTTGAAGTGGCGGCCCGTGCTATGGTACCAATACAAGCAACGTTGAACCATAACACGACACGCTAGACTCGCCAAAAAGGGGATTAATATTGTCTTTTCCGCTCCATAGCGACCCACTAAAACTTTCTAATATTGAATTTACCCTTGATGCCCTCTTACCTCAGGTGGTTGTTGGGAATGTGTAAATAAGAATTTCATAGATTTTGCTGGCCATCATGTTCTGCGAGTTAGGCACACAACAGGGCAGTTTAGTAAATCGTTTTCAAAGGTCCGATGCCACTTCAGGTGCGCGCTTCAGAGTATACATCGAAATTGCAGCGCGAGCTCTTGCTAAATATAGCGTGGCCTGAAAGCATAGTCTGCTAAAGTTCTTCCATAATTTGTGCTCGTTGCTAGAAAACAGAGGCCTTCTACAAGATGCCCGCGCCTGGTACATCGTTTTCTTTTCCATCGATCCCAATTTGAGGCAGGTTTGAGTGTGATAAGCCATTCTTTTTAAGAGGAAATGTTTTGTGAAGATGTAAGTCATCCTTACATATTCAAGTCACCAGATCTCACGCATGTGTTTTGAGCTCCTTGATCAACCGAGAATATCTATGAAACGTTCCTTCAATGGGTGCGGGGATGCATCGCAGCTCCCAAGTATGCATTTACTTTGCCACGGGCTAAATCAAAGTACTTCAACAGCTCAAATTCGGTGACTGCGAGGGCACAGCCTTGCAGCTTCGTAAAACCTACACCCGAGGGGCTAGGCTTGGCAAGCGCCACAAAATAGGGCAGATTACGCGATAGGAGCTGAAAATACCCGTAAGTCACGAGGTCGCTGCTGCTGGACCCATCGCCCGTCGCTCAGAAAGGGGATTTTCTCGGCTAATCCTCTCAAAAGAAGCTGCTGCAAAAGGGGACCTTTCCCTCGCCTCACCGTGCTACAATACAAGAAAGAAAGAGGGCAAGGAGGACTTTCCGCCAGGCGGAAGAATATTTCTGCTGGTCCTCCTTTAATTACCTTGCAGAAGCACATACTGTAATTGCAAGCTGTTTAGGTTTATAAGAATCAAATGGAAATATTGGAGGTGAAAAGTTGTTACCTTTCTTACATTCGGTTTTATTTTGGCACGTCCGATCGTGCAACATTCAGGCGGTTTCAGATTTCGAATTGGAGGTACTTTCCCATCAGATGGTAACCTATCTTTCTCTGAATTCAATTTTGAGAAGCATTAGAAGTGTGATTTCAAAGATCCAGTGATCTAATTGCCACTACTGCCAGTGCAGTCGGCATGCGAAGCGACAATCTCACACGTATCACACGCACGGAGCGTGTAAATTTAAAACTATAAATAGCCCCAGCAAAACGAAACACCGTGCAAGTGTAACATTTATAGTTCACCAAAGAGAACAAATAGCAACACCTCCGCAGCCCGCACAGTTTCGTATTGAGCCGAGAACTTCCAAATGTGTAATTGCCGCTGTAGATGTACAGCGATGACCGTGAAAGGGTTAAGTACTTACAGTCGCGCCACTTCTTTAAAATCGCCATTAACCGACTAACTACCAGCTCAAAAACTGCTGGAAACACGGCCCCCCAGTTCCCCAAAGTGCCCCACAATTGGAGACCGTGTGAGTCGCAGACAGTCCTGGGGAAACCCACTGAGGTCCTTGAGGACGCAGAGGAAGTCCTGTTCCTCAAGCCCGTAGCTGTTGGCGGGGTCGTCCAGCAGAGTGAAGAGGCTGCCGCCTGTGCACAGCTCCATCACCAACACCTTGCTGCGGCTCTCCACCTGCAACCACACGGGGCAAGCTACACATGCCCGTCGCATCCACCTCGATGGGGCGTCCCACAAAAATACTTAAAGGGGCCCTGCAATGACTTTTTGACTGGTTTTTAATTTGCACTGAACCTGAGCGTACTGAACGTAGTAACTTAATCCAACTTTTCTTTTCTCAAATTTCGCTTTATTTTAAAAGTTATAGGCAAATTAGAATTACAAAAACAAGCATAAAATAACCTCATTCATGACGTCGTAGGTCCTGCCTTGGGTGGCCTTGAACTAGAGAAGGAGTAGTGAGCTCATCGAGCGCACACGGCTGCCGCACTCCGTGTCGACGGCTCGAGAGGGCGCCACTAAAGCACGTGTTGGATAGGCTGTATGAAGCGGGCGGACAGGGCAGCTCGCATTGTATTTGCAGCGTGACTAAACACTAATTCGGCATAACATTTCATTGGCCACAAACGACAGCAAACACGGGGTAAAGATCAGTTCAGAACGGGAGCTACTTCGCGCTGACGCACCGCCAAATGGCCAAATCGCCAACAGGGCCCGCGCCGAAGGCCTTCGGAACGCTCGGAACCGGTCGAATTCTTGAGCCGGTATACGACCACAGCGCCGCCGCGTACATCCGGGACCTTTCTACGCTCCTCGTTTGTCGTAGCCTCATCCCACTAGCCTTTTCTAGTATGCGCCGTTTTTTTCCGCCGCTTGGTGGCGGGTATGTCGACGGGTCATTTCTCGTTTCCGTACTTTCTAAACTGCATTTGTTTCTTTTCTGATCTAAAATAGTGAACAAAAACTACTTTCATACATAATTGAAACGGTTCACGACAACTTATATTTTGTATCTCGACTAAAAAAAAGCTCTTAGCGGCTTTGACCAGTGGCAAGCCCAGGACCAAAGACGTCACATTTTGCGCGCTTTCGGTACCGCGGGTCGCCCTCGTCGGTGAAGGAGGTTTCCGTGTCGTCCGGTTAAAATATGACGCACTGATTTTTAGTTACTCTCTCCGTGCCCGCTGGCTTGCCCCAACCCCAAGAGACGTGGAAACCGCAAAAAAGGTAGACGCTTAAATATGATTGCAGGGCCCCTTTAAGGTGTTTCTTAATTCAGAAAGTAAGCAAAGCATCGCCGAACGTGCAATCTCCTTCCAAACGTAGCGCTAGTAGTCCGGACCAAATGCTAAAGTATACAAACTCAGTTATCTATTCAAAAGCTTTAAGCAATTTTCAGAAATTTTAGATGTGAAAATGGTGGTCGACAAAGCCCAAGGATGCGTCAAGCCGAATAATACAAACTACATAGAAAGAGCTCCATTTTCCCGCCAAAATATTTAGAAAATTACTTCACTTTGAACAAGATAACAAGCAGCCCCGAAACTCTGGCACGTGGTTCGGGCCGCAGGCGCTAGCTACACTTGGGCAAAGGCTGAGCATTTTTTTTTGTGGCTAAAAAAAAAAACCTAAATTTTTTGGGAGGACACGTTGTACTAGACATAATCGAGTGGCACTTTCAGCAACGTGCACGCGACGGCCAGGGAAGAGGGCCAGGGAGGATAGGGAAGGACACTCACGTCTTCCTCCACGGCCAGCAGGCGGACAATGTTCTCGTGGTTCACCTTGTTGAGCACCTCGAACTCTCGCATCTGCACCTCCAGGGGGCGCATCTGGCTCACCTGGTTGAAGGTCTTCACTGCCACGGGCTCCCCCGTTTGCTTCGAGAAAGACGGGAATCGGCGCAAGTTGCAAGGCACCAAATTCACAGGAAGGGAAGAGTACCGCGGCCACATACATATAATGTTTTTGCGTCGCGAGAGTACGGCACCTGGAACGCTTTTTCAACTGGTGCGTTTAGCGTCCTAACGCGCCCAGGTATCGAAAAAGATCCCAAAGTAGCAACAAATGATGTCTTACCCCTTTGCTTTTTTTCTGTGCTTCGATCTAGGAGGCAAGACAGTCTCACTGACACCATACCTTAAGATGTTAAATTCAAACTTTTCCGAGAAAGATGCAAGTGCCCCCGACAAGCATGCCCCAAATCGAAGACGAAACATTTGGCCATAAAGCTCATTTCTCCCTGCAAAATAACACGACCGTGCACACGTAGCAGGCTGTGCCCGTCCAGAGCTCCGCTTCTTTCTTACAGGGGCTGTGCAACGACACTGGGTAGGAATGCTTCTTACATCACACAAGCTTACTGGCACTAGTGGGACCCAAGTATACTTGCACGCAACGCAACTGACCAAGAAGCTTCGTCGCCGCTTAACTTGGAGAATAAAAGCAGACTTTTTATTTCAGTCTCTCCTTTGCAACACTTTACCAGAAAGTTGTAAGGATTGCATTGCTGGTATTGTCAATGACACGATCCCCAGGATGTTGTCATCAAGCTTCACAATCCCTACGGCAACGATATCTGAATGCGGCTCATACGGTGAACACATGCACTGCACGAGCATTCGATTTGGGCTCTCGACAATCAATGCCTTGCTTTTGGGTAGTGGCTCGTGCCTAATCGCTGCCCAGACGAAAAGAGCAGAACCTTAACTATTAAAAACAAATACCTCCGACTTGCACAGCAATACCAACGCTTTATAAGACGTTTCGTCTCCTATGCGGGAGACATCATCATCGCAGCCACATACATTACTCCCGCATAAGAGGCGAAACATCTTATACATTGTTGGTATTGTTAAGCAAGTCGGAGGTATTTGTTTTTAATCATGAATCCCAGCTTTTGGAACATTTGTTGAACCTGAACTATGCGTGGAACGCAGCGCGAGCCCTGTGGCATCGAAGCCAACCCAAGTGTGTGACTAGGATAAACACTGGAAGCATATAGTCGGCCCTAGATCACGTGGCCACTCGTTCTGGCTGCAAGCTGAAGGGGTGAACACTGCTTTTATTTCTCTTTTCTATGTCTGCCACTGCGTGGAGAGAGAAGCTCCTGTTTTGTAGATTATGAATGTCGATCGAATGATTCTAAGCGGTTTTCGCAGAAAGTACAAAAACTGTGGCCCTTCAGAGGGGCTGTGTCTTGCGTCCCTCACCTTGTTCACGCCCTGGTACACGGCACCCGTGGCGCCTTTGCCCAGCACGGCCGTCGTGCTCCAGACGTAGTTGGGGGAGCCTCGCAGGTAAGACATGCTGGCCCTGGAAAGCCCCAACGTGCCAACATGCTTTCCTTTTTTCTACACTGCAGACTAAGAAAAACATTAGGAACAGCGATACAACGAGGCACAAAAAACAACACCCAGAAGACATCAACTTTATTTGTTACAAAATAGTTTCCCAAAGATGCAGCTTTTAAATTTGCAACGAATGTGCCGACCTTCGTACTATATCAACAATAATCGTTGGCAACTTATTCTTTGCAGTTATTGTCCTAGAAAAAAGCAAAAATTTAAATGGATCGTTACAAGCGCAAAACTCCCTAATCTTTTTTTTTTTTTTTTTGTTAAAACGGGTGCTTGCTTGCAACGCCGAAGCAGGTAAAGAGAGCAATTTATTTGCGTCAAACCATTATATATCAAGTACAAAAACTGGAACCTCTTTTCTGAGAACCTAGCGTCCTAGCATAGAGCGTTTCGAGGCCCCGTAAATTAATAATTTCAGTCACGCTACAACCAGCTGTGGCTTCCCATCGCAGTTTGCGGGAAACTTGCTCCTAAAAGGACGCCTTGGCGGAGACATCTCCGGAACTACCTACTGTTGACAACAGCTAGCTACGCAGAAAACAATAGATAAACTAAGTTAGCTATGCCTAGAGTATCGACGCTCCATTCACCAATTTTCTTGTGGGCGCCGCCATTTTGGAGCTTAGTGCAGAACGGGTGCAACAGGCAATCGTTAAGATTCGAAAATGCAGCTTGCTGATCTTTAGATACATTGTCTGGAAGCTCAGGCAAGTCGTCCCGCTTCGTCGCAGACAGCTCAAGAATTTCTGGAGGACGGAAAAGCGTTCTTTGCGATTTTAGATAAAGATTTATTAGCTGGCAACAATGATTTAAACAAGGAGTGATGGTACCAGGATTGTCTTTCAGCAATGAGGTACTGTGCATGAAATCTGAGGCTCAATCAGGATTAGAAGTTAGACAAAGAAGCGTAGGCAGATTGGCACTGGGACCAGATGAAAAGGCACCAAATGAGGGAGTACAGGGGAACATGGGATGGTCGTCTTATTGAGAGCACAGAGGCAATTGTTGCCTCTTTGCTCTCAAGTTGAAATTTGAACAAAGGTCGACTGAAATGTATGATATGCATACCTGCCAACCTGTGGACTTTCTAATTCAAAAAACTCCCGCGGCCGCAGGAAGGGGGGGGGGGGGGAGGGGGGGGGGGTGCGGTTGCGGGGTAGTAAGAGGCAGGCACATATCCCTAGTGTTTACGCAAAGCGATGTGCAGCTTAATGTCAGCCTTGCCACAGTGCGAGACGCTTACATCACACGTGAACGTGCGACAGAATCCAAATTTCTCTCCCTTCTTGGACAGCACGAAGCATGGGCATTCCAACATGTAAGATTTCAGGAACAGCTGAAAGTACCTCTTTTGAGGTTTGGAGTTCACCATTGCGCCGCGAAGCCACCGCGATTAGGGAAATGCTATGATTATACATGCAACAAACGCAGACACCTCTTTGCTTGCCACGAATTCGAAACTGGCCGAAACAGCGAGGCCCAATCTAGGGCCCAACACACCATACCAACGTCCAACGTGCGCCGCCAATAAAGTTCACTTTACCGCCAACAACCTCCTTGGCCGCCGAACACATGAACTAGGGTGCATGAACAAAGGCTTTGGGCTTTGGATTGGTTTTGGATCCGTGGCCACCGGATAGACGAATAGTAAAAACTAGAGTGCTGCCATGGACGGTACCTATCGACCTCTTGTGGCGGTGAAAGGTACCGCCAGCAGCAATAAAAAAAAAAAAAAAAAAGATAACAAAAAAAAATTTTTTTTTTTTCGTACAATTTGAAGCAAAATTCGTAAAATCGTAAAATTTGTCCCAATTCGTACATTTTACGAAAAATTCTGAAGAGTTGGCAGGTATGGATATGCATTGGGCACAGAAGGTATTGAAGTATGTGTACAAACCAAACCCGAAAGCTTACATTTGAATATCGACACACTGGTGATGGGGCTGAGCAGACTACTGCAGTGGAAAAGGGAGTGAAAGAGACAAAAAGGAAAATGTGGGAGGGAAGAATGCAGAAAAATTCAGCTCTAACAGTGCACAGGTCATAAAAACAGGACATAAAAAAGGAAAATGTGTTTGACTATTCACTGGAAAAAGTTCTTTTCTGTTTAAGGCAAAAACGGGAGTTTTAAGGATGAGGATGTAAAGAGCCAAATTTCAGGAGACAGACACCTTATGTGCCACCTGCCATAATGAGAGCGAGACACTAGACCACCTGGTTTTGAAGTGCACAGGGCTTCGCCCTGACCTCCCTGAAAGGGTTACGGATTTGGCCGGGGCCCTGGGTTTTACTGGCGACGATGGAAGAACAGAAGAGAAAAAAATTACAGACACAAAAAGGCATTAGAAGATTTGTGGAAATTATCTAGGAAATATTGATTGACGCACAACTAACTGGCACAGCTGGGGACAGGCAGGACAGAGGAAAATTGGGAGTACCTCCCGCGTGGCTCCGGCCTTAAGTATCAACCCTGCCTCCCAGCTGGTGCGGGCTAGGGTAACGCCAACAAGGTTTGACCAGAGGAAAATTGGCGACTCCCTTGTTGGGGGGAAGAGGCGAGGGTGAAATTTTTGGTGTTTTTTCCCAATCCCCAAAGGTCATCCTGGTGATATCCCACACTGCCTCATGGTATTTAGAGGGAGAAAATTGGTTTTAGAAGGGCGGGAGGAATCATAAGTTTGTGTTTTTAGACTTAGGCTTGGTGGCGCAAGCTACCGCCATGGTGTAGGAAGGCTCTTCAGGTGTGGAGACTCCTCTCCTCGCCCAGTCGGAACGGCGAACACATGACGTCATAGAGATCATACATACTCATCACGTCCGCTCCTCTCCTATGTTTTCTCCGCCTGCCCCTAGAGGGCGCCAAAAAGTTCAGGCCGTCCAGTCGCCGGCCCTCTGCCGGAACGTGGGCTAAGTCACCCATTGGTTACGCACGCTCTAATTGTTTCCAACTTTTTTTTTTTTTTTTTTGCAATGGTGAATTGAGCATGAAAGAAATGTAAAAACCAAAGATCCGAATTCGGAAATAGCCAAACATTTGTATGAATGCGCACCGACTGCTCTCCAGCCTGGGGAAACGTAAACATTTTAGAAAGGGAAAACAATGACATGAAAATATTAGTAAAAGAGACAATCAGGATAAAGACGTCTGCCGAATGCATCAGTCACATGCTCGGTCGTTGTTCTTTTCCGAATTGAGGGCGGCTATAGGGGATTGTCTTGCATGCGGTAGACGCAGACACAACGGACTGGCCATCTGATTCAGGGTCGGATTCTGTCTAGCGTTCTCGTGGAATGCAGACGCTTCTCCGGTGTCGGTCGAACGTGCAAAAGGGTTCGGATCGGATGAGAACGCGACAGGACTGCAAAGGAAAAAACCGAGATGCAAAGAAGCAGTCTCGAGAAAAGAAGAGAGAGTCCCGACTGCGCGACTCTACAGCGGAGGGATATTTCTTTTTCACTCGTAGACCGCCGCGTCGGCTGGTATTAGGGAGTTACTCTTGTTTTTCCGTCTGCTATTTTTCGGGTTATGAAAACTTCAGTGTGCTAAGAGAAATTATAGTTGAATGGCCCCACTTACATACCACATTGTACGCGAACCCGTAGCCACCGGAAAGCAAGCTGCACGCCGAGCAGGCAGCTAGCACAGGCAGCCCGGTGCACTGCCGGATGGCCTGAAACTTATGGCGCCATCTGGGGGTGGCTTTGTGAAGCGAAGCGCGCAGGGTGTCATTATCTGGTCGAGGCGGAGAGCGGAGTCTCTACACCTAAAGAGCCTTCCTACACCGTGGCTACCGCCTGTTACAGAAGGTGGTAGCTTGTGCCATTAACATTGATCCATTCATGACTGAAGTATTGTTATTCTGAAGCATAGCTTATTTAGTGGTCTTAGTAAACACCAAGAGGTTTCGGACTTGCATGAACATCAACGTAACATCAACAGGTCGTCAGGCACTCTCCCAAGCACCTATGTGTCAGGGCTTCGTCGCTTCGTGGAAAAACTTGGACGCAGCAATAGCAACCGGCCTAAATAAGCGGCTCAATCCTCCGTCCAACCCACTGTCACCCGTGACAAAGGTCCCGAAACGTCGAGAATTTTGTTTTTATTAAACTTGAGTTCCAAATTTCAGCCAGTCTGTCTTGCAGAAATAAAATTATGGTCCAGTCACAGACGACATGAAAGGGCCTACACAAACATGTGGCTTAGAAGGCCTGCGGCGCTACCTATCAGAAGAAAGTTAAATCACGATCGAGGCTTCAGCAACTGTTAAATTTCTTGTCGTCCCTCCCTGCCTGACGAGCTGTTGCAGAGTTAACGATTTCCAGATTTCGGTCAAACATTTGTGGAAGTTGCCCTCTGACACTCCTAAAGTAAAGAACAGAAAACAAATTTCATCTGCATGTCCTAGTTGTGTAAAAAAAAAAAAGAAATATTGGCATTTCTGGCACCCCTCAACTCACTCCCAGTCTTCAGGGTCACACCTGGTCCCCCTCCTAGTGACATATTTCGGGGTGCCGTGTAGCATCCCGTGTGCTCTCTTGGGGGACGCTTCCTCTCCCTCTCTCTCCTGACATTACCGGCCTCATGCTGCAGCTTAGAGCCGAGCGAGGTCTTGTAATCTTTTCGCCGTAGTTCCTTCGGCTGCCACTTGCGGCTGCAAATGGTGCAAAAGCTCGCCTTTTGCACCATTTGCGGAATCGCAAAATTTTTTAATGAAGGAGATGTTTTCTGTATCCTCCAGGACATGATAAACAACGTAAAAATTACAAGATGCAAATTCTTTTAACCCATTCGCTACCAAAGCCAGCGAATCGCCGGGTGTGCTGTCAGGGGTGCCAGAGCTGGCAATTCGCCGGTCTGCATGAATTTCTGCTTTAAAGAGTAATTCATAGGTGGAGCACTATGTAGACTTGGGGTAGAGCAGTTAGATACCTTGCAGGGGTGGAACTCATGAAATGTACTTAGGAGCAGCCACGGGAGCAGCTGAAACAGCTGTTTTGAAGCAGGTTGGGAGCAGCTAAAACAACATTCTGGAGTAGGCTAGGAGCAGCTCAGATCAGCTTTCATTGCACTTCAGCTTGTGTCTTAGACGAGCACGGGAGCAATTTCAGTTGTGGTTAGCAGCCCAGATGAACATGAGTGGTTAAAGATCTAGTTGGATTGGATAACAGCGTAACTGATGCGAAAACTTGAAACTTTGTGAGCCTTAATGAGAACCAAAAAGCAAGTACCATATGTTTCTGAAGATAGTGCCCTTGATAATTTTTGAGTGGCTTTCAGCTGCTCAAAATGCAAACCAGCACTGCTTATCACACAACCCACACGTGCTCGACATAGTAATTATATGTGCGAACCTTGTGACGTGTGTAGGCAATGGACGTGTAGTTGCGCGGAGGAACAGGGCAACAAATTTCGAGTTTATATATTGTGCAACTCAATATCGAAGCAGCAGACTACGATTAACGGAGTTATTCTATTCTATACGATAAGCAGGAGCAAGGTTAAAGTACCCGAGCAGATCTACCGCTCGAGTGAGAGCTGCAGGTCGGCAAGATTTCGGATCGGACCGCGCTTCAGTTCTATCAAATCACGATTTATCTTGCGGGAATGTGGTTCCAACTTCTAACGATGAAGTACTAAAAGGAATCTTTTACTCATTTGTTTTCAACTGGGGATCCCGGGCCCCAGAGCCTCAGGCAATCTGACGCTTAACGACTTGACCTCACCTCGGCCCTCTTTAAGGGATACTCAACCGAAATTTGGATTTCACAAAATAAGGTAGCAGGGGTGTTCAACGGGACGCCACAAACTCCAAAACACCACTCATAAAGCGATATCTCAAACGAATGGCCGTATTTTTCTAAAATAAGGATGCGATTGAGTGAGAATCGCGACGTCGGGTTTCCTGCAGAATTGTTAGAAGGAGGGAGAAACGGCCTTGCTTCCTTCGCTCTTCGCGTCCTCGCGGAGTCAAAGAGAGAAGAGGAGGAAACGAGAATCGCGACGTCACGGCCTTTCTTGGCCTTGTTTAAGCGCGCTCTTCTTCCACAAAAATACGACCATCCGTTGGAGAGATCGCTTTATGAATAATGTTTTTGGGTTTGTTGCGCCCCGCCTAGCGCTACCGCGTTGTTTTCTGCAACCAAAACTTCGATTCAGCATTTCTTTAAGCGCTAATGGTTGAAGAATAACAATCCAGTCGCAGGTGGTGTAGTGCTTGGAATCCGACCACAGAGTTTTTTCACGCGCTTCCGACTCGGGATACACAGGGACAATAAACAGAACAAAGGATTGCAAGGTCGACCAAGCTAAACGCGCTCATTGTTGCCAATCGAGTCGATAGAAACCAAAACCAACACAAAATATGCATTTTTTTTTTTTTTGGCACACGTTTTGCGATTTGGTGCATAATGGCGCGAGGTGTTGGCTGTGGCGCAGTTTCAGCAACATGGCGCAGGATGGCGCAGACAAATACATCTGGCACAAAATGGCGCAGCCGTTCCACCCTTGACATTGCCAACAGATGGCTAGGGTCGTTCTGTCCATTGTGTTTGTTTGAGCTTGCTGTTTTGTGTGTCGTCTTTCCCGCTCAATCGCTGCCTGCTTGGAGAAGATGGCAGCGCCCACCCAGCGTGTGGTGTGGCCTTTTCGAGGATGAAATCATATATATCCTCTTCGACAGCGATGATAACGGGACGTCTGGTGAGGATAGTGAGTTTTCGGAGCCTTCTGTCAATGACGCGAGCGATTTTGACAGCATTTCAGAGTCCGAATCATGACAAGAGCGCACTGGTTGTGCGACGCCTAAGCGACCGAGGATGGAGTGCTTTGAGATCTTTCATACAAGGAAGAGTCTGTGAGGACCTATTGATTTAAAGATTTGAACGAACCACTTAAGCATGTAAATAAACATGTTTTACTGTAAAAGCTTATTAAACAAGCAAAACAGTCACGCCTAGTGCGGCCCGTTTTAGGGAAAAAAATGTGCGGTACGAACGGCATGATGCGCGCGGTAGCGAATGGGTTAATCTGAAAATCGTTGCAACCCCCTTTAATGTTGGTTTCAGCTCCAACCATAGACCCATTCCACAACAAAAGGCGAAATCAAGCACGGCTGAAACCACTGAGTGGGCAAGTTGAGCAATTAGTTTTCAGGTGTTTGCCGAGATTAAAGACGATGAGTAGTGCTTTACAAATTAAATAAGAACCACTTATTGCTTTTAGTCCCACAACCTTATCCCGCAACGAACCAAGGCTGCACTTTCAAACCCTGAGATTTCTCGCTCTCGACCTTCGTACTGGAACGCCGCAAGCTTGATCAGAAGCTTGATCTAAAGGCAGCGCCGAGATCGGTGTCGACAGGTCCACATGCTCGCTCGCCTGGGCTTTTTCACATTGTCCACATTGTAACATTGACAGAACCAAGTGTCATATAACTGTTGTTTCCTCTCTTTGTGTGTTTCTTTAGTGTGTGCGTTTGTGAGTTTAGTGTGTTTTTGTGTGTGTGTATTTTTAGAGAGTGTAAAGTTAGCCATGGCCCCAATGGGTGCCTGGGGTGCTATGTTGCGCTTTTTGCACTCCCAGGAGACTTGAAAGAAGGAAGTGACGTCAACGACTAGAGCAAACGCAGATTGGATGTTGACAGAAGAAAACAAAATCCAACATCCAATCTGCACATTTGCTGCGTTGTTGACGTCACTTCCTTCTCCCTAGTCTCCTGGGAGTGCAAAAAGCGCAACATAGCCCCCCTGGTGTCTCCACTGTGGATGACAAATTTATCCAGCGCAGTACTGCTAGTCTGGGGTCTTTAACGTGCACCAGTCTGTAATAACTTACAGCCATATTTTTTGTCTCAGCTTTCAACTCAAACTGCTGTGCACAAAAGATGCCGCTTTCAACCCAAACTGCTATGCACATAAGATATGCCAAGTTCTCAATTTCGGAAATTCGAGCCGCTAGAATATCGATCGTCACCGCAGACACGCACGTGTTATCCGAACATGACGTGAGAGGCGGGCACGTAGCTTTAAACACGCCCAACAGAAAATAATTCAAGCACGTACCCACAAAGGAAGTGCGCCTTGGGACTATCAACCATTACCACCGTCTAAAATTGTGTTTAAAAACACGATATCCTGTCAGACAGCTATCATTTTATCAGTTTATGCCAATCTCACAGCGTGACAACAGTCAGTTTACAGCGATCGCAACGTAAGCGCGACAGCTCAGTGCAGTCTTTAATAAACAAGGCGAGAAAACCGAAACCTTCGACACTTACGCGCGAGTCTGCCTTTCGCCGTAGGGGAGCAGGCGGCAACTGTCAGACAGGCGGGGTCAGAGGCCGGGGTGACCGGTGAATCAGCTGTCAAGTTCGACCCGATATCACTTCTTCACTACACGCACATTCGCGAATCAACCAACCCAACCAGAACAACCAGGAACTCAAAGCCAGATAAGAACGGCCCCGAATAAAATTACAAACATAACAAAACCATAAAACACTCTCAAGTATGAATAGATCAATAGCCGATGCAAACCTTTTGTAAAGGAAGGTAGCTTGCGCTACCTACCCACAATGTTCAAGTCACACCTGCGGCGCCTCCTCGGGAACGACCACCCTGATTCAAAAAAAGTTTTGGTGCAACTAAATACTAAATACGAACAAAAATAACAAAACAGCGCACCTAAACGTTATAAAGTTGAAAGCGAGCCGTTGAGCGTTTATGTCAGGGCCCAAGAGCCAAAATTCAAGCGCCATGCCGAGCCAATCCAAAGCCAGCGTTGACCTACGCCCCTTCGCTTCCGAAAGCGGTGGAAGCACGGTATTTGGTGGAAGTGTTTACATTTCGAAATTTTCGCGACTGTTGTTTTTGCTTATCCGCAGCTGAGGCATGGTCGTAGGCCGGGTGCTGTCGCTCCTAGCTGCGCTGGTGGCAGGGCTTCTGTTGATCGTTCTGACGAGGACGATGCTTCTGCCGGCCTTCGATCCGTCCGCTCCCCTGCCGTCGGACACGGTGAAAGAGCTCACCGACATCCAGAGAAACTTTTCTGGGCGGCTGGCCCGCGCCCTGACCTTTCCGACGGTCAGCAAGGCACCGCACGACTACGACAGAGAAGCCCTGACGAACTTCGTGCACTTCCTTGAGCAGGGTCGGTGGGTTCTGAGCGTACACGGGCACCTTTGACCGCAGTTAAGCGTGACAGAGGTCAGATTTAACTGCGGTGCTACGAATTATCTATGTCTAGTAGTTACTGCCAACTATACCCTGGTTACCCGGAAACGTTTAACCACAGTGAAGCCTGACCTCACAGTCACCTTTAACTGTGGTTAAGGGCGCCCGTGTAATATAGTTGGCAGTAACTGATAACCATATTTAAGCGTAACTGCACTCTAGGATGCCCGTAGGACAGCCTTAACCGCATTTAAGTGTAACTAGGGTATACGGCTACTCACGTAACATTAAATTTTCGAGCTTTCAGCCGATAAGCACCAAAGGAGGCTGAGAAATTATGGCACACTTGTATTTATAAATAACAAAAGAGTAAAGCTATACGCACTCCGGAGTGCACTTCAGACAGAAATGGCTCTACGCACTCCTCCGAGAGCTCATGCCGCTCGGGCCACCCTTTTCAAACGGCGCGTGTATCACTGGGGAGCTCGTTAACACAGCCCCCCGCCTGCATTCACGCCGCTTTGCGGCGACAGTGTGCGGCTGCTAATTACAAAACGTAACCAGTACACGCCGCTTCACGGTGTCCAGCCGGCTATCCAAGCCCCGCTGTCCCTGATCGCACCTCCGGAAAAGGAGTCCCATACCATTTAGTTCTGAGAAGTTTCTCGACAACATTCGGTTTTTTTGCTGTTCATCACAAAAAGAAATGTTGTAAATATCGCCAAATGCCTCGACAGAACAAAATGTCAGAGAAAAAAAAGTAGGCCACTGCGGATCGAACCCGCATCCACTTGCGTGTGAAGCGGACACCTTAACCCCTATGCCATGCCACCACTTGGAAAACTCGTTGCGACCATTTCTTTTATACGAGATGAGCGGAGTGCGTATAGGCCATTTCCGTCCGAAGTGCACTCCGGAGTGCTTATAGCTTTACTCGTACCAAAAACTCATTTGGAGTCCAAGCAGGAGTGCGTACAGCAGATAAATATCAACAAGACGTTCTAGACACCTTGGGAACACAGTGAGCAAAGTAAATGTCACGAAACATTGCCCAGAAGGGCCAGACAACAATCGGCAGACAAAAGGGGTAACGGAGAGGGGACGTTACATGTGATATTTTATATTTTTGGTGAGTCACAAGGTCTCAAAGTTCAGGAGGCACTTATGTTTGGAATTCTCTCTCAAGTCTCGTGCCAGCTATCTGATGATGAGTTTTACTTTGACCTGAGAAATGTGATCTTCTGCAGAAAGCTTACCGTCAGCTGTTTTGATGTGTCACTATGCTGCTTTCCTGTAATGGAGCAATTTTCTGAAACTGGTTGCTCCCTGATGTTTGAAGATTAAAAATTTGTTCTCTCCGACTACTTTTGACCACATTTAATGGGTGGTTAGTTTGACACTAGGACCGTTCTAGAAGAAAAAAAAAAGAAAAACATGCTTTTTCCATAAAGGTGTGCTCACATACTTGCAACCGCTTATGACCTTGTGTCTTAAAACCTCATCTCTCGCGACGAGAAAACACACTGGCGCCATCTATGAGGCTGCCTAGAACACTTGGCGATTCCATATCTATTCTATTTTTTCGTGTATAATTTTATCTTTCTTGGCTTGAAATTTTGACAATGTTATAAACAACCATTTTTCATGTACGTTTGATCTCGCCAACACCGCAAAATCTTTGCTCTATACTCCGTTTCGCGATAACTTGGCGAACCGTGGAGGCCTGGCCCCCGCAACCCAGTAAGAACGTCGGAGCGAGGCATGTGACACCACGTCACGGGAGTGTTTGTGTCTCTGCACCAAATACGAGGCCCGGAGGAACTGCCCTTTTCTGGCCAAGAGGCGTCTAATGCGAAACTAGCCTACTTCGGATTAACCACCGCCGCAACATTGATGCCACTGCAGTAGCAAGTTCTTCGAGAACAGATCATGAGCCAACCATACGCTCAATGTACTCGCGAGTCTGTTGTGGGTGATAATGCTAGGGCAACGTTTTGAGTGGAAGCGGTCGATTACAGGGCTGAAATCAATCAAACATTGTTCAAAGGCCACATTGTTCTAAAGGGTTGAACCGTATTAAGTATTGTTGAAAAGTAACGCGTCTCCGTCTTTTCATTTGTGCCGTGTAGCGTAGTGTCGATAGAGACAAAATCGTGCGAGTTCAATTGCCATTTACAGAAAAAAAAAAACTACTTTTTGTCACGGACGGCGCTGTTGCTGTGGCGGTAACAAGGCCTCTGGCTTCGACCATGGGGTGTCGTCAAGTGCCTTGCTCCTAAGACCTAATTGGGTCGCAAGAGTCCCAGCCTACAGTTTTCCTTTGTGTAACGGAGTATAGTGAAGTGCAGTTCCAGGGTCACCTTATAGATGGTGATGGCTTGTTCTCTCATCGTAAGAGATCACAAAAGCTCTGTCCTAAGCAAACTCAACTGTGTGAACGGGCCTCAAGACTCGTCAAAAAGATAGGCACCAAAAAATCTGCTCTCTGCATCGAGGCTTTATTTCAAACTATTTTTTCTTGCATTCCGCCCCTTGGAAAGCACGGTGACAAAGCTTGTGCATGCACCTGACCCTTCTACTCCGCCGTGTGCTTCCGCACGATCAAGTTAATCAGCCATAGTCCCCATCACCGTGGCAACGAAGCATTTTCTGAATAGATGCGCACGCAAATGCCAAGTCCGAAGCCAGCAACAGCTAACGCCATTTCCCAAATACCGTCCACCTTACACAAAAAGCATGTTTGAGCTCTGAATTTGGGCCAACTTGTTTTTGTTTCACGGCAGCATGTGGGCCAGACTTCCAACGTGGTCGTACTGACTACGTGAACCAACCGTGCGCAGAGTTTCCCCGAGTGCATTCGTCGCCCCTGGTGAGCCGTGAGGTGGTGTCCAACCACAGCCTGCTGCTGAAGATCCAGGGTTCGGACCGAAGCCTCCAACCCTACATGTTGTGCGCGCACATGGACGTGGTTCCCGCGGACCCCGAGAGATGGAGCCGCCCGCCCTTCGCGGGGGAAATAGTCGACGGCTACATCTGGGGCAGGGGGGCTCTCGACGCCAAGGACGTCCTAATGGTACGATGCTTCCTTTCACGTAGCATCGTCATAAACTGGCTAAATTACATCATATAGAATCACTCTGATTCTCTTGGAAGTTGCCACTATTCCCTTTTGACTTTTGCAGTACTTCTATTCTATAATAACAGTGAGTGTGCTTGCGAGCTGATGATAATTAATCATAATGCAACATCTTTGAGTTATTCTCCTACTGTTGTCTTTTCCCTCAACTCAAAAGTTTCTTCATTTTTCCGCACCTCTGAGTCAAGTGTCACATTACGATTGTCTAATCTGTATCCACTTGTGCCAAGTGCTCCGCACGTATGCACAGAGAAAACTCGATGCATACTTCATAGGATTACGCGAATATTCGAATTTTCAAATAGGAAGTTTCGAATAATGCTCTATTCGATATTCGCTTCGGACAAAGAAACACCCGTGAAGCTTGCTTTCTTGAGTGTTGCTTCTCTGCAGTGCACCGGTGCTCGGTAAGAAGCACACTTAACAGGAATAATCTGCCATGATCAGCACCTAGGAAAATACAGATACGAGGGGGACCCAAAAGTAACAGGAATGAATTTCTAGAAGGTGGGCCATTCGTAGTACCAAGTCCCGTGCAAGCAGCGCTTAAAGGGCCACCGAAAAGAAAATAAATGTTTTTTTAAACAGTCTAGTTGGGTCACACATGTCAAATAATTAATTTTATGCGAAAAAAAAAAAAAAAATTGTTTAGAGCAATATTGAGGGCGCGAGATTTATTTTAAATTCTGCGCACAAAGTCCATGACGTCACGGAATGGTCATACGCTCTCTCCACCTCAACGTTATGGCCAAGCCGATCAACCTCTACTCCACGCACCCAAAATGCTGAGAAAGAAAAGTGGAAAAGAGGTGACTACCAACTAAGTCGTGTCTTGCGCCATCAATATTGCTCTAAATGTTTTTTTCTTTTTCGCATAAAATTTATTTTTTGACACGCTTGTCCCCCCAACCAGATTTACAAAAAAAAACTAACATTCTTTTCAGTGGCCCTTTAACGACACTCCTTCTGAGCCAGTCTGCCGACCATCATCATCTGCTGTCGGCACGTTGTGATTTTTTTCCCAAGCGCTTCAAAATCATTTTTTCTTTTTTGCAATGTGATTTGAAGGAACAGCGTGTGGCCGTGAAAGTTTTGTTTTTATTTCTAGGGAAGACGGCAGCAGAAACCCTTGTAAGGCTTCAGACAGCTTACATAAAAGCTGCTATGAAGAAATCGCAGGTTTATGAGTGGTTTTCTCGATTCAAACCGGGAAATTATCGATCGACGACCAACCTCGTTCAGGGTGAACCTCAACCTTTTCAACTGATGAAAACATCGAGAAATTTGGACATTTTTCACTTTGAGTTTGTTCCTTCTGCTGAAACTGTTAATCAGGTGTTTTACCTGGGATATTGTCACGAATGACAAATGATGAGGCGGCAAATAACTGAAGAAACTAGACGTTTAATGGGGCAAACTTTTGACAAAAATAGAGAAAGGCTAGCGTCACAGGTGTCAATGTCGGCAAAACAGCAGGATCGAGCACTTGGACGAGACTGATTTTGGCTCGCCACGCGAAGCCCCTTATGTACATGCGTAGGCTTCTGGAATAATCAGCGTAGAAAGTTCGAGGCGTAGAATATTTGGACCTGGAATAAACAACAATGTTTTCGAATTCACGAGAACATTAAGCTGAAAGAATAAATAAAAGACGAGTAGCTCCCAGCAATTGAACCCTGGCTCTTCGCGTGGGAGGCAAGCACGATAACCGCTAGTCCACGGCCGCGCTGCCTACTTGGCCAGCTGCGGGCGCAGCAATATTTGCGACACTTGCGCAACTCGTGAGGCAGAAACGCCATGATTTGTTGGAAAGGAAGAAGTGGTGGTTCCATCATGAAAATGCACCAGCACACACTGTCCTGTCAGTGCAACAATTTTTTAACGGATGGCATTACACCACTTCCCCCACCTTTTCACCGGACTTCCCCCCCATGTCCCTTTTTTCTTTTCGCCTGTTTGAAAAGAAGTCCTGAAAGGAAAATGTTTTGTTGATGTAGAGGGTCTTTCAGGTCAGACATTGCAAAAACAAGATGATTTTGAAGTGTTTAAGGGAAAAATTTACAACATGCCGCTAGAACTTAAGCAGACAACACCGGTTGCCAGACTGACTCGGAGAAGGTGCCGCTAAGCGCTGCTAATGACGGAAGCTGGTACTACGAGCGGGTCGCCCTGCAAAAGTTCATTCTGATTACTCTTGGATCTTTCCTCATATTGGAGTCGCATGCTTGGGAAAAAAGCACACTTTCAAAGCGGTGATGCATGCTGCGCTCCTTGTGTGTTTAGAAAGAAATTAAAACTGTGTTAAAGTTAATATCCACGTAACAATAAATTTTTTAAAATTTTAAAATTTTTGATAGTTTGTTTGAGATTATGACAGTTTGTAATAATCATTCGCAATTGTCTTTTTTTTTTTCTTTCTCAAATTAAAGAATTTAAGTTTAGAAATGGACATGTGGAAGCTCGGGATTAACCTTCATTAGTTCACCTGGGATGTCGTTTAAGCATGGTGCAATAGTGAAAGGCTTTAAAAGCCATTCAATATTCGATTCAAGAATATTCGGCCGAAACCGCTCTTCGCTTTGAATTCTCTTCTAGCTCAAAATCTGCTATTCGCACATGCCTAATGCTTGATATCGCTCGTAGTCGACTCTAGAGCAGTCAAGAATGAAAAAGGAATGGTGTGGAGAGGGTGGAATTAACGGAAGTTGGAGGCGCACCAAGCATTCTGTTCATCCGAATTCTCGTCTATTTATTTAACATCAACAACTTTCCGCAATGTTCCAGGCTTCTGAGCCTACAAAAGCATTCCAGCTTTAAAAATGTGTAGAACGACGCATTGACGCGGAGTCGGTGCACCTCTCCGGCCAGGGCATCTTGGAGGCAGTGGAGTGGATGCTGGAGACACGGACCGAGTTCCGGCGCACGCTGTTCCTCGCATTCGGCCATGACGAAGAGGTTGGTGGCATGGACGGAGCGGCGGCCATTGCGAAGATTCTAGATGCGCGCGGGGTCCGGCTGGAATACATCTTGGATGAAGGCATGGTGGTGCTGCGGAATGTATTCCCCGGAATGCTTACGCCGGTGGCCATGTAAGGACAGCCATTTTGATCCAAGCAGGAGCCTGTTGGCGAGATACTTTGCTCGTGGTTTTGGAGACTACCGCTGAATAATTTCTCTTTTACTTCTGCAAGGATGTGTGTCTGCCACTGTGTTTTACACAGTTCAGGAGCCAAAAAAAATTGACCGTATCTCCACGTGGTGAGGGATGTTGATTGGGGCAAAGCTCTGGTGGTGCTTGTCTGCGTAGACGCTGAGCCGCAGCATGCCGAGCCTTTCGTTCGTTTTCATCCATGTCAGAAAGAGAATGTGGTATGGAACGTGGTTATATACGCATTTGAGCATTTGACCGCAGCGCCCTCTCGTCTATAAATGTTCAGCCAATGCATGCAAAGTTTAACGCGATTATAAACGCATTCGACCGCAGCGCCCTCTCCTGTATAGACCTTGAGCCAATGCATGCAACGTTTCATCCATAACATCCCCAGCTCTTGAGTTACTACCACATCTCAGAGCCCCCTACTCGTCCCGCAGTCGTGGCCGAGTGGTTAAGGCGAAGGAGTAGAAATGCATTGGGGTCTCCCCGCACAGGTTCAAATCCTGTCGACTGTGCAAACACTTTTTTTTTTATTATTTTTTGCCCTACATGAGCACGTGAGCATGTGAGCTCACGAGCACCAGCAAGATCGATGTGAGCACGGACGCCAGACGGACAAGGCTAAACACTAAGGAGCTTCACCCCTAAAAAACACCACAAAAAAAATAAGCAAACTTTTTTTTTTTTTTTTTTTTTTGATGAGCAGCAAGTTTGTTGTTAGACATGCCGGTACGAGGCGGTATGAAACGAGCAGAAACGCTGCTGGGAAAGAAAGCATGTCTTAAGGCCCGTTCATACCTTTGCATTTGCATAGGAAATTTTAGAACTGAGCTCTTGTGATGTATTATGAGAGAATGCACTGGCACGCTTGCACCATCCATGAGGTGACCCTGGAATTGCATTTCACTAGAGCGAAGGTTTTGCAGTAATTGCAAGATCAAATGTGCATACTAATTATAAAAACTAGCTCGATACAAAACATGAATAAGAATGGTGCAAATGCAGTGGCGAAATAAAGTCAATTGTACACACGAAGGGTGTTCTCCCTCAGTGCACATTCTAAGAATGAGAGTCATTCTAGGCTGAAGTTTTTTAACAGTGAGCTATGCCAACTCCAAACAGACAATTAAAACGTTAAGAAATGTGTGCAGAAAAGGTGTGTCTGGTCCTTAGCCTCCTCTTCCGGGGTTAGAGGTGTCTTTCATAGGTGATACACTGGGTGTACCAGGTTAGCTATAAATTCGTCGTGTCTGGAATTTCATGCTGTCGCTCCATGTTTGATTATTTTAGCGACCCAAAGCTGTATGGAAAAGTAACTTCTAAGGAAGATCTGTTCTTACTAAATACCAAAGTATAGAAAACTTTAGCTTTGGCACTGCCATGATTGTTGCCAGTGCCCGGCCATATTCCGGTCGATCAGTGTGGCTAAATCCTGGTTGGTCACTGGTCGGTCGCAGTTCCCGACCAAATGCGGTTCCCGGCTAAATCCCGGTCGATTGCCGTGGCTGTCTGCAGGATTGGTGTGACTGAGAAAGGCTCCCTCCTGTGCAAGCTGACAGCCCGTGGGCGGAGCTCCCATTCTTCTCTTCCCCCGAGGGAAACAGCCATTGTGAACCTCGCCAAGGCTCTCACCAAGTGCGTACACTTGGGGAGGAGTCATAGGTCTTTGGAGTCAAAAAAATCCCTAAAGGCTCTGTTCAGATAAGATCATGCACGCTAGTCCGGACATATTTTTAAGCGAAGCTGTTACACGCTAGGGTCTGGGAAAACATGCGTCCTCACATGTCGACAGAAAAGTCCCCATTAGTCGTGGAAAGTATGAATAAATAAAAGCGAAAAGAGGGGGCAACCAGCGTGAGTCAGTCTTCCTTAGCATTATTAAATAGTTGGGTCCTGATTCCTTGATATCATCTCTAGGCTTCATTCTCGAGGTCATCCTAGAAGTCGTCCTCGAGGTCTTCCTAGAAGTCGTTTGAGAGGTCATCCTCCAGGCGTCGTCCTCGAGGTCGTTTTAGAAGTCATCCGAGAGGTCGTCCTCGAGGTCGTCGTAGAAGTCGTCCTCGGGGTCGTTGTAGACGTCGTCCTCGAAATCTTCCTAGAAGTCGTCCTCGAGGTCATCCTAGAATCATCCGAGGTTCGTTCTAGGCATTGTCCTTGAGCTCGTCCTAGAAGTCGTCCTTGAGGTTGTTCTTGAGGTTGTCCTAGACGTTGTCCTCTAGGCATTGTCTTAGACATCGTGAAGGTAACAGCTTCGCTGGTCCTCCATGTTCATGTAAATTGGAAGGGCTCTACAATTTTTTGTTTTTGGTAATCCTTTTATATGTTACTCCTCAATATTACGTAGGGAATGTAATCAAAAAATGTTTTGTGAAAAACATAATATTTAGAGAGAAAAATAATGTTGAGTGCACCACAAGCACATATTTGGCTTTTGAATTTTTTGTTTATGTCATGTTTGGTGACACCTACTACACAAGCTACAAATGTCGGAAATCTCAAATAGTTTGCAGTTACTATAGATCATACTAACTATTAAGTGAGACTTGTAAAGCTTTGTGGAGGTCATACATTTTGCATAAAAAATGCTCAAACATGGCTCCTTCGACATTTTGTCCCTAGATTTTTGAGCGGTTATCTAAAAAAATTAAATAGCTACAACATTAAAGTTTAACATATATTGTTGATAAAACATTCATTCGAATCTTATATAAATCATTGCTTTCTTTCAAAGATTTCAGTTTTTATGTCACTCCAAACTTCTTCTAAATTACAAAGTTAAAAAATTTCAAAGAATTAAAACAAACAAAAAAAAAAAACATCTTGCGATTTTTTTTTTTGAATTTTGAAATTTATAGTGATAGTTCTCCACCATACTTTTGTGTTTATTCATGAAAAACATACTGCATAAAGTTTTTTTCTCCAAAGTTACAACACTGTAAATGCATGCCGGCATTTTTTCCCAATGCCACGGACAAAATTATCTTCTGATTCCGTGTATTTTATGACTAGATATATTTTTTGTGCTGTATTCGGGTATTGGGCTCAAGTTAAAGTATTCTACTAATTAAAGCAATACCTGCATTGCTCATACTTTTTACTAATTTAAGGGAGGAAGTGGGTTCTCAAAAAATGTTTTTTGTTTTTTGGTCTGTCTCAATGATTTTTTGCACAGGCATGCAGTTTATTGTGTTGGTTTCATAACTGCAATCAAATTTCAGATACCTCTTCTTTGTCAAAAGTTATGAACAAAATAAAATATTAATTAGCTAATTTCAGGAAGGGTTTTTAAAAAACCTTCTTATTAAAATTTGAATGAAAAAAGTATCAATTGCTTCCTAAAGAAATGACATACAAGCTAAAGCTATTTTTATTTCTTTAGCACCATATAATCATGTAAAAAAATTAAAGTGAATAGAAGACATACAATAGCGGCTATAACAATGTCTAATAAGAAATGTCAGTTTTATATATCACAAAATATCATAATAAAAATAGCTTTAGCTTGCAGTCTAGTTCATTCCAAAGAAAATAGCACCATGTTTAAACACAAGACTATAAACTGCAGGAAAATCAAAGATGGTTTGCTCATAATTCCCCCTTGAAATATCTTAGCTTTGTAATTTAGAACAAGTTGGGAACGACATTGAAATTGCAGCCTTGGGATAAGGCAATGATTTATATATCATTTGGAAGAATGTTTTAAAGGGATACTTCAACGAAGTTTGAAATATTCCCGTCGTGTTCAAAAATAGGTTGAATATGACCCACAATATCCGTAAATGACAAACGCACGTTTGTATTTTGATCCTGGTGGCTGTATTTTTCGTTATAAACGGCCCACTCTGGCAAGCGCTCGGAGAAGGCCCAGCTTAGAGCACGTGACATCCAACGCAATTGTGACGTAGGTCGTCTCAAGACGAGCAAAGCTACGGCGATGCTGACGTCGAGAGGATGGCCTAGTCGTTCCAGCGGCTGCTTTTGTGCGAATTTTGAGTGACAGGTTAATCTTCTATAATCTTCTAGGGGGACAATAGCGACTTCTGCGACACACAAAAGGGATTCTCGGGAAGAGGGGAGTTCCTCCCTCCCCTTTTCTCGTCGTGGCCGGAGACGAGACAACCTCCGTCACTAGCTGTCAAGGTTTCTAGACGAGCATTACAAACGAATCGTTAGCGACATCCACCAGGTGCTCTTTGCTAATCGTTTAATTCGTTTTAAAATTCTTTTTCGAGACTTTTTTTAACAAGATATTGGTATGTTCCATGTGATACTGCTCTTTTGAACACGTATAGACCAAAAGATGAGCGCCGAACTTTCGTTGTATCCCTTTAATAGCAATATATGACTTAAATTTTAATATTGTAGCTATTCAATGTTTGTAGATAATGGCTCAGAAATCTAGTGACAAAACATAAAAGGAGCTATGTTTGCACATTTATGACGCGAAATAAATGACCTCCACAATGCTGTGCATATACCACTCAATAGTTCCCATGCATAAATGCAAAATATTTGAGGTTTCTAATATTCATAGTCTGCGTAGTAGCTGTCGCCAAACATGACATAAACGAAAACTTCAAAAATCGAATATGGCTTTCTGGTGCACTCAAACTTTTTCTTCTTTACACATTTTTTGTTTTTCGAAAAATCTTTTTTGCATGTTCCCTACATATGTTGAGGAATGACATATAAAAATATTAACAAAAACAAGAAATATGCCCAGACTTGCGCGCATGATCTTATCTGAACAGAGCCTAAAAAGCTCTTCTTTTTGGGGTGGGAGGGGGAAGGAATGGCAATTTTTAAATCGAGAGCTTTTCGTTCTTATGATTTGCCTAGTGTCTTAATGTACAAATTAATAATTGACATAATATCACTTGATATTATCTATGCAGGCTGAAACTGCATTGAAGTTGGTGCTCAAGCAGCACTATCTCAAAACAGAAATTTTGGACTCCGCGAATTTTCAGGAGGAGGGATATCTTAGCACCGAGGGCAGATAGAAATATACCTTTTTTTCTGCAAAATGTAGCTAAACGTGCAAAGCATACCATGTTGAGGGCAGATTTTTCTATATAGGTCTGGTAAAAGTTTAACTGAGCTGGTAGCCACACATTGAGCAGTGAACTTCAATGTGATGTAAGGTCACTAATAATTGTTCATTCTAAAGAGTGCTTCCAACATTGTATTCTTCATACTTTGTAGTATCTAACCAATAGTTAGAATGTGACTTTTTTTTTATGGTTCCCTATTGTTGAGAACTAACCTACATATTAAGATAAACAGACATATGAAATCAGCACAAAAATCTGAACCAGCTTGTACTGTTTCATTGGGTTTGGTCGACAAATCCACCCTTGTCAAGAGAGGAAGCTCCAAGACCAGCGTTCCCCCTGCGGTTTTTTGAGCTAGCCGAATTAAGCACATTTTCAAAATACCAAGGCTTTGCTCTTCCCGGCATGCTATTCATTATCTCTAATCTTGAAATTGCTAGTGAAGAAACGGCAAATGAAAGTTATGCCAAGACCAACATTCGATTTTCCCGCGCTCTTCGTTGCGGTGGCGTCACGTGTCGTATAACTTGCAAAAGGAGCAGGCAGCCTAAGAAGCGTACTGTCGAGACCGGTTATAACGAAGTCGGTTATAACGAAATAGCGGCTATAGCAAAGGGATCACGATTTCCCATTTCCTTTCGCACTTCGTTATAACCCAAGTCGGTTATAACGAAATAGCGGATATAGCGAAGTGCTTTCCGATTCCCATTGACTTCGTTATAACCGGGCTCGGGAGTAGTATTTTGCGCATCTTTTTATGGTTTCTCTGCGCAAGCTTTTCTAGCATTTCACACTATCGAACTTTTTATAACCTGTCTGGAACAAGCTGTACTGCCCCCATATCCAACATCTGACGTCACATTCTCAATGTTGCCAGTATACCTCTCAGACCAAATTAAAAATTAAAATAACCTTGCGAGAAAAAAAAAATGTCTGTGGCTGGCAATTTGAGTTACTAGTTCAGATGTGTCTATTAATGTGTTGAACTAATTTTGAGGCAAATTAATGACTATCAAAGTTTAGCTGGAGCTCCCCTTGAGTGGTTTTAACTAACTAAGCTGAATAATCCAGGTGGAAACTATATAGTGTCTGTCTGGACCGAAACGAGTGGGACCTAGGCCGTGTTCCAAAATTTACTTAATCATACTCCGGGGTAGGGGTTTTGTGCCTTGGCGTTCGAAAACCCACCCGCGCCTGGCATTGCTCTCTTCGTGTTGTCACGAGCCAGGACCTGCCAGAGCAAGTCTGATTTAATTTGAGTAAGATCTGGAATACAGCTAAGATTGAGTGCTATGGGATTGCGAGGAAAGCTCGGGCGCACATGAGGGGGCTGTGTTCCAGGTTCCACGGTCAGTGCCACCCAAGTATGTTTGGCCACGACACCGTGTCGGAGATGTTGGAGACAGTGGCACCCAGGGTGAGTTCTCCCAAACTCATCTGGCACATTTCCTGCACAGTGGCGAAGCCCGATTAACATACTCGGTCGTAGCTCGCTTAATGTGACAAGCTGCTAGCTCGTAATACCGGGGTTATTAGCAACTTCTTTAGCCGCACTAAGCGTGCGTATCTTTTAACCAGTTTTATTTTTACAGTGGAGCTGTTAAGGGCTAGTTTCCCCAGGATCGTGTCCGTCCGCGCTGAAATGTCGACACAACACTCTGGTTACCGCCCTCGCTTATAGATGGCAATAGCTGTCCAGAGTGTTGTGTTTGCCGGTTGTCTGCTTGCCACCGTCGCTCACAGATCGCGACTACCTTTTCAGCCTCTCCACTCTGGCTTGCCGACTTGTGGACGACCATTACTTCATTCCCGCCATAGTACAGCTTTGCTGGTCTTCCTTCTTTGGAATTTCTCAAAGATTTTTGTTTCGTGTTTGTGGATAATAAATCACGATACATGAGGTGTCCGACTTTCTAATCTATCTGGGCACTGGGCAGCGCAGTGTTTCTCCGGGTTGAGGGTGTGGTCTCTCATAGTGCTAGCCGAGCAAGCTTACTGCAAGGTTTTCCCTGTCCTTGTACAGGCCCCGTTCCTGCTCAGGATTGTCTTCGCAAACACCTGGCTCTTTGGACCTGCTATCTCCTGGTAAGCCTTTGACTTCCTTGCCAAACACTGAAGGCCACCTTGAAGCCTTTTATCTATTTCTAGGTGCTTTAGTTCCGTAATGTTTAAATCTAAGAGAACCAGGGGAAACGCTTGGCATTTGACATGTGCACTGCTATACTGAGCTCTAAAGGATTAAATCGACACATTTTGGGGTTTTACTTATTACGAGGTAAGTTGCAGTTCTAAAAGTCGAGCGTCTAACACCACGTATGTATAGGGCTCTTTGTTTTCGCGTTTTATTTTTATTCTCGCGACCGTAACATCATTTCCTAAACATGATTTTTTTTAAACTTTTTTTATTAGAAATTATTCTTTTTATTTATCTTCAAATTGTTTCAGAGTACGACCCTAAACGGAAAAGCATGCAAAAGAAAATCAAGGTTAAGCCGTATGGCCCCCACAGGAAAATGGGCGAAACCCATTGAAGACTCTGGGAGCTTTGAATCCCTAAAATAGAGAGCACAAAAGAGGAAGGGCAACACTAAACAAGGACACACAGAAGACAACGGGGACACAACCATCGGAACAAGATTAACCTTAGCAGACGGTGAAATATGGCCGCTGACAAAAATAAAACCCAAAAACAAAGAACCCTGTACGTCTGGCACCATTTAGCCGAAGGCTGTGTGGGAGGTCAGAGTTTTCCATGAATCTCGATTGCATGCATTTTTAGCTGCGCAAGCAAAAATATGACAAGCCAGCAGTCGTGCATTCTGATTAAAGGTACACTTAATAACCCGCCCGCGTCTTTACACGCACCAGACTAATTGTGCCCTCCGAAACATTGCATGTTTTATTTATTTCGGCTAATCTGCCTCAATTTCGTCCGCAGGGTGATGAGCCTCAAGCACGAGTTAGATGCCATGATTCGCACGACCACTTGCATCACCAGAGTGCAGGGAGGAGTCAAGGTACAACTGTTCCTCCGGCGTTTTCAGCTTGCCTGGCAGCCGAATCATCCTTTTATACATACTTCATTTCATCTTACGTTGGCAAACGGTGATAGCCACCGTTCAGAGCGTCGGAGTGGAGCAGACGACGGCACGTCGTTGGAGTGCACGTTTTCCGCGGAGAGCTGTCGTGCATTTTGCTCTGTCGCTCTCATTGACTCGAGGGGGTCGCAGCGTTTGTTCTTCATCGAGTCGAGGCCGGTTCACTCTCTTGGAACTGCCCACGGCCAAGCACCTTACAAATTCTCGCAATCCCTTACGACAAGACGATGCAATGGGGCCATCTGTCGGGTAGCCGTGGAAGTAAATTCGGTATATTTCCTGTTTTGTTTCGCGAATCATTCTTTTCTTAAATGGGTAATAAGGCACAGACGAGCTGGTTTGCATTCATGATTTAAGACAACCCTGAGACAGGGTGTTTGTCCTTGTTTCCCCAGTCTCATGATTTCTTTTCTTATTGATCCCATAATTTCTTTTCTTATAAATAATGATTTTTTTTCTTATAAATCATGATTTCTTTTCTTATTGGCTCAAAAAACTTTTGACATCATAAGCAGCCATTTTTTGTAGATAGTACATACATTTGGTCTTGCAAATAGCACAAAACGTTCGCTCTGGTGAAATGCAGTTACAGGGCCACCTCATGGATGGTGCCAGTGTGTTCTCTAGAGACCCTATAGAGACCTACATGAACTCAAACCATGTGGAGCGTTTGCTTTCTCGCGGAGATCGGTCCCAAGTGCGCACGCCAGCGCATGCGTCATCGCGAGGCGAGGAAGAAAGTGAGCGAAAAGCCAGAGACGCTTGCATCACCACCTGACGGCTCACATTGCAAGGAAGGCCCACAGACTACGTGACCGCGATCGAGCTGTTGGAAACTCTCCGTAATTCAGGCTCTCTAGTGTTCTCTCGTCGTAAGAGATCGCGAAAACTCGGTCATGAGCGAACGTGAGTGTGCAAACCAGCCTCTGTGCGGAAACAAGCACAGACCGCACCGAGCGACGTTGGTTTGCGAACCTCCAGAGCCGCTGCAGCCCGAGACACACCCGTCGTGCTTTGAACGCAGCGAGTACCTTGGCGTAAATTTAAACGTGTCCCCAAGATTGGGAAAGAAAGTGTCGGCGAGCGTATCTGGAGAAGGCACGAATTTACTCTGTCGGGCGTGATTTCCACGTGGAGCTGCAGGTATTGAGCTGATTTTGCTATGTGGTTGGGATGTGGACTTTTCGGTATGCAAACTAAACACGAACAGTTATCATCGGAGATGATGTCTGTCAGAAATGTGGTTCCTGGACCTTTCAAATTTGGGCGCGCTCGTCGTGTCTTGGAGCTTCTGGGTTTATCGGGTTGGTATCGTTCTGTTGTGGTGCATTTCATCTGTACATCTGAGACAATAAATTTGTCTCAAATAATGTTGCGGTCGTATTATCTGTAAGGCACCTTTGATGTTGAGGTGTACTATACTTTGCCAAACAGTACATGACAGCGAACGTTTACAGTGAATCAAGTACCGCACTATATATGATAAGGAACCCAGCGTGATGTGTACTTCATTTTTCGGAGCAAGGTGCAATATGAACCTTATGGTTGTATCCTATTACATAATCAGATCTTCAGAATAACAGTCTGGTATAGAGCATGCTTTTTTTATCGCGATTCAAATAATTCTAAAAATAATATGAACTTCGATTGTCACATAAATATATTCGAGCTGGGCTAGTTTTCGTGGGAAGGTTTCACCTTTATTATATTTTTAGAATATAACTTGGCTAAGACTCCACCGTAAGGCATTCTTACCTCGGAGAGATCTCGCTCGCAAGTATTGCAATGAAACCACCGAAGCAATGCATGATGCTGACGGCCATCATTGCTGCAAGCTTGACGGTTGAAGCTAACTCTCGTCGTGCGTGCTCCTCTGTCTGCTTCGTGCGTGCAGGACAACATCGTTCCAGGTGAAGCGCACGCCTTCATCAACCACAGGATACATCCCAAGCAGTCGGTGGCTGAGGTAATACCTTCCAACATTTCTCGCAACATCTTGACGTTGACCTCCGTAACTCGTGCAATATTTGACCAGTATTTAGGAATAGCAGTAGTTATTAGTGTCATCATAAAGTTGACTAAAGGCTGGTTTACACATTTCCCACTGCTTACGACCGCCTGCCTTAAAACCCCTTCTCTTGCGAAGAACACTGGTGCCACCTATTGGGTAGCCGTAGTACTTGCCATTTCCGTATATTTCCTATTCTTTTTATGCATCATTCTTTTTTGGCTCGAAATACCTTTGATAATGTTATAAATTCACGTTTTTCATGATAGTATGTGCATAAATTTGATCATGCAAATACCGCAAAGCCTTCCCTCTAGCGAAATGCAGTTCCAGGGTCACCTCATAGATGGTGCCAGCGTGCCGGTGTGTTTCATCGTCGTAAGGGTTCGCGAGAACTCGGTCGTGATTGGGCCTTTTGTAGCACCATAGTATACTGCCATATTATCTATGATTTTCACACATGCAGCACATTGCAAAATTATGGCTGCAATTAGTGCCGAATTTAGCTTTGATTTAACGCCGTATTTTTTCTTTGTACCGCCGAGTTCTCCTCGTCACAACTTGTAATACTGCGAGAAATCAATTTCACGAGATCTCATGCTTGCGACAGAAGTATTGTTGGTGCTGAGCTCGATTCCGTCCGCTCTCGCGGCGAGATCACTTACTTTGTTCCGAGAAAGGCAAGATTTATGGTACTTGGACAAACTCTGTTATTGCGTCGGTGTTCTTTACAGGCGCCATCAAACATGTTGATCCCAAAAAGAAATTACTAGTAATCGAAACTGTGAACACTGCGACATATCCTTGCAACGTCTCGGGAACGAAACGTGAGATGGCACCACTTCTATAATTAAAACCACCGACCTCCGCTATATCAGCACAGTATTAGTATTAGCGAGTGCTGCACCGATGCTAAGGACGGTGCTGTTTCCAGCGCTGAATTAGTGGTAGACCAGTGCTGCACTGTTTAGTGCTGTAGAGTGAAAATTTCATTTGGAAGATGTGGCCCATTCTCGGCAGCTGGCGCAATGCAGCCCCATGTATTTGAGGACTCTGTCGGCCACCATTTTCCCATTTAAATTTTTAGAAAATCGCTCTTAACTTTTGATTACAATAATGGTTAGTTCTGAAAATTTGGCAACCGATTCGAATTGCTAGTACTACGTTTGGGCAGAAAATGAGCATCCGGCGATGCACAGTTTTTTTTTGCGTCGAAAAAACGTCGAAAATTTTTTTACGGGAGGGGGACAGGTTATGTACAAAAACAGAAATGAATTTGACAACTGCAAAACAACCGCCCATCTTAACGAGCCAAATGGGTCGAGCAGACATTGACAATGCGACGCCCTCCTCTCAGGTGTTGGCACACAACCGTGCCCTGGTGAGCTCCCTGCCCAACGTGAGCCTGGAGGAGGTGATGTCAACGGAGCCCCACCCAGTGTCCCCCCACAGCCCCACGGACTTCGGCTACCAGACCATCGCGCGCAGCGCCGGGCAGACGTTCCCAGGCGTGGCGGTAGCTCCCAGTGAGTGCGGTAGTGTGCCTAGATTTCAGAGTGTTTCCAACTGCTCCATCGCGGTCACACGATTTATGCACCACGTTTTCGTTCAGGTCCGCACTCCTTTACTCCTGCTTCGACGCTCCAAGTTCCATGCTCTCAGAGCGCAGCAACTAGACGGCGCATACAGGAACGCGACACACCAAAACTATCGATGAGTCGCACGAGCTCCTTCCAACGCGCGGTTATGACAAGCCTGGCATCTCGTGGATACGGGTGGCAGAAGCCAAAATTGTTTTGAGGATAAATTGATTAAGGCCTCTGTAGAGTGGCAGAGTATAAATTTAAAAAATATTGGGCACCATTCCACTCCATGAAGATGGATGACCACGAACACATTTATTGTCTTGATTGGTGGTCACCATAACGAAAGGTACACGCACACACGTGCCACCTGCCGCCGCTGCTGACATTCTCGTTGCTGTTCCCGCCGTTGCTCTTCGTAGGCACGTTGCTCTTCGGGAGTCTGGACTATACGCGGCTATAACGCTAGCTGATGTTTTGGCTTTCCAATCAAAGTGTCTTTATTCGATGGGCTAAGCGTTCTGAAAAGGGCAATGGTCCGAGTGTCTTCGCATCTCGACTTTTCTGTCGCTGTGCTATCAGCATGCTATCGTTCGATAGATGAATTTATTTCCAAGCGAGATGCATAAACAAACCTTTTAGAGCGCAGCTCTTAGGCGCCCGTTTCCGGCTTGAGCGGTGTCGCCGTCGCCGTCGGCTTAACTGCGCGGTGCATTATGGGACGCGTGACGTCACTGCTGACGTCATCAGCATCCGCATCGTCATCGTCATCATCCCTGATGACGTCATCAGTGACGTTACTGATGACTTCATCGGCATCCGCACCGTCATCGTCCCTGATGATGTCATCAGTGACGTCACTGATGACGTCATCGGCATCCGCATCGTCATTGTCCCTGATGACGTCATCAGTGCCGTCACTGATGACGGCATTTGCATCGTCATCATCACTGATGACTTCATCAGTGACATGACTGATGACGTCATCGGCATCCGCATCGTCACTAGTGATGATAACGTCATCAGTGACGTCACTGCTGATGTCACTGATGACTTCATCGTCATCGTCACGTGACCCCGGTGACGTCACGTGACCCCCTTGAGGTGACCTGACCCTCGTGAGGCGATGGCAACGCCGCTCAGAGGGAGGAGTAGCAGACAGGATGAGGAGGTGAGGAGGAGGGAGGAAGGATATACCTTCCCCTCAGTACCCTTCCCCTCCTCCTCCTCAAGAGCTGCGCTCTAATTCGGCGTTACAGGGAGTTGTTAACGGCTTTCATTTGTTTTTCACTACACTAACTGATGTTTCGGCTTTCCAATCGAAGTATCTTTTTTTCGCTGGGGCTGAAAAAGGGCAGTGGTCCGACTGTCTTCTCATCTCAACAACTTTTCTGTCGCCAAGCTATCGGCACGCTAACGTTTGATAGATGAATTCATTTTCAGACGAGATGCAAGAACAAACCTTTTCCGCAATGCTAACCGATGTTTCGGCTTTCCAATCAAAGTACCTTTGTTTGCTGGGCTAAGCATTTTAAGAAGGGCAGCAGTCCGAATGTCTTCTTATCTCGACAACTTTCCTGTCACTGGGCTATTGGCATGCTACCGTTTGATAGATGAATTCGTTTTGAGGTGAAATGCACATAATACAAATGCTAATTGCTGTCTTGGCTTTCAAATCAAATTGTTTTTTCCTGCTGGATAAGGCACTATTCAACTGAAGAAGGGCAGCGGTCCGGGAGCGCCCTTCGTCTCGACAATGTTTCTGTCAGCGCCGCCATCTTGTCTGTGGACGTGACGTCACGGAACACCAAGAAGTCACTCGTGTTGAGAGAAATACTCGGTGCACGAAGAGCGCGCTCGAGCGTCAGTCTCCAGTGGCACTCTTGTCCGTTAAGTGAAAGGAGCGCCAAACTCTCGCGCTCCGGAGCACGGACTTAACGCGCCCAATGCGAGCTGCAATGAGGTGACATTAACTTCAGTCGTCTGGAAGCACCTTTGCCTCTCTGCCGTCTTTCTTCCTTGCCATGCGGTAGTGCTATGTACTGTACGCACATTCGCGACCAATCTGTCCAGGAGGTGTCTGCCCTTAAATTGCAAACCCTCTTCGTGGTTTGAGTAGCATACAGGCTCTTTAGAGTGCGAGGTAACGAAGGGGGGGGGGGGGGGGGGGGAAGGGTACGGAAGGTCTTGCTCGACAGCCCACTGGAACTCACCGGTCTTTGCACGCTGGCACGCCGGCTGGCCCGGTGGCAATTGTTTCATCAACAGATTGTTTCGTTGAGACCGTGACGCTTCGTCGAAAGCGCCTTTCCGCACACGTTGCCTGGTGGTAGCGTTTTCAATGGCGTTTTTAGAGTGGTTCGGGATTTCCTATTAAAGTAATATTTTGGCTGCGCTGTTATTTAGTCTACGCGTAAATCAATCGTGTTAGTTTATTTTGGTTTGACTTTTTACCAGAGTTATCCTTCAAGCCGTCGGTGATCATAGTAAAGGCTGGTTCGCACGACCTTGCCTACAGCCGAGCGCTTTAAAACCTCTTGGGATCTCACACACTGGCCCCATCTATCTGGTGGAACACTTAGCATTTCTGTACATCTGCTATTTTTTGTGCACATCATAATTTCTTTCTTGGAAAATATTTTTACAATGTTATGAACTGCCATTTGTCATAGAAAGTAGTATGTACATTTGATGTTGCAAATACTGCAAAACCTTTGCTGTAGAGAAATGTGGTTCGAGGGCCACCTCACACATGGCTCCAGTGTGTTCTTTCGCCGTAAGAGATAGCAAGAACTCGGTCGTAAGCAAACGCAGGAGTGCAAATGGACGGGCCTTAACATTCTGTGGCTCTACGAGCTTCTCGGAGGCACTACCTCAAGATGTCGGGGTGTGCGTTACAGCGATGCTGATGGCAAACACGGACACGCGTCACTACCTGCACCTGACGCGGAACATCTACCGCTTTTCGCCGGCCTACGTGACGCTGGAAGAGGCGCGCTGCGTCCATGGCGACGACGAGCGCATCTCTCTCTGGAACTACGAGCGGCTCGTCAACTTCTACCTCCGCGTCATTGTCAACTCCAACGCGGATCGGCTGGTTCCTCTTGCCGCTCCGGGACGGAAAGCCGGAGAGCTCTGAGCATGGATCTAGGATAGATCCACCTGCCAGGTGATTCGCCATTGTTGTGGATGCCCTCTCGCATCTCGGAGAGGTTGTAAGTCTCGAGTAACTTTGCCGCAAAAGGTCTCGTGACCGCGACCTTTACGACGGAGCCTCCAGACTGTGTCCATGGCTACGCAATTGTGAGTGTGACTGTATGCATATTATTTTTTATATTCTTATCTACGCACGGGCCTAGTTTTTCTAACGATCAGGGGTGGAAGCAAGCTTCAGCCTTTTGTAGCTTTGGATATTCAGCCCAAAAAACGGGACGGGTGATTTCTCGGGGTACGAGTGTTCATACGAGACTGTACGGTATACGTCGATGTTTTAGTACTTCTGACAAATCCACCTATACGTGTCACACCCACACACCGTTGTTGGCCGAGTTGTGGCACTGATGGCACAAAGCGGTGCGCCCAAACAAGTCCTTCCAAGGCACTGGTACGGGCAAAGGAAGTAAAGTCACTTTTACTGCGAGTTGTTCGTACTTGTCCGAATACGGCAAATTGGTGAACAACAAAAAAGTGGCTACTTTTCCTCGTGTTCGAAACGGACGACCAACTCGCGCAGTTCTCCCTCGTGCTGCTGGTGCTTGACAGCTTATCAATACGAGATCATGAAACAAAATTGAGCACTGTCTATTTACTTGGTCCGGAAGGATCACTCTCGTTACATGAAAATAGACACTTGGTGCCCGTTTTCATCAAATTAATATCAACTGCCTCAATAACCTTTAAAAAAAGAACTCTTTGGGCTAGTTTTGGCACAGCCGTTACACTTGGGAGCAGGATGGCGCAGCAAAAGTGGATTGGTGCACAATGGCGCAATTGGCGCAGCGCTTCCACCCCTGAACAATGACAAACGTCGAGTCGATAATTGCGCGCAAGGGCCAACTTCTGCGAAAGATGTCACCCGACCCTTTTTATTTGCAGTTTGTCTCAACGACTATAATGTTGCGGAAATTTTAGTTGTTGGTCGACACTGAACGATTCTTCCTTAAATTTGTTCGATGCGCACCGACGCAACGCCATTTGAGCCATTGCCGATGAAGTAGCTTTCAATGCGAGGTCCTTCAGTTTACATTTAGACGAGCAGCTGTCGTTGTAGTAACATAGAAACTTCAGATGTTTTGTGTGGGAGGTGCTCTATATTTTCTTACCTGTCCTATTTGTTTAAAAAGTCACAACTTTTACACTATGAAACTAGCACAATCTTTTAGGTGTTTGACATCTTGTTGTAAAACACCTAAAAGTTCTTTACAAGCACGCATAGCATGCATGCAAGGGCATCTTTAACAAGCTTCCAGTCACATACTTCACGACCTCCGAGACACTGCAAGCCCGTCAAATGTATCGTCGTGTGCATGCTGCACGTGTCTGAGGCCTCTTGGTTTTGGTTGTTTCTGTTTGTCACTCTTGTGGGACTGGCATTGCAAGGTTCACAAACGTCGGGAATGGGTTGAAAGGTGACATAGACCAATTCCCACAATTCAGTGGACTATGTCACCTATAGAATGAAGAACATAAAACCATTTTTAATGCGTTAGCATTAGAACACCCGTTTTGACGAAAACGCGGCGGTGTCTTGTTTGCGAGTGCTGGGGAGAGAGGGAGAAGGAGGGGGCAAGAGTGACACGTGCGACGCTCTCATTGGTTTCGAGCGCTGACGTCAGCCCGTGTCAACCACTCCCTCTCTCACCGGTGCTGACAATCTGACAGACACCGCTGGGTTTTCATCAAAACGAGCCCTTTCGTTTTTTGCAAAGTAATGCACACAGCTGACACGGAGCCAGAGAGGAAGAGACACCACGCAACAACTCCTGGATAGCAAAGCCGTAGTGCTGAATGAAATGGCGTAATCAGAAAAGGCCAACGCTGGGCATAGATTGGAAACGAGTGCTGGGTCAGCGCTCGGCTTTGAGTGAAGTTTGAGCCGAATGTTGACGCAATCGTCGTGTCTAATTCTGATGAGCCCATCTCATTCAGCACTGCGGCTTTGTTATCTAGGAGGTGTTGCGCCACGGCACAGTGGAATGCAAGCGTGCTCAGTTGCCACTCTGGATTCTCGTAGTGGCGGTGCGTGGGCTGTGATGGGTGTGTGCACATTAAAACGATGGATGCAGTTCCCTCCACGAGTGATATGGATGTGGTTCTTTCCACGAGTGATATGGATTACCATATCCAAGAGCACCGACGTACTCCGACAGGCAGAGCACAGAAAGACAGTGAAAAAAATTACAGCAAGGTCCATTGGTGTATTCTTGGGAAATACGTTATCATGACCCTTGGGAAATGCCATATACGCCCCCCTTCAGGAAACACTGACACTGACCCCATGCCAAAAAGAGGCAGCAAAGGAAGCGCTCGAGGTGCACCTAAGCACTTCTCAAGAGTTGTGAATGCGATAGCATGCAAGCCGCTCGTCTGCTCTCTTTGTCGTCTGTTGCGTGCTCTAGTTTTTCTTTTTAAAAATGCTCAATGGATTTTTTGTTTGTTCCTATAAACTGTCTCAATGCAAATGCCACACGCCATAATGCTGGCGATTGGCTTTCGGGTTCGAAAAGTTAGTGAAGACCATTGTGGAAGAGGCGAAGCCAGCTAGCTTCGAGTCTACCAACTGGCGCAGTCATAGAACAGTGAGCTCACAGCCCTGGGTTCGATTCCCCTTAGGGCGATCTTAGAATTCCATCTTTTCTTCTCAATTTACCTCTCTTTTGTTTAGATTGGCGCAGTCATAGAACAGTGAGCTCACAGTCCTGGGTTCGATTCCCCTTGGGGCGATCTTAGAATTCCATCTTTTCTTCTCAATTTACCTCTCTTTTGTTTAGATTTTCCTCTAAAGCATGTGTTACACATTTCGTAACGGTTTTCGTGGCGTTCCATCACACTCAGTCTGCGTTAAAATGAAACAAATCGAAGGTTGGGGTCAACTCGTCTTTCGAGCAAGGTGCACAGTGACGTTGCTTCAGTTCCATCTTCAAGGCCCCCCTTCCGCGATTGTCGACTTTGCAAAGTTCGATTTAGCTACAACAGAGTACCCCATCCGCTTAGCATCGTCGGAGGTCACGGCAAGTGATTGAGACAAAAGACGGTTCGTCACGAGAAAGATGGGTATGTTGGCGACAAAGAGGAACTGGTTTTGTCAACTCCAAATAGATGGCGCCATGAAAACTTGTGTACTATCTTGGGCATTGTTGATAGAAAGTATTTTCCACTCGGGGCAATAAGGTACTACTAACTTGTTACAGAAAGAATAAACAAAAAGGAGTGATGCCCTTGTCTGTCCTTTTTGTTTATTCTTTCTGTAACAAGTTATTGAAAACCAGTGCACTCATGTTCAACTTTGTACTATACTAGTAGGTTGTTCTTTTAGATGTTACAATAAAAACCTAATGCAGCAGGTAGCTTTGCACTGTATTTTTTTTTTGTTTTATTCCACTCTTCTTTTATACAAACACTCTTCCAGTTGATGTTGCTCTTTTTTCCAGACTGTCCCACTAGTGATATTGCCAAAGTGTTTTGCTGTAAAACCCTTGACGTTTGCACGCCCTTAATTTTTGCAAAATTCACGAATAAAAAAATCCGCGAAATTTAAGGGCACACAAAAATATCGGTCCCCAGAGTTTCAATACAGGCGTCTGGAATTCGCAAAATTTAGTGGCTGTTTATGTCCTCCGACGGATTTGCGAAAAATAGGAGCTGCAAAAATGAAGGGTTTTACAGTACTTGTTTTATTGACTAAAAACTGTTTCAATTTATATAGATTGCAGCTGACCTCTGTAGCACATTTTCCCTGTCTGCATTGTTCCCCAAAAAAGGGGCAAAAAAAAGTTTTCATTGTTGCAAGATGTGTTTTGTGCAATATTTATAATACTAATCTCCGATCAACACACAGTCAATGATATGGTTCACGAAGGTGTCAAGAGTCAAGCTAGGTCAGTTTTCAACTCTTTCACCCGCCCGACTCCGAGCCGAAAGAATGGGGCACCACTGAAACAAGTTGGCCTTTATTCTTCCACTTCATTAAACAGAACGCTGGCTACAGCACACACGGACCAGTTGCCTCAAATGTATATTAGGACACCGGCAGTTTTCAGGCAAACTCATGTGCTCTTCGGAGTGGTCACGGGCAACAGTAGAGCTTGCAACACGGTCAACAGTAGTAAAAGGTACAACTAACCTCAGTATCGACTCCTCAAAGAAAGAAGCTACAAAATTTACTGCAACTTTCTTCCTCCTAAAGTCAAAGGAAGAAAATGTGCAGCTCTTTGTACAGACTCCAAGACTTGCTAGTACTCGATGTACGAGAAACAAGGTCTGTTGCAACCATTGCACGCAACATCGACGCACTGGCTTGCAAATAAATTTTTTTTTTTTAACACGCTGTAATGCAATGTATTATTTATGTGCTATTTTTATGAGCATCAAGCTCGTCTGGAAGGCTGTTGAAGCCATTCGAAATATAATGGACATAGTTTGTGTCAACTAGCGTTTGTTTTGTGCGAGCTATAACAGTGTATAACGCACATAGAAAACGTAACAAACACTGAGGAAAAGTTAATGTCAAGAGACTTAATAATCCATACTTGGACGTGTTTACTTTTATCGAAATGTTTCCCAAAATTGTGCCATCTTTTTTTTTTTTTTTATAGTGTTAAGCAATACTTGGTAAACATTTCGATGTTGTGCTCGAACGAAAGTTGCGAGTACTATGATTTTTGTTGCTTACAACTCTGGTAAAAAAAAAAAAATGCTTATTAAAAAAAGAATTTGCAGCATGCTTGAAATCTGAAGTTTGGACTCTGCTCCTAAAAATTTTTTCACTTCAATTGCTATTTGAAGATTTGGTGGAAAAACATCTCCCCAGCCTCAAGAAATGTTTTGCTAGCACAAAGCTGTGCTTAAATGGGCAAAGAAAAATAATTTTAAAACAACTCTTTAGATGGATTACTCTTATTTTTTTGTAACCTATACATCAGATGAGCGAAGTGTTTCGTGACTGACAATTTACCCATAGCAGTAATGCAGCGAATGCCTGTGTCACGCACCAAGTGGTCCTCATTCCTTACTCGAAAGCCGCCGCCACTGGTAAGGAATGGGAAATCACTCCCCAAAAGATTCTTGCATCCAAAAGCAAAAAGAGGAGCCAAAAGGCTGCAGAGTATTCCAGGGCCGAGGCATGGCCAGAACATGCGCACTCAATCCCAATGCTCAAACCAACGTGTCGGCAACAAAACCTAAACCATGATTGGTTTTATTAAGTTCTCATACTAACCTGAACTGGTTCCAATCGGGTGATAAAACAGGCCACGCGACGGCAAGATGGTGTCCCAATATCCCGACCTTTTCAATTCCTTTCCCTTGTTCCCCAATATTCCCTTCAGTCATTTGTCGACACCTTTCGAACGCAGCAAAGCTCCCTTATCCATACAACACAACCGGTAGTTTACAGCTTGTATTTTCCGTAGACGCCGTTTATGAGGAGGCACTCACTCGCGGCGCAACGTTTTGCCACGCACCCACGTGAAGGTGAAAAAAAACGATTGGCAACCGTGCGTAATGTCCCGGGGTGATCAGACGGCCCAAAAACGCGGCGCAATCGTAACGGCAACAACGGGGCTTTACTACGAGGTCACGTGCAGCAGTCGTGCGTCGGTCACTTGGCCACTGGGCTCTGCGCCACCTGGTCGTGCAGCCAACGGTAGGCCTCCACGGCATAGCCTTGAAACGCGGCTGCAAGGTCCGACGCGTGGCCCTGCAGTTTCTCGGGAGACCAGGCACCCCTGGAAGGAGAAAGACGGCTTCGAAATGCTATACCAGAACCCGACTAAGAGTCGGAAATTAACCCAGTGGACCGCATCGAGCGAACCGGTAGGCGACGCAGAAAGCTGCCGTTACAAGGTCGTAACTTTCCAAGGTGTTCTCATATTCTGCGTAACCGTCTGCTTACTCTCCAACTTTTCATCCCAGCTGAATGTACTGACGAAGCACGATAGTTCGTTTGAAATACTTCTCGCGTCTCAATGCAACTTTTCCCAGTAAGCCTCTGTGCACGCGTACACCCTCTTTCCTAACCTTGCTATCTGCAGTCGCTATTTTCAGAGGCCACTATCAACATTTTTGGCACCTATCTCCGCACGTGTTTAGTCATTTTCCGAGATTATTTTTAGAACGTCGGTAGAATGGGGCGTGAAAAGCAACGAAAACCGATACAACAGCACAATGCCAATGTGTTCCGACAAGCGGAGGCACGCTGGGCTGCCCTTCAGTTACAACTCGCCCGACGGTGCTCGGTACTCGAAAAAAGCCCATTAATTGTACGTGTACATATAAACTGAACGGTAAATTTGCGAGGGTAAAAAAAGGCTCATCCAAAATCCAGAGGGTCTTTGAAAGAATCTCTAGAATGGAACGGCGCAGCATCTTTTGCGAGGCGCCTCCCGGGGAATGTTGACTCACGTGAGCACGTTCTGGGTGAGCCAGGCAGAAGTGAGCTGCGCACCGGTGACCAGGTTGGTGAGCAACCAGGACACCCCGACTCCTACGGTGGCCCACGCTTCGTGGGCCGCCCGAAGCACTGTGGCCGCGCAAAAGGGCACCCATTCGTCCCCCTGGGAAGAGGGGAAAACGAGAGGGCTCTGTCAGGTCATTCCCAACGGCTCTCACTCTCAGCGAGGCCCGTCCACACTCTCCGGTTTGTTTAGGACAGAGTTCTTGCAATCTCTTACGACGAGAAAACACATTGGCACGCTGGTGCCATCTGTGAGGTGACCCCGGAACCGCACTTCACTATACTCCGTGTCATTAGTTGTGTGCAGTGCAGGCGAAGGCAACGCCAGGCGAAGAGAGAAAGGGCAAGCAGTAGGAAGGTGGGACGGGAGAGGAGGGGAGAAAGGGAGAGGAATGTTCAAGAGGAGAGGAGGTTTCTCTCCTTCTCCCCAGCCTTCCTAGTACGAGCCCTTTCTGCACCTCGCCTGTTTTTCGGATCGGCGGTTCATTCGACCCACCTTGGGTACGACAGTTTTAATCGGGGCTGTTGTGGAGTGTTTTCGCAAAAAGTACCCTTGATTTCACGTGACCAGAGGTGTTTGGCATGATCCTTGGAACTCTCAGGTCAGCCGAAGCACAGCACCAACGTCATGGTGTTGATTTCACCCGCATGAACGGAAGAAAAATCGGCCAAAGTTTTTCTTCCAGGGATCACGGCTTTAAGGTGGCGAGCATATCCGGAGGATTGTGCGCCACAAGTCGCCGTCTCGGATTTCGGCAACGGGCAAACTCTCGCAGAGCCGCCAGCTGCATGAACAAGGACCTTTTGATCTGTGCCCGATACATGACTTCCCCGGTGCTAACGAGGAAGGAGTCAGGGGCCCAGAGTTCTTAAGCTAAGGAACGAGAATCCTATAAGGAAATACCGCTGTGTATCAGAGCTCTCGATTGTGCTCTAGTTTAGTACGCCACCTGTATCCATGTAAACAAAAAGTTGTACGAGACGGTCACAACACCGTATTGCATGCAACTAGTGACAGAGTACAGAGCGAAGGTTTGGCGGTGCTTGGGAGATCAAATGTTCTACGACAAATGGTCGTTTATAACATTGTCAAAAGATTTTCCAGCCAAGAAAGAAAGAATGATGCAGGAAATATACTGAAATGGCAACACCACTAACCAGTAGATGGCACAAGTGTGTTCTCTCGTCGTAAGAGATCACGGGGTTTGAACAAGTAGAAAGCAGTCGTAAGTGAGTGCCTTCAAGCTTTCATTGGGCACTAAGCGACTAACCGAGCAAATTCGTTACTCGAAAGGCGCACGACACGGCACAGATGCAATGGCCCACGCATTCAAAGAGAGAAGTCCCTTCTCGAGGATGCGTCTGTCGAGGGGATGCTGCGACAAAGCTCACCCATTGCAGGAGTGGATGTCCCTGCTTGCAGAGCCAGTCCCTGGCGGGGGCCGCCCGGTCCCAGGCCCAGGCGGCAGAGGCCAGTGCCTGAACCCAGACGGCATCCAGGGTGGGCCCAAACTGCTCGCAGGCCTGCTTGTACAGCCGGGGGGTGTGGGTGCCCACCCAGCTGCAGAGAGACCGCAACGTCGCCCGTTTATTGGTTTACTTTATTGACCCTTCGAGCGCCACTCCCGGGTGCACTGTCACGCAGGTGTAATTTGCTCCCTACCTCTCCCAAATGGGCCGTCAATTATTTCTATCGCACTTGTTTTTGAGTCATTTCATTATTAACGAATTTGTTATTTAATTACCTCGTATAAAGCGTTTTGCTTTCGTGGCATAGTAAGGTCTTTGGTACTGGTTAAGACTGTTTCTGATCGTTTGTCGGTTTTCTCGAGAATTGTTTTGAGGTCTCCCTGGTCCCACGGATGAGTGTCACTTGCCTCTCTGGTCCAGATTTGTGTAAGTGCTTCTACCAAATAAAGTGCCAAATTATAATTGCTACTATTAAAACCCGGTCAAAACCCACAAAAAAAAAAAAAAATCACAGTTTAGTCACAGCGACGGCTGCGACACGTCACAACGAAGTCGCTGGGCATCGGCGTCGCATTCACGTGGGGTGCGTGAACAAAAGCGTTCGGAACAAAACAGACTTCTGACCATTTTGTTCCGAACACTTTTAATTCCTTTTTTTTTTTTTTTTTTTTTTTTTGTTTCGGAGCACGCAAAAGAGAGTCTCCTGGCTCGAGCTCTTGGCATTGACGGTGCTACAACGGCATTTTGTTATCGGCCATTTTTTGTTTACAGACAGCGAGTACTGTGGGAATCAGGCATTACAAAAACCCAACGTACACAGAAAGTTAATAATGCTATGACACAGCTCAGTGGCAACAACTCCGCTTTGCACGCAGCGGACCCAGGTTTGATTCCCGCAGGCGGCGGGCAATTGTTTCCCAGAATTTTGCAACATCGGTGAAGGATGCCCTACATCGCCTGCTACAACGTGAACTACAAAGGACGTCACTTCCAGTGGCGGAAAGAGCCCATTAAAGCCATTGCTGTAAAATGCTTGATTTACCTCGATCCTACGAATAAAGTATGTGTACACAGAACATGTTCCCGCAGCATTTTGTTATAGCATGCTACTTTATTCCAAACTGTTTTTTTTTTCTTTTTTCTATGCATTGGTGGGCACGTCTTCGATCTCTCATTTCTTCCCATAAACTGTTTGAATGCGAACGCTGAATGCCTGCTTTCAGCATTTGCATTCAAATAGCTAGTGGAGACCTTTGTGGTAAAGACAAAATCTGCTAGCATTGCTTCTACCCACTAATTGGCACAGTGGCGGAACATTGACCTAACGGACATGAGGTCGTTGGTTCTTTTCCGTGGCATTCCATCACATTTTCCCCGGCATTCAATGTTAAAACGCCGTGCGGGAAGTCGCCCGGCCAGCCCCTCACCTGAGGCCGTCCTGCCAGTAGACCGCTCCCTTGGCGATGGCCGGTTCTAGGTGGCTCAGAAGACCGGCATCTTTAAGCAGCTGCCTCGTTCGCGACCCTGCGGGAGTCGTCGGTCAGCTTCCTCCAGTCCAAGGAAGAGGGAGGGGGGTGGGGGGAGGGGTCTACTCACGCTGGAAGGAGCCTTGCACGTCCCACACCACCAGGGCCCCCACGGCGGCTGCCAGCGTCACCAGTACCAAGAACCAGGGGAAGCCACGCCCACTCATCTTCTTCAGCAGGATCTGAGGGGGCGGGGTCAACAACCACGTGCTTCAGAATGCTGGCTGGAGGCCTCGTGCGAGCACAAATGCCACGACCACACAATTGCAAAACCGCACACTAATGCAAAGTACCGTAAAATAACGCGGAAGCACCCACTATTAATGTTTGTCAAACTTGGGAATTCTTCGAATTGTATGTTAAGTGCCCAATTTGACCGGACAAGCACTCATGTCTAGATTAACCCAGCTTCAGACTGGTTTTTCACCTCCGAGCATGTTTATGGCCAAAATGGTTCTTGAGCAAAGGTACTTCTCTTTTAATTCCACAATCCACATTGACGACCGAGAAAACGTGACTTGAATGAAGCTGATCATCCCACTGTGGTTAGTACATGTGTGTCAAGCATTGCACCAAGTCTGTTGTTTACCCCAAGGGCAAAAAATCTGTGGCAGCCTTTTGCTGTACCTGTAGCTATTTTATGCAATTTGTGCACTATGGCTAAACTGAGATCATACATAGCTCTGCTTTAGCTCATTTTCTATCCATCCAGAGTCTAATGGCAGTGATGGCACACAAGACGTGTTAACAATGCTCAGGTCAAACAAAAGCAACTCGCATAATCTTTTTTTTTTTTTTTTTTTTTTTTTTTTTCTCCGGCTGTTTACACGTTCATACGTAGTAAACCAAAGGGCTATGCGTATGGGCCATATACATTGACTAAACCTACTTCAGTCGCTCGCGTGCCAACAACTAGTAATTCGAACACTTTTTGCCGTACAAGGTAGCACCACACAAGTACTTGAGAGGGTAGGGAGCAACAAACAATAAATCCGGACCGCTCCAAACCCGCGAAGAAAACGAGGAAAGAGTGACATTCTGCGCAGCTTTCACTTACAATTCGTCCGTCTGCCATCCAAGAGGAAGCGATTTGGTGAAACCCCGTTTTTCGTACACAAAACTTGTTATCCTGACAAAAACACGCTAAATTTGAGAGCACCAGACAAGCTTCCCCAACAAAAACAACAACAAAAAAAAAAAAAAATAGCGGCGCGGGCTCCGGCGTGTTGGAAGGAAAACAAGCTGAATGTGCACGCTCGCGCCGAGCGAAGCGTGCCACGGAAAGCTGAGCTCGCGCTCGGAAAAAGTGTCGCCGAATTTTCAAGAGCAGTTGCGATAAGGCGATACGCAGTTGCTGCGCTGGACACAGGGATCGACAGGTCGGACGCGACGCTGTTGCCGCAGTATCGAAGAGCACCGATCGCTGGTGGCGTCTTACTTGAAGCTTGGGGAGCTTGAGGGGCTTGTTTTGTGCGTTTCGGATAAATTTACGATGAACACTGGTCGCGTTCAGGGATCGAAATGTCCGAAGATTGGCATCAGCGAGCCCAGGCAGTCGGAGACAACACCCCCATTCCCAAAACAAAATCCGCGACGGAGCGATCGATTGGTTTCTTCCTCGCAAACGGGCAAACTCCAACTGACGTCACTTTAACGTCACCCCCCCCCCCCCCCCTTTTTTTTTTTTTTTTTAATAGGGGAGTGGGAAGAGTTGTTGCGGCGTCACGAAAACGAACGCAGCGAAGTACGATTGGTACGATGCAGCGGTAAATAGAGGATTGAGCGTACCCGAATCAGGCGAATACTTGCGCCACCTATGCAGTGCGTTTTAAATTTGAGTCCGGAAAATACGGCTATACTAAAAAAAAAAAGTATTAAGAAAAAAGGTGGTTTGTTATTTTTATTATTTACCCGATATTTGGAAAATAAAAGAGCTCTGATAAGTACTCTCAAGCCTTTCGTTGCTCTAAAACACCCCCTAAAAAACGGGATAAGAAATTAGTGAAAAGACGAAGTGTGCAGGCAAGCTGGTGGTTGCTAAGCACGTTGTTTAACTTGTTTAACACCCGAGACTGTAGTGCAGAAAAGGGGAAAAAGCTTTTAGTTGAAGGAACAGACACAGAAGGGAATGGCTCAAGGGAGCAGGCACAGAAGGGAATGTCTTGAGACATCCCCTTTTCTGTGTCCGTTCCTTCGACTAAAAGATTTTGCTGTTCTGTGCAGCTCCAAACTTCTCAAAACGACCCTATAATAGGCCTCAGGTGAGGGCCAATGGCCTTTCTGTGGTTCCGCAACCCTTCAGGGTTAAATAAAAATAAAAATATCATATTATTATTATAAAAAAAAAATAGGTACCCAGAATGTCAAACTTAACAACACAACCACATCTGTACCCTTACTTTATCTTTGCAAACTTGTCCAAACTGATAGCTGCCAGCTGGCATGGAGCCTAAACACTTCCAGAACTCTGCTGACCTTGCAGACTACCTTCAATGACTGCCATTCTACACCCCCAGAAAACAAAGACGAGCAGGGCTGGCCAATACAACTATGGAACCTCGTCTCCGACCGGTGTCTTTACCGCATCCCAAAAAAAGTGCTCCCTCCATTTACAATTTCCTCCCGATGACGTCATGGAAGGGTCAAGCCGACACTGGCTGCGATCCTGGCAGCGTCCCAGCAAAAGTCACAAATGTGGCAGACACCTGTTCTGCTGCCAGTTGCTCTCTAGTTTGACAGTCCATAGAAGCTTTGGCAGCCAGGAGTTAGGACGCCGCAACAACGGCGACACTAGCATTCGCTCGGGCTTTTCGCCAGCATTTCTACGACCAACTGCCAGGATCGTGACATTCGATACCAGGACATTCCGGCATCTGCTACGTCATTTGTTGCCACTCCAAAACCACTTCTGATGTATGGCAGGAATAGGACGCTAAACACACCAGTTGGAGACGTTAATTCTTATGCAAGTCCTCGGCGCACCCCCCTTCCATAGAAAGGTCGGTGCTGCAACGATAGGACTCTAGAGCAGGGGTTCTCAAATGGAGTTCCGGGGAACACAGGGGTTCCACGAGCTGGTCTTATGGGTTCCGCGAACACACAAATTGCAACCCCCTTGCCACTTGACAGCCATGCCACTTGACAGCCAGTGAAAGAAAGCACTGCAGGACCACGAAGGCCAGAACTGCCGTACGGTAATTATCGGTAGAAGCTGAGAACAAGGATACTACTGATCTGTCACCATCCCCACTTAGCCTAACGCAACTTTTTCGACTGTGTATTTGCCTTTTCAATATATTTCCGATAGGCCTACCTCGCTGTGCATCAGCTGATCACTAACTTGGTGTTCACCGAATGCTATCCCTGTGTTGCTAGCCCTCGGTTACAGATAGCGAGAGTCACTCGTGCCACCATTACAAACCAGAAAGCTCAACTAGGAGTCTGGCACACGAGTCGGTTTTGGAGCATAAAACAATGTTTGGCTAGGACGCATATGGAGATAATCCATAGCATGCTTTTCGCCCATTTGAAAGAGAACAACCTACAAATCCAGAAGCTAAAGAGGCTGTCCTCAGTGCCGGGCTCTCCTCACCTGACTCTGACGACAAGTCTCGTCAGCTTCGGCGCTTGGCTTAGCAGAAGGGTTGGGGAGAGCAAAGCTGGCAAGGGTCTCCCTTAGCAGCACCTGGCTTCGGCGCGGCATCAGCTGCCACTGGTGTTCCAGGTGCTGGATCAGCAGCCTGCACAGTGGCCAGTTTCTTCTGTATGAAAGGTGTCCCTTGGTCCCCCTCAATAGTTCCCCTCAACGGTTCCTAAAGGTGCCCTTTAATCTCAACAGTTCCCAAAGGTGCCCTTTAATCTCAAGTTCCCGAATCTTCTCCCCCAATAGCACCCATCAATTGTTCCCAAGGGCACCCTTCAATATGTCCAAACGTGCCCCCCAATTGTTCTGAAAGGTGCCCCTCCATTGTTTTTAAAGGTGCAGTTCAAGAGTGCCCATCAATAGTTCCCAAATGTGACCCTCAATAGTTCCCAAAGGTGTCCCTCAGCTCCTTCAGTTGTTCTGAAAAGTAGTTTTTAATAGCAGTGAGCACCAAGTTCCCAAATGTTCCCCTCAATAGTGGTCATCAACATTTCCTAAAGGTGCACTCAATACCCTCATAAGTACCCCTAAATTGTTCCTAAAGGTGCCTCAACAGTTCTCAAAGGTGCCCCTCAACAGTTTTCAAAGGTGCCCCTCAATAGTTTTCAAAGGTGCCCCTCAATAGTGGTCATCAACATTTCCTAAAGGTGCACTCAATACCCTCAAAAGTACCCCTAAATTGTTCCTAAAGGTGCCTCAACAGTTCTCAAAGGTGCCCCTCAACAGTTTTCAAAGGTGCCCCTCAATAGTTCCCAAAGGTGCCCCTCAATAGTGGTCATCAACATTTCCTAAAGGTGGACTCCATACCCTCAAAAGTACCCCTAAATTGGTCCTAAAGGTGCCTCAACAGTTCTCAAAGGTGCCCCTCAACAGTTTTCAAAGGTGCCCCTCAATAGTTCCCAAAGGTGCCCCTCAATAGTGGTCATCAACATTTCCTAAAGGTGCACTCAATACCCTCAAAAGCACACCTAAATTGTTCCTAGAGTTGCCTCAACAGTTCTCAAAGGTGCCCCTCAACAGTTTTCGAAGGTGCCCCTCAATAGTGGTCATCAACATTTCCTAAAGGTGCACTCAATACCCTCAAAAGTACCCCTAAATTGTTCCTAAAGGTGCCTCAACAGTTCTCAAAGGTGCCCCTCAACAGTTTTCAAAGGTGCCCCTCAATAGTTCCCAAAGGTGCCCCTCAATAGTGGTCATCAACATTTCCTAAAGGTGCACTCAATACCCTCAAAAGTACCCCTAAATTGTTCCTAAAGGTGCCTCAACAGTTCTCAAAGGTGCCCCTCAACAGTTTTCAAAGGTGCCCCTCAATAGTTTTCAAAGGTGCCCCTCAATAGTGGTCATCAACATTTCCTAAAGGTGCACTCAATACCCTCAAAAGTACCCCTAAATTGTTCCTAAAGGTGCCTCAACAGTTCTCAAAGGTGCCCCTCAACAGTTTTCAAAGGTGCCCCTCAATAGTTCCCAAAGGTGCCCCTCAATAGTGGTCATCAACATTTCCTAAAGGTGGACTCCATACCCTCAAAAGTACCCCTAAATTGGTCCTAAAGGTGCCTCAACAGTTCTCAAAGGTGCCCCTCAACAGTTTTCAAAGGTGCCCCTCAATAGTTCCCAAAGGTGCCCCTCAATAGTGGTCATCAACATTTCCTAAAGGTGCACTCAATACCCTCAAAAGCACACCTAAATTGTTCCTAGAGTTGCCTCAACAGTTCTCAAAGGTGCCCCTCAACAGTTTTCGAAGGTGCCCCTCAATAGTGGTCATCAACATTTCCTAAAGGTGCACTCAATACCCTCAAAAGTACCCCTAAATTGTTCCTAAAGGTGCCTCAACAGTTCTCAAAGGTGCCCCTCAACAGTTTTCAAAGGTGCCCCTCAATAGTTCCCAAAGGTGCCCCTCAATAGTGGTCATCAACATTTCCTAAAGGTGCACTCAATACCCTCATAAGTACCCCTAAATTGTTCCTAAAGGTGCCTCAACAGTTCTCAAAGGTGCCCCTCAACAGTTTTCAAAGGTGCCCCTCAATAGTTTTCAAAGGTGCCCCTCAATAGTGGTCATCAACATTTCCTAAAGGTGCACTCAATACCCTCAAAAGTACCCCTAAATTGTTCCTAAAGGTGCCTCAACAGTTCTCAAAGGTGCCCCTCAACAGTTTTCAAAGGTGCCCCTCAATAGTTTCCAAAGGTGCCCCTCAATAGTGGTCATCAACATTTCCTAAAGGTGCACTCAATACCCTCAAAAGTACCCCTAAATTGGTCCTAAAGGTGCCTCAACAGTTCTCAAAGGTGCCCCTCAACAGTTTTCAAAGGTGCCCCTCAATAGTTCCCAAAGGTGCCCCTCAATAGTGGTCATCAACATTTCCTAAAGGTGCACTCAATACCCTCAAAAGCACACCTAAATTGTTCCTAGAGTTGCCTCAACAGTTCTCAAAGGTGCCCCTCAACAGTTTTCGAAGGTGCCCCTCAATAGTGGTCATCAACATTTCCTAAAGGTGCACTCCATACCCTCAAAAGTACCCCTAAATTGGTCCTAAAGGTGCCTCAACAGTTCTCAAAGGTGCCCCTCAACAGTTTTCAAAGGTGCCCCTCAATAGTTCCCAAAGGTGCCCCTCAAAAGTGGTCATCAACATTTCCTAAAGGTGCACTCAATACCCTCAAAAGTACCCCTCAATTGTTCCTAAAGGTGCCTCAACAGTTCTCAAAGGTGCCCCTCAACAGTTTTCAAAGGTGCCCCTCAATAGTTCCCAAAGGTGCCCCTCAATAATTCTCAGAAATGTTTCTCCCCCAAGGTGTCCTCAGTCTTCTCAATTGTTCCCAAAAGTACCCCTAAAAAGTTGTACCCATTGAGTTCCAAAATGTGCCACCAAGTAGTGTTTATCAATAGTCCCGAAAGGGACACTCAACACTGTCAAAAGTTCCCCTAAATTCATCCTAAAGGTGCCCCTCTGCTTTCAATAGTTACCAAAGGTGCTCCTAATTCCAACACTACTCTCAATAGTGTATCTTAACAGTTTTATATGGTGCCCTTTGACCTTTTGAACAGTGCCCATCAATAGTTCCTAAAGGTGCCCCTCAGCTACCTCAATAGTGTCCCTTAACAGTTCCTGAACAGGTCCCTCAGTCCATTCAATTGTTCCCAAAAGTATCAATAGTCGCCAAGTGTGCCACTAAATAGTGTCCATCAATAGTCCTCAAAGATGCACTCAATTCTACCAAAAGTACACCTAAATTGTTCCTAAAGGTGCCCCTCTATGCTCTCAATAGTTCCCAAGGTGCCACTGCTTCCCACAATAGTTATCAAAGGTCCCCTAACACTTCCCACAATAGTTATCAAAGGTCCCCTCCACACTTCTCAAAGGTGCCCCTCAACCTCCTGAACAGTGCCCCTCAATCTCCTCAATGAGCAGTCTGTTCTCATCTGAACAAGGAGAAAGGCACCGACCAGGGCCTGGTTTCTGTTAACTTTAAAAAATACCAGTGACACAGTGGCTAGCTATCTGTACAAGGTATTGGCTTTCTGAAAGACCCTTTTGCACTAAGTAGCCAGCTGCTAACATCCATACGACACTCTATTCACGAATTTTCTTTTGACTCACTGACTCCGCTGCGGATGGCAGTTTAATAGTCTTGTGCGAATGGTGGATTTTGAGTTCAATGAATTCGAAGCGAATAGTGGTTTTGGCCGAATATTTTCGATTCGAATACCAAATAGTTTTTCCACGCCATTCACTACTATTGCATAATGCTTAGACGAAAACCCAGCTAAACCTGTGAAGGTCATTCTACTTGTTCATTTATAAGCTAAGTATAACCTATCTATATTTATGAACTGTGACCTCAGAAGGTCTGGTGTCTTGGGATATGGCAAGTAAACGACGGATTTGGCATAAAATGAATCCTATAGAGATGGCCAACTATACCAATTGAGTGAATTTACAAATCTTGCTATATAGAATATTCTTTCTTTAATCTCGAGTTAAAAAATGAAAGCCATTTACAACTCCCTCTAACACCGAATTGGAGCACAGCTCTTGAGGAGGAGGAAGGAAGGGTACTGAAGGGAGGATATGCCCCTCCTCCCTCCTCTTCACCTCGTAATCCTGTCTGGCACTCCTCCTCCCTTCTTCTCCTTCACCTTTTCCTCATCCTTCAACCTCCTCCCCTCCTCCTCAAGGGGGGTCACGTGACCTCACGGTTACGCCGACGCCGCTCAAGCCGGAAACGGGTGCCTAAGAGCTGCGCTCTAGAAAGAATGAATAGCGCATGAACATCGGTTGTGAAAGTATTTCTGCCTAACATAGTATACTCTTACATAAAAGTTTAATTTTGAAACTTTTACTACAATGTAGATATAGACATTCACAAAGTTTCCATTTCTTTTCAAATACAGTCGGCACGGGTGCCCCATCCCACTTTGAATACATGTTTTAGATATACAAATTCACAAAGTTTCTATTTATTTTCAAATACAGTTGGCACGGGTGCACCATCCCACTTTGAATGTATGTTTTAGATAAACAAATTCACAAAGTTTCCATTTATTTCCAAATACAGTCAGCACGGGTGCACCATTCCGCTTTGAATGTATGTTTTAGACCGCAGCTCTTAGGCGCCCGTTTCCGGCTTATCCCTAGTAGTATCCCTAGTAAGGGTTACCAGGGTTACTCTCACGAGGGCTACGAGGGTAACCCTCGTAACTTTCATGAGGGTTACTCTCACGAGGGTTACCCTCACGAGGATCATGAAGGTTACCCTTGTAACCCTTGTGAGAGTAACCCTGGTAAGCCTCACAAGGGTTATGAGGGTTAGTTACCCTCATGAGGGTTATGAGAGTTACCCTCATGAGGGTCACGAGAGTTACCCTCACGAGAATCACTAGTTACCTTCACAAGAGTCACGAGAGTTACCCTCTTGAGGGTCACGATGGTTACCCTCACGAGGGTCATGAGGGTTACCCCCTGAGGTCACGTGCCCCCCAGGTCACGGGACCCCTCTGATGTCACGTGACCTCAGGGAGTCACCTATCCCTTAGTACCCTTCCATCCTATCCCTCAGTACCCTTCCACCCCCTCCTCAAGAGCTGTGCTCTAATCCGGCGTTACAGGGAGTTGTAAATGGCTTTCATTTTGTTCTTCCAAGCACGCAATTACGATATTGTTCATCACGGCGGGTTACCCCGTTAAGTGCGCTTCTTACCGAGCACCGATGTAATGCAGAGAAGCAACACCCGGGCAGCTCACTTCCACAGGTCTGGCTTCTCCACAGTGCACCGGTGCTTGGTCAGAAGCGCACTCAACAGGGCTAACCCGCCGCAATCAACACTTTGAAAAACGCAAAATAGTGCAGTTCCTTTCAAAGCGAATATTGAATAGTGTATTATTCGGAACTAGTATTCGAAATGTCGAATATTCGCACAATCCTACAGTTTAACGGTGCACGTCCCATTACGGCTTGGGTGGCTTGAAGACCGCCTAGTCAAAACCAGCAGACACCGAGTCAAGGAGGGAAGTATGGTATGAATAAGATAATAGCAAGGACCAAAGGGCATTGTGAGTGGTCTTTCTCTATGATGCACAACTGTCGCTTGCGACACCAGCCTAGGTTGCAAGCAGGCTGTGGGTTACAGTGCAAGATACATATAGGTGTGGCTACACAGCACAACGAATGCTGCCACACAATCGACCAAATAAAGTCCTATTGGCGCACGCTCCAATAGCCTATAAAAATAAACAAACAAAAATGGTATAAAATGTCCCAATGCTACTACACCTCTGCATATTTGCTTTCAGCTCGATGCATGTGCCCTGTCCTCGACGGGTGCTGCCCTGAACATCGAACCAGAGATCTCTCCGCTTCAATGCGTTCATAAAACTGTTCTTGCCGCCGTTAAGGTAAGGGTCAATGATGAAGCTGCGTCTAAGCAATGCACGTAGCGCAAATGCCATGTCCTACACGACAAGACACACTCAGAAAACGACCCCAAAAACAAAATGCCTCCCATAAAGAAGCATGAAAAACTGGGCTCACAAGAGGAAACCACTAGCCAATCATCCAAGAGTTATCTGGTGGCTGCGACGCGCGCAGTGTTCACACCCACATATACCTTACACCGTGGTCACGGACACCCACCTGGATGGCACCAGCTGCAGCTGGTAGTGGGTAGACCTCCACACACGGTACGTCTGCTCGTCCTGGCTCAGGCACTCCACGAGGCTGGACAGGAGCTGTACGAAGAGAAGCCGGAATCGAACGAAACCTCCTCAGAGACAAAACGGGCAGGTCCCACAACGTCTAGCATTTGTAGAGATGCGGATTGACTAAGCAAAACATGCCATGGTAATTCATAGCGCTAAAACTGGATTTGTTTACACCATGGCACCGACCTTGTCTGGTAAGATCGGTGTTGACTGAAATGCGAGACAGCAAGCCAAACGTTTGACTATCAAGAAACACTCAGCATTTGTGACGAGGAACGTTCTTCCTCATAAACAGTGGTCTGCGATCGCTAGAGAAATGATTTACTGCCACTAACTTCTTTGTTCTTGCTTTCCACTTAATGGACTTTGTGACCTTCCCAATGCAAAACCAGTGAAGCCAAAAGTCACCGACAGGCACAACGCTAGTCTCAAAAGAAAAAGTCTTATTTTCTTAGCAGCTGTCACGGTTCGGGAAAAACAAGACGTATTATCAGGTAGGGGCACTAATTTACACGTCACGCAAAAAAGTTTCTTACGAGGGTATTCATCGGCACACTTTGGTACGAGCGTCGGAGCAGGAAAAACTCCATTTTGACGAAATGCTCGGCTCTGGCCGACAACTTACCTCGGCATCCAGGCTGGAGTGCCGCTTATTTCCGCCGAGGCGTCGCAGGTACGAGGGGAAGTACTTGTGGAGCACCTTTTCACGCCGGCCTGCATAGCTGAGTTCCTGCACGGAACGCAGTTTTTAATGGGAAGAAAGCCGAGCAACCTTTGCTCATAGAGTGGTACCACCCATCGTTGCGTCACTCCCAGCATACAACCCAGTTACGTTCCTATTCAAACTGTTCTTAGTTTCACTTATGACACCGAGACTAAAGTCTGGTTCGCACTTGCATTTGCTTAGGACTAAGGTCTTGCAATCTCATAGGACGAGAGAACACACTGGTACCACGTATAAGGTTGCCCTGGAACTGCATTTCACTAGAGCAAAGGTTTCGCCCTATTTGCGAAATCAAATGTATTGCTTCTCTATGAGAAACGGTAGTTTATGACGTGGTCAAAAGTTTTTCAATCCAATAAAAGACAAAAAGAAAAAAAAAGGAACATACAAGAATCCCCTTCACAGCTACGCAATCGACTGTGCCAGCGTGTTCTCTCATTGCAAGAGGTGACGAGAGAATGTAAAGCGCTTGGATGTAAGCACTCACAAGTGTGTGAACCAGCCTTAAGCTTTGACTCGTAAGGCTCGCCACAAAAGTAAATGCTCAACTCGAAAGAATTCCACGAAGTTTACCAATGTTGTTCAGAGCCCGTGCAGACGTTAACAAATTATTGTGTACACTGCACAACATGGGTAGCCGGCCAACCTTGAATTTGTAGTAGAGTGCCAGCAGGGTCTCCTGCTGCTTGGGAGAGACCGGCAGCGAGCCCCCAAATGCCAGGTCCAAGATGGTGAAGAGTTGGCGCACCCCTTGGTCCCCAAGGCCTGCCACCTTGCTCGGGTGCCTTCTGCAAACGCAATCTCTCTTAGCGGGGAGTGTGACAACAGGGGGAGTCCCGTCGAACGTTGCACGAATTTGGCGGGGTGGGCCATGTTTCGAGATATATTACGGTGTACGGTCGAGGCCCACTATATCGAACTCGGGTATTTCGAATTGTCGTCCATTTCAAAAAGTTGAGACATCCCCTCGAAAATTTCACAGAAAAGTAAAGGAGCCTCATTTGTATCAAACCTCCACCACACGAGACGCTCAATATGATCAGACTATTTTGAAATCCCTATTGAATTCGATACATTCAGATTTGACTGCACTGCAACTTAGTGAGCTTTAGTTGGTCAAATTACAGCTGAGTACCTCACATAGCCATGCTTAGTCGATCGATTGGTTCTCATCACCAGTGGATGCTGCACTCTCGAAACACTGGACAACTCGAACGCCAAACAAAAAGAGGAACCACTGACGACCATGCACTAAGGTTGCATCGTTCACAGTCGCACCACGCTGAATTCTTTCAGCCGCAACGGACAAACAATGTATCGTACAGCCAGCCTTGGGCTGCTACTTTCCTAAACACCGTCCAGACACACGGCGTGCTGGGCACAATCTTTTGCACTGGGATCACACCTCTGCAAGTAAGAGGTGGCCGCTGCTCATGCTTTACAGCTAATAAAAGCATGAGCACAGGTCAATACCTGGCAAGTGGACCACGGAAAGCTGTAGGAGGGAGAGGGGGGGGAAGGAGATGAAGGTGACCACTCACTCTAGCAGGTTCGAGAGGTAGTCCACCACCAGGGCTGCGTAGGGGCGGACCCCGGCCACAGGCAACAGTAGATCCATCCACACTAAAAAAAAAAGTAACCCGTCCTGAATGCTTGATAAAAAACAGAACTTCGCTGGACCCCAATAGCTCGACAGCAGCAAATAAGTGATGGGCCGACAGCTTAAAAGCTGACATAGTTTGCGCTTTTCCCTTTTCCTCACTTCCTCCTTTTCCGTATCCTCTCCACGTTTCAAATCGTTCCAACATAGCTCCCCTTGCTGTTTAGGAGAGGAGGGTGCTTTGGGATTATCTTTCGTGCAGGAAGCCAAGGTTGTACGGCGGCCTTTAACCCTTTCATTTTCACTGACGTACCTGTACGTCAGCGCGGGAGCGTCCCGCATGATTGCTGACGTACCGGTACGTCTGCGACTGCTCATTCAAAAATTTGCGCATCTGCTTGAGCGGGCGCGTTCGCGGGGATGTGCTGCCATCCGGTGCGTTTGTAGGGAACTACGACCATATAACTCCGGTTGTGTTTGTTTTGGTGCGGCGTTTTGAAATTGCGAAACTGGACGCTCTGTGCAAGTGATACTTTTGAGATGGCCGCCCGTGCTGGCTGCTCGGGGGCAGCGTAGTGGAGATTGGAGTGATGGCTCTTCGGGTTCAGACTTTGAACCCTTCTCGGACTCGGAGTCGTATGACAGCTCGACATCCCACGAACAACTGGAAACCAGCTCGGTTCGGAGTCCAAAGTCTGACACACAGCCGCACCGTCTGCTAGACTGTCTCAGAAGCGGGTGCGTCGAAGTTTTAGTCTTTTTTGTTTTGATCGGCCTCCAGCGAGTGTGCCGCAGATGTTTTGAAGCGTGTGTAGGATTTATTTTAAGTCTTACATTTTCTTATGCGACAATAAACTAGTGTATACTCTTTGCTAACGCATCGAGTAAAAAAACCAGACGGCGGGGGCGCGTCTTTGGACAAAAAATGCGACCATGGAAGGGTTAAGGGGGCACCCAGCATGGAAGGTGTTTGGGTGAACTGCCGGGGTGATTTTTGCAGTGACCGAGAGACCTGCGGTCGTGGATGCCTGGCTCCCTCACCTGCGAGTCCCTTGGAGAGGTCCGACAGCCCGGCCTGGCAGGCGGCCCACAGCACCAGCAGGCACTGCGGCTGCTTCTGCTGGTTCTTGCTGCGCAGCTCCACCAACTGAAACACCCAGGAAGTCCCTAAGCAGGAACACTCAAATTTGTCCCTACCAAAAAAAACTTCTGGTGGTTCATCACACCCAACACTTGTTTTATAAATCCTCAAATTAGTAACCCACCGCCGCTAACACAGTGAGCCAATCGTAAATGCCATTGTTACAAACAAATATTGTTGCATGCCTAGCTACCCAACTTTCTTTTCCAGCTCAAGTTCTTATACATGAACAGTGGGATATGTTGCGCCAATCATACTAAGCCGTCGCCCAGAGCTTTCACGAAGGAGTCTTTGGACGTGGAGTGAGTAATGTTGTAGGCTATTCTACAAGTTCTCAAACTGGATTCCTAGAAACCCAAGGGTTCCCTCAAGTACCAATGTGGGTTCCACCACGCTCCCAGGTTTTTTTCCACTGACCCTGCTCCTAAGTAAGCACCTTCCCGGTTTAAGCACTTTTGTAATGAACAGATCCGATTCACTCATAGAAGTGCAACACTCTTTTCAAAACATCATTGAGCAATATTGTCATTTATTCTTTCTTCGGATCGAAGCGCACGATTAAACCAGAGTCAACGCCAAACACAGACGCAAAACTCGCTTGCAATACGAGCCAAGCCAAGTTCGTGCCGAGCTTCGACGCAGCCCTCGTGTCCAATACATACTCTGAGTATGTGATCGAGCAATGGTGGATTCCGGTAATTAGTCAAGTAGGTACTAGATGACACACACTTTTGAAAAAGGTTTATTATGAACATAACACTCCCTAATATGCACATTATTATCCACAAAGTCTGCAAGATTTTGAACCGGTTTATCGCATTTTGTTGATGAGCTGTTCAGGGGCTGTCGACAAAGTGCGACAGGCGTTCCTCAAAACTGAAAACTTTGAGATCCCCAAGCTGTACTATTCTATTCGAATGTGGCGAGCTGAAAGAGGGAGAGCCCTCAAAAGATCTGGGACAGCAGGATTCGTGGAACTGGCTAAGTCGGCCTACTCTCACCTTTTGCATGCGAGAAGTGACGACTTCCGGATGCTCCGAAGCCATCGTCTGCAAGCACAGTCGATAGCCCATTGTAGGCAGCCCTGGAGAGAAAATGGCGGGCGTGCCCCGTCAAAAGTGCGCCGCACAACAATCCCTCAGTTGGGGCAGAATGGTCTTAACGGAGAACAGCGACAGAATCGTACGGGAAATTTACGAGAACTGCCGTGGAACACCTGCAGTTCCCATATATTTTCTTTTTCTTTTGCGTATCATTCTTTTCCTTTCTTAGCTCGAAAAGCTTTTGAACCAAGAAAGAAAGCTTCTCTTATCGTAAGAGATTGCAAAAACTCTGTCCCAAGAAGATGCAAATGTGTGAATGAGCGTTTAACAGAGACAATACGGTTGAGTAAATCGCATAGATTTTCAGCCTCGTTCGACGTACTCGGGTTCTCGTTTGCTGGCGGCGCAAGTCAGTTCGAAGGCAGAACGCACCCTTGGCGAAATCCGTGAGCAGATTGCTCAGGCAGTGCTCCCAGAAGAGTCCGTGGAGGGCCTTGTTGCTCATGGCTGCTCTCAGCTGCGCCCGCACCCCAGCAGACACGCCGGACAGCGGGAAACCTGCGGGGGCGGCACACAAGGCTCGTCTACTCCAGCAAACACACAATCTGGAGAGAAAAAGACACTGCACAACATGGAGTTAATACAATGACCTAGAGGGAAAGGTCCCCTGCATAATGGCCGCTTCAGAACAGCAAGGCGCTGACATGAATGTCGGTATCTAGTGTTTTTCTCGTTATAATTTTCGTAAAATCAACACCATTGTGCAATGTATAAAAATAGAGTTGACTGGCACCCGAACAACTTTCTCGTCGCGGCATAAGGAACACGCCTAACCTATTGTCTGCATTCTTTCTCCACTTCTCGGTCGCTATCTTTCTCTCAAGACCACCGATGTCGGCGCTTAAGATTTGCTGCGTTTCACTCCATGTGGGATGCTCACCCGTGGGATGCTCGGCCAGGTTGGGTGACTCCGGGGTATGTTCCAAGCGCTTGTTGAGGAATGCGGCCAGGTCCTTGAGCCAGAGCAGCGGGGTGCTCGGGAAGCGAAGCTCCACCTCGGCCATCAGCTGGGCTATCTCGTCTCCCTCCAGCTGCGTGCACAGACACGCACGGTCAACTCGCGGCACCTCGAGCTCTTGCCTGGCAACAATGCCGTCAAATCTACAGTAAGCCTAGTCTACCGTAAACTTTAGTAAGAATGCCCACCCGAAATGAAGAGATAAATGTAAAAAAATATAAGAAAGCGACCTTTGGAATGCGGCGGCAAAATTGTATTTTGCCGTCGCATCCCAAACTGCTTCTCAATTGCCATTGCCACCATGAAGAGGAGGTTGAGTGGGCAAAATAACGTTGGGCACCTAATTAAGGCTTCTTTGAAAGCCTCCCCCCCTCCCTTTTTGAATATTTGTGCACGGTACTGAAACTAATAAAGTTAAGTAAGTCTGAAATTACGATTCACTCTGTTGAACAGGCAATGGACCTTTCACTGCATTATTTAAGCAGCGAGGAGCACGGCACGAGTGTGGTTATCTGCGCTGCATGTTGTGGCGTTTCTGGCAGTTCCAGTGCAAAAACATAACGCGAAAGACACTTTGCATGTGCACTTTTCAACGCATTATTTTGGTCATATACTTGGAATATTTCATAGAGATAAGGGAAGCACACACAGTACATGTACCTACATTACCAGCACATTTGTTGGTGCTTCAGTAATTTGGCGAAAGGCATATTGATGCGGCGAGACCCCATACTTCTACTAGCACGGCGTGCCGTCAGCACCGTAGGGGGCCCCACCTGCGAAAGGGTGTAAGCCAGGCTCCGCGGAGCCTGCTGCTTCTCCGTCTCCTTGGGCTTTTTCTTGGCCGGCTTCTTGGCCGGTTTGGGAGGCGGCTGCTCCTTCTCCTCCTTGATCGCCAGTGCGTCGTAGATGGTGCTGCTTTCCTTCAGGGGTTCTGCAAGTGGGCATCTTGCATTCGTGAACTGATTACGCACAGTAGACACCACTGAGAGGTCCCAAAAGGAGAGGAAAGAAACCAGGCAGAAACACTCGCACGTCAGTGGGTAGCGGTATATAAATTATTTTTCATCCTCGCAGACCGTTTAGGAAAAAGGTTAGTCACCCGATCCTCATGATTCGGTACACTCTCTTGGGAAGCAAGCGTGCACTTCTCCACGCAAGAGATACGGCCACTGATTGTCAAGCATGAGCAACTACAATTTCTATTGGGAGCACTAACTGGTCGGCTGTGTGCTTTGCGGTTAAGCACGTACTCACATCGAGACTTCTTTTGCACTGTCGGTTTGTCCACAGCGCGTGCCGATGAAAGCATGCAAGGCCTGACAGAATGAGAACGGCAGGGAGGAGTAAGCGCGAGCTTCCTAGCTTCGACGAGTCTCGTGAAGTTTGAGCGTGCACGCGTAGCTAGATGTGCAGGCAACGGGCCCGTGCCGGAGACATCCGAAAGAGATGCCGTTCTTATCCCTTCCAGTCGCGAGACGTCGGCGCCGCGCGTGGCCTGCGAAATTCTGCGGGCACCACAGACTGGGCCGCAGAAGGCCTCAGCGCCCGGGGAAATATTGTGAGCTGCAATCCTACGCCACCGAGGCCTCATCGTGTTTCCTCGGTAGGATTTCCTCTGGATTTTCCTTCAGCGGCGACCCTGTGCAGAGTGATTCGATTTCTCGTCGGAAACGTTCTCCGTGTCCGCCAGTTAAATTGTTCTAGGGCTCTTTCGCCCTCCTCGCAAACTGAGAAGAGCTGGAACGGGGATGGAGACGAAGATACGCTCCGCAAACCGGTCAACTTTGGGAGCACGTAGTGCCAGTGACGTGTCAACCGCGGCGACGGAAAGCCCGTTACCGGTAACGGGTTTTTAAGAGACCGGCACTCACCCAGGGGTTCAATCCTCGGCATGCTTTCGGCGAGTTTCTTCTTTTGCATCTTGGACATTTTCGAACCATTGTCGCCGCTCCCTTGCTTCTGCTTGCCGGATTTACCCACGTATTCCCACTGACCGCCACCAGTCGAGGCCATATTTTCGCTAGGCACAGATTGGATTGGATTGGCTAACATCAACTTTTGATAACGAATTAATTCGAACGCTTCAGCACTTCCGCTACTTCCGCTCCGCTGCACGAATCGCAGCAGTTGCATGAGCAAAAATATTGCATTTATATTAAATCAATCACGTAAAAATTTAAAAATCAACAAAACATTGATACAAAAAAATTAAAGCAAATTAGGTAGTTTCGGTTTCACATTGTCATTCACTTTTGTGAGAGTTTATGTATTCTATGTGAGCGTTTTAGCGCGAGAAAAAGGCTAGAATAATAGAGGAGAAATTCGCAGATAAACAACAGCGCGGCTTTACAACTATATTTTTATAATACATCAAAATAACGAAAATAATGGTTATTCTTATGTTGTTTTCTTTGCGTCTTGGCACCAGCTGACTTCACTGGTGCCAACAAGGAGGTGCCAAGCCATGTGACACGTGACTTCTTGTTTACGATTGTGAACATGGCGATCCCAGCCGAAGTTGCTTTCGCAGGATGGATCCCTTTCACGATAGCTTTGGGGGTAACGTATCGACCATTCATCTCTCAAAATTAATGAACTGGTTTTCCAAACTGTTTATGTTGCATTGAGAGCAGACTTCGTTTAGGTCACCGGTAGTTTAAATTTCAATCGTCGCGGAAACATTTGTGGAGGCTGATTTTGGCTTCACTGTCTCAAGACGATGGCCGCTAGCCGGTCTTGTTTCAGTGAACCGAGTCAAGGCAGGATATTATATTAAAAAAATAGCGTCAGTTTCTGTTTGATGATGAAATGCTTGGTGTTTCGGTGCTACTTTGCCAGGAGAGGCCTCTGACGAACTAAGAAGCGGTGAGCAAGGTAGAATTTGAGGATAGGTTGAGGCAAATGGACGGGGAGCAATGGGCACGAAAGGTTTTCAGCTATTTATACATGAGGAGTGTAGACACAAAGTGGAGACAGCGCACTAGGAAATTAAGAGGAAAGTTTTTGGGCTATAGCGAAGATACGGAAGAGCAAGTCTCAGTTAAGAAGAAAGTTAAGGCCACAGAAAGAGATTGGTGGCTAGAGGGAATGCAGACAAAGACGGCTCTGGAAAGCTATAGATTAAACAAAAGAGTTATTGCCAAAGAAAGCATTTATGACAATTCTAGGGGAAGCTCATTGCTGTTTGAGGCAAGAACGGGTGTTCTGCGAACCAGAACATACAGAGTGAAGTACCAGGAAATTGATACAGTGTGCACTGCTTGTGGAGAGGAGGACGAGACGGCTGAGCACTTGATACTCTACTGTAAAGGGCTTCACCCTATGCCTACCGAAGACAACATAGATTTAATAAAGTCATTGGGTTTTAGAGACAGCGAAGGGAGAGTGGATTTCAAGACTGTAGAGATTACCAAGCAAAGATTAAGTGAATGGTGGCAGAAATCGAGAGAAAACTAGGTATTTTCTTATCCACTGATGGCAAGGGGGTTTCATAGCCTCACTTTCTTTGCACTGCGGAGTGAATATAGATTTCACATTTAAATATTCTAAGCTTAAATGGTAAAACAAAATGGCTAGGTGGCGTAAGCTACCGCCCGATCCAAAGGGCTCAGCCGTATTCATCCATCCATCATCCATCCATCGGGACCAGGGCGTTTTAACTCAAACTGAAGGCAAAGTAATTTCACTAATGGCAATCAACAGCTCAGAATTCTGGACAAGCGGAAGAAGAGCTGCTCCAAAGTGCCGATGGTTACGTATTCTTTAAGTTTAACTTCTACAGTCTCTTGTGGGCCTCTCTTAGTAGGTGACAAGCGCGGGCTTTGATTGTCGTGTAGATTTTCATTTCCCATCTTTAAAAACAGCATTGTGCTTGTTGTTAAGGGAGGAAAAACGAAATAGACCATGCATTGACCACGGTGCAAGATATGCAGTATATGTGTGAGGACACACAGGACGGCAAAGGCTGCGAAGCGATCGACCAGATAAAGTACCCGAATAGCCTCAGCCCACAGCGTCTTGCCGTTCAAAAAGCACAACTGAGAAAAAAAAAAAAAAAAAGCACGAACACAACTTAAAAAAGGTGTCTCGTTCCCATGGCACCCCCGGGTGCACACTCTTTCCGCACTCAGAACATCTGCTGTGATTGATGGCTTGAACACTGCGTCTGAGATCACTTTATTTCAACACGTTTATAAAACGTCATTGCTGCCGTTGAGGCACGAAACTTGGGTCAGTGACGAAGCAGTGTCAAAGCAACATGCATAGCGTGCAAGTGCCAAAGTTTTATGTAGCATGGCACGGTGTACACGCCTATATATACATCTTGCACCGTGGCTCAGACTCTGTAAGGATGCTGCATTAGTGGTAGAGATAGGACCTCTGAAAGATGCACTGGCAGAGATGCTAATGCAAGCTTGGTGGCGCTTCGTGGACCCAACAGTGATGACGTTTGGTGGGGAGAAAGGCCTTGTCTTCTATGTGGTATAGGTTGTTTTCACACGACGTCAATCCGCCATTTTGTTGTTTCATGTCAGCGCAATGACACGTATACGTTTCTGTGCATTACATATTTTCCGGCATCTAATAAATACTTGGACTGCTCGCACCGTGCACGCATCAGACAATTCATCGGCGAAAAATGGTGAACAATACAGAGCCTGTGAAAATGGCCTTTTGGGTAGGATGCCAACATTTCTAGACTTCCGGTTACCGAAACCAAAAGTTGGGCACGAAAATTTGATTTTGCTTATGAAAGGACGTTGTGAGGCAGCAGAAACGGACAGAGTGCATCCTCTTTCCGCCGTATCTTTTGAGCGTGTTAGCAAATGTTTATTGCATGGTTGGGCCGCAGTCGTCAGGCACACAGGACAGCGCTGTGCCAACATAACCTAGAATAATCGAGGCCTGTGATTGGCCTCCTTTACCTCCAAGGGGACATTGTCACCCTAGGCCGGCCATCCTTTGATACATTGATTGGGCATGAGGCCTCGCCAGACCCCGACCCAGTGCTGGTGTCTAATCACTGTCTGCGCTCGATCTCTCTGTGATGACAGCAAAATTCTAGTGTGTGTGCTTTTATTCTAGGTGGTTTTGGCTGTATTTCGTTCACTTCTGTCGTCATTGGTTTGTGGTCTCACAATGTCGTCTTGGAAAGGGAAAGGGGGGGGGGCACTGCAGCTCTCTCTCTCTTTCACTTTAGTCTAGTGTAACAACACTATAGTTTCTATAGTCAGGGACAACTTTTCTTGGAGTGTTCAAGAAGAGGAGGAGAGTGCATGTGCAACTTGAATGAGTGCTCAGAATGGTAGAGGGTATGCTTGTCCATACCCTTGGCTGCATTACCCTTCTTGTGTTTACAAAACAAAAGCAGTCTCTTGCGTCCCAGGTGACTTCCGGTCACTCTGTTTTGTTAGGCGTTTTAAGCTTCTTTATGCCACAATTTATAGGACGTTTCAAGTGCCACGGAAACGAGAAAGTTGGAGATGTAGCAAGTTCCTTCTTCCGCATTATTAAGCATGTTCTGCGAGATCGGTCATCTTATAGGAGTTTTCCAAAGCTCCCCAACAAATTTCTCGCTACCCTATCCTTGAGATAGGTGCTAGTAGAATTGGAATTGGAGGTAAAATCTGTTAGGGACGTCGCAAAGAGCAATGTTATGGTGGAGATTGTTTCTCCTCCAATTTATTTTGAAGTTAGCAGGGACGTAAAGTGTAATGGTGCCTCCTTGGGGCATTTCTATGAAAAGTGTCCTAGATGTACGATGCCTCCACTCCCAGCTGTGCGTGACCTTGAGCGGGCTGTACGTGCACCACCTGTCACACAAGCGGGAGCGCGACCTCCTAGCGTCGGTGGCCGGGGTGCTCGCCCTCGCTGCGTCGCTGCTCTCCTCTGCGCTGCTGCCAGTGGACGTGTTCCTTGTGTCCTTCATGAAGGACGCACAGGGAAACTTCAAGGCAAGGCTGCATTTGCTCGCAAATGAGAGCGAGAACTTTGCCTCGCTCCGTTTCACCGTGGTGTCTGGAACTGGCGCTTTTACCGCGTCCTAATAAGTGTTCCGATGACTCCTGTCCTTCGCTGCGTTCTGTCGTACGTTGAAGCTGAACATTAAGGGGCACTGAACACGGCTAAGTCCATCTTTTTTTTAAGATTGTGTCATTTGCTTCCTAGGAGTCTGCAGGAAGGCTTTCAAAAATATTGATCTGCATTTCCTCTAAAAAAAAAAAGAAATATGAAAAATATTTACAACACCTTGTAATGCCGAATTAGAGCGCAGCTCTTGAGGATGAGGAGGGAAGGGTATACCCCTCCACCCTCCTCCTCACCTCCTCATCTTCCCTGCTACTCCTCCCCTCCTCCCTTCTGTTCCTCCTCGTCCTTGCCTCCTCCTCCTTCACCTCATCTTCCTCTCCTCATTCTTCAAGCTCCTCCCCCTTCCTCCTCTCCTCCTCCTCATCCCTCCCCCTCCCCTCTTCCTTTCTTTTCCCGCTCCTGCTCCCTCCTCCTTCCTCCTCATCCTCCTCCTCCCCTCACGTTGCATCGTGGGAAAGGTCCCGTAATGCACCGCCCGGTTACGCCGCTCAAGCCGGAAACGGGCACCTAAGAGCTGCGCTCTAAAAACCTTCTGCCTCAAAATATGTTGTGCAACATTTCGCTGAAATTACTTAAACAAAACTTCCATTGAAATAAAAGTGTGCGTGAAGGTGTGACATTCCTGTCGACCCATCCCTCGCCATTCGACGTGACACCACGGGTACCTTGGATTTATTCAATGTTAACTTGACTTGTGCAGTGAGAAAAAATTGGCTCCCGATAGAACCTGGTGAGTTTATCGCCTGAAATATACCACTGCCACATAATGCAGCTGTGAAATTAAATTTGAGAAGTTCTTTCAGTCTTTTCTTAAAAACAGTGTTTGCTCTATTTTGAAGAGACGGGTAGTACCTGAGCAAAGTGTTCAGGATGGTGAAATAAATTATGCCACAACGATTGTTGCACAAACTAAACTGGCGATTATGGTGTGTGCTGTAATGCGAGCGGCCATTGTCTCGACGACGCTTGCAGGACTGGGCAGTGAATGGCACCGCTCGGGAGTCCATTGAGACCACGGTGCTGACTGCCTACTACGGTGAGTCGTCTGCTTTTTTTTCTCGTTCATTTTTATAAAAACCCACTTTTGAGAATGGGAGTATTTTAGAAAAATAAAATGAAGGACTTTCTGCTGAGGTTAAATTACCGACTTGTAACGGCGAACCGGGCAACTTGTCACTTGCGAACAGGCCCGTGAAGTTTTACAATTACGATAATTGGTTCCGCTCGTTAGGCCCTTAATTTTGAAGTTGTCTAGGGAATGTTGTTGCGGGGTAACGCAGAAATGTAGCACGAATAAAGCCATTCTAGTTTGGTCAAAAGTTCAAGTTTACTTCGTACACGCTCTACGAGTTTACTAGAGTAGTGAAATCGGCCAATTGGATCGTAGCGAGTGGCTAGAAGCCGTGCACGAAAATCGAAGAATGTGCAGTAAACATCCAAAATGCAGAGACTACACACAATCTCGCAATATTGGTGCATCACTACCAAGCGCACATGCACAAGAACATAGCCTCGCAACCGACCCAGTTTACACGAGTACTTGTACATGGAAGGCCTAAAGGTTGGTTTACACAGTTGCGACTGCTTACGACAGTGTGCCTTAAAACCTCCTAAAATCTCTTGCGACGACAGAACACACTGGCGCCATCTATCGGTAGCTGCAGAACACTTTCCGTTTATTTCCGATTGCTTTTACGAATCACTCTTTCTTTTTTTGGCTCGAAAAACTTTTGACAATGCTATAAACAATCATTTCTGATGAATAGTACATACATTTGATCTCACAAGTTCCTGAAAAACCTATGTTATAGTGAAATACAGTTCCAGGGTCACCTCATAGATGGCACCAGGTTACCCATGCATTCTCTTGTCTGATAAGATCACGACAACTCGGTCCTAAGCGAACTCGAGTGTGTGAACGGGCCTTGATGAAACGCAGTCAGACTTGTACTGCTGGTTCACGAGCTGTCCGCAAGATGCCGCACAAATCTTGCAAAATAGATAGAGAGATGGATGTTGTGTCATGGTCGTGTGTCTCATTTCTGCCGCTTGGCCCCACTTGCTGCCGCATCATTTCCGTCCCGATGTCCTCCGATTGCAATGCTCTGGCGCAGTGCTGTACGGGCTGCTGTTGGTCTTGGGCTTCCTTGTGCTGCCCTTTGCCTACTTCTTCTCGGAAGAGAAAGATGACGTTCTGGAGAGCAGCGCCGGCACGGTGAGTGGGTCGAGGTCGGGCAGTCCTTGCAGTCAATTATAAGAATTTTCGTACTTTCAGTACATACAGCTTAGTATTGTTCTTTGATATTCATAACCTGTTAATCGCGCAACAGTTCTTTTTTATGCGGGGGCAGTTGCAAAAAAACTAAGAAAAACGAGCGGCACACACACCTTCAACACACAACCGGAACAAGCGACCATGTGACCAGGAGCCGATTATATGCCACCATTATTTATTGTAACCACGCGCTGGGGTTTGCAAAAGCACCTAGCATGTGCCATGTTCCTCGTGTTGTTAAGGTTCGGCAATCCCCGTCATTCCGGCGATTGGGCAGGAGCCACGACCTGAATGCTTGTCGAGGCATTCATTGTCACGTGCCCGAATTGAGAACTTTCGCCGCGTTCGTGTCCCATGTGGGAGCCGCATCTAAGTATTCTCATCGGGGGAACGGCGAAGCTCGACCTCAAAATCCTGGGGTTCACATTGTTAACATTGCAATCTTCATAACATTGTTGTCAAGTTTTGTGAAGAAGCGACTGAAAGAAAACGTCTGCAATTACGCACATCAAAGAAGCTTCTTGGTCAGTGCCACTGTGTGTGAGTACACTTGTGTCCCACTAGTGCCAGTAAGCTTGTAGAAAGTGAGAAACATTGCTACTTAATGTTGTTGCACGGCCCCTTTAAGGGACGCCCACTCCCAGAAAAGATATTTTTGTGTGTGTGTGCGACACGTATGTTGGAAAAAAAGTTGTTCCCGAGAATAAAAGTAACAAATTGAGGCAATATATTTACGTTGCACGACTCTCAAGTGACTCGGTCACATGCTTCTATTTTGGGGTCGATGTCTCAAAATAGAAGCACCATTTCAGGATCGCTCCTAACTCAAAACGAAAGTAGCAATGTAAATATTGCGCATAATTGTGGACGTAACAGCCAGTAAAACATATAGACCGGGAAAATGTCACCGAGGTTGGATCGTGTTATGAGCCGTTCGTCCTCGTTGAGCATCGCGCACACGTTGTGGCATTAAAAGTGGTGAACGGAGTGGGGTTTGCCAGTGTGCTAACGACTGTTGACCCTTGAACTTGAATGGGTTTGTCTGAGATGCACTCGAGAGTAAGGGTGGAGGGGAGTTGTGTTGGAGAGGTAAATCCTAAAGTCATACTGAATTCCGAAGTCAAAGGTTTTGCCACTGAGTGAGGTGTTTTCCCAGTTTAAGCTGTATTTTAGTAGATCTAAGCCACCTGCCTATGCTTGATTGTGAACTAAACACTTTTTAGTAAGTTTATTGTTTGTGGTTCCTCGGCTATCAGTCAATCTGGGTCAGGGTTCCTCGAGGTGCTTGAGAACCCCTTCTATAGTTATCTTTATTTTGATGTGTCCACAGACAGCACTAAGCCTAAAACATGGTACACTGTTGTAAAAATAGAAAAAAGAAACACGTACAAGGCCGAAAAAAAGACGAGCAAAACATAATAGAGCTCACACAAGTAGCTCATTTGTTTGTCGAAAAGTATTTGTGTCACAAAAAATTGCCTCTTGCAGATTGGCCTAGCTCATTAGTATATTCGAGTTGCATTCTTGTAATTGGTGATCTATGGAACAAAACTGAGGAATAAAAAAAGGCATCTGGAGCAACTAAATTGATAAAAGGCATGAAAGAAAATAGTTCTTGAAACCAGCAATGAATCAGTAGCTGCGTCGACAACCAATTATGTAAAAATAATAAATTGTGTAAAGAATGTCTATTAAACAAAGAAAATAATCCTAGTTTCCGAATTAATCTGTCATAGCTGCAGTGGCATTTGCCCCGCAAAATATCTGTCGTAGGCAATACCTATAAACCGTCTTTGAGCACATTCGATAGAGAGTGACGCAGTAGAGGTAATACAATTAAAAAAATATGAGCAATTGTGCGCACCAAGCAACAAGCACACGGTCATCAACAAGGTGAGAATGTCAGGGAAGAGCTTGAGTCCTCCCGCCTCTAGCGTGAGCTTCTTACCTTCCACAATGCTTCAACGTCTCGTGCACCTCGAGTGCATGCAGCCAAAGCATGGCGGATGGCGAGCAATCAAAAGACACGCTCCGCTGTTTTTGCGCCGTTGGTGACCACAGCGATGTTCTTGCTCCGCAGCGTGCCTGCACCGCCTTCAAGTATACCAGCATCTTTCTCCTGGTGGCCACCGTGCTGCTCACCCTTGGGTGAGTGTCCTCACCACGCCGACAGAAGCGTCGGGTCTCCGGTGATATTCCACCGCCTTGAACGTGTCTCTGACACTTTTTTCTCGGAACTTCTACGCCCAACTGTTGAGATTGCAATATCCGCCAGCACGACACTCCAGCTTTTGCGATGTCATTTGTTGTCGCTTCGAGACCACTTTCGATGCATGGATGGAATAGGATGCAAAACACATCGGTCAGAGACGCATACCAGGCCCCGAAGTGGTACGAACGAGGCAGTAGATTCACACGGCCTGTCTGTAGTTTGCAGGACAGTTTTGTGTTAGGACTGGTTTGTCTTCATTGGAGGGAGAAATATAGTCGCTCGATTGATATTGATGGACTGAGCAGTTGTCAAGTTGATGTATGTGTGTAGTGCCTCGTTGCTTTATCCCAGACTCTATAAACCTTTATGTGTCGATGAATGAAACGTCCATCAACGAATGCCACAAACAGTGTAAATGTGTCTGCTTTTCTCAATAATATTTTTAATACTCGAGGTTGCGTTTACTTCTAATTTACCTTGTGGCTGGCATTGTGTTAGAAATACATCAAATGAATTTTAAAATCCCAGACGAAACGGGCTCAGGTGTTGCCAATTACATTAGAGGGGTTATGTGCAGGTTCCATTGGTGTGCAGCCAAGTTATTCCGTGGCATACTTCAGTGGCAACAGATTTGTTGCATATCTGACTGGGGGGGGGGGGGGGCCTCTTTATAGAGGAAGTGGTGGTAAGGACCAGCACATTTTGCCTGCCTTGCAAACGTCAAACATCATTTTCCAGAAAAAGCTCTTTTGTCTATTTTTTTAGAGCTCAACTCGGATGTACACTTTGGCGAAAATTTTCAACTGGGATCCAACTGGTCCCAGTTGTAATTAGTTTCAGCACCACGGCCTTCATAATAAGCATGGTCGGCCTCCGGTACAATTCAAATAATCCTGTTCAAAGTGCGTGCATTTCGGTTGGGACCACGTTGAACTTCGATAAAAGCGATAATTCGAAAAAAGGGATTTCGTTATAACGAGGGATTACTGTATTATGTGTGCTGACACCACTCAGTAACAGGATATTTTGTTGCCTGTTCTGAGCGAAATCTTAAACATGAAGGGTGAGGATTCTGCTCATTGCCAGCCTCTAGTATGGCTTTGCATTTTTGCATTCAGCAAGTCACCTGGAAGCGAGCTTGCAAACCGGTGTGCAGACCATGATGAAGATAGTGTAGGACGTAGAAAGTGCACGGCTGCTGTTCTTGCTTTATTTCTTAAGATTTTGCTATGTCTGGACTAAGCTTTTAATAAAAGAGGCATAAAACTTTTTTCTAATATTTTGTTCATGTCCCCAGTTCCAGGTATGTACAGTTTCTCGCAATATGAAAGATCCATTTGTCTGGAAAGCTTATGCGTGGCTTCTAGGCCCGCTTTGGCCAGAGGCTCTTTATTTCTAGAGAGGTAAGAGAACAATTATGTGTTCATTTTCTCACCGCAATCAATATGGACCTGGCCAAAGCGAATTAAGCAAGGCCCCCTGAGACTGTTTAGTCACGTGGGTCTTTCGTATTGTTGTTGATTGTACGTCTGGAATACAGATTTTGTAAGGCGTGCCAAAACATGCCGGTTCTTCTGGCCGCTCCCTGTACCTTGCAAGTCCTGTGCCGTCATTCTCTCGTGGATGCGCAATCTTCCATCAACGGGCTGCAGCTTGGCTTATTTACTTGGCCTCATTTTCCGGCGGCAGATTCCTCTTTGCTTGCCGTCAAGCCCCGGGAGGAAATCACATTGCCTCGTGAATGTGAGCCATGCTTCAGTCGTAGTGCAACTTTTTTTTTTTTCCACATTGTTTTTAGGGCGGTGATCCCGATGCACACAACGCCACCCCAAAACAGCACGGAATGGGAAAAGATAGAATTCCTGGTTCACGAGCTGTCTGCAAACAGTGAGACTTCTTTTGTTGTTCAGTTTTTAGCGCCGACCTCGAGGCCAAATCAGAAACTTTTACCGTAATATCCCGAGATATCAGCCACCTTCCTGCCGCCTGAAATTCATAAAAAAAAGCGGGGTGGGCCATGTCTCGGTGGGCAAGCACAAAAAGTGTGTAAAAAGCTAAAAGAAAAAAAGGCCCATTTTTTTGTATGTATCTAGTGTGGCTCCACAAAAGATACATTAAACTCGAAACTTTGATTAGTTTCATTGTTTTATGCAAGAAATGTTCATGAAAGAATGTTTTACTATCACAAAGTTTGTTGCTTGCATACGGGCGACGAACACTGCCAATCGGCATACAGTGCAAACGTTTGTTCTATGAAAGCATGTTTCCAACACCGCCATGTTCTCTTCGTTAATAAAAAGAAAAAATCAACGAGAAAATATAAAAACCAACCATGTGCAACCAGCGAGCAAGCGAGCGGACGAAAAAAGCGACGAAGAGCAATGCTGGGGAAGCGGGAAAGCCGGGGATTGCATTGGGCAGACACTTTGGCGTCGGGCCAAGTTGGGTGCCAATTGTTAATTGCAAGTAGCATACTCTTGCGCAACTTTCTTGTTTGGTGCATACATGCGTTTCTCCGTGCACTGGGTGCTAACAATGTGGGTTGAGCCGGCGTTGCTGAAGGGCGTGGATAGCACCACGAACACGGAGCTCGAAATAAGACCCTCTAGAAACGTCTGTGAGTGGCGTTCCAGCAAATCTTTATTTACCCGTTGGCTTTGTCTTAAACGTTACAAAACCTTACCAACGGTGGTCGCGACGTTTCGGGAGAAGGAGCGGGTTTGCGGTGACCTTTCGGTGGAGACATACTTTGACCTTGCACTCCGTGGTTACATTCCAAAACATGGAGCGCTCGCTGACCTCAAGATCCCTGAATAGTTTCTGCTTGTGTTATCTTTCCAACTTTGTATTTTTATCCGAACAAACTTTTTTCTAAGCAAAACAAAGTTTCATTCTGTTATCTCTCTATCATTTTACTTTCTCATCCATGTACTACGACTTCGGGTTCACAGAAATGGGGGAGGAAATGCGTAAACAAAAAGGAGTGTCTTTCCCTCCTTCTTTTTACTCTGTCACGGACGTCCTCCAACTGTAAGGTCTGCAGCCGCGTCATTCGGGTGAGGTGAATGTTTGCAGATCGTGGAGTCCGCATTGGGGTATTTGTAGGAGTGGGCGATCACTAGGTGTTTTTTTGGGAATCAATATTTGCCCCAAAAGTGGGTGGGCGATGGCTCAAGGATGGGTGACGACTCGGGATATTACGGTAGCGGCGCTCTCTCGCTCGTCAAGTGCATGCATTTATTGTGAACCAGTTCTTTAATCTTTCTTTTTTTTTATAAGTTTGAGCTACTTCCAATAAATGTCGAAGCACAGAAGTGCCAGTTGACACGTTTCTTATTGTGACGAAAATCAGGGAATCAGTACGGTGGAGCACATTATTTTCTCACATGTTAAGGTGCTGCAGCACTATTCCTTCTCTTCTGACGGCGAGCTTAGCAAGACCCTTTAGGCGGGAAAAAGCCAGATTTGTTTATGACCGGCAATTTGTGCCGGCACGCGGACGGGACGTCCTTGCCCCTGCGCACTCCACAACGACGTGCCTCGACTGAAAACGACGCACTTCGAAGGAATAAGAGAGCATCGCCTCATTTGCACCTTTGTACGTAATAAAGCTAACACTTATAGTATTTACCGTAAAGTCCAGTAAGAACGCCCACCCAAGATGAAGAGATGAATGGCGAAAAAGAAGGGGTAGGCTATCTTTAGGGATGCAACAGCAAAATTTTATCAAAAATTAGTATGTAGCGCCAGCCAATTGATAGATTTATTTCAAATTCTGCGTGCAAAGTTCATGACATCACGGAATAGTCATAGACTGTCTACACCTCAACGTGAAGAGGAGGCCGATCCACCTCCTCCGTGCACCGGAAATGCTGAGAGAGAAAACAAGTGGAGAGGAGATGACTACAGACCAAATCACATCTCGCACCGTCAATATTGCTCTAAAATTTTTTTTCTCATGAAAATTAATTTTTTTGCCACGCGTATCCCAACCAATTTGTTTAAAAAAAAAAAAAATTATTTTCAGTGGCCTTTTAATGCTTTTAATGCAATCAGCCTTTTTTGATTGGTTTATTTTTGAGTTATGAACTTTGGAGAGAAAGTGAATATGCTTTTTTTTCTACTTGGTGCGCATTTATGTATTTAGGAGGCCGCACTGTTGTATCCCACGGTAAAGCATTTGTCCCATGATTGTAATCCAGAGTGATTATTAGGTCTAAAAAGTATTGTAAAAATATTGTATGGTTAGAATAGTTTACTCGTGTTGTTGCTTTGTTTTTTGTGGCCGTTAAGCATCCAGTGTCAGTACCTCGTGCTGCGCGGTTAATGATATTCCCGTCTGATATTGTGTGATATCCAAGGAATTTTTCATGTTACAAATATTCAGTAAAAAATACAGGGTGGGCAATCTTTGAGGCCGAGTGTCCATACAGAATTTCATGGTAGCTATTTTCTTTTTCATGCCTACCTCATGTCCTCTGACTTTATGCTTCGTAGCAAGACAGCCATTGTGTTCTTTTGCAATGAACATACTTTCACTACGAAGACACAGTTTTTTCGGGCTTCGAACAGCCTTTATTTGACTTTGTTTTGGCTCCCGTAGGAGGAGAAGATGCCCTGAGCTTCATCGTGTCTTTGCTCACGCTGGTTGGCATGTTCGTGATGATCTTCTACACGGTAGGTGGTCTAGCTTTGCTTTTATTTCACATTCACAATAACATATGGGGTGTGCCCAGTAGATTTTATGCCGGAAAAATTGGCGCCTGCACACCGAAAGTTCAATCTTTCACCGAATATGCATTGAGGTGGCGCATTTTATCTCGTGAAATTTCCAGGCATAGTTTGGTTTCTGTAAAAAACGAGATCAACAAACTTGCTAAAGTCAGCGACGAGCACGTTCGCAGACGACCGAGCTGGCAAATATTGTAACTCGTGGCGACATCTCCCAGTAGGCGCAGCGTGCAGACAACACAGTGCTTCATCTGCTCCCTGTTCCTGTCGGGAGGTCGCACTTCAAGTTAACAGCATCGCCAATTCGGTCGTCTGCTAATCCCCCGCCATTGACTTTGGCAAGTATATTGCTCTCGTTTTTTTTATGGGAAGAGCTACGCCTCAAATCTTCACGAGGTGAAATGCGCCACCTCTATACACATTTGTAGAAAGTTTGAGCTTCCAGCAGGCAGGCGCCAACTTTTCCGGCTCGTTTTGCAGCGTAAGGTTCATCGGGCGCACCCTATATTTCTACGTTGGCAAATCCGTGATGAATGAGCCCTTGCAACGAGCACGGTGTTTGTGCACCGACTGCTTCTCCTCAGGGCTGTGGGCTCGCCGCACTGCCAGTGGGGCTGATTGCGGGCAGTCTGAGCACGTCGCAGGAGCGAAGCAGCGTGGCGGACCAGTTGGTTTCTTTGGATGCGCAGATCGACACTCTACGGAACAAGGTTGGTGTTCTTCTCTCCTGCTGGATGGCAGCCCCGGTCTGTTTCCACTAATGATGGACCGAATCTGCCGAACTTTCTAAGGAAAGTTTGACAAAGATTCGGCAAAAATTCAGCACATGTCTGCGCACGCGCAAGAACGCGACGGGGCCATGAATTGCAAATGGACGCCGTGCGGTCTTGTCGTTACCATCGTACTGTCTAGAACAACCAGCGGCTATGGCGAGGTGTGGGAGTAGGCAACACGGTAACTGCATTTGTGAGCCTTTGCGAGTGTGGTTCTCTTCAATATTTTCTGCCTGAAGAACAGAAGATCAACCAGTAATTTACGCAGTCCACTGCGCAGGTGACAGATGATGCGGTACATTCTGGATGATGCAATTTTCATTTGACCTTTTTAGTGATGCAAAAAGGTAGTTGAAGCATTGACTCACAATTACTTTAAAGCACTCCTTGCAAATATAACAATCCTTTTTCGGCTCACAAGAAGTTTGTGCTAGAACAGAATAATACTGCTTTTTAATTAGCGTTATTTTGCGGTTATCATGTATCTACATAAAACTAAACACAGAACTATTGTGCTCGACGTTGCATATCCGACATTTCTAACTCTTCCCACCTTCCTAAACATCCATGTGTGTCCTAACACCAGAAACCGGCATTTTAAAGGTTAAAAACGAGACATTGCAAATATGGAACGCACACTTTCATGCAAAACTGACATCGAGTAACTCAAATCGAAAAACATGCATATTGACAATAATGTTATCTTTTCTGGTGAAGGCTCTGTAACTGTTGCATTCATTTTTTTGCACGAAATGGTGACTCCCAGAGTAAGTAAAAATGCAGTGTTATTGCCTTTGCATTTACACCGCACAAACTTGCAGGCTTGCACTGATGAGGCCTCCAAACCGAAACTCTCATAGCGTGGTTCGTGACTGCACTCGCTGCTACCCAACGTTGCTACTACCCAACCTCGTTGTCACGCCACTTCTGCAAGTAGTCACTAAAATCGCCAGAAACACACAAAAACAACACCAATACGATTATCTTGCAGAATATCACCTTATTTAGTAATAGCTGCGCCAATATACATTACATGTTGAATTTAGGTGAAGGAAAATACAAGATAAAACCTTTTTTTTGCCAGGAAAAGCAAAACATCAATGCAAGTCTGGTAACAATGTATTTTTGCCGAATCTTTAGAAAAGTTTTGCAAAAGTTCGGCTTTGCCGAATCCCAAGATTCGGCGCTGAACTTTCGATTTGGCAAAAGTTTGGCTCATCACTAGTTTCCACAGAGTTAAAATTTTACGGCGGAGCTGTTAAGGGCTAGTTTCTCTAGTATTTTGTCCGTGGACAAACAAATGTCGACACAAAACTCCAGACAGCTACCCCCATCTATGAGCGACGACAGCAACCAGATAACGAGCTTGCCAGTTTTCCGGTTGCCGCCATCGCTCATAGATAGTGGCAACCTTTCCAGCCTTTCCACTCTGATTTTCACCAGAGTGGAAAGTTTGAATTTCTCTAGGCGTCATCCTAGAAGTCGTCCTAGAAGTCATCTTTGAGGTCGTCGTAGATGTCGTCCTTGACGTTGTCCTCGAGTTCGTCCTAAAAGTCGTTTTCGAGGTCATCCTACAAGTCGTCCTTGAGGTAGTGCTAGACATCGTCCTCTAGGCGTTGTCCTTGAGGTCGTCCTCGACGACGTCCTTCAAGGCGTCCTAGACGTCGTCCTTGAGGTCGTCGTAAGCGTCGTCCTCGAGGTCGTCCTAGAAGTCGTCCTTGGGGTCATCCTAGAAGTCTTCCTTGAAGTTATCCTAGACGTCGTCCTCTAGGCATCATCCTTGAGGTTGTCGTTGAGGGCGTCCTAGACGTCATCCTCTAGGCATTGTCCTAGACGTCGTAGAGATAACTTCTCTGGTCCTCCATCTTCACGGGAACTGGAAGGGCTCTACATTTTTAAGTTGCTGCCTATCTGAAGGCACGTTGACACACTTGCATGTGCTCGGGACCGAGTTCAGGTAACATCTTACGACGAGAGAACGTCTATGAGGGGACCCTGGAACTGCCTTTCTCTAGAGCTAAGGTTTTGCAGTATTTGCGACATCCAATGTGCTTAGTATCTACAAATAATGGGCCATTTATAACATTGTCAAAGACGTTTTCAGCAAAAAAAAGAAAAGAATGCTGCGCGAAAATAAATTTATGTACGGAAATTGTTTTACGGCTAGCGAATAGGTGGCATTGGCATGTTCTCTCATTGTAAGAGATTGTAAGTCATTGTAAGTCATTGCAAATGTATGAACCAGCCTTCAAGGACGGCCGAGTGCGTGGCTTGAGCACGGGCTCCGCTTGCAGCTGCGTGGCAGCGTGGGCGGCGGCCGCCAATCAACTGACGCCGAGCGGCTGCTCACACTGGAGGAGGAGCGACGTTCGCTGGACGAGCGCCAGCGCCGTCTGGAGCACCGGCAGGGTACTGTGGCGTACCGTCTGCGCTGCCTGCTCCGGCCGGTCCAGATAACCGTCGGTTGTGGAGGCATGCTGCTCGGATTGCTCATCTGGCTCTCTCTACTCCTGGTCAGGTGCGCGGCACTCCTTCGGTTGTTCGGTGCTTTGTGGTGATAGAAACTGGTTGAAATCTTAAAGGCAGTGTTGTACATGGTCTTCCAAAACAGGATTAAATCTGTCTTTTCTTATTTTTTCTCTATCTTGAACGAATTTGCGAGTTTCAGTGGTATGAAAGGAATGCATTCCCATTACATTTCTTAAGTTGTAATATGTCCTTACAATAACATTTATTTTGTATTATGTGTTCTGTTGAGTTTCTATGCTATTGCTGCATATAATCTGACGTTGTATGTGCTATATGAAACCACGAGGGACCAAAGAGCTCCATCAAGCTGTTGTACTGCTTTTTTTTCTCACTTCCGCCGTTTGTGTACCAGTATGGAAACTAAAGTTTTTCTTCTTTAGAAGCTGTCACCTCCCAGGGGGCAGTAATGTCGGGTTTCGTGGCTAGGTGGCGCAAGCCGACACTCGATTGAAAGAGTTCAGCCGTCTGCATTTAATCCATTTATTTGTCGGCCTTTTTCCTGCAGCATTGACAAGGCTCTGCATTCTCTGGGCTACAAGATGGGATACCTCCTGCCCAAAGCATCCTTACCCAACCCACTGGATATGGCTCTTGTTCAGAGCCAGAAGGTGAGCATTGTAACACTTGATTCGCACTGTACAGCATGTTCCAAAAAGTATGTACTGGATTTTTTGTAATCTCAAAAACTCACCATGCATCACTGAACGCTCTGGGTTTTCTCAAATGTAGGGCTAGCGATTTGGACCAGATGCCAAAGTTTGAGAACGAACCGTTGTCTTATTTAAAAGTTACACATACTTTTTTTAAAAATTTTAATGGAAAAATGGTGGTTGACGGAGCTCTCGAACACATGGAGCTGAATGGCGCCAGTTACCAGAAACGGGCCCCATTTTTTTCTTGAAATTTTCAGAGAATCAATTTTAACTTTCGAATAAGGTTACAGTAAGTTATGCCCATGCATTGAAAGTAGTTCCATAGTGTCAACAAATGACATCACAAAAGTCGAAGTGTCACGCTGTTGGATGCCGCCATCCTGGCAGTTTGCTGTAGACATTCCAGAGAAAAGCAAGCACAAGAGAATGCGAGTTTCGCTGTCGCCGCGGTGTTCGAACTTCTGACTGCCAAAGCTTCTATGAACAGTCGATCTGGAGAGCGACTTGCAGTGCCTCCACCACCGCCACTGTGATGCCACCAAAATCACGGCCAGCAACAGCTTGGCACTTTTACGACATCTGCGATCGATCGAGCATGTGCGTGTGTGTGAATTTTAGGAGAATTGTTTGAAATGTTGACGCATTTTGCAGGTGTTTCCCATCGACTATGTCCTCTACTTTGGAGTGGTCCTGTACCTTGTGATGTGCACCGTGTATGGCATCCGGAAAATGGGCATCTGGTTTCTCTTTCTCAAAGCAAGTAACACTTTATTTATTCTTTCCATCGGTGGAATATTCATACAGTGGGTTTGACCCATTGTATAATAGTTAATATAATATTAGTTCTACTTGTATTAAATCACTCAACCATCTTATTGTATCTTGCTGCTGTTATATTGTGGACTGCCACGTAAAAAGCTGCCTGGAATTGAGTTTTCCCATGCAATGTAAACCGTGTCTACCTTTTTAAAAAATATACTCGAAGGAAAAAATTTTTAAACAGCTTGAATGGAAAGAGGAAATTATGCATTTACAACAAAAAGATACAACTTTTAGAGCTATATTTTTGGTGCAAAACGAATTTGTAGTTGGCGCTTGCGGGAGTCCTCGGGAAAGTGTCTACTATAGTCATGTGACTGGCCACTATAGTCACGTGGTGCTTGCGCTCTTTCGGAAGCCTCTAAAAGCTTATTTTTAATTTTTGTTTTAAGTGCTACAAAAAAACAAAAGATTAAAAAATAGCTTTTAGAGCCCATAGAAAGCTCCTGAAAGCGCTTAAGGACCATGTAATAGACCTGTGTGCCTTTCAGAAATTAGGTGCGGCGGCACGCCAAAGTATTACCTTCCGGTGGCGGTATGGAGAAAAATTGCTAAGTAATGGTGATAATGATTACTTTTTTTTTTATTAAAAAGGATTTATGAAGGATCTACCTTTTTATTTAAAACAAATTTTTAAATTATTTTGTGTATAAAGAAGAAGAAAAAAATGCGTTCAGCCGGTGGCCATTACGCTCAGCGTGCGGCGGCGGCAGCGACGAGGGGGGTTTTAGGAACTTCACCGGCGGCGCTGAAGGCATAACTTACGGCGAGTGGCATCCCTTGGTGCACAATGTGCGAGTGGAAAGAGAAATAACATACCCAGCCCCTCCCTGAGACTGCATCAGCCAGCAACCTCAAACTACTAGTTTGTTACCCTGCAGATAGCTCGTCAACGAATGCATTAATGGTGATGACACCAGCGAGTGCCGAGTTAAATGTAACAAATGCAACGTCCTTTTTAATAGACCCCCACAACTCTGTATTAGAGAGTGACATCACTTTCATAAATCCCTTTATTGTGAAACTCAACTGCTGTCCTTTACTAACGACTTACTTTCTATTCATCGTACTGCCAGTGTCTCATCCATGAAAGCTAACCCTTCCTCTTCTCTTGTTACTTCGCAAAATACCTCAATTATGTTGTTTTTATTAAACTTCTGACTCCAACCCTGCTCTAAGTAGTAAATTTCTCCTTCTTCCTCCGAATATACCCCCTCTCATTGATCATCAATTCAAAGTCGGAATTCATCTCTGTTGCACCAATGCCCGCATCGACTCCCTCATTCCCAAAACGTCATCCAAAGGGAACCACCTTCCCACATCTTTAGTGTCTGTATCATCGGCTGATTCAAATTGCGATAACCAGTCATTTTTTTTTATCCTCAACCATTCATGCTTTCAGTACATCTTTGTACTAGACTCGTTTATATCCTATAATTCATTTTTGGTTCATGCCCCTCCCCTTTGTAATGCCTCCACACCCTGTGGGTATTGAAATAAAATAAATTATTGCACAGTTGGTCTAAGCGGACGCTTCCTGCGCAGATGTACCGCATCCGTCCCGGCAGGACCAGGCCACAGGGGATCCTGCTGCTCTGCCTCAGCCTCATGTTTGCGGTGCTGGCTCTAAACGTGCTGCTGTACAGCGTCTGTCCGCAGTACACCACCTTCGGCAGCCAGCACTACCTCTCACAGGCACGGCCTTGCGCAAAGTGCGGGTTGGGTGGGACAGAAACACTGGTTGGGAATGCGATTCAGCCGTCAACACCCAGAATTTGGTGGTATCTAGAGATGAAATTTATGCTATAGCAACTCCTCCAAGATAAGGAGGCCATAGTGCTGAATTTTCTACGCTGATGCAACGCTCGTGTCCAACACTGGTTCGCCTTCTTAGGGTGACGTTGCAAATTCAGCCCTATGGCCTTCTTTATCTGGCTGGTGTTGGCCATAGTCGGTGACAGCGTAAGAATGCGATGGAACTTCTGCCGTCTTCATGCACTTGTTGCTTCCCATCGTGTTTTGGGTGCGCATGCCTCCAGGACACCAAAGCGTTATTGAAGGTGCAAATATTGTGCCGGAGGTTGAGCTTCCGCTGCTTTCTTGACGTGTCACGGACGGTACATACCTTGCACTCTGAGCGGAAATTTTACTTGACGCTTAATCCTAAAAAATACAATACTTTCTCGTTAAAACAAAATCACATTTTTTTAATTGTCGCTTTTATCGAAGTTCAATGGGGTGTGACCGAAATTCATGCATTTTTAACCAGATTATCCGAAGAGTATTGGCGGCCGACCACACCTATTACGAAGGCCACGGTGCCGAAAGCATGCAAGCCTACACGGAGGCGCACGGAGACATTTGCGTTCCCTCCCCCTTCTCCACCGAGGCAAATGGCAAACTGGGAAAGCGGAGTAAACGAGCGATGGAGGGCAGAGCACCGCTTCCGATGTCAATGCGCCGACACGGGTACGCAGGCAGGGAGCAGCGTCCATGTTCCGACGCTACTCGCGGCGCCCGCGGCCGACACTGCCCGACCCCTGTCGGAATCGGGTCAATGAAGCGATGGAGCCTGGAGGAGATCATCCCTTCAGGAGCCCCTGACGCGCACCTGCAGCGTACTACACGCACACGTGCATCGTATGGGAGATTTGGAGTGTTTATCGAAAGTCGCTTAGATCTGCGAGGTGGAGAAAAGTGGCCGGCCCAAGTCTAAAATTGCCAATAAATTCGACATTTAGACATAGGCTCTTCGACACTGTCCACTATTTTGCAGAACAAGCAACTAGTATTGGATGGGATCGAGAAGTTGCTCATGCAGGAGAAAGCTGCCTGAAGATGAAGGGTCGCCAACTACTTCGCACACAGATTTTCTCTCACAAGCATGCTTGCCGAGCCAGTGCTTGATTTTCATAGCTGCAACCATCTCTACGGGAGTGTGTGAAAACATGTTGGCAAAGCCACCGAGTAGAACTTTGATTCATTCGCGCTTGTCGATGTGGATGTTCCCATTGTTTCTCCTGCCACGGATGTTGCGATAATGGACCTTTCGTGCGACCAAGGTGAACACGAAGCGATGTCGGAGAGTCACCTTGGGAAACGCCAATGAATGTGGAGATGCGAAACATCCTACAGCTGCTTCAAACCAAGTGGAGTGCAGCAGCATTTACAGCGTTCTTGCGATGCCTGGATTAGTTCGAGGAGAACTGATGCCCAGATGAAATTATCGGAAAACTCCACTTAATTATATTTTACTCAGTAGAGCTGCCGCGAGATGTTCATAACCAAGGTTTGTTTGATTAAATATACGGTCATAATGTTCCGCAGTGCTTCCATCAACCTTCGAGGCTGCTGGCACTGTTTTTTTTTGCTCAATAGCTTTGATCGAACTGCCGCTTATATCAATATTTTTGCCGTCTTATTGTAAAAGGGTTGACTTTGTTATAACGAGGGATTACTGTACTACAAAGTATTATTTCTGTCTGTTCCGTCGAGCCATCTGCAAAAGCTCCGAGCAGGTGCTGTTTAGTTGTGAAAGGGAGTTGCACCACGCATGTGCTTGTATAGTAACCGGGAGAGAAAGACGAGCCCTCGTTTAGATCTTTGAGAATGCTGGAAATGAATGGGTGCACATTTGTGGATTTGCCCAGCTCATTCCTAGCACCGAGAGGAAGAAAAATGTTATTGTTCTACTTGTTCATTTATGTTTCTCAAGAGAGAATATTTGACAAAGATTTTAGCTTGGGTACTACATGGGTGTTTAGTTGTATGCTGAAATGGTGCTAGTACAATTATACAATAATACCTAGTAGCCCGAGTTGCTGGGTTAGCCTTCTTTGCATTTTTTTAATTTTGGGTTGTTTCCATTTCTTTTTTTTTTTCATCTCAATCATATATTTTTATGAAATGGTCAGTCCGCAACTTGTTCGCTTTTGAAGCATTCTTGTTGGGTTAGTACCTTACCTTTGGCACCTTAGTGCAGTGAGCATTTCACCAGTTGCTGGCACACCCTGCTGTTCCCATTCTGTCAGTGACTTTAGTTCAATATTAAAACTGAGCTGTATATGCATTCATTGTACATAACAGCAAGACTCGGCAAGGATTGCACTTTGAGCTGGGGTGGGAAAACGTTCTTCTTGTGCAGGACCAGAACAGCACAGCAGCCCCAAGCCCTATACCGTGCACCATCGACGCTCCTCCGGGTAGGTTCCACTCCCACGGTTGGGTCGTTGCTCCTCTGCTACTGGTGCCTAAAGCACTCGAGGCTGCCCGGCCTACAGTGCTTACTGACCGCACTCAGTTTTGATTAGTCGCATTGTGAGACCACATTTGACCTTAGCCTAGAAAGGAGCCAGTCTACTATCGGTAATGTGGCCCCGAGGAAAAGCAACGGCCTATGGATCTCCAGGTGGCAGGTTCGAATCCCGACCGAGGTGTTTGCAATTAAACGGACATTTATTGCGTAAAAGGCGCCGTGACAGTGGCTTAAAAGGATGGTGTAAAGAACGAAACTGGAGGAGCGGCGGCACGCTACAAACATGCTTCCATATGTTATAATTAGGGTTTTGTGTTTTCGGATAAACACGAAAAATGCCCACTGGTGAAATTTTGATCAATTCTAATTTATCTTAAAACTCCTAATTTTGATGAGCCAATGCCCTCCCCCAAGAAAAAAAAAGAAAGACAGTATATTACAATTAAGCTTCATCAGTGCACTAGGTCAATGGTCCTGGGAAAAAATGGACGATTGTCAAGAGGTGTCTTACCTTTTATCTCAACAAGGTTCATTCAGGACAACGGGTCATTGTACTTTCTGGTCACGACAAAAGCCACTGTTTTGGTTTCTAGTTTTGGCCATACTGTTTGTGCTTTAAAGGGAGGTAGAGGTTGTGTTTTTGTAACAGTGAGAGCAATGGACCATAGAGATGGCATTAAAATGGGGAAGAGGGGCAGTTGAAACTTCTCTATTTTATCCTTTACCACCCCACCTCGCGCGGCCGCGGGGTAGGTTGATTGGTGGGATCATGGATGAATACGAGCTTCTCAGCGACTGCCTCTGCAAGTTTGATTTTAAGGTATCAACATTTATTGAAGCAACACTCGTGTGCAACTTTTGTCGTGGGACAAATTACCTAGTATTGCCAACGCCAAATGCAGCTGATGAAACATTAATTGATACAAGGGCGTTTTATTTTTTTATCTGGCATATGTTTACACCCGGATATTTATTTATTTATTTATTTTTAATAGGAAGCATTGCAAAATTAAACTCAGAATTTAGGGGAATTGAGAATTAAACAAAAATAAAATAAAATCAGAATTTTCGGCAAAACATAAACTCCGAAAAACACACTCGGAGTTTGATGAAAAATGAACTTCAAAAACACAGGATTCTAGTTATAATCGTGAAAACTTCCTTAATCTCGTGCTCTAATTTTATTTCGAAGCTCCCTACCACTTTTATTCCATCAAAATGTGGGTAACTGTCGCATCAGTTACAGTTAAGAACAAAGTGGTTGCAATGTTTATAATATGTGTCATCTAATAAAATCTTAGTTGAAATTTTTCCTTGAGCTGTGTTGCCTCATATATTTTAGTCCCTGTGTCTTTTGCCAGAATAACCTCGGTATGAATGAAAACCAACTAGTCCAACTTGCAGTCTTAATTGAGAATTGCTCCTCTACTTCAGCGGATTGCGTCATGACCCGGGCAAGCGCACTGCTGCTGCGGTTCTTCTACAAGGCCTGGGTGTTCGGCGCCTGCTACTTCTGGGCTACCGTGCTCCTCTGCGCGGTGAGTCGGCGCCTTCTGCTTAGAAGTTCATTCTCGAAGGAGCTCCCGACGAAACGATGCCGCAGTTGTGTTTTCGCTGCAATTGAAGATTTGCAGTGCGGGGTCATAGGTAGTTCAACGGCATTTGTATGTGGAGATTTTCTAGAATGATGTGCCATAAAATCCAGTAAGAACGCCCACCCAAAATGAAGAGATAAATGGTGAAAAACATGGGGTGGGCTATCTTTGGGGATGACACAGCAAAACTTTATTGAAAATTAATGATAAGCAAAACTGATACCGCATATCGCTGACAAGGCAAATTCGCGTTTCACGATGCGATAAACATACGGGAATTCGCTACAAACTACTGTGTCACGGGAAAGGATACCGCAGGTTTGATGCGGCAGATTCGCGTCTCACGTTGCGGAGGACCCGCGGAAACCCGCCGAGAACTCGCATCTCCCGGGAGTGGATACCACTGATCGCAGACGTAGCAGATTCAAGTTTTATGGTGAAATAAACACGCGGGGACCTGCTACAGTCTTGCCTGCCACAAAACCCGATATCGTGTGCGCAGATCGCGGAAAAAAACACGGGAATCCGATACAAACTCACAAGTCACGGAAACAAATACCGCAGATCGCGAACGCAGCAGATTCGCATTTCACGATGCAATATACACGCGGGAACAACTCGCGTGTTACGGGAGCCGATAACATGCACGCAGATCGCAGACAGAAAAAACGCGGGAACCCGCTATGAACTCGCTTCTCGGACGCACCAGTACCGCAGATCGCGCCGTTGATGCACAATTCCTGCCGGACATGGCTTTTTGTCCGACGGGAATCGGGGTGGGCGATGTTTCGGAATTTTTATGTTACAGATATTTAGCCAAGAAAAACAGGTTGGGCAATCTTTCGGGGGAGAGCGTCCTTACGGGATTTTACGGTAGGCTTATTTACTCGGGCCTTTCTATTTGCAGAGTTTCTCCACTGTTTTTCGAGTAGTCCCTTTTCCAGTATTACATGCCGGTTCATTCATATCTGTGCTTGTTCCAGTTTGACACTGTTTTGGGTAGAAAAATTGGTTACAAGGCTTCTGTAGTAGATCAGGAAATTAGTTTCATTATCGAACCAAGAAGTTTGTCTAACTATCGCATATATATGTTGGGAGTTTGGTTATTTAGGAGGCAAATTGAAGAAAAGCAGCATGCGCTTACCTTGACCTTGCTTCAAACATCATTTCTATAACTCTTAGTATTTGTTTGACCAAACATTAACAGACTATTAAGAACTGAAACATTATTTGCTAAGAGTACTGTACAGTCAACTCTTGTTAGTTCAAACGTGCGGATAATTCAAACTAACATGCAGATTTCATCCTATGCGTCTCTACAGGAGGAAACTCCCGATAAATCAAACTTTCCTTTATGCAAACAAATTTTCGGTCCCCCTAGAGTTTGAATTAACGAGATTCGACTGTATTTGTATAAACTGGAGCAGTGGCATAGATATTTTTTTTTGGAGGGGGGGGGTTATTTTTGAAACCTCTTTCTGCCTACTCCACTGTCTTAGAACCGAAAGACCACTCCATTTTTAGATTGTCCTCTGGGTGATGCCATTTTGCTGCCTATAGTGCATTGTTGTGATTGCCGCTCACAACTGCAGAGGACGCGATTGAGTCCAAGCTCTATGCAACTCCTGCGAATCAAATGACGTGAGAATGCATACAGAGCAACGCTGGATACGAATGTTAAGGTGCCGAACCTTTACTCCGGAGCGAAATCGAGAAACACGGCCACGAGAAGGTGCAGACGCGACTGAGGCGCCATGGGTGCGTTGAGGAGGTTGAAGCAGGTGGCGCTTCATTATGCGAAGTAACGCGGACGCTGTCACGGGCGGCGCCGCCAACCAGCTGCCAAGGATGAGCGGTTTACCCCCTTTAGGTGTCGCGGACTCCCAATACGATTAGTAAACTAAAAATATCTTTTAAGCATGCTTTGCAAAGTGTTTCGCAAGAGTGCAGAATTAGTACACGTTCAGTTTACGTTACTTTTTACCGACGACGCGCGAGTTCTCGGTTCCACCCTTTCAAAGATTCCCCTTTCTGTCTCTGCTCACGGTTTCAGAGCTACGTGGTGGCATTCGTGGTGGTGATTGCGCGCGGCCGACAGTCGGCCGTGGAGGTGAACACCGACGACCTCGACGGCAGCGACGACGAGGACCTCCTCCGCGCCTGATTTGTGCTGCAGTCAATCTGGTGGGGGTTTATCATGGATCCTCGAATTTCTGGAGATTGCAACAGTGCCTGAGACGCATCTCCGACGGGTGTATTTACCGCGTCCTAGAAAGTGGTCCCTCTATTTCCGCCCGACAACGTAAAAGTGTCGCGTCGTCGCCGGATGTGCGATCCTGGTGGTATCACAGCAGCAGCAGTGTTGGATATGGCAGACGTCCGTTCTGCCGATGGTCGTTCTCCAGCTTGACAGTCCACAGAGTCCTCGGCAGCCAAGAGTTGGGACTCTGCGACGACAGCAATGCTCGCATGCTAATTTTTGTCGGGACTCGTAGCACCGAGCGCCAGGATCGCGACATTGGACAACGTGCCACGCCGGCTTTTGTGACGTCATTTGTTGCCGTTTGGGGGACCACTTTTGATGTGTGGGCAAGAAGACGAGTTCCAGGCACCTTAATGCACGTGTGGAGAGCGAGTGCAGAAAGAAGCTCGAGCTTAGTTTAGCTTATTTGTGCGTAGAAAAGACCCAAACAATGTCGAAGTATAGCGTATGTTTATGGTTTGCTATGTCTGTCATTGGGCGGGGCGTCGACAGCGTTTGAGCCCGTTTATTTGTGCCGGGTCCGATGGAGGAAACGAAACCCGATTTTTCGGCCCACGTATATAAACTAGGCATCACTCAGAGCTGGAACTCAAGGAGATTATGATAGAATGATAAAGCTTGGGAACACGACGTTACCTAGGTAAAAGGATACGAGTGAAAAGCAAAATTTCTGTCAGCTGATGTCCATCTAAGCCTAATATATTGATTAAATCAAAATATGACATTTTGTATGCCTGTACTCAAGCTTCCTTATTATACCACCACTGCTAGCGTCAGATTCTCACCGAGTTTCAGCTTTCTGCAGTATGTAATTTACTAATGCGAGCTGAAAAACCGGGTTTCATTTTCTCAGTCGAACCAGTAGTTTGTTCCCTAGCATCGCTCGGTGCTCCGTGTTCTTCAAAACATATTCAGCTGCCTATGTGCCACCATCTCTAAGGGTTAAGGATTTCGGAGAGTGATCTCTAATCTATTAATAGGCGGTGCCAAAGAAGGTAAGGTCTGTCGAGGCCAGAGCTCTACGTAGCTGTTGCATTCTGACGTACAGTAGCAGTGCTCCATCCACTTCCAACGCCCTCAAAGCAAGAACTTGATGGGTGCCACTTTTGGTTCGGAAAGTGAGGCTGTTACCGGAAGTAATGAAAAGTAGGATTGGTGACGTGGTTTGAGTGTGGCATTGTGGGACATTGATTTTCTTTATTTAAATGCCTTTTTGTATACTATACTCTGTTGCAGGTTACAAGTGGAAAGGGTGGGGGAATTGTGGGAGTAGCTTGTCCTGCTTCTCTTAACCTGCAACAGAGTATAGTCTTTGTGTACTATGCATGTTTGGGTATGGTGCTGAGAGGTATGCAAAAAGGGATGCAAGTCCTTATCCCCGGACCTGTGCACTTATTCTAGAATACCGTGGCTGCCTGCTCGGAGGCTGGAGGTGTATGTTTGCAAATTATGTATAAAATTGTTTTTGGAGCCTTATACGTTGCTTCAAATAGTTAGTGCTGTTTAAAATTTCCGAGAAATCCTTTACCTGGGACAGTAGCAGAGCTGTTGTTTACGAAGCGGTATTCGGTTATTTGATGTTTGAGCTCTGCAAGGCATGCATTTTATTGCTTTTCTATAGTCGGTGAAAGGTTGAGAGTTCAGGGGAATCTTTTCCCACCTCTTTCTTTGTTAACGGAGCATACGCTGGAGAGGAGGTTGCCTCCACTCCGGCGTTCGCTCTGCAAAAGTGGAAAGAAGCGGATGGGGTTTCACTCGAACTCCTAACCTTTCACCGACTATAGTTGGCAGCCCCCTGGCGGTACCCCAATGTTGCCAACATATATAATAGTTGGACACCTTTCGAGTTATGGGAAGCCTCATCACCCGGCTGGAGTCTTTGTTGTGCACTATAGCTTCCTAGCTATGCAACAGTATTGACAACTCGTGGCGTGATGTCGAGCAAACAACTTAAAATTGTGTACATGGGCAAGTGTAACGGGGTAATATATTAAGAGTTTTTTTAATTCTCTAGTCTTTTTTGTTTCTTGTGCTAGGCACGCTGCCATCAAGCTACTTTGTTTAGTTATATGGTTGGATCGTTACAAGATTCTCATGCCCTGGACTTTGTAATTTGTCTTTTCTGGAACATCAAATAAATAACCCTTGTTGCATGCAATTTGTCCTTTGTCAGCTGTATTTGGCTGTTTCGATAGCTTAGGCTCTTATGAAATTTATGTTCTTCTATTAAATATTTTTTGACAAGCAGAAAGAAGAAAAAAAATCTTATGTGTCAAACACAGTTTTTAGGTGCGATTGTTTCAATTGTTTGGAAGACATTAAACAGTCGTTCCGGGAGTGAAGAACCTAAATCTTTATCGATTTTGGAGAAACTGAATCGGTATGTCACGTAACCAGGGGGGAAAGGGAGGCAAATGGGGAGGGAGGGGTGGGGGGGATGAGGGTTAGGGAGTGGAAGGGAGGGGGAGTGCACTGTAGAAGGTTAAAAAGAGGGAGGAGAGAGGAAGGGGGAGAGGTCATTGGCGTGTCACGCGACATATATTTCCCATTTTAGACAAAACCCCGAGACTAGGAGGAAAAGAAGGACAACACAACACAAAGTCTCAAACACAGCTGAAATTTTTTGGGCAGATTATCATGGTTTTATCCAAAAACCAAAAAGAAGGAAAAAGGGGAGAGGGGAAAGTTGAACTTCTCTTTCCCAAACACACAAGAGAAGGACATTGACTAATACCACACTGGTACTATTCTAATGCAAACAAAAGGGGGGAGGAGGAAGATCTCTTATCCCACCCCGGTGAGGTCCCGACACACTTCACAAAAGAAAGGGCTGCGGGAAGGTGACTCATCGGAGGAAAGACCGAACATGGACAAAGGCGAACAACCTCTGACATTCGTCACACCCGAAACAAAGGGGGAAGGGGTGAAACTTAAGCCCGAACAAACAACATCCTACGCAGATATAAAGGTGACTTGCAAACAATCAAATTTGTAGAAATCTTTTTAACTCCGTGTCCAAATTAAAAGACTGCCTATATACTGCATTCCCGTGACTAATAATAGTGAGGGACTCTTTTACCCATCGTTTATGATCCTCTCTCTCGGTCAACACGACCGATGGGGAATTCCATAGAGGTACGTAATTGTTACATTCCAACACGGGTTTTGACATTTCTGAATGCTGATCTTTGTTTCTAATACAATGTTTGTGTTCAGTTAAACGATCATTCAAACACCGCTTTGTTTGTCCAGTGTAACATAACCCACAGACAAAAGGAATTTTGTATACTACGCCCGACACACAGTCAACTTCTTTTTCTCTGTTTTTTTGTACATCCAGTTCTACGTCAGCCTAGAGTTCCTGTATAGGCTCCCTACGGAAGTCAGAGTTGTGCGTCTGTTTTTTACGTGCTGCCGCGCTGCTATTCGCCGAGATCCAATCACGTGAGGAGCGGGATCAAGTGCCATGCAGGAAAGTAGACGTTGCACGCACCCCGGCGCACGTTCTCCTGTTTTTGAGCACGCCGTGAGCCTCGAACGTGCGGCGCCGCTATTCGCCGAATTCAGTCGCGTGACGAGCAGGATCAACATGCCGTGCAGGAAAGACGGCGCTATGGACATGAACGCGCAACTCTGGCTCCCACGGGAGCCTATACAGGAACTCTACGTCAGCCAGCCGTCAATTTTTCTGCATCAAAAAGAGAGTGATTTTATTTCACGTCGTGATGACTGACGCCACGGAGTGATTCAGTGTATTTTTATCAGAGGTTGTTTACTTTAGCTGTTTTTAAATAAATGTGCAGTTGAGAGTAAGCGCTTGTCCAGTTCGCCTTCCTTTTTTTTTGTCCCCGTCTTTGTTGGCACTTTTAAATTTTATAAGTCATGAACCAACTCACCCGCTTCGCCACTTTAGTGGCAGTGGTAATTTCTAGGGCTGTCACAAACTTTTGTCGGACCGGATTTTTAGGTCGAACTTTCGGAGTTCGACTGGATCGAACCAGTTTGACGATCCTTTGAACTTTTAAACAGATACGACCGGTTCGACTTTGTGGGCAGTGTGGCCAGACCTTGATACAAGCATGTCTAGGTTTGGAGAATTTTTTTTTTATGCAAAGGGTTATTTTAATTTTATGAACAGTTGCAATTAAAAGAAACTAATTCTAATCACTGAAGAAGGTAATCGCTTAATTTTTTTTGTACTGTATTGACTGAAATAACCAATCAGTGCTGCCCTTAATTCATCCCTTAGCCATCACCATGTGATCCAAAGCCAACCGGCCAGCCTGTCGCGCATGCACATAGCAGTCGAACCCGAGTCGAACTTTTTACAAGAAGTTTGAAAAAGTTGAATCTGATCGAACTCGAACTTTGACCGGTTCGCGACTTCTCTAGTAATTTCCATGGGGAGGAAATCAGACTGTGGTGCCTCAAGCGGCTATCTTTAGAACTACACGGATGGAGACAACAATTAACAATGACTCAGCACTCGGCTGACTAAACCGAACGTCGCGTCGGTGCTCGTGCTCTCCGGTGAGGGGGAGGAGGTGATGTTCTGTTGCCACTCCGGCCTGCATGAACAATGCAGCATGCATGGTACAAATGGCCAGCTCAGCACAAAAGCCGAAGTGGGTCAAGCTCGCATTCTCTGACGACTGCGTTCGGGAGAGATCCAGCACTAACTACAACACTTTGTTTATTGTTAGTATTTTTACGTTAAAGGCCGACGACCGGACTCGAGATTCTGTAAGGCAGAATATTTTCCTCACCATGGGGGAGGACGAAACAGGCAACTGTGGACAGGGTAGAAGGGGGAGAGGAGGGAGCGGGGGAAAAGTGGAAAGCACGAACTGGTTGTCGGTCTTTAAGTCGTGAACATACCCACAAGGCCTTTGAGCATGTCCGCAGGCCTTTTGTTGGGTAAACACCGAGGTGTGGGAGCAACAAATGGGTCAGAGCGCCCTTCATAGTTTGATCTCCCCATCATATAGCGGTTGCAATAGTCGTAAAAAGTATATTTCTGAATATTCGGAATATTTTGTCATAATTGAAAAGGGAAGAGGGACCAAGTGGCTGGGTGCCAAAATCACAAAGAAAACAAAAGGAGAAGCCCAACTCTGAGGATTGCCTCTTCCTCGTGACGTTGGTGATGCCGCGCCTCCGGGCGCTACGGTCTTGCACCAAGTAGATGTGCCTCAGTGTTGCCAAAAGTCGGTGGTGACAGGGTAAAAATTCAAGTGAAACTCCTCCCACCTCTTTAGCAGAGCGAATGTTAAAGAGGAGGTCGCTTTCTCTCCAACATTCGCTCTGCTAAAGAGGTGGGAGGAGCTTTCCTTGACAAGCGGGCCTGCGTTTGCCCACTCCACAACTTGTGCACTCCACAACTTGTGCACTCCCCAACTCCACAACCACATTCACGGCATGCGATGAAACGTCTGTGCACGCATGTGCAGTAGCAGCGGCACCGCAGTGTCATGAAGTCAACCCACCGAACAGATCCACGTTTTGCCCCAACGTTGGTTAGCCCACACTGATTGTGAGCACTGCGCGTGCTTAGAAACGAGATTTGCGTGAGGTCTGAACACTCACCATGCCGAAATCAGCGCCACCACGGCATACGACGTCAGAGCCGCATAAATAAGGGCGTGCTCAATTACATACAAATCGGAGAGAACTTGCCTTCCAGAAACCGATTCAACATCAATCCAGAAAGATGCCCACGAAAGCATGACGACGAGGCTGCTGGGCAGGTAGGTCTTCAGTACTTGTGATGTCATCTGTCTCCAAAAGACAAACGGTATGTACAGGAAGGCGAACTGTCCTGTGAGAAGAGAGTGCTGCGTGTGATGGAAATGCTGTCCTGGAACACTACGCGGCTCGCGCATATTGCATGAAGATGAAACTCTGTGTGTTCCAAAATGCGTCTTTGGCACATCAAACATTCCGCAAACTCCCGTCTTGCTAAAACCGTGCAGTACAGCCGTAGCCACAGGGGAGGGAGTGTGTTCCAACCTTTTCAAGGGGAGGGAAAGGAGGAACGGGAGAAAGAGGCTGAGATTCCCAGCCCTTCTTTCCTGTTCCTCCTTTCCCTCCTCTTGAAAAGGTTGGCATATGCTCTCTCCCTTGTAGCTTTGGCTGTACTGCATGGTTTGCGAGGACGAGGCAGCCGAGCTGGCGCCATCATTGGTTGAGGTGGTACTTAAAAAGCAGACGAACTTACACGGCTGACGATCCGATGGAGTCAATCAAACTGCGTGGAAAGTGCGTCGTCATGCGCTTGTTAAATCCTCGTCATTGTGGGTTTCCTATCGCCGGCTAAACCAGTCAAGCGCAGACAAACAAAGAAGCGCAGGATTGCAGTTTATTGTCTTTACGCGCTCAAAGACAATGAGTGCCAAGATGATGCACCTCTGGCGCTTCTTTGATTGGATTGTGCGTTGACTGCAGGGTGGTGATAAAATATGCAATTTCGGAACATGACGTTCACAACTTGCACATTTGTGAACATAACGATAACAAGTAAAAAGTGCTCCAAACCGTCAGGCCAATGCAAAAGGAGGACTTTACCAGTCAGGAGCGAGTGATTGAAGGAGCTCGGGGTGTGGAATCTTCCATATCGGATGGTTCGCCGTACAGCGTCACTCTCTTTTAGATTTCCTTGAGCCCACTGCTTGCATAGTCTGCCCAGTATAGGTACACCTTCGAATTGCGTTCTCCACCTGTACAGCGTACGCAAACAGTAAACCCTTTTCAAAACTCCGTCAAGCAACATTGGTGGCCACCATTTTTTGGCCACGAAGCCCTCGTGGCCAATACGTGCCTCGAGCAGTCTCGAACGAAACGATTTACAGCGCGCTTCCCTGGTTTTGAGAGTGTACATCAGTGTTGCCCGACTGCTCTGGGATGTGGGTTTCTTCGTCTGGGCTGTGGCAGCCTGCATAGGCGCAATTCCGGACACTGGTAGCGGTTGAATTACCGCATTTTGTTAGTGCGAAAGCAATAACTGTCTCATGGAGCGAGCCAACGTCATCAGCTTTGAAGCCGCGCCAAACGGCACCTGAACTCCTTTCTCCAAGCGAAGCCGAGATCTGATGGCTCCCAACTTTGAATCCGCGCGAAAGGCCTAGCAAACGGCACTTAGTTTCTTCTCTCACAATAGAGCACAGTGAAGCCGAAATCTGATAGATTTCGGCTTCAGTCCTATTGGCTAGCGCGCGTCATAGATTCAAGGTATGAGGCTCCCATTGGCCGCTGCTCGTCAGTTTCAATGACGGCCACCCCATGGCACTGCACGCCCACACCGCCAGCATGCCGGTACAATACAGAGGCAGGAATCAGCTGGCGTGCTCGGGCGGACTGCCATCGCGCGGGAAACGAATTGGCCGTGCCGTCACTCTGGGGAGCAGCGGTGCAGCCGATGTCAGTGCAGCGGAGCCGCCTCACAAGGACGCGCGCAAGAATGACATTTATGCTTTCGCATTCACAGCTCATAAAAAGTGCTTAAACGTACCTCGAGCGTTTTTTTTTTATTTTGTGGTTTATTGTGGCGAATGGAATTTATCGATGTCTTTAAGAAAGCTCTGTACTAGTTTTGGGACAAAAACAAAGAAATAAAAGCTACTTTTGGCAAGTCTGTGCACGACAGAACAAATCCAACTGGAATTTTTGTTTCATTTTATGTTGATTTTTTTTACAACACTGTGCACTCAGCCGTGTAAATCTACAAAGGTCCTTAATGTCTAAACTATTTGACCACACAGGATAGCCGAAATGCATGGGTAATCCCCGCTTACAACATGAAATATGAGTCTCATCAATCCCAGAATGCAGCGTTATCCGAACAGGATTTGAGAAAGGTCTCAAATAACAGAGCATATCCAATATAAAGTGTCGATGACAGTCACTTCACGACGGTTGGGCGGAATCCGGCTTGTTTTAGGGCACGTCTCAAAAAGAGCTGCTTTTTTTTTGCACGGCACTAAAGCAAATGAACGAACGTGTCTGACCCTATCTGCGGTCCGTGGGCTGCGTCAAGCGAATCCTGGAGAAAAGCTCACCGAAGAAAAGCTCTCCTATAGCTCTACCATATCACCCGCACCTCAAAGATTTTTCTTCTCGCCGTCTCGTACACTTTTGCCTTCGAAAACCCTTTTTGTTCCACAGCGTTGCTCTATTTGTGCTGCCATGTGATCAATTAAGAGTAGATTTGGAATATAGCCATGGCTAGTAGTGGATAAAAACAGATTGTTTTCTCCCCTTTATTGATAGCAACTCGTCGGAACAGCTGGACGATCCACTCCATGGCCGATATATGATGCAAAGACATCTACGTGGAACACATCTTCAAAACTTTGCCACAGTGCCGATTCTTGATCGGCATCCAACATAGAGTTTGGTATCCAAGCGTGCGAAGGCACAGAGACGCAGCGCTTCGGCGTGCCAAAAAAAGCTTTGATCGCGCCGCGAGACCGGTGAAACTTGCTTTCGACGAGTTTTACTTTTTTCCTGCAGCACTGCTCTTCCGTAAAAAAATTTCAAGCGTTCTCAACGGCAATTTTCACGGCTTACTCACGATTTTAAAGAACTGTTTTGGTGAATGACGATGCACGAGAAGAAAAGGTGTTTACTAAACGCTGCCGCCAGCATCCGCAAAGCTCCAAAAACGAGATTTTTTGAGATGCAAGATGGTCGTCCGGTGGCTTCACTCGCGGGAGCGGGAAGCGCGATCCAGCAATTGTCATAGAGACAGCATTATTGTATACATCCATCCAGCCTATGCAACAATGGCGGCGGACGGCCTGTGGCAGTATTTTTTTCGTGTACGGTTGGCTTTGGTCGCCTGGCTCCCCTAGCCCGTGCGTCGGTGCTTCAATTCCATCCTTGAAAGATGGTCCACGAACTTTTCTCTTTTTCTTTTTAACTTGTCGCTAGCCAGTGGCGTTAATATCGTGTCAAACAGGGCCATATCCGGCCGTCCGATGCACGGAAAAATGTTTCCTGTCAACCATACTGATCGCACTGTGATAGTACGGCAGGGTGCGTCGTGGCTCGTCGTGCGCTATCTTTACAAAGCGGTTACAAGTCCAACGAGGACGTGAATTCGCAGGTTCCTGTGCGAGGATTGAGGTAGGAACGTCTCGGCTGTTGCCCTTGTCGCACGCGGTAGCGCTGGATGTCCGCTCTTCAAGGTAAGCTGGGCGCTCGACGTCATGCTTCGTGAAAGGCTTCGAGAAGCATCGCTAAAAAAGCTTATCACCCGTTTCTCTTCACACAAGCAGCACAAGCGAACCACGCAGAGTTGTCGCCCGGCGGTGTCAGCTGTCACCGAATGGGAAGGCACGAGCAAGGATGTTGAACTTTCCGACTGTCACGTAACGTTGCGTGCCTTTTACAATTCAGTTTCAAATGTGCAGGCCGAAGGTGTGCACATCTTGTATGAACAATGTGTACACCGTCACTATTTGTGCCGTCTGCTACAAGCACATTTTTTTTTTTTTTTTTTTTGCAATTGAGGGTACACATGTTTTTATTGACAAGGGTGTGCGTCTCCAAAACTATTTACTGAAAAAAAAAAAAAAAAGATTACTTAAAATGATTATATTCCTTTCCTCCTTCAAAGTTAGCCACACTCAATGTCATACATGTCAATGCAACGGTAGTATTATTGTGTCAGCTTTAGAATTTTCCGGTGGCAATTGCTTGATAGGAACATCGTCTTGCTTGCACCATGACAGTTGATGTTGTGAACTGCAGAGTAGATGCTCTGCCTCCAGTGCAAGATTTCTGCCCTTGATAACACCTTGTCACATGCGAAGCCTAAGCCGACGGAAGGCAGCGGGCAAGTGCTGCAAGCGGAGCTTCGGTATAGAATAAAAGGTGAACTGCTGTCTTTCGGCTTGTGGGAGTTGCCGTCGCCCTAACACGATAGAAAGGAATATTTCTTCGCTTTATTGTCGCTGTGCTTCCATCCGGCGTAAGCAGCATGTTCGTGTACATATTGAGTAAACGTGCCGTATAACAATAACAAAATTCTGCTCAAATTTGTAACCATATCACTCTTCGAGCCACTAATGGGCCAACTACCAGTAGCATCGGAAGTATTTTGGAGGTGGAGGGCCCTGCATACTCCGGCACTGTGTTTCCATTTCAGCAACAACTCGAGGGGCTGGAAGCAATTGGCACGAGTGCATTCTACGGGTTGCAAACCCTGGACAAGCAAACTGCTGACAACGAACCTGCGACCAGCTGTGCTTACAAAGCGGGCACTGATGGCTATTCAACAACTCTTGCGCGGTGCTGTCGAAGGCCCGGAATGCACCTGTGCAACTTCGTTTGCTCGTGCAATCGCTCGAGGAAACAGATTTCACGCTATTTCTCCTGTCACATGTGCCTCCCAGAATGGTGCGCAGCATGCTCCAAGTGTATGAACGACAGTGTGCCAGCAGTCCCGAGACCTAATTTTCCCTGCCAAGTTTTTTTTTTTTTTTTTTTGCAGCTTGCCATCTGAAGCATGCTATATATACGTTTGTATGTAGAGCTTTCATATAATGTTCTTTGCAGCGTGTAACTGAGGTCAAAAATTGTTTCTCTATTTACTTTGTAGATGCAAATGTCACATGCCCCTTAAACGGTATAGTTGAATACTGTGCTCGAGTGTATGACACATACTGTATGTGTGTGTGTGATTCCACCGATTACACGTTTTTGGTACTTGTGGTATTAAATCGGCTTGCCTGAAAAGAAATGTACATTGTTGCTTTCTGCCCTTTGAATATACTTGTTGAATGAAGTGGCTCCTTGAAGGTCATCCATGTTTGCCAAGATTTGCAGCCTAAGACTTGAATCATATGGTCTTTAACACTATGCATTGACTGTGCTCATTTGAATTATCAGCATGTGCTCCAAGCAGAGTACACCACGGGTGTTGTGTACTCCTTACTTTGCACCAACATCCCTGGCATTAGTGCTTGCATATTAAAAGCTACATCTAAAGCTGTATGAATCTGCACTTGTAGCTTCCTTTGCTGTATCTACTTGAGTATCAACAGTATGGCTTTCAAGCTGTGGTAACGGCCAATCAGATTCTATAATGGCAACCAGTGCGACTTTTTCACAGTGTGTATCCTTATTCGAGATGCATGCTTGTTCATCACATTCAGCGAGTTTCATTACTGCCTGGATGTTTCCTTTTTTTTTTCTATACTTTCATGTAATGATTGCTTCGAACGAAGTGTCCACATCTCAATTGACTATAGTACGCTGCACAGGACTTGAGTAGGATTAGTACCGCAAGTCTTAATGCCCATTCACACACTCTCGTTTGCTTGGGACCGCGTGCCTTAAAATCTCGTACGATGAGAGAACACATAGGGAGGCTCAAGTGAGGGTGGGTGCAACTGCTAGATCGGCGATCACGGGACATGGACGCCATTTAATTGCTAAATTTTGCTGGGAGTCTATGGGGCATAGGGTCGTTTTCTTTCCTAACTCGGGTCATAAAAGCCCATTAAGGTGCTTGAATAATTTACACAAGGTATAAATGATTACTTTTCCATAGCCACCAATTTTGTTGCGATAGGTTAAGTATTTTTTTAACGCGAAAAATGGTAAATTCCGCCATCTTGGACGTTGCTGCTTGTCTGGCAACTTTGCTTTCTCCGCTCGACGTTTGCAATTCTCGGAGCGAGAAGGAAGCGAGAGAGGCTGCGCCAAGGCGCTCGTTGCTTGCAATGGGAGGCGAGAGGAGGAAAGGCGCATGGAGCAACGGAGTTGCAACAGAGCGGGCGCCTGCTCTCGTGCAGGCAACACTGGCGCATTTCCTTTCTCGAATCCTCTCCCTCAGGCGCCGCCATTAAATTGCAAACGCTCTCCAGGTTTTGAGTTGCGCCCACCCTCACTACAGCCTCCCTAAGAACACACTGTCACGCTGGGGCCATCTATGAGGTGGTCCTGGAACTGCAGTTTACTAGAGAGATGCAAGCGCTATCTACGAAAGATGGTAGTTTATAACATTGTAAAAGGTTTCTCGAGCTAAGAAGAAAATAATGATGTGAGGATAATATTGGAAATGTACAGAATTGCCGAATGTTCCACGTCTACCCAGTAAAAGATTTTAAGAAGTTATAAGGTGCACGGTCGTAAACGGTCGCAAGTGTGTGAACCAGCCTTTGGCACGTAATCGAGGACGGTACTTGAGTCCACTTCAGTTTGAGAACTGTTTGACCGACTGTCGCACCAGGGCGAGTCTGAGTATGTCTTTCCTTGCAGAGTTCGACGTCGGTACGGACGGGATGCTGTGGTGCCGGTACTGTAACTACGTGAGCAAGAGGGGCTTCAACATGAGGCGGCACTACCAGAGGAACCACCTGGGTAACCCTCTCCCGCACCTCCCGCAGGGACACAAACCACTACAGGGAGTATTTGCTGGCAGACGTAGCTGCATGCACGACTGCCGAGCACGTGCCGACGGCGAGCTTCCACGGTGCTTTTGCAACGTGCGTTCCACACCATCGAGATTGCCGGTCTTGGTGGCCTATTATTGCGAGCACGTTGAGAGTATGCGCTCTAGATGGTGTGCTCAAATATGGAGTCCAGCGAATACTCTCATCGTCGGCAAGGAACGAGAATGGCAGGACATGTTTTTCGAACGCCCGGCCTCCAGCACGGGCTTCATGCCTTCCGATGCTTTGGCTGGACGTGCGTGCTTGAGGTGGACGACACAATGAAGAGTCGTTGAAGGTAGAAGGCTCGCACTGTAGGCGGGACAGCTGAAGCTCCTCTCTGCCGTACTTCCCTCGAGAATGACTGTAGACAAGCTTTCTGTGCCTCCTCACTGTGCCACCAAGACGGAAAACACTGCGGGTACTAGTCTTCCCGTGGTAAGGGGGACACGGTACGTAACGACATATAGGCATAATTAATCGACCAATGAAAAGTTTGAAACTTCTATTTGAGAAGTGGGACATAGTTTGAACGCCTCTCGATCGCTGGTACAACTTTGCGACTTGTCTCTTCCGTAAAACGCGGCTTGCAGAAAACTCGGAACGTTGTAGGCTTCTCTATTAGTGCTGGGAAAGCGAGCAACATTTTTGGCAACGTCGAGAGGCGATGTTCAGCCGCTTGCGTGTATTGGCAGGTGAACGGGTCGAGCGAGGCTCCATGTGCTTGAGATTTCTTCGTGGGTTGCGACCGACTCCGATATTAACTTCACCATCTGGCTGATCTGTGCATCCACAAAGATCCCGTTTGTGTTGAAGCTTGGGTGGAATTTCCTCTCGTACCTATTTTTGTTGGTGCAGAGCTGGGAAACCACCGAAGATGTTTGTGGTATAGCCAAACGGGTAAAGAAAGAACGCCGACAGGCCGGTAGGTTATCGTGGGCTAGGAGGGGAGGGGTGGCGATCGCTCACTTCTCCCAGTGGCCAAGGGTGTTCCCATGCTGTGTGCGTCACTATCAACATGGCATCGTCTGCGGGCTGGCAGCAGCACCACGACAGCGAAGATCAGTTAATTCTTTAGAAATTGGCTTTTAAATGAAACAGAGCGGGCAAAATATAATAGGGGTCGTGTTCCCATTTACGGCTGAACAGTACCTATATAGAATGCAACGAAATACTCAATCCGCCAATTTTTGTGAGCCCCTTCTTCTCTTCTAGCCCCGAAGTGCAAGATGGTGCTGCTGCCCGCTTACAGATTAAACGGTGCTCGGTAGGCTAGAATCGCGGGACCACTTTTGCCCGCACCATTGTCGCACCTCCCCTTTTACCCCACGGTAAGTAGGTCATTCGTCGTCTTCTTTCATTAACCGAGTTTACTTCTTTATTTTCTTTGCACCAAAACCATTTATGACATTTGTGTTTACGCAGCGTAAGGTCGGTCTGCCTTTGAGTTGCGGCGACACCGGGGTAGGCTGTAGATGAGAAATTAGCCAGTCCAATACCTCTGCTAGCCTGGGTTTCTTTATTGCGCATTGCACAGTAACGATACACGACCGCGTGCCAGTACAGTGCCCATAAAGGAAACTGGTAGGCATAGGAATCAAACCCTGGATCTCTGGGTTCTGCAGTGTGAGCCATGCGCTCTGAGCTGGTGTACACTAACATGCTTGGCCACCAATCCCCCAGCTCTCTATACACAACAAATTTTCTGAGTAATGTGTTTGCTGTGGGCAATCGTTGCAGTAACAAGCACCCTGTGTTTCAGGCCTGCTGGCTCCCCGCCTGGTATCGAGGGCAGAGTTGGTGCTCCTGCCTCCCGTTTCGGAAGGATCCCACAGGTGAGCAGCCACCAGGGGGACAGTATCATCCAACTCCGATTATAAACACCTCCATAACACATCTTCAAGCTGAGTCCCACCCAGGGGCAGAACTAAGGGGTGTGCAACTGCCCTTCCCCCCTCCCCCCCCTTTTCCAAGCCTGACTCGCAGATCTGCCCCAGTTCCAACCCCAGAATGCTTTACACAGAGCACACGGACCTATGCTATAAACCCCCCCCCCCCCCCCCCCCCCCCCCCCGTTAACCTTTCCGAGAAATGTTTTTACGCACCCCCCCAGATGGATAATCCTGCAATAACCCCTTCACAAGATAAGATTGAAAGTAAGAAAGCTTAAAAACTGTCAAAGTAAGGAAGCTTAAAAACTGTCGGAGATCGACTCAGAGATTGTATTTTTATGGCAATGTCAGGACCTATGCGAGTCGTGCGCACCTTTAGCCAGTTGCATGTACCATCCGAGCTAAGACGAGTTTGAGGCCAACACCACCGAAGTGTCATTTGGCCGAGGCTACTTGAACGCCAGTACGGCATTTGATGGGGTACCATTGTCTTAGTACGATAATACCAATCTTACGGACGTCTTTGTTGCTTCCAATATCTATCTGTGCAGGGGCTGGATCCTACCCTAGGAGCCGAGGGGCTGCATCAAACCTCCCGCCGTTTGTCATGGACGCCGTGCCTCACAGTGTTTGAACTTGGAAGAAAAGAAATTACTACCCTATTTTTGTATCACTCGGGAGCCTTAAAACTGCAGCCACCGCCAGGGCGAGAATGACAAGGGTCGTCCTGGCCGTCCTGCCTCCTGCGCAAGCTTCCCACCTTAGGCAACGCTTGGGCGTCCTGTCGGTGGCTGTTATGGGACATCGGTGGCTCCCCACTGGACTGCTTGCAATAAAATATGCCGGTCTACGTTATCCTAACTGAAAAATTATTGAGCCGAGTTGGTCCGCGTCTTAATCTGCCCGAATATCGAGAGTGTAGCGAAAGCTTGTTCTCGTTAGCCGATCGGGCAGTGCGCAGCTATTGAACGGGTGTGTTCTCTCTATAAAGCTTTTTTGTACAGAATGTGTGTACACCAAGCCACAATGAAGCGAGCAAATAGGGTATAACCTCGTTACAACAGGTATGGTTACTGCAGACATCCAGTTATAACGTTACCAATTCGTGCAACTTATTACAGATTTTGATGTAACATACATTTGGATATAACGGACTGTATTAGGAAGTTTGTTAGCAGTTCGCTCACCATTCCATAATAGCGGATTCTTTGACAGCAGCAATTCCGGACATTGTGTGGCTTTGGTTCGGTAGCAGTGGCATTCATTTTGCAATAGGTGCAACTCAATAAAAATAATTGCTACCTCCAACGTATGATAAAGCGAATAAATGCACCACACGTTCAAATAACTGCAATTGTGTGCTTTTTGCAGGTTATTGCTTTAACCCTACTGGCATCGATATGGCTACAAGCAGCCAAGTACTGGATTTTATTTTCGTTTCTAGTATGCACTTTAGAATGGTGTAATTCAGTGAGCTCTACACATGAATGTGGTATTGTTTTGCACTTCATATACATAGTAAGCTATGTTTCAGAAGATACCACAGGTAATGTAGAAGACAAACGTTCTTCGTGCCGGGCACTTCTCTGTGATGCAGGTGCAAGGTCATTTGTTCAGTGTTGAATGCATAAAAAACAGAAGAGACCAGTTATCACCAGACAAGAAGCCAGTCATCATCCCACTATGACTGGCTTTAAACCATAGTTAGCCAAATTAGCCATGTAAAGAATTACAAATGCGCCAAAGACACCTGAAGCCAGCGATACATTACTTTCTGACCTCATGCCTTGCACATACGGTTAGTGTAGTCATTGAATGCCAATAGTAGTGCTCGGAAATTGAAGGAATAATGACTGACGAAATAGAGGCAAAATAATGCACTTTTAATAACTATAACAGGCTCTTCCCTCTATACAAGCCCACAGACTTTCATATTTACAACTTGATCATTACAAAATTCTACCTTGTTTGTAAGGTAAAACTCAAACCCTTTGGTTGCTTCACTCCCAATCAGTCTAAATAATATTAAGATACCATCAAATAGCAGTCCTAAAATCCAACACGAGCGAACTATCTGATATTTAGAACTGGTTGCTGTTGAGTGTGCTTTACAAATGACGACACGTGCGCACTGCGGCAGAGAAACTAGCGGTGGCAGTGTTGCAGTCATCCGGCTTGTGCGCACACATTTTTAAAAAGCTTTATCTTCATTTTTTATTGCATTACGGCTCCGTCCGCTGTGGGAAAGAGAAAACTTTGCTGCAACTATTACAAAAGTGTACCATTTTTGTTGCTCCCTCTAGATATAGTAGTACAGAATTGGCCAATGACCAATGTTATCTCAACTACAGATCCTTAGGGTTTTTTTCTTCTAGCAGATGACTAATGTTGTAAGTAATGTGAAGCTATAAAAACCTATCAGCCATTGAACTGTACACGTAACTCTCGCATAGGGGTGGTAGCCTCTACGATTTCGGCCGAGTCTCATTTGGAAGAATACTCGATAATCCTATCGCTGCTCTTATATTGCAACGTTACTGGTGACCAAGATACTGCAAAGAAGTATCGTTAAACGAAGGACTCGCCTCTGAACCCAGTCAGGAATGGCGTTTGGTTCCTTGGAAGCAACCTTCGATTGTTGCGTTTACCCCGTATTCACCCTTGTCCCCACGATTTCTGCCTTGCGACGCTACGAGCGCATTGCGCCACTGCTGGCCAATATCCTGGCGGAGGCAGAGTGGCGGACGTAGACACAGCAGACGCCCGTCGTGCTGCAGGCTGCCCTCAAACTTGACAGTCCACGGAAGTGATGATCGCGTTTGCTCGTCTATTTGCCGAAACTCCCACGACCAACTGCACAGGCACGTAGCCAGGATTTCGTTTCGGGGGGGGCCCACCCATGACAAAATGCTGTATGAGGGGAGGGGGGAGAGGAGGTCCCAGCAAAATGGAAGATTTCGGGGAAGGGGGGGGGGGGGGGGGCAGGCCCCATGGGGCCCCCCCCTGGCTACGTGCCTGTCAGCCAGGATCGTGACAGGCCGGCTCGATGCATGGGTGGTATGGGACGCCAAACACATTGGTCAAAGAACCGTTTCAGGCACCGTAGTATGGAAGGCCACACGCACCACAAAGCTATGACCCTGGATGCAGTTCTTGCGAGTGATGGCAGATCAGGCGACCGGGATGTCGCGACGTTCACATCCATAGCTGACTGAGTTTCCCGTCAGTTTCCTATCCTCCTCGGCCGCTGAATGCTGGTGGTGGCAGTGGAACGTCGGCGTACAAAAAGGTGAAAGACGCGTTGCCGTAGCATCATTGCTGAATGAAGAGGGGAACAGCGAACACACCCCTCGAAGACGCGTCGCCGCAGCAAGTTTGCCGAACGAAGAGGGGAGCAGCGGACACGCCCCTGTAAGACACGTCACTGTGGCACTGTCGCTGAAGACGAGGAGGAGAGTTTCTTCAATGGCAGTGTCACCAGCCGTCGTCAGCCCTGGCGGGAGTACAGCTGCTGTTCGAGCAGCCTCCGCCGGCAGGCCCGAACAAACTCCTTCTCGGTGGCGTTGAGGAGGTACAGGGAGGGCAGGGCGGACTCCCCCGCGCCGGGGAGTGCACGGAGGGTGCCGAGGCGGCGCTCCAGGCGCCCCAGGCTGCAGCTCAGCACCCGCGGGAACAGGCACACCTGCTCTGGGGTGTAGCCATTTGCAAACAGCAGGTCCAGGACCTGCGGTCGGGACCAAGGTTACGTCGGCGTTGAGTCGGCAGTAGTTTGCCTAGATTGCTGAGTGTCTCCAACTGCCCGATCAGGGTTGCACGGTTTCGTTTCACTTAGAGGAGGCTTTATGTAAGGGGGGGCAAAACGTCAAAATACGTGTTAACTAGCACCAAGAAAGGATGCAGTAATACAGTTGTTAGGTTGTTACGTTTCAAACATGACAGTGAGAACAATTCGAAAATTGGTAGGATCCCCAAGTGTAAAATGACATACGGCAGTGGATTGCACTCGGAAACTGATAGCTGCAGTGTGGAAAATTTGGCCGCGTTTGCAATAGAAGTTGCCAGGAGGTGGCAAGGGTGATGGTTGTCTGCTACTGTGTCTCTGTCTCCTCGCTCGTATGTATTGCACGCATGCCTGTAACCATTCTACGCAGGAGAATGGTTGCCCCTTAACTCTGAACTTTTTTGACCAAAAATATTTGTAAAATGGGAAGTTTTTTTATTTTTTTTAGGTGTCTCTAGCTTTTGAAGGTATAACAATAATCTCAAAACCTAAAACAAATTTATTGATATCAAGTTGAATGTGTAACCAGGCGCTTCCGACAATCGGGTATGTATCTTTGACCGTACCGGCATCTTGCCAGGTTGCAGCGGAACTCGAAGTTGATGGTGTTGCCATAAACAATTGTTCCGCTGTGTCATCTTCAATTCCCATGTCCGATCCAGAGGAGCATTCACTTGAATTCGAAAAATCAACATCGCAGTCAAAGTCCTTGAGTATTTTGCAGCAGCTCACCGATTTCTTCGTCGTTCAAGGGACGCTGGCGTTTGCTGGACGCCATTTTCCAAACAAACAGTCAAAAATGTCATACAGAAGTCTTCAACCTTTTTCTGTGCTGCCATATATGCGTCGTTTTTAAAACAAAATGTTTCCGATACACGAGGATAGATGGCACATCCTCCCCGCACGCTAAAACGAGCGAGTGTTTCAAAATGAGCTTCCCAACAACAAAAAAAGTGCAGCGCGTCTATAGACGCGCCCCTCAAGTTGCGGTCAAAATTGAAATCTAGGCTCTCTACTCAGGAGGCTTGACCAAGACACGACTGCTTTCGACAGGATCTGTCTGTCCCCTTTACTTCCTTTCTTAGATTCGGATCCTCTGAGCCTTATTCAGGCACTTAAAAGAAATGTTTTGGGAGCAAGTTCAGTGTTTTTTAAAAGACAAGCTTCGGCGGTTTCTGTACCTGCCCAAACTAACTACTTCTTCAGAATACCCAAGATTTACCCTTCCTGGGTATTCAGAATAGCTATTGAGAAAACAGTAAACGGAGGCGACGCTGAAACCCAGATTCGAATTATCCCCATGCTTTCTAGTGAAGTGACGCTGCACGCTGAAACACTTGCGGGTCAAGCGTGCAGTCTAGGAAACGCAGTATGTCGAGCACTGTTTTCGTTCCGCTAGAATAAGCTCCAGAAATTATTTTACACCATCGAGCTTCTTGTAACCCATTGGGAAGAGGTTGTACTGCCCAAACTACAACTTCTGGGGCCCTAACATACGCAACAAGACCAAGTGGGACCGGGATATTGCAGCCTGCTGCGATTGGTTGGCGGTGCAGAGCTGGCCAATAGCAGCAGGCGGCGATGTACCGGTCCCTCCGTCCCGCTAGGCTTGCCGTGTAGATTAGGGCCCCTGTAGTCACGTTTTCAATGTTGCCAGTGTAACCTGTCTTGATAAATAAATATACTAATTAAAGCATGCTACAGTTCTTCCGTGTGGGACCGAAATCTGCGTTGTACATGCGGGAGAAAGGACCCGGCTTTCGAAGTGTTAAAGGATGCGGAGCTGAGGTGCGAACACTCCCGCACCTGTTTGAGCTTGGGTGCGTTGATGGTGAGCAGACGGGGGTTGCGGTCTGCCAGGAAGCGCACGTAGGCCCCGGAGCAGCGCAGCCGCTCGGCCAGGTAGTGCAGCGTGTCCGTGTGGGGTCCCAGAGCCGTACGCCGGGCACTCCAGCGCTCCAGGTGGCGCTCCAGGGTCTCCTCGGGGCAGCGCAGCATCCAGGGACGCACGGGGGTGCCCGCCTGGGACACGCGCTCCACCCGCGCTCGCATCACCTCTTCGTTGTGCCGGAACACCCAGGGGTCCTGGGGAGTGTACAATGTCCCATCAACACGCTCGCACCCGATCAAGGACGAAAGCTTTGAGTGCTGCTCTTCTCCTTCGTTTTATGCATTTTAAGAAAGAGGCGATGGGCGAACTTCTCACCGATGAGCCTAACGACATTAACTCATTTCCACGAGCGAATATATTTTTTTTTAGCACGAACACGTGCACCACACCAGTGGCGTAGGCAGGTGGAGGGCCTCAACGTCAAGCCCCGCCAGGAACGCACCAAGAAGGCATAGCCTGGAATGCTACGCAAGGAATGTGCTGCGCCAAGAAACCACCGCTTGCGACACAAATTCTCAACTGCTCTAAACGGGTGGAAACTGAGGAAGAGGATGAGACGAGAGCACTCGGGGATGACAGAGCACCGAGCTTCGACTGGAATGATTGGTGGGTAGATGCAAAGCTAGCTGCCTTTCTCTCTACTCACTGTTCAAACGCGCTCTGCACACCGTACCGTAAGTATGGTGCCTGGATTGCGTCTCCGACTGGTGTGTTTAGCGTCCTATCCCGCCCATACATCGAAAGTGGTCCCAATGTGGCAACAAATGACGTCACAGAAGCCAGAGTGTCATGCTGTTGCCTGTCGCTGTAGCTTCCGTGAACTGTCACAGTGGAGAGCGACCCGCAGCAGAACAGGCGTCCGCTGCATCCACCACAGCTGCTGGGACACCACCAGGGTCGCGACTGGCAACAGTATGACACTTTTTTGACGTCATCAGGCGGAAATCGAGGGACCACTTTTTTGGGCGCGATAAACACACCAGTCGGAGACGCGTTTTGCACACCGTACCGTAAGGTCGCCCACCTTGAGGATGGCCTCCCTGGAGACCCCGGCACCCAGCAGCAGCTCCAGCACCCTCTCCAGTCGGCCGGGCTCCTGGGTCAGCAAGCACGGATGCTTCTCGACCAGCTGGAGCGCGCCGACTTCATCCAAGCCAAGCCGGCTGGCCAGGAGCTCTGTCATGTGCGACAGCTGGTTGCGCAGGCCCGTCAGCCCGAGCTTCTTCACCACGTACTGCAGCAGGGACTCCGGGTAGGAGAGCAGCGTCAGGGGAAGCGCCTTGCACTCCTCGAGCAGCGAGAGCCTCCGTTCCAACGATGCCTCCGACACCGTCAGCAGGGCTGGATGGGCCCGGATGTGCGCTGCAGAATTCGGCCGAATCTTTAGGACGAAGCACATACTTATATAAAATCTATAACAAAAAAAAAAAAAAAAAAAAAGATAAAAGCACGGTAGATTTTACGCAATTATAAAAAAAAAATTATACTTTTTTTGTAAAAGGTTTTACACATCTCCACAGCATTTTTACAGATAGTCGGGCTTTCCTTAGCTCAATAAAGTAGTGCAACGTTGAAAAGTGAAATCGACACCAAATTGGCTAATGGGCCGACAGATGACGCCAGCGCACTATCCTCCTCGCCCTCCTTTTGGGAAAAGTGGGTTGCTCTGATACCCAAGATTTCAACTGTCGTGGCAACGAGGAGGGTATATTAGGAGCCACTCAACGGGGTGGGCGAGTCGGTTCCTTGCAACACCCGGTGATGCGTCTTGACCCAATCCTGACCTTCGCCTGCTGAAGCATTTCCTGGGGAACTTAGTCGCGCTGTTGAATCTCTGTGAGTTGGCAGTTCTAACGTATTCTTCGGACTCGGTATCCCACTCTGTATGCAAGAGTACTAGTAATACCGACAATACCCTCCGGCAAAAGCTGTTGCGTTTTAAATTGATAAGTGGTTAAGGTTACTGCACAGGAGGCCTCAGTAGCGCTAGTTCGTTCATTCCCTTCTTTAATGCGTGTGGCCTGAACAATTTAGGTGTATACACGAAGGTATGTAAAAAAAAAGTGGTTCCTCAATTCATTTTTTTTTATTTTCGTGTACTTGTCTAAATTGTTCGATCCGTCCCTGTTAATGAAAGATGAAGGGTAGTTTGACTTAAGAACCCTAGCAAAGTAAAAATCTAGCCTCGATACAGTAAAAAAACAGCATAAATTTTTACGTAAAACAGCGCATTAGAGCGGTAGATCTTTCAACACAAAAAAATGCCATTTGTATGTGTCCCGTTAACTTCGGTTTCAGCTGCCTTGGAGCCAGCGATTTACACAGGCTCCCTAAAGCACGGTATTCCATACAAAAGACAGCCTGCAGATGAGGTGCGTTTCTTCCCTTGATGTCACATTGGTCACGCAAAAACTGTCTATAGGTGCATGAAGCAAACATACTGTACTTCGAACAACTTCTGCGCCATCATGTTCGCAGTGCAGTGTCTTTCGTATGATGTTTTATCATATTGCGTGTGAATTCGGGGAAGAAGGGACCATGTTTGATGAAAGCGACGATGAGAAAAGAAAGCGTGGAGTGGTTCGCGGTAGTTTGAAGGGACGAACCCACAGACCTCGCGCCCCGGGCAGTCGTCCCAAGAGCGAGCGGCACGAAGCGGCCAATCGCTCCTCGGGGAGCTTGCTCAGTTCGGGGTGCCGCGCGTACCACGACTTGTACTCGGACTCGTCGGCGAAGCCCATCAGGTCCCGAAGACCGCTGCTGTAGCGGCGCGACGCTGCCAGCCACCGGGCTCCCAACGCGCGTCCAAGGAACATAGCTCCTTCCTGCAGACGACGCTCAAGTTGGGGCCGCCGGTCGACTTGGACAACGGAGCCGCATGCTCCTGGACACCGGCAGTTTCACCGAAGGATGGACGCTTCGCTACCGGCTCGAATAGCCGGTTTGGGAGTGAATTGTTGCGAGATCCGATGAGAATTTAAAACGCCTTTTGCTCCGTAGCGTGCTTTCGTAGCTCGACCATTCAACCACCGACCGTAGCTGCCGTAGCGACGACTGTGGATTGTTTCGGGATTGTCTTGACCTGTGCGTGGCTAATGATTTAGATGATGCGTAAAGAATAGAAGCTTCCTTATTGCGGCAAACCCCAAGAAAATATCGCGTTGTGATTTATCTTTTTTAAGTTGGTGAATAGATTTATGTTTTGCTTTTTACTAGGGATTTAAATTTGAATGTGCACCACACTGATCTCTATGTGGTGCACCACTCCACCCCATAGAGATCATACATACTAACTCTAGAGGAAAAGGTCCGCCATTTTTCCATACATTCTGGCTGCCGCAAGCGGCGGATTACAGAGGCTAGCCTTTCTAGCCTCTGTAGGCGGATCATGCAGGCCACTGATCTCAATGACAATTATGCAGGCAGACCTTCTGGGTCCCAAACACGGTTACATCATCAGAGCAGTTTCGTGAACTTCAACAATTCACGAACTTACCGGTGGAAAGATATTCACGTTCCTTTCGAAGCTTTCTTTTTTAAAAGCGCGCAGATGTACGGCCTCGCGTTAACGCTAAACTAAACCATATACCCGGCTTCGCCAGTGGGGCGCGGCTGGGCGCGGTTGAGGAATACGAAACTGCGCAACCACCAGATTTCCGAGATTTCGACAGAAGGGAAGTTAATGCAGCGTAATGAGTTTATTGCTTTTTATAAGCGTTAGAATAGCTCATAATTTAGTGTACAACGTTAAATTATCACTGTTTATATTGCTAAGAGTTTTCACTCTTCGCGTTACCATGGCAACGTTGCTTTCTTTCTCTCGTGTTTTGTCGCTCTCTTTTGCGTTCGTTCACTCGGGACCCAGGATGTCGGCGCACGGCAAGGAGGTTAGAAGTACTAGGAGGGGGCACGTTGCAATATTGGTGAAGCCTAGTCATAAAAAGTTTAAACGATTTTGTGCCCAGCGTGACCGCAGATCTGTCTGGCGATTGGTGCGCGTGACAAGTCACGTGTGAGATGGACGGTTGATTGTAGAAGGACTCCTTGCAGGCTTGCGCGCGCTCCGTCCGGTAGCTTTTATCAGATCGAAGGCTAGACTGTGGTGTATTCTAGTAGCCTACAGTAAGACGAAGGCTAGCTACGGTCACGTGATGTGGTCACGTTGGCAAGGTGAGTGAGGAGAGTAAGGAGGAAAATGAGAAAGAGGCGAGGCGTCAAGGGAGCATGGCTTGTGGAGGCTACGCGGCTAACGTCATGCCCTCTCCTACCCTTCTATTCTCCATGGCGCACGGGATTAGCCATTCCTCCTCACCCACCTTTACCCCCCTGCTCCACCCCCTTCACCCACACCCGATCGTCGCGCCTCCCGCCGCTGCGCCACCGCACTCGCGCGCGTGGCGCGGCTTTCAAATGTAGTTCAGCTTGGTCGTGGTCACGGTGTGAGATATCTATCTCACATCGTGACCGTAGTCGACTCGGAGTGTTCGTGGCGATTTCTTGTCAACCCAAGCTACCGAATACCCTCAGTGAACTATCCCAGCCTACCGAGCCAGACATTAAAATACCGATTGGTCTTCCCAGCAGAGATCGAATGCATAGATAACTTCTGCCCCCCCCCCTCCCCCCCCCCCCTTCTTTTTACTCCCCTCACAATTTCTTGCTCACATAAGGAGCGAGAACCCTTTGCGACAATTGAGACTTTATGCAAACGTAGCCACGTCGAGACCGCGTGTATCTTAGGGAAGGGCTTAAAGTCCCCAGCATTAGTTAAATCAAAATCATATCTTGGAATAAAATAGCTTGTTTTCAGGGATGTGACATTTGGGGATTAGCAATTTGAGGATTACAGCGTGGGTATAGTCAGCATTGGGGTTTATTTTATGTGCATCTAGTACATCTCGTCAGAACCCCCCCCCCCCCCCCCCCCTCCCCCCACCTTTTTTTGTAGGGACCCCCCTCAACTTACGGGAGACTTTAAGCCCTGCTTAGGTCTCTTCCGGGAAGAAACTCTATGTTATGCAGCGGTCCAAAATAACATATATCCTTATCAATTTTCATAAAAGCACGCCCCAAGTTCACTTCACGGGTTATTCGAAATGATGCATCATGCACCCACTGACACGCACCAGTTGTTCGATAGCAATGTTTTACGTCATTTAAATATACAAGATGAGACACGGGATGTGGTACATATATAATCAGAGCACTGCTTCGCCAATACAAAAATCAGCCGGTTTGACACGAGCTAGAGGTTGGGGCGGCCAAAATTAGTGTGAGGTCCACACCGTCCACACTTCGAAAAGTTCGCGGTGCTCCTCTGTTGCGTGAGGGCTTCTTGCCGCATACATAATTTTCTCATTATTATTATAATGCAATTAAATGCAAAGGTGCAAGCTAGCTGGACAAGAATGACGAAAGTAATCCCTGGAGAAGGGGAACAAGAGGGACAAAGTACAAACAAACATTGTTAACATTATGTTTGTCCTTTGTCCCTCTTGTTCCCCTCCTCCGGGGATTACTTTCGTCATAATTTTCTCAATCCAGTTTTTTTTTTTTTTTTTTTTTCCTACTCTGTTTGCTTTACCATAATGAGCTCATTCGTTGCTGCTGGCAATTTTTACCCAACAAAGTGTTGAGGGCGTTCAGTTATTTCAAGGTTTTTCGGTATCGACCACGCCAACCGAAACCCGAACGAAACCGCCCAAACGGCACAAACAGGGCACGAACCATCCATCGCTCTAAAAAAACGCGAAACTGCGAGCCTGCGCGAAGTACCCTCCCCTATTCGAAGTCCCTTTCCACCACGCGGCCACGCCCACGATGGCATCACGAATACCTGTCGAGCTACGTCACACTTTTCCGCCTCCCGTTCCACTTGCAGTCGTTTTGGCTAGCAACGGCTCCTGCCTGCCGAGACGCCGTCAACGCCGTCCGTACTGTTTTTGTTTGGACGTGGAGGGGAGTCGCTCGAGCGGGGCTCGTGTGCAAGCTCCGTCTTGAGCCCACCCTGACAGGACCCAGGTGCCCCCCCTTTTTTTTTTCATCCCCAGCCAACGCCGCCACGATACCCCGAGCCGTCTCTCCCATCGCGAAGCTCGCAAAGAAGCGATCGGATAGTGGGGGACCGATTTAGGCTTAGGTCTCGTCATCGGTGCCTCCTCCGTGAGGAACGCCGGCGGTTTGCGGCGGTGCCAGGCGGAGTCGGGACTCCGGCTCCCACCTGTGCTTTCGCAATGGGATCGCGACTGCTCTCAAGGACTGCCGCAGTTGGCGTCGAACGGCGCTCATTACGTACGGGGAAGCCTCGTCCATCCGTGCGGTCGACATGGGGTGCGGTCGGTTTTCAAACATCGTTCGCGCTTCTCAGATCGTCGTCAAAAAAGCAGCAACCGCTCGCTTCTGACGCTGTTGTTGTCGCGGTGTTGGATCAGGCGCTATCGTCGTCCTGCGTGTGTTTGCTTGGGGAACGCCGGGAGCGCCGACTGATATAGCCGGTCGCTCTTTGGGACTGAGAAGTGTTCCGCTTTTCCAGGATGCCGGCAGCGCGTTTGCCCTGGCTTCTGGCGTTGGTCGGTGCCGTCGCTGCGGTGGTGCCGTCGCCGCCGACTATGATCAAGCAGCCCAAGTATGAACAGCTCTACCAGGTACCTCGATCGAATCTGTCGGGATTCGTACGATTTCACATCCACGAACCTCGCCTACCTGCTTATCGTTAAATTGCACTGTAGGGCAGAAGTCGTGTTTCCTATCATTATATACTATTTTTTTGTTTTTTTAAAGATTCGCAATGCGCACCCCGGGCGAGTGCTGTGACCTTAGTGTTTAGATTCTACCTGATCTCATTTTGTGTTGTCAAAAGTCGTACACGGCTGGATTTTTTTTTTTTTTTTTTAATAGAGTTTAGATTATGCGATTGTGTATAAACGGACATGTATTGAACACTGAGCCGATTTCAATACCCGTATACGTTTATGTACAGTCGTGCTGCAAGGTCACGGAAATTGTAGCAGGGTTGTATTGCGGCCACGGTGTTGTGACCAACAAAACGGTAGAGGCTACGTTTTGGGACCCCATCATCATTGTTGTGTATGGTGTTGTAGGGTCTAGGCACTTCTCGTTTTCAAAATTGTCTAGCAAGCTTTGGAAAGCGTAGAAGTTGCTTTTCTCGCATCTCGAGAAAGCGCTTACGTTCGCTTCCTTGAGCGTTGTATCAGTCATTCTGGGGAATATGTTTTGAGTCTACTATCTCTTGGCGACCCTGCTTATCTAACCAGTTATTTCTTTTTTAAACTGAATTCTTTTCTCTCTCCCGCTTTGGTGTCTGCCTGTTAAAGAGCAGGAAAGAATGCAATTAAAATAGTTTTGGCTGCGAAAAGTTCTTATTAGGCAGTCGATCCTCGCACTGTTCTGTTGAAAAGCCTGAACGAGCCAGTCGTGCGAAAGCTTACTTTGTAAAAGGACATACAGTAATGAAGTTACCTGAGTAGTTTCTCGACGGGCATTCAGAAGTGAGGAATTTTTCATAAAGATTCCTTTGGTATGTAGGTTCTTCAACCTGTTCTTTGTCATTTGAATCAACAGATGCAGACTTGTAGTGTAGTTTAAGGAACTTTGTTTCGCCATGCTAGAGGAATTTCATCCAACAAAAGAAAAAAAATGGAACCCTGGAGTGCCTTTTTGCATTCTCAGGAGTATTTGCTAATTGTTGGTTGTAGTTGCATATACAGTGAAACCCATTTAGAATGAACTCACGTACAGTGATTTATTATCAATATCGAACTCACAAAAAATTTCAATAAAAATGCACATAATTTTTTTTTATAACGAACAACATATCGGCTATAGCGAACTTTTTCCCCCGGGAAGGCTTCCAAAAATGCACAAACAATTGTCTTCTTGCCTGTTCCTTCCCTCCAAAAAAAGTAGGAGAGAAAGAAAATTCCAAAAGCTCAAGTTGCAAACCAAATTGAACAGAGAGAAGCGATTCAGAAAGGGAGAAAGCTAAGTAGTACTCAACACGCACGCACAAAAATAAACACTTTTCATCCCAAAGCATTTGCCCACGAAGAGAAGCAATTCAGAAGGGGAAATAAGCTAAAAAAAACCAAAAAAACTGCACGTATGGAAAAAAGAAAAAAAAATCTTTCCAGTGCATTGTTACAAGGCGGAAAGAAAGATATGAGAAAGAAAGAGCTCTCTCTTTACAACAAACGGATCGTGGAAGTTCGTTGTAAATGGTTTTTGCTATATCGAACTGATTTTAGCGTTTCCTGCTGATCGTTATAAACTGGTTTGACTGTAGACATTTGCATACCCGGCCTCATGGCAGGTATGCAACGGGCGGTGCTTTGAGGCTGTACTTGGGAATGTGTATACAGTCAGTTATTTTGTATAGTTGTAAGTTCTTTGCAGTTATGGTAAAGTCATGGGACAGGACAAAGCTTCATCCAAACAGGCAGACATATTTTAAATATGTTGGCATTTTGCTCTCAAACATGTTTCTGTTGAGGAACGAGCCCTTTTGTTTGTTTTCTTAAACTTGGTTCTGGGGTCCATCCTCTGTCTGGGTGCGAGCCAAAAATACCGGGAAACTTCCACAACAGCAGATGCGAGCAGCGCCCTTGTCAAAATGTTTTCCGACTAGTCTGATTTCTGGAGCTCTTTTTTGTTAAATTTTATTTGGTTTACTCAAGCCTCTTATAGTGCCTTTTCTTTTATTTATCAGTTTTCTGCAAATTGAATTTGCTTGATAGGGTTGATTTGGTGCAACTAGCCATTTTCGGTTGAACATGGTAAAAATGCAAATAGACCGTGGCATGTATGAGGGTGCATCAAAAAGTCAATTTTGAACAAAACAGAATGGAGATATGATCGCATGTTGTCCGTTTGTTTGAATCGGTTGCACATAACTAAAGGGAACTTTTTGTGCACGGGTATGGAGAAGTTAATCATACATTCCGTTAAGTGCTTGTGATCTGGGCAACTAGTATGTAAAAAAAAGATAGTTGTACCTTCACATAAACATAAACGACGTGGGTATATCCTTATTTTGGCGTTTTATTCAGAAGTGTAACTTACCTTTTTATATACCTTTATTCGTGCAAGGTCGAGCATCAAAAAGGCAAAACTGTGTTCTTTCTGACACCCTGTATCATTTGCATAGTGCTCAACTTTCCACAGTGCCTGGTCTAAACCCGCCTGCCTCTACCCTGTTTTATTTTTCGCATTTACTTATCTTTCAATTTGCTCATTCGACATAGTAGCTCCTAACTGAGCTTCCTGCGGAATAGTGTGTCGCGGTGAGCTCGCACTGGCTGGATGGTGCAAGCCAGCACCCAATTAAAAGGATTCGGCCGTACGCAAGCGTTCATCCATCGAACGAACGTCGTCATTTACTGGAGGCACGGTGCCTGGAACGTGTCCCCGACTTATCGCGTCCTCACTTGTGGCACCTCAATCTCAGCCTCACGACGTCATAAGGGTGTCCCTCCATTGGCTGCCACAATCCTTGCAGTGGTACAGTAGCCGAGGTGAAATTGGCAGACGCCTGTTCCATCGTAGGTCACTCTTTAACTCGAAAGTCCGTGGAAGCTTTGGCAGCCAGGAGTCGAGACGTTGCGACAACAATGAACTCGTTCGATTTACCCGCACCAGCCTGGACAAGTGCAGATAAGTGTAGCGCAGTGCAGACAAGCACAGGGCAATGCACTTCAAGTTGTGTCTAGAGATGGGCTGCGCTCGTAGATGGAATATGGCAGTGTGCGGCTGGTGGAGGAGGTGCGGGTAAATTGAATGCGAGTGACTAGCTGCGGGACCGCGACATCTGAGCGCACGACAGTCCGGCTTTAGTGATGTCGTTTGTCGCCGCTTTGGGACAACTTTAGATGCTTGGGCAGAATGGGACACTAATGATACCGGTCGGAGACGCGTTCCAAGCGCCGTAACGGAGCATTGGCGCGGCCTCTGAGCCCCTCCGGGTGTGTCGCAGGTGTCGGTGTCCCAGGACGAACTGGACAAACCGTTCCTGCTGGAGTGCGAGGCCCAGGGGAACCCCGAGCCGGAGTACAAGTGGACCAAGAACAACAACGAGTTCGACTACGTGTCGTACGACAAGCGCATCTCGCAGCAGCCCCGCCGGGGCACCCTCATCTTCACCAAGCCGGACGACGTGGACGAGGGCCTCTACCAGTGCTTTGCCTCCAACCTCCACGGCACCTCCGTGTCCAACTCGGTCTTCCTCCGCAAATCGGGTCGGTGGCCTTTTTGCGGCGGTTGTCGTCCGTCTGCTTGTGCTCCGAGATGTTCAAACGATGGGGAAGCTTTGTGGAGTTCTGGATTTTCTAGCTGAGGTGTGGGAAGTGTTGGGAAAGTGGTGCGAGCTGGGAAAGCAGGTTGCTGAAGTTTAGTTTGACAGGAGACTTCTACCAAATGACTTCCATACCTTTCCTTAGATCATTAAAGTTGTGCCTTTTTTTTCTGACTTGGGACTTGGATTGTTTTTATGGAAACATTGACTCAATTGTTCAGGGAAAAAAGATTTCCTGGTTTATTTCTCTCTATTGATACTAAGCATCTTAATGACGTCTATTTATATACTTTTATTGGTTAGAATCCAGGTAACTACATATTTAATATGCCTGTCATAATAAGGTTTTCAACAGATGGCTCTTTTCCCGTAATTACTTTCATGAATTTATTTGCTTTCTGTTAATGAGAACTTCTTTTTTTCTGATTAAGAACAGTAAGAAAGTACACATTCATGAAACACATTCACTATGGGAAAAGAGCCATATGTTAAAAACCTTATAATTGCTTCCCACTCGTGTTATTTAGCTATAGGTGTCCCATTTATTGTGAGCCGCTTTTAGTGGGCCTACGACCACTTCTCTGTTTTGTTAGGTGTTTTTGTGCTTGTTTTAAGGGGATGCAGACGGCCTTTTCAAAACGTCTGCCTCCTGGAGCGTCGGGACCGTCTGTCTCACACGGGGTGACTGAGGTTCCCTTGCCCGCAGAGCTGAACTCTTTTGCGGAGGAGAGCACCAAGGAGGTGTACGTGGTGGAGGGGGACCCGCTCTCGCTGGACTGCAACCCCCCGACGGGCTACCCCCGTCCGAACATCTTCTGGCTCATCCAGTACAGCAGCGGGGCCCTGAGGAACGTCAACTCCTCCCGCATCACGGCCGACCCCGAAGGGGACCTGCACTTCTCCAGGGTGCGTTATCGGCCAGGCGCCCTCTCCTTCCTTCGCTCCTCCTACCGCTCCACAGTTGCACTTGGAGTTACCCTTCCTCTCACCCTCGACGTGGACGAACCTCACAGGCTCAAAGGCGAATCTGTCGCATATCAGTTTTTCAAGTTAGTCCGTATTTAGGTGAGACAAAGTATGGAGCCTGCACCTCTTGCAAACCATGTTGCCCAACTCCTGCACCTGTTGATTAGCGAATTGGTGGTTATGATTAGGCCCCTATACTATGTCCCCCTGGCCATATAACTCACCTGCACAAACTGCATAAGTGTAACTTTCACAGCTTTTTTAAAGATAAATTTGTAGAGTTTAAAAAAAAAAATGAAAAAAGACATTTACAATTCTCCGTAATGCCGAATTACAGCACAGCTCTTGAGGGGAGGGTACGGAGGGAGGGTATGCCCGTGTGACGTCATGAAGGTGACGTCACACGTGACGTGACCCTTACTACCGTTGTGACATCAGTCGTGACGTCACGTGTGACATCATTACGGGAAACGTCCTAAAATACAATGCGCTGTTACGCCGCCGCCGCCGTTCAACCCAGAAACGGGCGCCTTAGAGCTGCACTCTTAAAAAACATTGTATTTGTGTAAGATTTCAAAGGCTCACCTCGTGACTGAGATGTGACTGTGTCTTTCATGTAAATTATGCTATACGAATCAAATGCACCAACACCTTCCCAGGGAAGCTTTGAACTAAAAGACGAGGTGTGTGCCTTGGCCTCTCACCCAGCCGGGCTTGGGCCTGGCCTGATTGGGTAGGCATCCGATCGGGCCGGGCCGGGCCTGGTCAGGGAGGCATCCCATCAGGCCTGGATACGGGTCGGGTAAAACTAACAACCAGGTTGCCCAGGCCGGGTCGAAAAAAATAGGCCCACGCAGTGCTCGAGTCAGCATCTATCTTTGCGTGTCCTTCGTTTTCTTCGACAATGCTTTTTCGAGCATGGGTAGGTAGCCTGGAGCACTAAAAGCAATGAAAAGTGATAAAATTGTTTGATGCTAATGTTTTCTGACGGACAGGTGAACATTGTGCTGTTCTTCATATATAGTTAGCAGACAACCCCCCGGATGGGACTCGTTACTCGGAAAAGGCCCATTGTGAGTCGGCGCTTGTCCTGTCTGCTTCTTTTCTTCAGTTGTCCCACGTCTTCTCTCGGATGCTCTGCTTTTTAGAGTGTAGCTCTTAGGGGCCCGTTTCCGGCTTGAGCTGCGTCGGTGTAACTGCGAGGTCACATGACCTCCCCAAGGTCACATGACCTCCATATCACGGAAACCGCCCCCCCCCCCCCCCCCCGAGGTCACATGACCTGAAGGAGTCACCTATACCTCAGTACGATTCCATCCTCCTCCTCAAGAGCTGCGCTGTAATCCGGCGTCACAGGGCTGTAAACGGCTTTCATTTTTTCCCTTAGGCGTTTGAAGTGCAGACATAGAACGCCAGAGTATTACAGATTGTTTTGTTTCTGAGAGTTGGCTTCACAAATTGAGAGGCTGCATTGCACGACGTTGTCTGCCAACATCTGAGCGTCTCGCGCGGTCTTCTTTGGGTGGCGCAGGTGGAGCGGGGGGACGCTCTGGCGGATGCGGTGTACACGTGCAGCGCCACCTCCGTGTTCCGGCGAGAGTACAAGATCGGCAACAAGATCCAGCTGCGGGTTGAGCCCGTGTCGAGCGCCGGGAAGGCTGAGCACGCCCCCATCAAGCAGTACCTGTCGCCGCCCAACCTGGTTGCCCTCAAGGGCCAGGAGCTCAAGCTCTACTGCATCTTTGGGGGCTCGTAAGTTACTCTTTTTTCTCTCTCTCGCAGGAACTTCTTTCAACGCCGTTACAATGCCTGGGGTCCGATTTTGGTCAAGGCGAGAGCGTCCTCGGCCGCCGATTGGCGGCGGCACCGTAACTTGCATGTAATCAGCAGGTGGAGATATTTTCGACCAGTTTGCGAGTTTGCAAACGCGCAATATTTTGGTGAGAACATCTCGTCACCACGTAATAGCGAAAGAGGTCTCGCAGCCTCCGATGTACTTGCCCTTAGTAATCCGTCAACCACCGGTCGACGTCGGCTTGCGTATGATGGCAGAAAAACTCGAGGTTTGCAAACGAAGCGCGAGTTGTCAGTGGCATCCAGCTTGAGGTAGCGGAGAATCACAGTTTCAGTTCACGTCTGATCTGGCTCCGTTGCAGGTTCATTGCAGACGATTAACCTTTTTCTCGGTTTGTTGGCAGACGTCCAACGGTATTTTCTTGTTTTATTTCCGTCCGGGAACGGCGCTCTGTAGTGGACAAACCACATTCTCCGGTCGCGTTAGCCAACAAACTGCCTACGAACGCCATCTTAAGGGGAGACACTGCCCAGAAAAAAAAATTTCCGCAAAAAAAGTTGATTTTGAAAAATGACATCTTTACATCCACCAACATCTAGAGAGTATTCCCAAAAAGTTTCATTAATTTTCACTGTATAGTTAATTTTTTATAAATTATTTTCTGTCCACCAAAGCTATAGAAAAGGTAGGGTTTGGAGCACTTTGAACACATTTTTCTCCGTTCCACTTTTTGGTATAAGTTCCATTTTAGTCAATCTATCGTTTGATAATGGCAAAACAGGGAAAGCTCATTCTTCTCTTTTCCTGACTGAAATTTAATAAGGAGTGCGGCTATGGAACTTTTTTGTCACTTTACGGATTTCTTTTGTAAAAAATGTTGACATTTTGTCGAAGGCACAGAAGACCAAAAAGTTGACCAATTTTGCAGAAGAGAAAATTTATAGAAATGAATTACTTTTTAGAAAAAATGTTCCATAGCCGCACCCTCTAGGCATTCTGCTACATATCTAGCAAATAAAAATCTTTAATATCGCAATAATTTTCTAACGATAGATTAACTAAACAACGTAGGCGTGTTGCTGATAGAAGCTACTCTTATTTCCTTCTCATTTAACCGACAGACCTGAAACTTTGTTATACACCCTCTAGCATGACCACCAGCCTACCCTGTAAATTTCATTAATTTTAAGACAAGGGTTCAAAAGTTGACCCCCCTAGGGGGTGTGCCCCCTTAACTTGCTCCACTCGTGGCGTCGACGAGCTGAAGGGCCGTGGCGTCTCTCGCAGGCCCCTGCCGCAGATCTCGTGGAGCAAGCGAGGCTCGAGCGCAGCCTCGTCTCGCTTCACCTACACCAACTACGGCAAGACGCTGGAGATCCGTTCGGTGGGCTTCGAGGACGAGGGCACCTACGAGTGCCAGGCCAACAATGGCGTGGGCGTGGCCCAGTCGCACGCCATGAACGTGAAGGTGGAGTCGGCCCCCTACTGGCTGCGCTCCCCCGAGAACACCAACGCGGCCGAGGAGGAGAGCGTCTCCTTCGAGTGCTCGGCCTCAGGCATTCCGGAGCCCAAGCTGCAGTGGTTCGTCAACGGCGTCCCCCTCCAGAGTGAGTGGCGCCCTCTTTGGGAAACTTCTGCCCTCGAGGACAGCCGAGAGACTAAAGACACTTTTACACGCACAAGTTTGGTTACGGCAGAGTGCTTTGAATCTCTTACGACGAGAGAAGACGCTGGCGCCGCCTCTGAGGTGGCCCTTGAGCTGCTTTTCACTAGAGTGAAGAGATCAAATGTACATGCTATCTATGAGAAATTAAACGTTTGTAGCAACCATTGTCAGCAAGTTTTTTTTTTTTTTTTTTTTTTTTTTTTTTTTTAAAGAAAGTCATTAGGTAGATGGCTCAAGTCTTGCGTTGTAAGAGGTTTAAAGAAATTTTAAGGCAAACAGTCACAAGCAGTTTCAAGTACGTGAACCGGCTTTAACCCCAAAGGTGCTGAAGCTCTCAGTGAAATGTGCCACTTTGAAGCTTGCTGGGAGCTTTTTTGTTAAAGTTTCCAGCTCCTGCTCCTCTCTCGTTTCTCTTTTAATGAACTACTCAACAGGACTGTTTCTCCGGGTCTGGGGGCATTACCACATTGGTGAGGTGCGACCGTGTAATTGCGATTTGGGACGTAAGATGGGGAAGGGGGGCGTCTATTCATGTAGTAGTCATTGCCAGTGTCTCCTCGTGCGCCGACGGGCTGTTAGAGTTGGGTTGAGTGAACTAAAAGAAAATCGTTCGCAATATGCGTAAGAAAAACGTAACTCGTGCCTCTGGCGCCCTATAACGCACCAAGAATGCATTGCCTTCACTTTTTGTTCTCTCACTTTTTTTCCACCAATTTATATTGCGATTGGTGCGGCTGTGCCAGCTGAGCGTCCAGAAAAACATGAATGAGCGCGATAATGGACAACCGTGGAACTACGGAAAAATATCACCCTCGCTGCTAAAAACTTGAGAGCTTTTGGCCTTCAAGCCCAGAGTGGGAGCCGATCGATCTTGGTCGAGGGGGCCACCCGTACTCGAGTCTCTTTAATCTAAATCTTTCGTAATTTTATTATAACAGTAACTTGATTCGTAACTGCTAACGACACCTTATAGCTTAGCAGGATCGCACCGAAAGTGGGTGTGGGGGCCGACTTACCTGCCGCGACAGAGTTGCCCTCAAAGCCCGCTCGGAGTGGACTTGCCGAGACAATGCGAACCCTTGTTTTGCAGACGCCGAGGCCAACCCCCGCCGCAAGGTGGAAGGCCCCCTGCTGACCCTGGAGAGCCTGACCAAGCGGGACACGGCCGTGTACCAGTGCAATGCTTCCAACCCACACGGCTACGCCTTCAAGGACTTCTACCTCAACGTCCTCGGTACGCTCTACAAACCTCGCTCGGGCGAATTCCCGTGAAGTTACAATGTGCTTCAAACGTGCTCAAGGTTTATCTGCGTATAATTTTGTCGTTATGTCTGCAGCGATCGCTGTGTCTCTTGTACCATGTATCGTGATCGCGGCTTTGCTCTGGCCATAGAAATGTTCGAAGCCTACATATGTGTGAAGCAAACATTCTTTGAACTTTCTTGAGGGCATGTCCGCAGATATTCTGTCATTGTGTTTGCAGTGAACACCGCGTCTCTTGTAATATCTACGAGCATTATGACGGGCTTTAGACAGCCTTCGATTTGTGATGCATGCTGAATCATGCTGTGGAGGGTACCTTTGGACACCCTTCGATTTGCGTCGATCACTGACGCATGCTGCGCAAGGCGACAGTCTGATTTGTGATGCATGCTGAAGCATGCCGTGCAGGGAGCCTTTAGACAGCCTTCGATTTGCAATGCTCGCTGAAGCATGCTGTGCAAGGTGACAGCCTTCGATTTGCAACGCTCGTCAAAGCGTGTTGTGCGAGGAACCCCTAGACAGCCTTTGATTTGCGATGCGTGCTGTAGCTAACCGTCCAGGGAACCTTTAGACAGCCTTCGATTTGTGATGCTCGCTAAAGAATGCTGTGCAAGGCGAGAGCCTTTGATTGCGGTGCTTGTCGAGGTGTGCCGTGCAACGGAGTGTTCTTGCCCCGGTATGGTTCAGCGCTGCCCCCCAGCATCGTGGAGGCCCCCGAGCCCCTGACGCTGGCGGTGGTGACGTCCCGGGCAACCCTGCGGTGCCGGGTGTTTGGGGCCCCCCGGCCCGAGGTGAAGTGGATGAAGGAGACGCAGGAGCTGACCGGAGGGCGCTACAAGGTGCTGGACAGCGGGGACCTGCAGATAGACGACCTCCTGGTCACTGACCAGGGGGAGTACACCTGCTACGCCAGCAATAAGTTTGGCGACGCCTCCGCCTCGGGGGCCCTCGAAGTCAAGGGTGAGTCGGGCGTCATAAAACTGAATGTACGGGAAACGGGGACGAGAGAAGACGCGTACAACGGACAAGCATGCTCTCTCATCTTAGCGGAGCCGCCTCGGTGGCTCCGAGGCAAAGCGCCAGCCTACAAACGTCCGGGTGGCGGGTTCGATTCTCGGTCGAGGCGCCCGCAGTCCGACTGAGGCTTATTGCGGAGAGGGTGCCGTGCAACAAACGTTTGGTTGGTTACACGGCGCCCCGGGTAAGCGAAATGACTTCTCGGTTCTCTTCTGGGACGTGCCAGACGCCAGATGGTTTGGCACGTAAAACTCCCCATTTTATTTCTGTCGTAGTGTTTTCTTTTGTCTCCGTTTCATTTGCTGTTTCACTACGAATCGTTACCAGCTGGCTCAGTTTTCCACACTTCTGTGAGTTTTCTGCCTGGACAAACAATTGGATTCGATTTGATTGCATTCTCACAGGTTAACCTTTCATACTGGGTGTTGGCGACGTAAAACAAAAACTAGGGGTGTACGAATACTCGAATATACGAATTCGAATTGAATAGAAAGTTCCCAAATAATTCGATTCGCGAATCGAATTCCTAGTATTCGGTCACTCGAATATTCAATATATTCGGCCAAAGACGCGCGGTCGGCGCGGAGCTGACAAAAAAGCCGTTCTTTCTCCCGATGTAAGCGCCGTGATATTAGACAGACCATGCGAGAAACACCTCTTGGTCGTACCATTCCACAAAAATCTAACGCGCAGGTTAGAAAAAAGAAAATTAACGATCGCCACGAACTTTACACGCAGATTTACTCACGATCGTGACACAATCTTCCCATGAATCACAACCGAAACATCCCGTTACGCCGCGCCATGACTAATTTTTTTTCACTAGCGCCAATGTAGAACACACTTGCCGCATTCACGGAAATCGGCGACTACACGATCACACAAAGAAAACTACGTTAAAAGCCGACGGACACTTCGCGTTTTCCACTTTTTTCCCGATTCCTCCTCTACTTTTTCTACCCTGCCCACCACTGCCTGTTTCCTCCTCCCCCATGGAGAGGAGGATCTTGTGCCTTGCAGAATCTCCAGTCTGGTAGTCGGCCTTTAACCACGCCGATGAAACCAGCCAAGTTATCGTCGTCGTTCTTTTGGAGCCGCAAGCCGCAAATTCTGTTTCGGAACAAAACGGAACGGAAAAATAGTGTGCCTAGATTTGAGAGGGTTTCCACCCGTTCAATAGCCGCGTTTGAATTTTGAACTGCGAGAAGGTGACGAAAAGACGAAAGCGTCGATCGGGATGGGGCAGGCAGGGCAGGCGTCGTCGCTCTTTTGATTGCTCGCCTTCTTTCCACGCAACAACACAACACATGCGCACTTACGACCAACCTGCGCTGGAGCAGTCTTCGTAATTTCAGTTTCGCTTGCTCCCTCTTTTAAATCGAGGCTCTCTAAAACAGGATATAGACGGAAAAATGGATGCATGGCGGCAGTTGGACGGTGACTTGCGCCACCTAACCAAGTTTTGTTTCCTTGCCTCAGATTATATTGTTTAAGCCTGTTTACTCTGATTTAACACCTATCTGTTTATGGGAAATAAAATCCCCGGTGTCCTTTTTCTTCCTTAAAATAAAGACCAAATATCGCAAAATACCCCTTTTCTGAGATGCACAAATATTTTTTTTAAAAAAGTTGCGGTGTTAGGTTGTGCTTTTAACGAGAAAAAAATGGCACGCGTGGCTGTAACTTTTTTTTTTGTGACGTTTAGGGTAGATAGATTATGTTTGCGCCATAAAATTGGATCTTTAGTGGCCAATGTCCAACAGCAACTGCTTTTATTTTTTTTACCAGAACTTTTTTTACATTTTTGCTTTTTTTCCGTACAAGATGCATATTCTACACCAGGCGCATACTCTGCACACATAATAGTCTCATTTGCAGCACACTTTGAAAAATTCCTACAAATAAAATCACTATTCGATATTCGATTCGATATTCGGCTTTTTTTTCTTGTTTCGATTCGGTATTCGATTCGAAAACTACTATTCGGTATTCGCACACCCCTAACAAAAACTGTACGCCCCTCCCGAGGTTCCTGACTGAGCGTTTCACAAATGTTCTGTGGACGGTGGGAATTAGAGTGGTTTTGCCAACGGCTCTACGAAAGATGTCGGGGAAGCTATGAAAAGTTTGGTAAAGTCCGCTCTTTTTGTATAGCATGCGAGCTGAGGGTGTGAAGAAAGGAAAGTTTCCTTCTGCGTTTCGTTAGACAACTGTGAGAGTTGGCTGAGGACAGTCGCTTGAGCATTGTATCATAAAACTGTCGACTGTGCCTATTGCGAAGACAAAATTTGGGGAGTGCAAACAGCCCGCGTGAACGACCGTTCAGTAAATGAGAAACGCCAGCGGTGTTCTCACCTCGTTAGCTTGCTTCTTTTTCCTGACAAATTGGCAATGCCGGTTTGTGAACTCGTTGAGACCGGTTGTTCTCAAACTTTTTAATCTCGAGGAACTCCCATTTGTCTCAAATGCAGCCGAGGAACCCTTCAGGTCTTAGCTTTGTTTTAGAGCAGAACAGAAGCTTACAGAACTTGTAAACAATAAGGCTTGTACTAAAGAGCTTTTGGATCATAGTTACGCGCGAATGAGGAACTCGGGTACTCTAAGATAGTGCTTAAACTGAAAGACGCTTTGTTTAGGGGAGCCCAGTTTGGAGCCCCATGGGAACACAGTTTTGAGAACCCATGGTTTAGACATCTGCGCATGTTCGTAGTGGAGGGCCGGAGAACGGGTGGTGGAGCTCTGGGCTCTGGTGCGCAGGCAAGACGAAGATCACGCAGCCGCCGGAGAATTACGAGGTGGCGGCGGACAAGAGCGCGACGTTTCGGTGCAATGCGGAGGCGGACCCGAGCCTGGAGCTGCGCATCAGCTGGCTCTTCAACGGGGAGCTGGTGGACCCGGATGCGGACGCCCGCATGGTGCAAGCCAGCGACAACTCCCTCACCATCACACGCACCATCGAGCTGGACTCGGGCGTCTACACGTGCCTCGCACAGACGGACCTCGACGGCGACAAGGCACAGGCGACGCTCACCGTGCAAGGTGAGGCGCCGCCGGCTTCCTCGAACAATTGGCCAATCAATCAATCGGTAATCTTTTATTCACTAATCAGAGGATAAGAGTGCTGCATCGGCATTGCACTGCGTCAGCCGAGCACTGCTTCCGAAACATGAGCAAATGATTTGGTTCCTTGCCCCGTGGGTTTAGTTCTCAGGTTAGCCAGTATATACCGTGGACTACTTTCTGTTTCTATGCAGTCAACCACTGGTGCTTAGGAGCTCACACACCTTGAGTGCCAGTCAAAGCTGTGCATGTGCACTGTTCACTTCTGGAATGCAAAGGTCTTAGAAAGGAATCTGACCTGACAAAGACAATTAACGAAGGACCGCCTCTGGATAAACAGGTTGCTCTTAGTAGACGAAGAAGCCGAGAGCTGCCGCTACCCCACTGCTGCTACCCTTTGCGATTCAGTCGCTCGTGAAGAAAAAACCACGCAGGTTTCGAAACGTCTGGTCACTTTTTATAGGGAATTTCCTCCCCAGTAGGCCTGCAGCACTCAAGTCTTGAGCTGCTTCCTGACGAGCGAAACCTGGATATTTTTAGGTTGCATTTCGGTTGTGCGTTATCACGCTTGTTCGTTATCATAAACTTGTAAAGTGAAACAAGTAACAAAAGTTCAGAATAAATCATTATAGCGTCCTAATAAGACACCGAAGATGAAAGTTGCAACATTCTTTCGTTGATTTTAAAGATTTTTTAAAAAATTTATCTCGTACCCTCCGTTAGCCCGCTTGCATATGTCCGTGGATCGTACATGATGCGACGCTAACATGCCGCTTTATGTGGGCAAAAAATGGTCGCATCTTTCGAATATTACGGCGCCCCTCCGGCCAACAAAGACGCGCGCGTCGAGCTCCTCCGCATTAGCGAAGGGAGGCGTGCGTCCTGACTGGCGCTTTTGGGGCAGACGTGCCCAACCCGCCCCAGATGGTGCGGGTGGAGTGCGACACGCTGATGGCCCTGGTGGAGTGGAAGCCCACGGGAGACCGGCGGGCCCCGATCCTGTCCTACTCGATCCAGTACAACACCTCCTTCAGCCCGGACACCTGGGAGGACGCCTTTGTGAACATCCCGGCCCCGGACACCAAGTTCAAGGTGTCCATGAGCCCCTGGGCCAACTACACCTTCCGGGTGGTGGCCCGCAACAAGATCGGGCCCTCCCTGCCCTCGGGGGCCTCGTCCCGCTGCACGACCCCCGAGGACGTGCCCCACAAGAACCCCGACAAGGTGGTGGGCCGGGGGGACCGCTCCGACAACCTCGTCATCTCCTGGACGGTGGGTCTCTCGCGCCCGCTCTAATGTTTGTCTTCTAGTGCTGCGTGAAAATTCCGACAGTAGTTTCAACTAATTCTATATGTGCGCAGAGATAAACTATGACATTCATACTTTTCAAAGTGTTGATTGCGGCGGGTGAGCCCCTTTGAGTGCGCTTCTCATTGAGCACCTGTGTGCTGCGGGAAAGCTATGCCTGCGGAGCTCTTGGGCTCCGCGGATATTGCTTCCCTGCAGTGCACAGGAGCTCGGTGAGAAGCGTACTTAAAGTGGCACTGAAGTCAGTTTTGAAAAAGGTTGTTTTTGGTCGGATATTTCTTAAAATATGTTGGTTCCCACATATACCAAGTCCTATATTACAAAACTGCTTATTCATCTCAGGGCAGTAGAAAAACATGTGAACTCTTTTTCCTCACGGACTACATGTGTGGACCAATGAAAGCCCTATAATACACGCAGATTCCGAACGATTTTATTATAACTTGTTTCGAAGAGAGTCTGATAGGTACACACCTGGATAAGACTTCTCTTTTTCTCCGGGGGCAAAGCCAGCGCTTGCAACTCGCTGACAAGCGCCCTTCCTCGACCACTTCACTCGGAAGTTCCCAAAAAGGGCATGTCGTAATCTTTGAACACGCTTTTAACGAGGAAATAAGCTGCGCACAATTGTAATTTGGGGTTTGTTGGGATGCTTAGAGCGTCTAGATTGAGTTGTCACCACAAAAGGACGATCTCAGAATCAACTTCAGTGCCCTGCTCCTCAGCCACAGGCTTATGTGGAGGCTCATCAACGCACCCCCTTCGTGGCTCAGTATCTCGGTTAGCAATGGCGGCTCTAATCTCACGCGTGTGTAAAGTGTCTATACCAAGCAGATATATATAGATCTCCTTGATTAGGATAGTGGTGACATCGTCATTTACATGCCTCAGTTAATATAGTTATATTAAAATTAATTGAGCTTAAAAGTGGACAAGTGGAATGTTGGGACCAACCTTCACAAGTTCAGCTGAGGTTTTGTTCAAGCAGGGTGGACACTAGTGAAAGGCTTGGAGAAACTATTCAATATTTGATTAGAAAATATTTGGCCAAAACCACTGCTTGCTTCGAACTCAAAATCTACTTTTGGGACATGCCTGTTATTTATTTATTGCTTCATTTATTTATTTATTCAGAATACCTCAAAAGCCTTTCAGAATTGCATAAATAAAAGGGAGGTGGTATAGCTTGATAAAAAAAATGAACAAAACAGAAATTAAATGACTACACATGAACCAAAGATTGAAAAGCACACACTGGCTGCAGCACATAATGCCATAAAAAAATTATATGTATTAATAGAATTCAGGCTTTTAGTATGAGCAACACAAGCACATAGAAAGGAAATAAATTGAGCTCTCAAATATTTCATAATGCAACCTAAAACATTTTCTTTATTGAAACTTGGGGTTGTTAATTATCTAAAGAAAATGGTTGCTAATTCTGAGCGGAAGTTTTCTGCATTTGAAATAGAAACAGCGGCCTCTGCAAGACCGTTCCAGAGTTTGATGGCGCTCGGCAAGGAAGAGTTAGTGAATGCGGATGTTGACCCAAAAGTATGTTCGAAGCTCTTAGTGTTAAAGTGGCATGATTCTTTATAAAGAGGTTCAAGGAGTGAGATGGATTTTGAGTGGAGTTGTTACATAAACGACGAATCAAGCATACGAGGGAAATTGTATGCCTTGTGTCCAGCAGAGAAATCTAAAAGTATTGTTTCGTTAATGATACGCCTTCGAAACATAAATATAATGGCAAAAAAGACGAACAGCTTGAATTTGAAGGTCGAACCCTCTCAGATTATTGCGTACGTAGTCTGTAGGCTTCTGCATTCCCTTATTGTATCGAGGATCAGGGATGTTCGTAGGGTATCGTTAAAAAGATATATGGAATTCTTGAAATCAAAAAGTTTGAGAACTCCCGTTTCACGCAGTTCCTTCCCAAAGATGCTGACTCGTGGCGATCCCTCCCCCACAGCCGATGCCGCCGATAGAGCAGAATGCTCCGGGCTTCTTCTACAAGGTGTTCTGGAAGAGGAACGACCTGCCCGACGCCGCCTGGAACTCCAAGATCATCGACGACTGGAAGCAGAACCGGCACGTGGAATACGGGCAGCCCACCTTCAAGCCCTACCGCATCAAGGTCTGCACTCGCCACTCTTCCCTATTGCGGTAGCTCGTTACGGGGGCAGGGCGGCCAGCACTCGGAATCCCGATTTCCCTTTACTTCCTTGCTCAAGTGTCTGCGTGCAGGTAAAGAGCCTAGAGCAGATCGCTGAGCACATTGGTGTTGCTTTATCCACTTTGTTGTACATCTTGCCTACGTCACGTCCTCTGGTTAACACCATTTTCTGTTGGATTTGTTCTCTCAACGGTGTTGCACAAAGCCTGCCAAGTTTGCACTATCAGGTTTCTCGAACTTCCTAATTTTCATCCTTTTTTAAGCTTCTGGCAATGCAAACGAATTGCGGAAAGGTATATTAATAATTACTCGAATCGTAATGCCCGTAGGAGTCGGATGGAGAGATTGACATGCGTAGTGCGCACTTTATCAAAAATTTACGTGCGGAGAAACCCCCGTAGCTATTTTTGGGGGACGGCCCGTGTGTTACGCTGGACCTTGCCACGCCACCCTGTGACGCGTGGTGGGTGCTTCAGGTGGAGGCGCACAACCGGCGCGGCCAGGCCCACACGGTGGCCATGGACGTGATGGGCTGGTCCGGGGAGGACGTCCCGCTCCTGTCCCCGCAGGACTTCAAGTTGGCCAACGTGGTGGATGCACGCTCCGCAAACTTTTCCTGGAGCCCCGTCAGCCCAGAGTCGGTCAGGGGCCACTTCCGCGGATATAAGGTGGGTGGGACCGCTTTTGTCCGTTCGCTTTCTCCCTTGCTTCTTCTTTCGTCAGTTAGTTTATTTTTCTTTCATTCTTTCTTGTTTTAGATGTATTAATGACCTGCATACTGTTGCATTTTTACATCTATAGTATTTCACTTAGCTTTGTGCGCCACTCGGTAGCATGCGAGGTTCTTTGTGGGCACAAGAAAAACAAGGCTTATTATTATTATTTTTTTTATTGTTTCTATTATTAATATTATTATTAGTCTCTTCCTCTCCCTTTTCTTTCTTTTTTTTTTTATTGATTGAGTAATGATTTTCAGGGTTCCACAATCAGCTTGATACCTCCTTAGTAGTGCACTTTTCCGTTAACCTTTACCCGAAAGAGAGAAAAAAAAAATCTGAGCACGGAGAGAAAGTTTGGAAAATTATAAGGAAAAAATGAGACGTTTACAGTTTTTTTGTAATGCGAAATTAGAGTGCAGCTTTTGAGGAGGAGGAGGGAAAAGTACGGAGGAGGGGTATGCCTCTCCTCCCCCTCCATACCCTCCCCTCCTCTCCTCCTTGCTTCCTATTTAGCAAAAAATTTTTGCCAAATTTCCCACCAAATCTACCAAAAATTTCGCCGCTAAATTTAAACGTCCCATAATGCAACGCACGCGGTTACACTGACGGCAACACCGCTCAACCCGGAAGGGGGCGCCTAAGAGCTGCGCTCTAGAAAGCGTTGTGTTTTTCAAATCTACACTCATCACCGAAATCGTTAGGCTAATGTTGACAGTTGTCCGTTCGAAATTACTACCGTAAAATACCGGAGAAGTGCCTAACCTACTTTCACCAAAAACTGGGTTACGGGCGCTTTTCCGGTCACATCGAGGGCTTAATGTATAATTTGCTGAATTCTCAAGTTTGGGAAATGTTAATAGCGGGTGCTTGAACGGAGTGGACACTTCTGTGGTATTTTAGGGTATGTGTCAGTTGTAAACAATTCCTACCACCTAGTCACTCGCTTAATGCGAGGTCACTGCCTCAGTTTGTAGAGTGATTAAGATTGTTTCTGTCCTCATGCCCACTTCAAACAGTGCATAATCTGCAAAGTGTCCCCCCCAGAAATTGTGTTTATTTAATTGCAACAACAAACTGCATCGTCGAACGTTCAGTTTCCATCTAAATGTAGCGCTAGCGTTTTGAACCAGAAGCCAAAGTTTTGGAACAAAGTTTAATTAAAAGTTATGAGCAGTCTTGGAAAACCTTCAGTGGTAAGGTGGTCGCTGACAAAACTCGCAGCGGCTGAATGGCAGCGCACACTACAGTCTAAGATCGATATAACAGACCTTGATCTTGACCAAGATTTCGGTCTGTTGTAAAAGGAGTATGTTGTATGCAGATATGAAGTTGAGTCCATGGTGCATAGAGGAAAACCAACCGAACTTCACAAATCGGTATGTTATACCCAAATGTCTGTTGTAGCCGGGTCTGTTATAACGAGCTTAGACTGTACCGAGAACCAGCCCCATTTTCCTTCTGGAAGTTTCAGAAAATTGCTTCTGAAACATTTTCATCTGGTCCGGAGCACTGCACTTGAGCAGAGACGGAGCGTTCGGCGATGCGTCGTTTATTCCACGGAATGTGTTTTCTATTGGCTGGGATCCCCAAAGAAAGTATGAGGGGACTCCACGAACACCATTACGAAACATATGTCACGTACTGCAAAGAACAATCTCTAAAAAGAGTGGTACATTGAGAAGAAAGAAGGACGTCCTAAGTGCACCCCAATGGGAATCAAACCCACGACCCCACGATTGCAGGTTCGACACTCTACCACTGCACCGATAGACCTGTTGCAAAACATACATTGCCACGACGGCAGGGAATTTCGGGAACCCTCGGTAGAGATCATGCGCTTTCTCGTTGCGCGTGGGTTGCGGCAGCCACCGCCACCAGCCTTCGCAGCCATCCGCCGGAACGTCGTGCGTCATTGGCAGCGTATCATATCTGTGTCAGCATAAACGCATCGTGATGGGTCGAGCTATTCACTTATTTGAATACGTTGTTCGTCGTGACTTACCTTCTGTGACATGCAATGGCTCTCCACCCCCTACCCCCCGTCCCGCAGATCCAAACGTGGACGCCAGAGGAGGGTGAGGAGAAGCTGAGGGAGGTGGTGGTGCCGGCCAACGTGACGACGGCCCTGGTGACGCTCTTCAAGCCGTACTCGCGCAACCTGGTGCACGCCCTCGTCTTCAACGACATGTACAATGGGCCCCCGTCGGACAGCATTGAGTTCAGCACGCCCGAAGGCAGTGAGTGGCGGGGGGACCCGCGTGGGCTGCTTCTCTTTCCGGAAGGGGGTAGACATGCAGCCTTCGCTTAAAGGCTCGTTCGCATGCTCGCATTTGCTTACGACCGAGTTCTTGCGATCCCTTACAACGATGAAGCACGCTGGCGACATCTACGAGGTGGCCCTTGAACCGCTTTTCACTAGAGCGAAGGTTTTGCAGTGTTTGCGAGGTCAAATGTAAAATGGGTTGTAGACAGTCGCAAGTGCGTGACTACCTTCAGTCTTGCAACTCTTTCTCTCTTACCGTTAAAAATTCAGAACACACACAAAAAAAAAAAAAAAAATGGAACAAACCCATTGTAAGGCCAAAACTCGCCCTGTTTTGCTATGTTTTGCCTTGTGCATTCCGAAATTTCGAAATGCTAAACCAACCACCACTCATCCTATTCAGTGTACTCCTTCACGCACTGTACGTTGGACTGTTGTAGTGCTTTGAGAAGCACTGGCTTGATACTTACTGTAAGGTAAGAGGGAGCGCCCACCTTACTTTCAGTGAAAACTTAGTTAATCTAGATGTGGGTGCTTGACTAGTTGAATCGGGTGCTTAACGTATAATTTGCAGGATTCCCAAGTTGGGGAAATGTTAATAATGGGCACTTGGACAAAGTGTGCGCTTACGCAGTATGTTACGGCACGTCTTCAATAGTTCACCTAAAAAGCTAGAGGCAAGGTGGGCATGGCCCTCAAATGCTAGGAAAAGGAGATTGCGACTCGAAATGATTTGATCAATGCACGTGCTAGGATGCGAGCAAGCCGGATGATGGGTCAAACCTTATTCGTGCCATTGGAATGCAACAGTGCTCTCGTCGTACAAATGGCTCCTTCGAAGGATCTTGTCCCAGACTTTTGTGGAATGGGTGCGGATATTGCATATGGCTCCCAGAGAGTGCCACGACCTAAAACAAACTGCGGCCTACAGATGCTTCAGTGCACACTACCCGCGCAGTTGAACATTCTAGACAAGCAAGGGGTTCGCATTGAACTCGCAAATAGAAAGGCATTGCACCAATTTTTTCTATCTGTGCATTATTTCCAGTATAACTCGTTAATTCCCATTTAAATATTTCATTACTTCTGCCCGCCAAGCTGACAAATTCAGGGGGTAGGGACCCTGGCAAACTGCATTATTGCAGTTTACCCTTTTAGTACTCTGGGTGTAAGATAAATTGAATTGATTCCGTTTGCCATTCCGATCTCTCCCAGCACCCGGGCCGGTGGCATCTTTCGAGGGCATTCCCATGGGCTCGACCGGAGTCTACCTGCTCTGGAAGAAGCCACTGGAATCCAACGGCATCCTCACGGGCTACCACATCTACTACGAGGAGGGTGAGCTCTCTTTGCGACCTCCCTCCCAGGAACGAAGCGGCTTTTTGCGGCACACGTTGGCGAGAGCTCAACGGGTTTGTGCAATGAATCTTGTTGGCTCTGGAGCGTTTTTCTGGGGAAGGATGTTTGTTTCTTGCGGTGCACAAAGGCAGCCGCATGGGCCTAGCTTTTCGCGATGAACAGTGGTAACGGGCAGCTGCTTGGATCGAGGAATGGTCCTATGACTGGAGCAGCCTTCCAGTTGAACGTTGAGGAAAGGCAAGCTTTTTTCCATCACAAACACCCGGCCACTTCTTTAGTAACAAATAGGGTTGTGCGAATATTCGGAATTTCGAATAGTGGTTTCGAATAATACACTATTCAACATTCGCTTCGAGAAGAACTGCACTATTCGTGTTTTTCGAAGTGCTGATTGCGTCGGGTTATACCCGTTGAGTGCGCTTCTTAGCGAGCACCGGAGTATTGCGGAGAAGCAAAACCCGCGAAAGCGAGCTCCGTGGGTGATGCTTCTCTACACTACATTACATCGGTGCACGGTAAGAAGCACACTCAACGGGGTAACCTGCCGCGATAAACACTTGGAAAAGTATGAATATCCCCATTGCGTGCTTGAAAGAAAAGCATACATTAAAAGCGGGATGGTGCACGCGTGCCGTCTGCATTTGAAAATAAATGGAAACTTTGTGAGTGTGTAGTTTTTACGTTGTAGTAAAAGTTTCAAAATTAAACTTACCGTTATGCAAGAGTATACTATGTTGGGCAGAGATGCCCTTACAGCTTGTATTCATCACGCGCGATTCATTCTTTCTTAACTCGAAATTAAAAAAAGAATATTTTATATAGCAAGATTTGTAAATTCACTCCATTGGGTATAGTTGGCCATCTCTATAGGATTCATTTTATGTCAAATTTGCCGTTTACTTGCCATCCCAAGACATCAGACCTTCTTAGTTCACAGTTCATAAATATAGATAGATTAAACTTAGCTTGTAAATGAACAAGTGGAACAACCTTCACAAGTTTAGCTGGGTTTTCATCTAAGCTTTACGCAGTGGTAATGAAAGGTGTGGAAAAACTATTCGATATTCGATTAAAAAATATTCGACCAAAACCACTATTCGCTTCGAACTCGAAATCCACTATTCGCACAAGACTAGTAACAAACGTCGACAGAAGCAGGTCCATTCTTCGAGTGATGGATGTTGGTAAGAGTGGCCTTATGTAGTAAACATTGATTTTTTTTGGCTAAAAGTTGTAAGCTTCAGCCTTTTTCGTACCACGAAAAAATTTAATTTTCGGAAGGTGGATGAGAGATTTTTTATTTTAAGAACTACTTAAGGGGTGTCCAAACAGGACACTACAAAACCCGCACATCCGACAAATCGTGAAAATTGAAGCGGACGCTTCTATTTTTACGATGTGTCGGATGTGCGGGTTTTGTAGTGTCCTGTTTGCAGGAGTCGTGAAAATTTTTACACTCGCGACTGCTCTCCTCGCCTCCTCCACTTTTCTCTGACGTCGGTGCTCGTCAGATTTGACGTCACACGCCACCTGCGTCTGGCTGACCTCGCCAACACCCTCGCGTACCGCCGTCGCCTCGGCTCGAAGGCCAAGGAGGTCCGGCTTCGGGTGGATTTGGGACATTCCTGCGTCGAAGGGTGCGCTTCGCCCGCCTCGGATCTGCTTTCTTTGTCGAGATTCACTTTCGTCGTGATGGCGTCCGATGCGGTTCCGTATTGTGAGCGGAGGCCTTGAGCGATTGACCGACAGCCAACAGAGCGTGTGAGTGGCTCTCCGGACCCACGTGATGAGCAGAGCAAGGCCGCCGTGGAGGTAGCGAGGGGGAGATTTGACGGAGGGAAGTTTCCCCCCGGGAAGAATTGACGGAGGGAAATTTCCCTCCGACGGCCGGAAGCGGATCGCGGCAGAGCGCGGCACGATTTGTCGGAGTGCGGGTTTTGTAGTGTCCTGTTTGGACACCCCTTTAGCATATGGCTAATTATGATATATCTAAATGTAGCCAATGAAACTGCTCTTTGGAAGAAAAAAAAAGTTTTACATTAACATCTGGGAAAATTTTTAAACAATTTTGGCTATATTAAGTCATATTATAATTTTTTTTAATCCTAAATATACAAAGTGTACCCCATGCACACCCCTATTACTTCCATAAGTTAGAGAGCTCTAGCTGATACTGTCTTTTTTTGGTCCGTCGGCAGGTGTGTTTTTGTGGTCTCATGCCATTCAGAGATGCTGTTGCACGGAAAAATGCATGTCCTCCAAAATCCTTTTTTTTTTTTTTTCCCCAAAACCTTGCATTTTCATAGCACTGCTCTAACTTCTCCTCCGCTGCTGTTTTTATGACTTGTGACACGCATAAAATCTCTGCCCCAACTTGGGAAAACCTGAAGAAGCTAGAACGACTGTCTTCAATCTTTGGTAGGGGGGGGGGGGGGGGGGGGGGGAAGGGCTTTGTCCCATCTTCGTGGATAGTGGTCGACGTAGTGTACTATTCACGGGTACGGACACAGGCGTCCCCAACCTGGCTGGAACAATTTGGTAGTCATTCAATGTTTGTTTTCTTTTACTAAAAAAAATGCTTTGGGTGTGAAGGGGGGGGGGGGGGGGGGTTGACCCCCAGACTTCCCCCTGCCTATGCCACTGGGGCATGGTACAGAAAGAGATAATATCTGCGTTGGTTCTTAATTTTTATTTCCTGCTTAATGTGTTTCTACGTCAGTGTGCCAAACAGAAGATTGTCACGGTTGTTTTTTTGGCACCCAAAAGTATGGATCATTACCGTTATTGTGACCGGAGGGGTGGTGTCCGTGTGCAGTGCGTGGGACCCAGCTGGGCCCCAAGATGGAGCGTCAGCCCCCCGTCAGGGACCCCCTGGAGTCGAGGGCCAAGCTGGCGGGGCTCAAGCCCAACACCAAGTACCGCATCACCCTCCAGGCGGCCACCCGCCAGGGTCAGGGGGACCCCTACTTCATCGAGCTGTCCACCGCAGACGAGTCGGAGAGGGGTGAGCTCTCGACCTGTCTGCGCCTTTTCGTGCAACGAAGTTCAGGGTATGCCGATGAACCCAGGAGAGCAAACGCCCGTCGACGCACTTGCATTTGCATAGGATTGAGTTCTTGCAATCCATTGCGACGAGAGAACGTACCGACACGCTGGCAGCATTTATGAGGTGACCCCAGAACTGCGTTTCGCTAGGATGAAGGTTTTGCGGCATTTGTTTCTGGATCGGACTGCTAGGGCTACATCTTGGTGTAAAATGAGCGTTCAGCAATGCGTCGTTTATTTTTGTAGTGAAAAAAAAAAAAAAAAAAAACACCAAAAAACGCAAAACGTTTTTGGGGCACATTTTGTAATTGAGAGAAAAACGAGCCGTGTTTTCGGTTGTGCAGCATGTTCCGCTTGACTAGTGCGTGCTTCGGAGGGGTGCGTGTTTTACCGACACTCCCGGTTGGTGGCTGCAGTGCCCGACATTCCGGACTTCCTGTGGACCTACCTGCCAGACCACGACGGCCACGCGGCCGTGCAGGTGACCTGGCTGCCCGCAGTCACTGGCCACCCAGGCAGCCACTTCTACGTCCAGTACCGCAGGAAAGGTGAACCTCCGTTTTCTTTGAGCACTCGTGCGCAAGTCGGTTTTGCGGAACGCCATATCGGTTGTGGGCGTCTCCTACGGACCTCGAACCCCTTCTCTGCAGCATGACATTCTGCTCCTCCGATTGGTGTGTTTCCGCCGCTTGTGGTCCCTTGGTTTCGACGACGAGTTGGAGTGCATCGGAGACAGTGATGCTTGTGTTCGCTTCTCCTTTTTGTCGGAATTTCAACAACCAGCCACCAGGATTGCGACATCTGACAGCATGAAAAGGCAGCTCCCGCAACGTGCAGTAGACTCTCATTATTTGAAACACCACGAAGCCACGAATTTTTGTTTGAATTATCAGAAATTCATCTAAATATGATGCAAGATAAAATTATGATTTGCCATATGAATGGCTACTCGTACAAAGCAGATATTTGATCCTCTATGTAGGCCTACTGATCGTAAGCAGGTATGCCAGACACGAAACATTTGCGAAATGCATGACCTAAGTTTATTTATCCCTAAAAAATGTTCTCTATTGTGGACCATTTAGACAGCACATGACAACTGAAAATAAAATTAAGTTTCTTCTTCGGGCAAAGAAATTGTCTAATGTGGACCATTAAGCGGGGACACATGAGCGATGAATGCGGGCACCGCACGGCAGTTTTCATAGCAACTTGCACGGACGCTGCGACGTGGACGGATGCCATGATGCCTTGCCGCAGTATCCATGCAAGCTGCTATGGAAATTTTCGCGTGGTGCCCGTTTTGATAGCTCGTGTGTGAGCTTGAGCCCTGTTCAATGCGCTTTTCACAGAGCATCGGTGCTCGAAAAGAAGCGCTCTCAAAGGAGCCACGAGAACATAAGGTATGAATTGCACGAAAACACCGTTTGAAATCGGTGGCTTATGAATATGATGGCGGGACCACCAAAATTTAGAAATTCGTTTAAATTAACTGGGGGTACGAAATATCAGAGTTTGAATTACCACGAGCCTACTGTAATTTGTTGCCACCTCGGGATCACTTTCGATGCATGGTCGTCATAGGCCGCTAAACACACCCATCTAAAATGCATTATAGGCTCCGTAGCGAAAGCGGTTTTGTCGTCGCAAAGTGTGCTATACCCTCGAAGCATGCGTAAAATGCCAACCCATTGACAAAGGGTGGTGATGTTTGTTCTACAACAAAATGAGGAATGCCTCCGTTTACTGCTGAAAAAGAACAGTGACCAATAGAACCGGTCGGCCACAAAGGATTCCAATTTGTTTTGTTGGTTTGTCACACGCCCATTGTCGCACGGCTGAGTGCCTCGCCTTAGAAAACTCCTCTGGCCGGTTTCAGGGGACGAGACGTGGGAGACGACGATGATGGAGAAGAACGAGGACACGATCCTTGTGAAAGGCCTGGAGACCGGCGCCATCTACGAGATGCGGGTGATTGCGGTGGACGGAAAGCACCAGAAGCCCTCTCGCATCGAGGAGGTCGAGACCGGGGGACTGGGTACGTCAAGGGCCGGTCACCCTCTGCCACACCCTCGTGAAGAACTGTTCTTTTCAAGGAATTCTAGACTTAACAGACGCTTTATCGAGTGCCTGGCCTGGACACATACATTACGAAAGTGTCATATATTCCGGTATTATGAGACACAGATGCCTTATTCTCGCACTTAAACAAAAAAGGAGTGTCTTGGGAGCACAGAGTGTTTCCAAAAGCTGTATTGATGTGCGCTCCGCACGTGCAGCGATCCGTGCCCCGGGCAGCCCCGACCAGGTGGCGGGGGCGGCCTGGTTCATCGGCATGATGTGTGCCCTGGCCCTGCTGCTGCTGCTCCTGATCCTGGTGTGCCTGGTCAAGCGCAACCGGGGAGGGAAGTACTCGGTGCACGACAAGGAGGTGGCCCAGGGCAGGGACCTCGACTTCCAGGACGACGGGGGCTTCCACGAGTACTCCAAGCCGTGAGTGCACCCTCCAGTCTAGTGGTTCTCAAACCGGCTTCCTAGGGATCTTAAGGGGTTCCCCTCACCCATCCCTGCCCTCGAGGAAGCTATTTATCCAGTCTAAGCAATGTCTTAACAGAGCTATCTGCTGATGGGTAACCATGAGTCAAACGCTTCGTAGTATGTGCACTATTTTTACGAGGCTATTACATTCATGCCAAGACTGGGATGAATGTAATGCGTCTGTTGGGCAGATGGGGGCTCCTCGAGATCAAAAAGTTTGAGAGCCCTTGCCCTACTTCGACGACTTTGTCAGCGGTGTCGAGGTCTAACGAAAAACGGGACGACTGGCTTTGACGAAAATCTCTTACTAGGACTGGATCTGTTTGCTTTAGCTTGCCGTATCCACCCTTCTGAGCATTTCTTCTCACGAGAGCGCGCGCTCGATCGTCTGCCACTACTTCGGTAGTACTGAAACGTGGCCGCCCAAGTTACTACGCCACAGACGAACTAAGGGAGTGGAATAACGACATTCATCCTTTCGCATTCGCAAGTTATGAGAAGTGCTTATTTTCCTCGGAATTTTTTTTTTCATGTTATTTGTATGAGTTCATATACCGTCGAACCTGGTTATATCACATCCGGTATTTATTGTTTATATCAAACAGTCCAGACATCCCTTGAAAATCACATGTACCGTATTTGCACGAATATAACGCAACCACGAATATAACGCGAGGGCAGGTTGTGATGCCCTCAAAAAGAAAAAAAAATATTATTACTATTATAACGCGAACCGAGGCCGCGTCAATTTCTCGCACTCAAGGGCATAGCAGATGTGAAAAGTCAAAGGAAATAGAAGAAATATCAGTTTATGTTTTGACTGCACTCATCCTCCCAGCTCAGGTCCTTCCGTTTACAATCCACTTGGCGACTACGCAGATAAGCAGCAGCACGGCACCTGCTTGTCTGGTAGTTCCTTTTTCTCCCGTGCGAGCTCCTCGGCAGCCCACAATCCAAACAAGGCAGGAAGCAGAAGCACCAACACACAAACACCGGATCACTCTGGAGCAGAAACTAAACAATGCGCAGCAGAAAAAAAGACTGCTGAATCCGATACACTATCATACTTCTTGTTCTGGTCCCTCTGCATAAACAAATGCCCCGTGTTGCACGATTGCGTAATCCTTGGCGTAAACGCGGTTGGTGGTCTTGGCTTGGCTTGTGTTGACTTGACTTGGCCCGGCTTGGCTTGGCTCGGATTGGCCGGTGCCCGCATTCCCGCATGGTGTGTGCGCGTGCGCGCGCGCTGAGTTTCTGCGGCCTGCGCGCGTTGTACAAACACAAAAATGATCAAAATGCTTTTTTATGTTTTTTATTCGTTTTTTCACGTGGCCCAATAGCTAATAAATTCCCTTCCCCACCCCCACTTCTTTTCCCACCGGATATTTTGCATTGAGCCGAAGGGATGGCTTTCTCCTCTGGCTTTCTCCAGACTCGCGCGCCTCGTGGCTGAACTCGATTCCGAATATAAAGCGAGGTGCGTTTTGGAGCACATAATTTCGAAAAAAAACTCGCGTTTTATTCGTGCAAATACGGTAATACCTTGGTAACGAATTTGGCCAAGCATACGGAAGGACGAGAAAACACGGCACATTTTTTTAATTGCTTCACACGGAATAAAACAGGAAGTGCGTGAGCATTACTAATCAGAATCTTCAGAACCTTCGTTGGAAGTCGAGTTCACTAACTCAATTCAAAGGAACGGTGCCGTCCCATTGAATTGCGCCCTCAAGAGTTCAGAGGCATGAGCGACCTCGACGGCTTTCGTACGGATTCACTCCAACATCACAGGTAGAAATCTGGCGCGCAGATTCCGAATGAAATTTGCCACCTTTGTTTCCAATTCAGGGTACCCCGCAGCCCTTCCACGAAATCAAGTTTTCTTCGCCTTGCTGCATGCCGCTAGTTTTTGTCCCTGGCCTCACCAGTAGCGTATGCTCATCTCTGGGACACCAAACTCTCGCAGCGCTGCAAGATTCCCATGGATCTCTGCATAGGCGATTGCCTTCTTCTTGAAGGCTACCATGAACTGTTTTCTACTTCCGCTCATTATCACTTTGGGACCTGCAATGGTAGATGTAACAAAACAAGGAGCATAAGTGAAACGGAATTGTGACCGTCATGACAAGTGCACGAGTGCTGGGTGATTGCAAAGGAAAACAAGATGGCGGCTTCAGCCACCCAGTGTTGCGAGATTATTTTTGTTTCTCCGCTAATGACCGTTATATAAGATGAGGGTCAACTTTTTCAGGTCTATTTTCAAAAATGAATTCGAATTATATTCCGGTTTATATGGTAGTATAGGAGCGTTGTTTTTCTGTATTGAACTCCCATGGCAGGGACATTCGATATAGACCCTTTTCATGGCAAACGCCACCAGGAGGTGTTCTAGTCTTTGACGTCCCAGAGAACTTTCGGTTCATAAAAAGTATGAACAAAGTCCACGCTAACACTGCTGTTTGAAATGTCGATGAAACGTTTAAATTCTCCAGGTGAGCGCCAAAGGAACGAAGAAGCCCGAGATATGTTAAATATTTTCGAATACTCTCGTAAACCAACTTGCCTCCTCCAAGACGTTAAATTGACCAGCCGAGGGCCCTCGTTAAATCTCCAACTTTGATCTGCCTGTAGCGTTTATGCTTTCTAGCATTGACGACATAGGCAAGCTCGACAGACATGCAAAGACGGAGCGACCGGTAGTTGCTTGGGACGTAGGAGGCAGTTCATGTTTGTAAACAGCAAAAGGGTCTATAGCGAACAAAACACTGCGGGTCGCAGCTTCTCCCGCAGTCGGTTTGGCGGCGAGCACATAGCTCGTGTTGCGGGGCTGGCAGACCACCAAGCCACCATATGTGCACGGGAAAACGAAGAAAAAAAACAGTTGTAAGAAGAAAAAAAGAAAAAAGATAGCAGAAGCAAGGGGAAGGGCGCGCACACACGTTGGGAGGGTAGGGAGTGCCTGCTGTTGGAACGGTACCGTGCGCTCTTTCCCGAAACACCACTGTCGCCCTGTCACTGCGCAACTCCTTAACCCCAAAATAAGATAAGAAAAAAAAAGAAAAAGTGTTCCTCAAGTTGAGTGCGACCTTTTTCTTTCGCTGTTTTTGCTTTGCCTGTTATTTCTTTTTTTTTTTTTTTTGCTTGAATTTAGAGAGGTTTCTTTTTTGTTTCTTGCTTAGCTTATTATTTTCGTGTTTGTTGCCAGCGCTGTGTGGAAGTCGTGGCCAGGCATAAACGATGGCAAACACCGTTGCATCGCGTAAACGCGGAAGTGTTTGTGATCTTCACCCACACTGCAGCTACCCAGCCCGCCACTTGTGACAGTGATGCGTGATGACGGACTTTTTGTGGTCCGGTGAATGCCATCCTCGTTGCAGCACATGCAAATATCCTCTCCCGTTGCCTCCTCCAACAACGGACATTTTTTTCATCCATGCTGAAGTCCCGCCCGGCTTGAACGTTCGGCGACAACTCCGCGGCTAAAACTACTTTTTTTTTTAAAGTGGAACTATAATGGCATCGCTTGTTTGGTGCCATTGCGCTGTTGATAAAAAGAAAACGCCACGCCAGACGCAGGTCACTATCAAGTATCAGCGCAGGTCAAAATGGCGGCACCGCTCGTGTACTCAAGTGGCTACTGGCTCGGCTAGTAATGGCTACAATACTTTCTTTTCTAGGTGGCGTTAGCTGCGTGCCACTTTCTTCAATTTTACTTGGAAATTGGCGCGTGTTTCAAAATCCTCGAATCTAAGCCGACCCTATAGTTTGATATATCAGAATTTTAATAAAAACTATCGGCCTAGATTCGAATAAATACAGTACCGGTCTCAACAGTATAGTAAAATTTCAGCTTGGATTTTTCGATGCTAAGTTCATTGCATGCTTCTCTGTTGAAGAAACAAAGAATCTCGCACTAGACCCTCACCATCTAGGAGGACCTAATAAATCATTTTCTCTCTTCTCTCCTTCACCGGTGTATTCGGAAAGCTTTAGTGAAACCTTAGCATTCATCCTTTCGGCTAAAGGGGGGCTGAAATCCCATTGTTTTCTTTCATAAAGTACCCGTCAAAAAAGAAGGGTAAGTGAACATACGGACGGGTCTGTTTTCTTGCCTGGGAAATTGCGAGACGTCTGTCACTCGAAAGTGCATGTTGCGAGCTCCTGCAGTTTCGTTGACGGGTGCGCGGTTAGGGCCGGGTGCAGCCAAGTGACCTAGCGACGCTCCTTGTTGTAGGGCGCAGCAGGCGGCGCCTGTCCGCGGCAGCCGCACGTCTCTGCACTCGAGCGCCAAGGAGAGCGACACGGACAGCATGGCGGAGTACGGGGAGGGGGACCCCAACCAGTTTGCCGAGGACGGGTCCTTCATCGGCCAGTACGGGGCCAAGAAGAAGCAGCGGCCCCCCGAGGCCACCTCCCCCTCCGCCCTCGCCACCTTCGTCTGAGAGCCGTCCAACTCTCGACGCTCTCGCACGTCGGGGGCCCGTCCCGCGCTTGCCCCGACTCGGAGGCTCTGCGGGCCTCGGCGATGCGTGCAACTCGGGTTGCCCGCCACCCACTGCTCGAGTTACCTGCAACTTGGGTTTTGTTCGTCCTGAGTTGCGCGCGACTTGAGTTGCTTGCGGCTTAGGTCTGCCCCCAACCGTCCCAAGATGCAGAGGTACCGGTGCGAGTTGCTGGCATGCTTGGGTTTTCTACGACTCGACTTGCGCGACTTGAGTTGCTTGCAGCTTACGACGTTTGCCCACATTCGTCCCAAGATGCGGAGGCACCGGTGCGAGTTGCCGGCATGTTTGGATGCCCCGCTATGCAGCTTTGGCTCCGGTCTCGGACGGCACTGCCGCTGTCGTTGCTGCGACGGCACCACCTATACTCAGTGACTCTCTCGGGTCGTCACAAATTCTTAATCCGCGCAAAGTCCCAGCTAGCACTGCCGGAAACATCTGCGAGGGCAGGGGAAAGACACGTGCTGCGTTCCACCAGTCCTTGAGTAACCCTTGAAGCCGAATTTGTTGAGATAAAATTCGTACGAAATCGTTGCTTCTGTTGCTCGAAAGGTTTGGCTCTTTGCTGGAATGTTTGTCACAAGTGGGGTCTAGTTTTAAAGAAGGCACAGGAGGAAGGGGTTAGCTCCGGTGAGAGTTCTTGTGTCGGAAACGTTTGCACCCACAAGGCACTCTTCCCGAGCTGTTCTTGCGCCTTTACCGCTGCTGACTGGAAAATTTAAGATTCACTAAGTGGCGATTGGTTAGCCCATCATGTTTTGAATTAATTGCCGGAAAGGGCTGAAAGCTCCTACGGTGCCTAAGTACCGCTAGTTGGGATTGGTGGCTCCGGTGTGTCTTTTGCCACCTGAGGAGGGGGGCCCATTGTGGGTAGGTGGTGCTGGGTGCCCCGTATTTGCTGCCTCAGGCAGTGCAACACCTTTTCAATCTTGCCCTAGGGGTCGTTAAAAATCTCGGCGTAGACGCATTGACAAGTTGCGAGAATTTATGGAGTACTTGGGCACCAGTGATGACACACTCTGCAGGAGGCAGAGCACAAAAGTGTAGAAATGGGGCGAGTTGAAAGGTGCGGTGTTGGCCTAAAGGACTAATAGCAACCCCACTGCAAGCCAGCCAGTGCTCTTTGTGAAACCATTGCTGTCGCTTAGTCATTTTCATTGGCGCGTAACGTCGACGGACAACTAGACGACGGATCCTCCCTTTAACCACTGTGATGTCGGTGGTTTGTCCTTCTTTCCAGAGGCACCGTAACTGCGTTGCCTGTCCAGTGCCGCTCGCAAGGGGTAGCGGACGGCGTGGGAAAACGTCTGTTAAGGTGCTCCGAACCTTGCTAGTGGGGAGCGACAAAATGCGCAGCTCCTGCGTCAAAAAGTGTTCTTCATTTCGCCCGCGTTCGTTTTCTTCGGGGCACCTTTCCTTGCACCGTCCGGTGCTTTCTTGAAAGCCACCTAGTTGCCATCGTGGCGCACATTCCAGCGTTCCATCGAGATGCTCGCAAAGGGCAAGTCTGGCCATCAAATCCATACCTTAAAGAGGAAGCTCTAATTCGGCAATCGAGCCACTCTGTCTTTGGCCGAAACATGAAGGCTCAAAAAGTGTCACTGGAGATGGCTGTTTTTAAGCGTCCCGCTTGCGACATCTTGTCATTCTTTTGTGCACAGCCGAGGCACCTTGGGAAGCCGCGGGATGGCTTTCGGATTTTATTCACCCTGACACGTAGAACTCGGTCCCCCGAGGAGGGTCTGAACACCCTCCTGACCAGACCTGGGTTCGGTGCTTTTACAGCCTGTGCAAAGCTGTAAAAGCACTGAACCCAAGGTTGAAAACCCTTCTGGGTTCTTGGGGGTTGTCAAAGAACTCAATTCCATAGTTGAGGTGTTTTTTTTATTAGTGGGGTCAAATCCAGAATCGGGGTTTTTTTTTCTTTAGAAAGGAAATGAAGGTTTAGGCCCGACCTACCCTTTTCGGATACGCCGCTGCCCGCAACGTGGCGGCTCGTGGACATTCTTTGGCTTGTACATACCATATGCTTGAGTAGTTCTTCCGAACGCTTGCGTGCTATTTTCCGTCTCGTTTGTGCCGCGTTTCTGTGTGTCCCCTGACGACGAAAGAAACCACTCCCGCGAAAGAAGAGGCCCGTACTGCCTGTTATTGCCTTTGTCGCCGAGGAGGAGGAGGCTGCTATGACATGGTTGTGTGGAGATACACGCGGGCGACAGCCCTCGCGTAGAAGTGCAGCACAAGTGCGTGGGCCGCTTTCGCCCGACCCCGAGTGCAATGTCTCGTAGACCGCAACATTCCTTTTGCTTCGCTGCCGTCGCAGCCGCTGTGCCCCGTGAGGACGTTCTAGCGTGTGGGAGCTCGCTGGCCTACCTTTTGTGCTTAGACTAGGGTCTGCCTTTGAACTTGGGGGGGGGGAGTGCACCAACTAAGCGTACATTGCTGCGTAGATTGATTCACACGAGAGTCTGAGATTGCTCTTCGCAGCTAAGGTGGTTTTGCCTAGCAATCTTTGGCAGGCCGTTTTTGCTTGCACCGGGACTGTACTTCGTCTCACGACAAGGAGAGTCGAGGGAGCAGTGCGCGTCTTGCCGGGACTTGTTTCATCGGTATCTGTTGTGTGTGCGCAGCTGTGGGGACCCTCCTTGCTTCATATTTGAAGTTCTGTCACTGCCCGATAATTTATGTCTTTTTACGTTCGCATTTACTTCATGGTTTAGACGGGGGCAAGTGTCGCCCCGGCGTGTGATGTATGCGGAGCGCGAGATTTTGTTTTGCCGACTGCTGTTTTAATTTGTCGCGTGTGCGGCGTGCCATGTTTAGTTGGGCGCACGAATCTCGTCATGTCTCACCCGACATGAACCTAGCGTAGGGTGTTCTTAGTACCCTGTGTGGTTGGCAGCGTGTCTTCGGCCAGACCTTTTATGTTTCGTACAACTGCCCTCTTGGTTGCAACTATGATGGCAGGGCGTGAAGCACAACGTCATTTTTTTAGAACAAAAAACGAAAATGAGGATAGATGTTTAGTTGTTGGCCTCCCAGCTGTACATGAGTTGATTTATATTTTCCCAGTATTTCTAGGGCAAAGATATTTGAGGAGCTGCCGGTGTGAACCTGTGCTGTGTTATTTTTGTGGAAGAATAAAGAAGCTGGCCTTACATCGTACAGCAATTGTTTCTTCTTTATTTTGTATGGACACTGTAGGGAGCATTCAGTGACGGCCATAGCTGTGTGCTTTGTGGTTTAGCACATACTTGCGGGAAGTGTCAGCCAGATTCATTTCGCACCGTCGAAGTTCTTCGTGGCAGGTGGTAAGTTGCTTTGCCCACCACTCGTGCCGATGACTCTCCCGCGTCCTCAGTCACTACGGGACTGCGTGACCTGTAAGCCCGTGTCAGCATTCGGTCATTGCCTCCCCCTCTTGAAGGATCGGCCCCCCAAAGAAAAAGCCCAAGGTTCGGTATATTGCATACCATGTAAAGATTGTTTGGCCTCGTACGGTGGTGAAAGTAAGAACTTTGCAGAGAGGTTTGTGCGATACAAATATGATCGGAAGAAGGATGTGGAGGCAATCACCCTCGTGGAACACGCAGAAGCAGCCGGCCACACTGTCGACTTCGAGAGAAGCACCGTGCTGGCCTTTGAGAGGAATTGGCGAAAGGGGCTCTTCGTTGAGTCTTGGTTCATCCAACGGACAAAGGGGAACATGAATCCTTCTTCGGGCTCCCTGCCCCGCAGCTACGTCTCGGGACTGCGTGACGTCGGCAAAGCCCCATACATCCGTTTGTGTATTTAAGCGACGTGTGTTCTTTCCGTCACTTGCCCTTAAACAAAGGGCCGAACTGGTCTCGAAACATACTGCCAAGGTACCAGCCTTTCGTTGAAAGGCACAAGAAAACTAATTTTAGCTAAATAATCTTTCAATGTGCACCTGGTGGATGCATGCGGAGCCTATTTCGGAGGTAACCTAGCAACGTTGGGGAACTTTCTACGTAGTCGTGACGTAGCAGATTCCTTCGGAGCAGCGCCACTCTTTGGAATTTCAACATTTTCCTTCTTAGCTTTCCTCCTAGCTCAAGTGACTTCAGCTCAACTCACAAATTGCGCATTGTACCAAACGGTCCAAGAAGACGAAAAGGAAGGACTCCTCTTTCTCGGTCCCTCGTTCGTGCATCTGGACACAGCCATTCTTTCCCTGAAGATTAACCCGTCGCTCAAAACTCAAACAAAAGTTGCTTTCCCCACCCCGTTCAGCCCCGAGCTGACAGTGCTGTGGAAGCTACGTGCTCCTTGGGCCAGCTAGGGACAGCCACACGCTCGTCTCCCCACGGGTACTTCAAGCGGCTCGGTTGTAACCCACCACAACGCTGACAACGCCACCAGGGGCAAAGCTCATAACCACGCCAGCCTTGCTATTTCACGAATGCGGGGAATCTTTTCTTTCTGTTTTTGTTTGCACCAGATATCCCATGACGCATCGCGCTCTCCGTTTGCTTCTCTTTGAGCGCTTGCTGGAGTGCACTGTTTGGAACGAAAAATATAGCCAGTCGTTCAGAACACAAATGTTTGATTATCATTTACTGTTATTATCCATCATGCTTGACTCATTTCCGGACGAAATTTGAATATTTCAGTTTTTGTTTCCGTACCATTTTAAGACGATTATGACGTCTTAAGAAAGTGTTTTTCGTGCAAGCTGCTGTAGTTTTGGACGGTGTCGTGCGCAGTTGCTCGTCACAAGTGGATACTCGTTCTCATCGATTGAATATGCTGTTCTCTTTTACATAGAACACAAATAAACACCGCATGAATAACATTTTCTCGTGGGGTAAGTACATTTTATTGCGAAAGCATTAACTGTCCCACGGAGGGAGCGAACCGAAATCATCAGCTTTGAAGCCGCGCCAAACGGCCCCTTCCCCTGTCCCAATGTCTGTAGCAGAAATCTGATGGATAGGCTCCCATTGGCTCTCGTGCTATGTAGTTCCAAAAAACGCCACCAGAGAAGCCCTCTCCATGGCGGCGTAGCGCACGCAGCGGCCCGGTCGCCGGTAAGAGGTGCGGCGGTGATGCCTGCCCTCGGAGCCCGCCCGGGCAAACCCCGTAGGGGGTGCACGGCCGTGCTCAGCGCGGTGCGGCCACTTCACGAAAGCGTACGCTCGGCCGTCGGCCGGCGAAACGTGGCGGTCCACGCCAATACACCGCAGACGAACTAAGCGAGCAGAAGAACGACATTGATGCTTAAATTTCACATTCACAATTCTCATAAAAAGTGCTTAGCTGTCCTCGGACCTTTTTTTTTTTTTTTTTTTCTCTTGAGTAGTCGGTTTTTCCGCAGCGGGGACGAAGTTAGAACCACACAGACACGGGCCGAAATATAGCAGCCATCTTGGGCAGCTATGCGATCACGCTAAAGGCGCAAACGACAGTCTGTTCTGCAACCGGCGAAGCGGAGAAAACGTTCACTTCGGTTTTCGGTAACTACGATCAAACGCCCTTCGATCGATGTGTCCGTGGAGCAGAGAGCAGTGACTGTGTCAAAGTACTGATCCGACCCTAGAGTCATCGAATCGAATCCAAAGACAACGCCGTGCTTCGAGCAGATTAATTCCAAATATCGAGTCAAATAGCCCATCTAGAAATCCATCTCAAGTCAGGCAATGTGAACAAAATGCTTATTTTACACGTTTTATGGCATTTATTCATCTCCGACGATGTTGTATTTTCCGTGGCCTCGACGGGAACCTGCGGAGCTTCACGCCTGCTAAGCTTCAGGTGTTGCGACAGTCTGGTACTTGACACTGTACCAGACACTGTACCAAACGTCGAAGATTAAGCTTCGACGTTTGGTCTTCTGCGGCATCCGATAGCAATGTTACGAGTAAAAAAGTGAAAGCCGTTTACAACTTCCTGTAACGGCGAATTGGAGCGCAGCTCTTGAGGAGGAGGAGTGGAGGGTATATTCCTCCTCCCTCGTGATCATGCCTGCTAGTCCTCCTCCCCTCCTGCTCCCCCTCCCTCTCCTTTACCCCTCCCCCCGAGGTCACGTGACCCCCCCCCGGACCATACTAGACAATGAGGGGAGGAGGAGGAGGAGGAAGAGGGCAGAGGTCCGGGGGGTCACGTGACCTCGAGGAGACGGGATCACATGACCTTGGGCGGGCCGTCACGTGATTTCGGGGGGGGGGGGGGGGGAGGGGAGTCACCCCCCGGGGTCACGTGACCTTGGCGGGGGAGGAGGAGGAGCGGAGGGGGAGGGGCGACGCCGACGCCAACGCCGCACAGGCTGGAAACGGGTCATGTGACCCCCTCCCCCCGAGGTCACGTGACCCGCCCGGACCATGCTACACAATGAGGGGAGGAGGAGGAGAAGGAGGGGGAGGAGGAGGAGAGGGAGGGGCGCGGTTACGCCGACGGCGACGCCAACGGCGACGCCAACGGCGACGCCGACGCCGCTCAGGCTGGAAACGGGCCCCTAAGAGCTGCGCTCTAAAACCAAAAACGCACGAATCAACACCTCCAAAGTGACGTGTGACAGCCCCACGAGCAAGCAGGCTGGCGAAAGGGCCTTCCCAATGTTGAAAATATTTTGAGCTAGATGGCGCAACGTGTCACACCAAACTTGATTACCCTGAGGTTTGCGCCACACTTCCTTAGTTTCAGTAAGGTATACTTATTAAGGCGGCTGCAGTAAGGCGTTACGCCCATACCAGGGGGCCCTTCCTCTTAGGTGGAGAATAATTAAAAATGGCTGGATAATAAATAAATAGGGGGGAACGACAAGGAACACAAGTTCCACGCGAGTCGAGCACAATCAGGTGTTGCGCAAGTGGGGTGCAACACTCTTGGCACGAAGTTAATGTTGCTTAAGCTCACGCGAGCAAGGCGAGACAATAGGGAGTATTCACTGGCGGCCATATCTGTGTGCGCGAATTCTGAGCGCGCGCTGATGGCGAGCTTCCACAGTTCTTTTGGCAACGTGCATTCCGCACCATCGAGAGTGCCGGTCTTAGCAGCCTATTGATGTGAGCTCCTTCTGAGCATGCGCTTTAAACAGCACCCACAAATATGGCGTCCAGTGAATACTTCCTATAGGGAGTATTCACTGGACGCCGGGTGCTCTTTAAAGCGCATGATTATTTGATTAAACACGTCTTTAATGAAACCGCCCTCTGGCTGATAAGGCCTCGAGGTGGGCGGGGGTAAGGGAAGAGGGGAATGGGGTGATTATGCTCAGAGAGAGGTCACATTAATAGGCAGCTAAGACCGGCAATCTTGATGGTGTGGAATGCACGCTGAAAAAGAACCATGGAAGCTCGCCGTCAACACGCGCTTAGCAGTCGCGCACACAGCTATGGCCGCCAGTGAATACTCCCTATATGCACAAGCTACCGTATTTTTAGGCTGCTTGCTTGACTTGGCACGTTATGCAACAAGTGACGTCACCTCACTGGACAGCGCAGGAAACTGAATGTCGGCTTCGGCCTTACCTTCCTTTGCCGTTTTCTCATATTTTGACTTTCGAAATAATAAATAGCACAGCGTAACGAGTAAAACCTGGACATTCCGAAAATGTGCTTACTAGTTTGGGCAGCTCGAGAAACTGCCGGAGCTCTTCTTCAACCTCGCGATCAAAAAGGGGAGACCGTTGCGGTACTCTGATTCACCCGGGGCTTTTCCACGCACTACAGGACACCGAGGCTTTTCCTTCGGGTGTACGTGTGCCTGTGGTTTGAGAAGGGGAACGGGGGTATTTATCTGTCGAACCGATTCGATCCAGGTTGTATCAAGCATAGAGTTATTATAATGTACGCATGCGTCTATGTGACTTCCGGGAGGCAAATTGAAGCAGACAGCAACCAGTCTACTTTTCCGGTGCTCCTGTGCATTCCTATGGGAAAACGCGCGTGCAGTTTGTCTCTTCGCCGGAAAATAACACGGAACACTTTGGTTATTTGGGTCATACCGAATAACACATACCTTGATTAACACTGTAAAAGTGTAATTGCTTTAGTTAGCGCATTTTTCTTCATCAGTGAACGATCTTTAACCCCTCTACATTTCAGTCCCAAACGTGTGTTCCCCAGCAGATGTGTAAAAACAAGCGACGATTCGAAGCAAAATTACAATCGAAACGAATATAGAGTGTATTCAAGGCTCGCCAG